TTATAGAACCGCGCGAAGGACTAGTATCTAAGGAAGCTTTAGTTAAAGCCTCCGAACTTAAGGACGTCTACGGCAAATTACGACAAAATATTACTAAATCTTAGCGAGCTCTTATAAGGACAAGATTTAAAGCCTTAAAAACGGCGCCTTAGCTAAAGACGGGGGATAAGGTATATCTCCTAACGAAGAACCTAAAAACTAAGAGAGGAATAAAGAAACTAGATTATATAAAGGTCGGACCGTTTCTAATCGCTAAGAAAAGAGGCGAACTTAACTACCGACTCGAACTACCTAGGGATACTAAGGTATACTCTATATTCTACGTTTCCCTCCTCGAACTAGCGCACCTAGATACCGCGCTTTAAACGATATTCTACTATAAGTTCTAAGAAAATTAGAAGTAGAAGGTAGAAGAAATTCTAGAAAAGAAAGGTTAGAGATATCTAGTTAAATAGAAAGGTTACCTAAACGAAGATAATATATAGGAACCTAAGACTTACCTTAAGAATTGCTAGACCCTCCTATAGTAATATTACTAAAACTACCCTTAGGACCGAAGATAGATTCTCCGCTAGGAAGAGTCTAAAAGGTATCGTTATAAACTATAGATATCTTAGCCTACGACGCTACGAGAAGCTAGAAAACGCTATCTAACTCCTCTAGCGTTCCCTCCGGAACTAGCAAATACTCGGAAGACGTAGCTAGAGTACCGGGACCTTCGGAAGGCAACGATTATAGTTCCTTAAACTCCTTATTAATAGCCTTCTCCTCCCGCTCTTCCGTAACCTAGAGCTGCTTCCTTAACCGATATATACGTATTATCGCCTTAGTTACGCTCTCTTTAGCCTCGTTAAGTTAACGCTTTAATTTACGACGCTAAGTACGTAACCGTTCCTATTCGGTCTACGTAACGGTAACGTTATATCCCTACGTACCTTTTCGTATATACTCCGAATACGACCTATACTAAATATCTACTATATAGCGAGGACGCTCCTTATCCTTCGCGACTTTCGTATTCCGATAATAAGTATATAGAGAAGGTATCTCGCGACCTTCCTCTTCGATTCGTAAAGCCTATCGTTCGTAGCGTTCTTTTCGAGTTAGCGGCTCTCTACTTATAGTAATAAAAAGGGAAGAAGAGAACTTATATTATAAGCTCGGGACGAAGCTTAGGTATAAGAGGGGGATAGTATTACGGATATATAATATAGAGTATAGAGTAGGAGAATAGGGACTAGTTATTTTAGCCTTAAAGGGGAGCGCTAAGGGCGTACCCGCGAATTACGTAACTAGCTATCTTTACTAAACCTTAGATAGATACGTAACTAGCTATCCGATTAGACGAGGGGTCTAGCGGACTAATAGCTAGTTAGGAACACGAATCTCCTATATATATAGGTAAACCCTTTCCTATATAGATAGTTCGTATTTAACCTAAGTTACTAACCCGCCGAAAGGTCAAACCTTAGAGTAGTTACTTACCCGACCTATCGCTTAGAACTTACTCGTCTAACGAGCTCTAACCCCCTTGTACCGTAGGTATATAATAGTAATAAACATTTCTAAGAGCTAATTAAAAGCTTATATAGGTAAGTAATTAGCGTATAGCTTAGTTTACTAAGCGATAGGAGGTTACGTATTAAATATTTCTAAGAGCTAATTAAAAGCTTATATAGGTAACTAATTAGCGTATAGCTTAGTAAGACCCTATAGTTTTATTTACTATTTACTAAGCGATAGGGGTTTACGTAATGAACATTTCTAAGAGCTAATTAAAAGCTTATACGGGTAACTAATTAGCGCATAGCTTAGCAAGACCCTGTCTTTTTATTCACTAATAGAATAGTACGAGACAAGCTCGTACAATAAGCTTCGAGCCGCAGCCTGATCTTGAAGGTCGAGTAAGCAGGCAACTGATCAGGTGTTTGAGCCGCAGCCTGATCATGAAGGCCGATTAAGCAGACAGAGGAGGCCGCATAGTCTCTTGCCTTGATATGTGCCAGTACGCCCCACCCTGTCCGGTCTACGCTGGCCGCTCTTGCTGTCACATATTAGACCATACGACTGCATCTTACCTACACTTCTGCATCTTACCTACACTTCAAGTGACTACGACAGATCATTGACAACACGTCGGGCTCATGGCACCATCTACTCTAGCCGCTGAAGCTGCAGATGGCTTCGTCCACCAGCCCCTCGAGCACCCTGCGACTTCGATCCGCTTGTGTAAGTTGGAGCCTGCGGAACACCGGGACAGCGACATAGAATGCACGATATTCACGACTCCCCTGGACGGCGCACCTCCTTATGTCGCAGTCTCCTATACCTGGGGAGACGCTAGGGTGCAGCGCACCATTCAAATCAACGGCAAGGCCCTCTCAGTCGGCTACAACAGCTGGGAAGTGTTATGGCAGCTACGCCTGCATAGTGAACATGGTGCACTTTTCTGGATGGACATGCTATGTATCGACCAGACAAATGATGCTGAGAAGAGTATCCAGGTGGGTCTCATGGGCGCCATCTACAGAAACGCAACGTTTGTCTTTGCTGGCGTAGGTGCGCACGGGGAGGATAGTGAGTTCCTGGCTGAGCAGATCCACCTGTATATTGCATATATCGGACAGCGAAGGAAAGAGTCCGCGGCAGCCGAACCACGTATACTGACCCAGCCTTGTAATGTATGTGGGCCGATGCCGCCATCTACATCGCTTATGGTGTATTGCGACTCTTGCGATCTGGTGAGTTGCAAGGAACACTGGGATGACGTCTTCCGCCTGCACAAGGAAGAATCTGGCCATGGCCAGGTCGTCGAGACGGACTACACAAATCCCGGCGCCTCACCTGTACACTGTGATCGGTGCCGTCAGCCCGGGGGGAAGCAGTGGTACGAGCATGTAGGAGGCACGGGACAACTCTGCCCTAAGTGCTATCACGACAACCTGCCTCCCGCGGCTGATCATCATCAAACTTATCAACAGCGAGACCGATGGGGATTCACCCAGGGGGACGTCAAATGGTATTACAATCTGCGTCATGGTCTAGAGACTTGGTTATGGTTCACTGAACTGCGGGCTAGTGCGCACCAGCGGATCAACACTGCCCTCAAAGCCTTTTCCTTGCGCACGTACTTCACTCGCTTGTGGGTGAGTGGTCCCGGAGGTCTGCATACAGGCGACATCCAGCTTTCCGCAAAACATGCTAATCTTGGCTCCTGCCCATTTGCAGGTTGTGCAAGAAGTCGCACTTTCGCGCTATGTCATCATGGCTTGTGGGGATGAGATCTTCCCTGTGGCGGAATTCGACGCGCTGTACCGCGACTCGAACGAAGCGGTTGAATGCGTCAGTCGCGGGTTGCCGTATGGAACTAACGACAACAGGGACTGGGCCGCAATTTCTTGGTACCTGGATACGCTGCTGGTGGAATTGAGGCAGGGCACCCTGCCCAGTCTCCGTCATCAGGCATTGCCGAACTGGTCTTCACCTTCGCAGAGTGGCAATGCTTTGATGCTCGCGACAGACTGTTCGCGCTACTCGCCATGGCGGATCAATCTTCGATCAGTGGTATCACGCCAGACTATATCAAGTCTGCAGTGTCCGTGGTGATGCAACTGTTGAGACAGATATGTATCGATGGCGTCTACTTCGATATCCCTAACGAAGAGACGATTATGGAAGAACTGTTCGCGATTGTAGCATCTTTCCGTCTAGAATTCAGCCAGCACGAGATTTCGGCCTTGTTGACAGCTCGGGTCTGTCACAGACAGTCCTGTCGAGTACCTTACTCGCAGCCGGTACTCGGGGCAAAGCCTTCGGACCGGACGCAGGTGAGGATTTCGGCCCGAGTACGGACTTTCTTTCCCGTACAAGAGGATGAGAACGGCAAGCTGTGGGCGCCGCTGCACAGAACCAAGGAAGAAATAGATCCAGCTCAATGGACACTCGCAGTGCGTACCGCGTTTCGACAAGCATGCCAACGAGCAGAAGACTCCTTTTGTGGGATTCACTCTCGTGGCGAGATTCTCGCAATCGCCACCGGATCTGTGAAGTCGGGAGACATTGTGCTGTCTTTCGGGAACAATAAGAACAACTTCGGAAATCACTTCTCAGGTCTACATACACCCTGCGCGGGGCTCGTAGTCCGGCAGACAACCAGCGAGCGCTACCTCATCGTGGGCCAGATCATCTTCGACCTCGAGGTCGAACCGCTACCTGACGCACTTCTTTCGGATGCAGAACGTGGCAGAGTTACTGGCCCCAGCTACGCACCCGATGTTGTGTGGGAGGTACACTTCGATCCAGAGGACCTGATGCTCTTCATTGTCCAGGATCTCGTTTACTACCAAGCGCCGCGGGCACACGACCGACCGACCATGCTTGACTGCACTGTGCGGCCCGAGTACACTGTGAAGAGACTGGAGACGAGCGTTACATCGGACACGTTCAGTTCGTATGCTACCCGCAGTAGACAGCCAGCAGCCTTGCCTGTAGAGTAGAAGTGTGGGCCTGCACCTGGTGGGCCAAGAGACGATACAGACGACCACGAACATGTCTCCGAGCCCGTGCACGCTGTTCTGTTGAAGAATCACGGTATCAACCGCGAGACTGGTCTGGTTGACACGGGCGCCAATCTCTCGGGTGCTCGAAATAATTATGCGCGACGAAGTAAGCCAAGCTGCTGGCCAAGCCATTCCGGGCGTCTATAGGCCCAATGGTGATATAGCAGCAGTGGCAGGATATCCCTAGCGTGCTAAGAGGCGACTCTACCACTGTAGGTGTCGTGGATGAGCGGAGACGCCGTTCTGCAGGAGCAGGATTATCATCATTGTCGACTGAGTTGCCGTTCCACTTTGGAGTGCATAATCATTGCAAGCTATGTATGTCATGTAGTCGGCGACCGCCAGATTTATTCCATTCAGGCGACTTCAGTGGTCGTATCGGATGAGCAAGCAGCTCTGATCGAAACGAAGGAGATCCAGGACGTCTACCGGCCGGCTTCTTCGATTCTCGAGAGTAGCGGGGTTTAGATATGATTGAAGCTCTCGTCTCGCGAAAGCCCACCGTTCAAGCTGGAGTTCTGTGCCCCGTGCGTCTGCTGTACGGTAATATCGCTCAGTGGCATGTACATACTAGATTTACAGCTTGAGTGCATGACATCCGCTCTGCCAAGATTTCACCACCCAAAGTATGTGGCCATCATCCAACCTCCTGTGAAGGGTGAGCCATCGTTCATTGCCTTTCCCTTCGACTCCGGCTGCGACAGTGGCCTCGCCACAAAAATGTCCATGCCTTCAAAATTGCAGGCCGCGACAAACGCCGCGTCCGGTGTCTTCAGCCCTTCTTATAAGGGGTAAGGCGATTTGTCGAAGAGCAGGCGGAGACCACACCGATATCTGAAGTCGCCTTCACTCCCGACCCAGAGCTTGCGTGGAAAGTTGCCCTTTTCAATAGTAATTGTGAACCACGACACTGACGATCACGAGTCTGTCTTCGTTTCGTCAATGATGCTGATCTGCCGGGCGGTGTCCTAGCAGGGCAAGCCGCTGACAGGGCATGGCGGTACGACCAGCTTGGCATTAACATGGCAGGCCACAGCCCAGCATGCGACGAGATCGACGTGTCAGCGGACCCAGAGTATGAAAGCAGCCGAGCACGATTGCGGGTTAAGAATCACTTGTATGAAGACAGAGTAGGGAATTAAATCTCGAAAAGTGCAGTATTACACATCTACTATCTGCAATCACTCCAAAGCTTGACCTTTGGTTACTGTTTCCTTGGGCTGTTGTCCTTCCGCGACCACTTCTCGAATAGACTCTTCGAGTATGCGACATCCTTCGGTCATGTCTGTCTCAGTGATGTTGAGAGCGGGTATGAAGCGTAGAGTATCATAGATCGACGTCGTGAGAATCAACATGCCCTTCTCCTTGCATTTTGCTTGGACTTTGCTACCAATGCTACCCGCAGTTCCGGGCTTGAACTCGACAGCCAGCATCAAACCCAATCCGCGAACATCGTGGATGTGCTTTCCGATTTCTTGCTCCGCCCACAGCTTGTCAAGCATGCCACGTAGTTGCTTGCTTCTGGCGGCAACATTTTCAAGGATCTTTTCTTCCTTGAAGGCTTTTGCGACAGCGACGCCGGCTGCACATGATACAGCATTTCCAGCATAGGTACCACCCATCGTCCCAGGAGGCTGAGTGTCCATAAGCTCTCTGCTGGAGACAATACCAGACAGCGGCATTCCATTCGCAATACCCTTTGCCATGATGAGAATATCGGGGCGTACATTCCAGTGCTCAATCGCGAACATTTTGCCAGTCCTACCAAAGCCCGACTGTACCTCATCTGTGACCAACAGGATATTGTGTTTGTCACAGATCTCACGGACACGTTTAAGGTAGCCTTCAGCAGCCGGCACATAGCCACCTTCGCCAAGAACTGGCTCGATGAAGATCGCAGCGGTATCCGAAGGGGCCGATTCGCGCTTGAGCAGCAGCTCGAGCTGTGTGATCGGATCCATGCAGCAGTTCGAGGAGCTGTAGTTTTGGCTGCTATGCTGAGCGATTGAGCACTGGGCACAGTATGGGAAAGGCACAGAGAAGATGCCAGGCAGAAGTGGGTTGAAGCCTTGACTGTATACTGTCTTCGAGCGGGTCATTGACATGGTCCCGAATGTTCGACCGTGATATGAGCCTTGCATCACGATAATGTTCTGCTTCTTCGTGGCATGACGTGCAAGCTTTACAGCGGCTTCGACAGCCTCGCTACCAGAGTTCCAGAAGAAGAAGGTGTCGAGACTCGGATGAGGCATGTTGGGTATTAGGTGCTCGATGAGCTCCAGATATGGCTTTTGGAAAGCAATATTAACTTGCCCGTGGACGAGGGTGCCGACTTGGGCTTGGATCGCTTTCGTTACAGCAGGGTGACAATGGCCCAGGTTTGCCACGCCAATGCCCACCGTGAAGTCGAGGTATCGTTTCCCGCCGACCATGGTAACATGACTGCCAGAACCTGACTCGATGACCTCGCTTGAGAGTCGTCCAATGCCCTTGGCGACATGGCGGACGCCAAATTGCGAGAGTCGCGTCGCTGCTGCTGCCATGTTCGAGGGTTTGACGCAGGCTTGCGTGCAGAAGTTGGTTCCTCCGAAAGCGTCAGACAGCAGTCTTGAAGGAATGAGTCTGTGGAGGCAGACCACAGTCGATCAAGTCTCTGGTAGATGGACAAGAGCTTGGCAAGCTTGTTTGAAGCTCCGCTGTTGATCATCGCAACGACCTTCCGCATCTAGCGTGCATCCATTTGATGACGTAACAGCGTGGAGCCATCGCACATTCACATTGGTCTTGTCCATACCTTACATTTCAGCCTTTCACAATGATATACTGATTGAGAGCTGGCTATGTAGCTTTTCCCAGTATGGGCCTCAGAGCCGATCGCACCAGGATCAACGCTCCCCACAGAACTCACCTACGTTTGACACGTAAACGCGAAGGCGTGCTTGGCACAGGTGCTCTTTTTGTTTGTTATATAAAAGCACAAGTATCACTTGTGTGTCTGTCGCTGCCAATTCAGAGTCCCTGAAGGTACGACTTCCGCGTACGATCAACGCATCTCTAACATACATATCCCATACTTCCCATATCCTTTCAAGTTCGTCCCAGACCAATACTTAAAAATTAAAGGCGAGCAGCAGGCTTTGAAAGATTCGTTTCCGTTCTTACGAGGTATGAGATCATGCTTGGGCATGAACCTGGTATGGAGTGAGATGCAGTGGACATTCACTTACTTGACCGGCTCATCCGACATGTAGTCTCTCGAGACTTGTCTCTCGGATATCACTGTCGTGCCTGGGTTATTTCTCGATCGTTCAGGGAGGACAGCAAGAGATCCATGGTCAGGCTTAAGGGAGAACTTCGACGGGCACGACCATCATCAAGGTCTGACTATAATTATACAATAAACATAGCTTGGCGTTTCTTAGCATAACAATCATTTATCCGTCATGTTCGAGAAATGCCGCATATACCGAAACAATTCCTTTCCCGGCCCTGACTATCCATATAACAAATGCGGTCGCCTGTCCGGATCTAAGAAGAAGTGGTTGCATTGGAGTAATACAATGCCATTAGGCGTGAGCCTCCACATCCCTGCGTGGTATCACCGGTACATGCAACATGACAGTTTTGGAGAGCGTACGACGAAACTGCCTGGTACCCGCCATTAACGATCGCTTTGCCGCAGAAGCATTGCTTCGACCACTCGACTCCAGCGTAGCTATATCCGGCGGTATAGCATGTGCTGACACAGCTTGCTGGCGTGAGAGTAGCGGAGTCAGGTTGCTGGACTGACAAGATTCGGCCATTGGTGAGGTCGGCCCAGCAGCCTTGGTATGTGTAGCCATCTGGCAGCCCAGAAGTGACCATCGTTGGTGTCGCGGATGTAGACTGTGTTGCCGTAGGAGTCGCTGTAGCAGATGATGCCGATGTCGATGTGTTTGCCGGCGGGGCGATGGCGAACGAGTATAGATTGATTGCATTAGCACCACCGCAGTACTCACTACCGTTGCCATAACACGGCATGTTGCATGCACTCTGGTCTTCTGCAACAGCGCCAGTGGATGTGCTGTTGCCGCAGTAACACTCGCCACTGTACTCGACTCCAGCTAGCGTGTAGCCTGCGCTCCCGCACGTATCGACGCAAAGCTGGACAGTCAATGATGATGCTCCTCTTGGGGTTGCCACACCATTGCTAAGTGTACGACTGCCGACCTGATCAGTGTAGCAGCCTTGAGAGGTCCAGCCGTCGACGCCAGCATTGACACTGATTGGAGTAGACGCGGGAGCTGCTTGGCCGTCCCAATAGAGTGACAACGCATTTGGTCCTCCACAGGTTTCAGTGTCGTCGCCAGTGCAGGTCATGTAACAAGCCAAGTCGCTAAGCGGAGACGTGATTGAGTTAAGGTAGTCGCCACAGTACTAAGGGACGGTCAGATGCTCATCGTCTGGCAGAGCTATTATATCGATGGTGCGACTCACGCATTCTCCACTATATTCAGTTCCTGCATATCTGTACCCGGCGCATCGGCTTTGGCATTTGACGTTCGTCACGTTTGTGCCTGCATCACCAAGAGCGGCAAGAGTGCGGTTGTGTCGATTATCGCTGCGGCACAGTTGCATGAGTCTACAGCGTTACGCATCGTCCTCGTTACTACATACCTCCAACAGCCTTGAGGCGCCCATTGCGCTGCTGCATCAGTAGTGTCCCGGGGCTGCTGCTTGTGATTCAAGACAGCGCCTTGAGCCAACAGCGAGCTTCCGAGCAGGCTGAGGACAAAGTGAGCCAACATGTCGCGGGTAAGGTTCTGTGTAATTGGAAACTGTGGTTGTTCAGCGATACGGGGAGGAAGACGATGTCAGTCTCTACTTTGCAAACATAGTCCACTCGGGGTGAAAGAGATGCCCAGTCCGGAGTCTCCTGCCACGGAAAGAGGCGTCCGAAGGGTTCGACATGGCTAAGCTGCCGTCTGGCCATATCTTCCACATGGTAAAAGTAGGTGCGAACCTTGCCTCGCCAAGTACCGTAGTCGCACTGTCACAGGTCGGTTGGGTGGCAGGGATCACAGGCGAACATATTCACTTCGGCAAGCATCGATACAAGATAGTAGCGACAGGCGAATGGAAGCCCCATGCACGCAGTATAGCCTGTGGAATATATGACAGCCTGTTCACGAACAATGACTGTCACGTCGTATCGAATGGACATCGCGGGTGAGGTTTGGTCGCACTCAGGTCGCTGGCTAGATATTACCGTATCCTGCCTCTCATATCGCCTGCACAACCATGCTTCGTGCCGCGTGCGGTATCGCACAAGTCGAGTCCCGACAAGCTCAACCATAGACGGCAGTAGATTTGAGAGGCGTATTGGGATGGTTTCGAAAAGCGTTAGCCAGTGAAGCGTATCAGGACAATTAGTCCGTGCTGGACCTCTTTGGGATGGGCCAGATGCAAGCCACGAAATGAGAAACCACGAGATCAGGTTCGCTTGCCAAGTTGCCATGGATTTGCGAGTTGCATAGAAAATGAAAGTTTTTGGCGGACTGTACCGAGTCCGATCGTCTGTATAATAATAGTAGGATTAAAAGATAAGCTCTGCGAAGTGATACGCGACAAATAAGCATTCGACTTATGCAGGTACACTTTATGAATGCTGTAGGTCACGTGTCCCCGTCCAGCCTCACTCACATAACAGCCCACTCTGCGATGATGACTGGGCCGAAGAGAAGACCGGTAACAATGGGCGACTACAGACACAATCAGTTCACTGACACCTACGATGGTCTCAATAGTACTGGTGTTCGTTCATCTGCCTGTCGACTAGTGACTTTACTCATGCTGTCTCGATCTGACTCGAACTCTGACTCATGCACTACACTGCTTGACTCATGGGCCTTCAGCATATATATCCACTTTCTCCCCGACTTCATCCTGCTTCTTTTCTCCTCCATCGCCCTTTGGGCATTTGGTCAATTTATAACAAAACAGAGAAGATTAGCATTTCCCCTGCACTAAGGATGAAACACGCTGTCGAAGAGAGACTCAAGTTTTTTTGCCGCGCTTCGGACCTCGCCTTCTCGTGGCGCGCGGTGTCAGTAGCTCCTGTGCGCATGCGCAGGAGTGAAGCCAAGGAGGTTCACAGGTATGTATAGTCATGGAACGAGCTTCAATCTTGATCACAATTGGTGTCTTCGTTGGCCATCGCGTGTGCCGTCCATCTGTCACCCGTGCAAGCTTGCAACTGTGAAACGTAAGTTGATTGACACACTCACGACTTGGAGTCTAGCTTCGACACCGCAGCTACGCGGCGTAGACTAGGGCTGGTGCCTCGACGCCATCTTCGTTGATGGCGTGCCAATTCAGCTGCAATTCCAGACACATCTGCCATACCTGTGGTTGTCAGCCGAGACGTCACACACCGAGACTGCCTGGATGGTACTCATCGGTCTAACGGTCCATTGCAACCGGGGCGGAGACATCGGTCTGGCCTCGCTACCGGTGGCGGTGACTGCGTTCCACTGCTATCGGATCTTGCGTATGTATAATCATTCTGCGGTGACTGGCTGTTCCGTTGCTGCTACGCCGACATGTCTACTGCAGCTGGTTCCTGAGTATAGCTCTGAGTATATTGGGCCTGATACTGGGTCCGGTCTTGCAGAGGAATGTTGTCCGAGGTAACGCTGCCTTGTGTGGTGGGGTACTGACCACCACCGTACATGCTGCCATGCCCGTGGCTTGATGGTGGTGGAGGTGGTGACGAGTTTGGATGACTGCCATATTCATGAACCCACACTCTGGTATGTATTTGGCACCTGCACCCATTTACATGCCTTTCGATGTAGAAATATCGATGGTTCGGACCCTTGTCATCCCCATCGATTTGAAGTGGAGCTGACCCCGAAGACAGCCGCCGACGCTTGCACAAGCAGATATCGTCTACGTGACCGAAGAGAAGCAACGCAGCATTCCGTGGCAATATCATGGCTATCCATCGTTAGCAAGACATATGGCATCACAACACGACTTCTTAGTCCTCAGGCGGTTCGGTTCTACTCAAGTGCGATGTCTGTTGCACCTCCAGAATCGAATTGGCACGCTGGAGAACGCGCTGCAAGCCTGGGACGACTTCGCGATCAAACAACCGCCAGAGAGGTGACTGTGGTCCAATGTCACAAGATTTTTTCACGGAGCGAACTGCGATCATACAAAGGCTGCTCCCACTACTACAGGGGTACAACGACCTTGTAGTCTCCTTTGGCCAGATCCGACAGAAACCCACTGCCCAGAAGCACCATCTCGACAACCTTAAGAACTGGTTTGTATCATACCCTGGCTCCATAGTCGACAGCGAGCGCCACTGGGAAGGCAAATTCAGCGACCTATTCCCACTTGTCGCTCGACCAAAGACACCACTCATGATGCTGCTAGAACGTATACAATGGCTTCGAATGCGCTTCTGGACGAACAAGCGTAAGAACAAAGACAATGATGCTCTGACACGCTACTGGAGCGACACCGGACTCGAGATCTTCACCACAGTCATGCAATTAGCCATCGGCGTCGGCATGCTCTTCGCGCCAGTATGGTGGCTAAACTCCGTACAGGATCACGAGAAACAGCTTGCGATCATCACAGGCTTTTCTGTTTCTTCCGTGATCTGGTGCTGGGCTGCTGCAGGCAATCGTCCCTTTGAGATCCTGGCGGCTTTCGCGGCATATATGGCTGTGCTGATGATCTATCGACAGCTTGGAACTTCTTCATGACTGAGTCAGTTAGCGAGGCAGCACTCTGGGTGCTCAAGAGAATAATCAGACCGCGGTCTTCGTTGCTATCGTGACCCGAGCGAAGCTCCAGCCTGAGCGATCCTTCGCTGACGGGTGGAGAAGGCAGGCTCCCATCTTTGCCACAGCTTAATGTGTGCCATGAGCTCGTCCACAGCTACCTCGAAACAACCCGGGCCTCGAAGACAGTGTCAAGGTCCGGAAGCCATGGCGTCCGGTCCAGCTCATGACAATGGAGACGTGGCGAATGCTTCGCCACTTCAAAGCCTCACACATAGGATGGGTAGATGGCACAAGACAACATTTCAAATGCGGACTCCAGCTGAAGCAGGTCACAAGCCGACGAGGTGTTTGCGATAGATGTAGCTCTTGCTAGGGTAGATGGAACGCTACTGACATAGCCTCTCGAGCCTCAACACAAGCAGTAGACAAAATTGGAGAAGCCTATGCCACCCTCCTACTCAACCGCCTATTCTCCCTCTGCCTCTTCTGCTTCTTCTCATCCCGTCTCCGCTTCTTCCAGCCTCGATTCAAATCACCTCTGTTTTCATAGAACCACTTCCTGAAAGCACTCTCCCCCATCTCGCCGCCCTGTGCGCCCACATGAGAAGGTGCGCCCTCACCAGCTTCATCCTCTGCCATGATGACATCGCCCATAGTTGCGGCTGCGTCCTCATCGTCTTCATCATCCTCATCATCTGGGATGGAGAAGTTGAATGTCTTGCCGATAGCGGCAGTGTCAGGTGTTGGAGCGGCAGAGCGGACGCTTCGCCATTCCATGTCTCGTTGCGTGTGAGGTGTTTGTGGTGGGTGAGTCGTACCTACTTCATCATCTTCGTCCATATTTTCATCTGCACCCGAATTGAAGAATGAGAATGAGGTGTCAATAGGACTTGGCTTTGGCTTCGAGGCACTTTCGGGTCGTGTAGCTGGTCGCTTGAAAAGTGCTTCGAGCGGGTGGACTTCTTTCGCTTCTCCAGTGAAACCATTGATCGCTTGCTGAGGCTGCGCTGGAGAGCTTGTGCGTGGCGTCCTGGGATCGTCCTCCACGTCTTGTGAGCCTGAGATATCATTCGGTTCTGCTGCTGGGTCAGACTTGGCGCCTGCTTCTGCTTCTGCCACTGCTTCTGGGGCTTCGGCTTCCGTGTTTTCTTCTTCGCCGTCACTGCTACTCGGCTCCTCAGAGGATGATGCATCCAGGTCACCCGTACTTTCACTATTGTTGTCACCTCGAACAGCCATGACATCTTGCACTGGTAGTGGTGCGGCTTTTGTACTCTTCTTCTCCCGCCTTGGTCGACTTGACCTCCTCGCTTCCTCCACAACCCCTCCACTCTCGTCCACCCAGCCCTGATCATCTACGTAATGCAGCTTGCCGTCTCTGCCCTTATCAGCCACACCCACGAGCTTGCTCGACTTCTTGCCCTCCTGCACGACTGTCTTCACCTTGGCCTTGCGCTCACTCTTCTCCTTCTTCTCCTTACCCTCCTTCTTCGATTTGTCCTTCACAGGCATAGCATTTGGTGGTATACTCGTCTTGAAGAGCATCTTCTTGTCCTTTGCATCCTTTTTGGTAGCTTTCGAGCGCTCCTCCTTGCTGCTCTTCTTCTTCTTACTCTTCGTGTCGGCACCATCCTCCGTCCAGCCTCGCTTCACATGCCTCCCACTCTCCAGGTCGTGGCCAGATAGCACGCCTTCCTCAGGCTTTCGCTTCCCCTTCCTCACTCGCTTCCTCGCCTTGCGATCATCCTCATCCTCCTCAACATCTGTCTTTCGCTTCTTCTTCTCCGGCTTCGCATCCTCAATCCGCACTTTTGAGCCTTTCAACGTCATCCCGTTCAATTTCTTCTTGAGCTTTTCGGCTTCTATAGCAGGGAGCTCAACGTAGCCAAAGCCCTTATCCGGAAAGGTTTCCACATTATGAAAGGATATATCGCTCGCCAATGGTTGCAGACTGGCCGGGATGAATCGTTCCAGTAAAGCGGAATTGAATGGCGTGATGTGCAGGCGCCTTCTTGCTGTCTTGTCGTTCGCAGCTTCGATTATATCGCTCATACTGCAATCGTATCCGCGTGGGCGATTACGCGGGCCATGGGAAGTTTGTTGCGAGAAGCAGAGCAGAAGCACAATCGCAAAATAATGTTCAAGGTTGGCTCGGCGCTTCCGAACCCTGCAGCAGCGTGCCGAACACGTGGGGAGACGTCTGTGCATGAGTCCGACTACAAGGCAGGCACAACTTCTACCTAGACATGACACAAGCGACATAGCCCAGGAACACATGCCGAAGATGGTAAGGTCACGGTGGCAATACATTCTCCTCTTTCTCTCCCTCCTCTCCCTCGCCCTAGCAGCCTGTAAGCCCATCAAACCCACACCTAATCATCCATCTATCTAACAAGCACTCCCACAGCCCCAACATCCTTCTGCAAATGCACCTGCTTCTCAAACTCCACCATAATCCCCCTAGACGACACCCGCACCGGCTCGAAATCCAAACCCGCACCCAGCACAGACGACGAACGAGCAGCCCTGCGAGGCCGAACCTGTAACGATTGTAATAAGCAGTTTTGCCTCGAATACCATCTTCCGATCTGCCAAGGAGCGACGGAGGAAGATGTCTTTACTACTTGTTTTCAACGGGATAGCACGAAAGACCAGCTGGTGGTGTTTATATTCATCTTTGCGACAGGAGGGTTATTGATATGGGCTGCGATTAGGCCGTGGGTGCAGAAGTGGAGGGATGGGGCGCAGAGTAGGCAGGCATATGTGCCTGTTAGTGAGAACGAGGGCGGTGAGGGTTGAATGGATGGGATGCAATGAAACTCCATTTAATGCATCATGCTATTCCTTTGCTCTTATGGCGAGGATACGGCGCCACCGTATGAGCCGAGATCTCCCCCTTTGTGAATCTGCCAGAAATCCACTACGAGCATAGATCTGTTTGACGAGCCAACATGACGTCTCGATCCAACCGCCACAGATCTCCCATATGCTGTTTCCCCACCCACCGCGATCCAGCTCAATCACCCTATATTACAACCACACCATAACCCCGAAGCAAAACGCCAGAAGCGTGGCGCCTGCAGCACAGACGTGCACCATACCGCTTGGAGCCATCTCACTGGATCCTGTATTCTTGCCAACATTGCTCGTGGCAGCCGGAGTAAAGCCGGGCACAAGAGCATTGTTAGTTGTTCCAGCTGCTGTATCGCTTGGCCGGGTCACATGGGTACTCGTCAACGCACTCGCACTTGTCTCTCCGCCTGTCGTACTCGCACTGGAAGTGGCTATCGGCTGTCCAGAGACCGAGAAGGTGGAGATGTCGAGGTATGAGTCTGTATCGATGCTGGTGTTGTTGATGTGCGGGTTCAGCGCCGACCAGTTGCTCATAGTGGACGACCTATTTGGCAAGAGTGGGTTGTTGATGACGGTAGCGACACTGTTGACAGCAGTCGCAAGCACAGTTCCAGGAGGAGCAGGATCGGTGATCTGCGTGGTCGACAGCACAACCGGTGTGCTAGTCACAGTCACCTCAGTAGTAAGGATCTGCAGCGCCGTGGCGACGTCATGAGAGGACGCCGTACCGTTTCCATCAGGTTCGGAGCCCTATACTTGTGTCAGTACGTGGTTGGGGAAATCCCGACTTTGCACATCACTCACTTTTGCGGCATCCACCGTCACAGTCAATGTCTCTCGAATAGTTTCGGTGGACACTGTGCGATAGGCTCGCTTGCTGATCGGGTTGTACGATGCAGTCGGCTCGCTGCAATTGCTGTAAAGGAAATTGGTATCACAAGAAGCCAAATCGCAGAACTCGGCACTGTCGCCACACATGCCTGTTGGATATTAGCTGAGCATTCCGGACATGACGAGCACCATCACATACCCTGCTTGCTGCAGCAGCTACCAAAGGACGAGGTGAGACAGGTCTGGTTGACACTCGATCCACATTTGCCGTCCTTGCTCAAGATCACCGGGATCATGGTGCCGGATGGCATTATGCTAGCGTCCGAAGCTTCGAGAGTGGTGCTGCCTCCCGCAACTGGCGACACGGTCTTGGTGAGGACTACGGTGATGCTGACTACCACCTCGCTGGCCTGCATCTTACGCATTCCTGTCGCCGCGGCTAGAGACGTCGTGTCTGTTGTCGTACTTGTGGCATCGACGGAGGAGCTTGTTGGCGGCGCTGAGGACTCGGAGCAGGGGGTTGTGCTTGCGGAGGATCCCGCGACGTCCGAGAAAATCGGACAGGAGGGAATGGTTGTCGTTACGATGGCGGTAACTGTGCTTGTACTGGTCACTTCGCTTGTTGTAGGGGTTACTGTAGCACTGACAGCGCTCAACTGGACGAGCTCGCACTCTGAACGCATGCAGTACTGCGAGGACTGGAAGATGTGCGTGCCAGAGCCGCTCTGGCAGGAACACCACACACCGTTGCCATCGTACATGAGACGTCCATCACCACATACCGACCATTGATCCGCGCCGGCTTCATCCCTGGACTTGATTGCATCGAGCATGATCTCTTGATTGTTGCCAAGAAAAGCCATGCGGCTGGTCTGGTCGAATAGCGCACCGTTGGTGAGACGCAAGGTACCGTTCAGTTGTCCAGGAGGGAACTTCTGCAAAGCAGCCTTCACATTGGCAGTGAACGTGACAGCGTCCGTTGCGCAGCTCGAAGATGCAGCAGGTTCTGTGGCGGTCAAAGCTGTGGTAGTAGTTGTGGCAGCTCCAGCCATACGCGGGAAAAGCCAACCATTCCTGGCCGCTGCTCCCGAGTACGTCCATGTAGGCACTGGCTGGTACGAGTACATGTCGGTCTCGTGCTTCGGAATGGTGGTAGAGAAAGTAACAGCCGTTGCAGCAGGATTTGTGCTCGCACCATCTGCATGGTCAGTAACCGGATCGCATTCGATATAACCAGGAAAGCTAACGCGACAGCCAGAAAGCATCGAGCATTTACCATCAGCATCGCAAGAAGGACGCGCAATAAGATCGGTAGCGGGGAGGGTTCGAGTGACGACCGTCTGGGATTGTTCGTCGTAGGAGGTCGTCGTGATGCTGGCGGCGTCGTGGCGTGGATTGATCTTGCCGAATCCTTCCTCCAATGCATCATCATCTCCTGCATCAATGAACCCTGCCGTGGTCGTACCCTCTCCAAATCCTGCATGCCCAGAACGCTTCAAGAACGCTGCCGCAACGAGACTGCCTGCAACATTGTACTTACCAGTGTCTGAAATCTGCTCGCCGGACGTACTGGAGGCCGCAACACCCAGAAACGCGGTGGCGGCGATGGTTAAAGTGCGTATCCGCATTATGTCGTGGAAGCGTGGTCGAGCTCGATGGTGACGAGATGGTCGTGGTACTGTAATGGGAACGAACGTGAGGATGAAAATGATTGTCGGGGGTTGTTAGATCGGAAGCTGGTTAGTGTTCTGCAAGTGTGAGTTATGCGCGTCGAGGACTGTAAGTTTCACGCTAGTGAAGCTTGAGCGTTTGGTATCGAGAACGGAAGGAACGAACATTGGTTGTCGCAAGCACGTGCTGCTGAGAGAGAATCTCTGTCAGTGCATATATTGTTGAACTGACGACGATTTTGGTACCATTGAGCACTACTGAACGGAAGTGGTAATCTGATATCGTTTCCTATCTTTACGCGTGGCTGTCATTCTAAGCAGGCGAAGGTGCGACGCCATAATAGCTATGGCTGGTTTTCAATAGCATTTGCAAACGCCCCATAGCTTCCCTTCCTCAACCAGTATACCTGGCTCTGGAACGTTTTGGCCTGCGTGTAATTTACGAAGCCTTGGAGCAACCACTGCAAGCGCACTTGCCGGGCTCGCAAGGGCACTTGCCATCAGCACCACCACAGTTGCACTTCGTCCTCTCCTTGCCATCAACATCGACCTTCTCCATCTCAGCCTCCTCCGCTGTTGGCTTGGTGCCTGAAGTAGACTGGGGGTTGTTGCCGGTCTTGAGCGCCGCAAGATGCTTGGCCTCGTTGTGCACATCCAAAACCTGCTTCTGGCCCTGCTCGTAAAATACGCGCAGCTTCTGGCCAGTCGGTGTGCCAGCAGCCTTCTCGAAGTAGGATGTCAACCCACGCCAGCCAGCATCAGCACGAGCAGAGATGCCGTACTGCTTGTCGACGGCCTGTGCGCGCTCGGAAGCCTTGGTCTTCTGATCGAACTGGTTCAGAGCAGTCATGAAGCGATTGCTGATGCCGTGCTGCTGGTCGGCGGCGATGGCACGCTGGACGACTTGATCGCTCATGACGTATCCGTGTGCGAGATACTCGGCCATGATACGCGAGCGGGGCTTATCCTCCTGGGCAAGATCCTCGTTGTCGTCAGATGAGCTACCAGTGGCCTTGCTGGCCCCAGACATTTGACCAAGCGAAGCAGCGGAAGAGACATGGACCTGGTTCGGCCCGAGCTGGGTGTTGTCAAGGAGGAGAGCAGTCTTGGCGGCGGTCTCTTTCTCGAACGTGACGGTTGCCGATTGGGGTGCGCTGGAGGAGTCGTTCTCGGGAGTGACTGAAAGGGACTGGATCTTGCCGCTATAACGTGTTAGTGTTGTGACCGGTCCTCCATCAAGGTTAGAGAGCTTACCAAAAGCTGAAGAAATCGCGGACCTCTTTCTCGCTGGTCGATCCGCTGATCCCCTTGACATGAACGGTGCTGGACATCCTTGCGATATTGGTTCTTGGAGGTTCTGGTTTGGTATTGAGTTTTTGGGTTCTGCGTTTGGTAGGAAAATGCAGATGTTTGTAACAGGGAAAAGCTGCGTTGTCGACACGTACTTTAGGCAAGGGCATTTTGTCACATGTGCCCGCCAAACGAGAGTTTACGTCGACGTCACAGGTGGTGGGGCAAAGTGCTGCGCCACACCAACTCGCGCTTTCCAGAAGCCAGTGGCCACTACGATCTCCTCCAACCAACCATATCCACATCGTCGACTCGCGAAGAAGCAAAGGTGATCACGATGACGATGCTGTTGGATAAAAAGTGACAGACGACTTTGCTTTCCAAGGACATGAGGCTGTGGCCGTCGGAATACGAAGCTCTCGGTTCTAGATCAAAAGGTCACGAATCATTCCTACCCGGTTCTTGGAATGGTTGCGAAGCAGGATGTGCGGAGGCGATAGTGCTGATGACATGTGAAGATCGGCTGCAGCAGTCTGGCGTGATTTGTGCCAGTAACAATGCCGTGAGCAGCTCTCCTCAGCAGGACTTTGGTTTCAACGACAAGCCAGAGACACTCTGGTCGGACGACGTTGCCTATCGACAATATCAATGGACCACTAATATCGCTGGTGGTAGCAAGAAACATACAGCGGAAGGCTTCAACAGCTGGCAACAAGCCTGGATGAAAGACGTCGAAGTGGTAGTGAAAAGACTGTCCTGCCGTCTCCATTGGCTTCAGCGAATGCACGACTCCTCTTCAGTGGTCATCGACTGAGATGTACCACGACGAGCTTCATTGTACTACAGCAGCATTTCAAGTTCGATCCCGTTTCAAAGGAGAAATCCATGCTCTTCCAGACACCATGTGCGCAGTCTGGGAGGCAACTTCAGTTGCATCGTCGTTTGCATTGGAGAGATTGTTAGGTCTCCGTGAAATTGATCTGCTTCGACTGTGCTGTGCTAAACAAAATTACCGAGTCATACAGTCGGCTGCTCGGCAGTACTGAGCCGGGCGGTATACTGCGATGGACAAGCTAGCCAAATCGAAGCAAAGGCGCGCGCTACTGATCTGTAGGCAAGTGGGATGGCGACGAGATGGCTATACCGCTATGTGATGATAGGTCGTGATCGGCCGAAACACTGGAAGTACAACATCTTTTGAAGTCCGACGAAGAAGACATGATATGGATTATTCGATGATTCAACCCCGCCACATCGTCGACATGGACGCTGCCGTCCGGCACATGGGTGAACGGAACCAATAACAACATTTCATCTCTGCCGTCCCCGTTTTGAGGTCTTGGTCATCTCACCGGTTATGGCGCTTTCAAACATCAGGGGCAGAGAGCTTAGCTCCTTCCAGAACTTAGCAAAGCTCAATATGGATTAGCTTGATCCTTCAAATTTCGCGCTTGCGCAGGAACGACCAACGAGGCTGGCTATGCGACGATCCCGGTAAACGACCGACGGCGGTCCTCTTTAACCGCACATAGACTACACCGTGGTTGGACTGCTCGAAAGACTCCTCTCCGCATGGTCACCACATGCAGACGCCTCCCGTAGGCCAAGGTGACCGTGACAGAATCGAGATGAGGCGCTACTATAGCGGCCATCCTGCTTATACGCCAAGGTGAGGCACAGTTCGCTATACACCTTCGTTGTGTGCGCAACCCGTTTGCCGTCCGACTCACCCTCTCTGCTATCTGTCCTTGAAGCTCGCTGCGTCCTTTCATTCACTACACTCACTGTCATTGCTCTTGCCTTCGGGCGTCCATTCATTCGAATCAAATATTCTTAATTTCTAGTAATCATGTCTACACGATCTCTCTTGTTGGCCGCAACAGCAGCGACCACGATTTCCGCAACTTTCAGCGCAACCTCGAACACGAATGTGGTAACCTATTGGGGTTAAGGCCCATACCAACAAAACCTCGTCGAGACTTGCAAGAACCCATCCATCGACATTGTCAATATTGGATTTGTCAATGTCTTTCCGGATCAAGGACCAGGCGGCTGGCCAGGCACGAACTTTGGTAATCAGTGCTCTGGTGAGGTTTACGTGCACAATGGAGTGAACACAACGCTGCAGAAGTCATGCCCGTATATCGAACAGGACATTAAGACTTGCCAGACGACGTATGGCAAGAAGGTTTTCTTGTCGCTTGGCGGTGCAAACCCCAACAACTACTACCTCGACAGCGATACATCTGGAGAGAGCTTCGCTGATTTCCTTTGGGGCGCATTTGGTCCGGCATCTGCGAACAATGGTCAACCTCGGCCATTTGGAAGTGCTGTAGTAGATGGGTTTGACTTTGACATCGAGAGTGCAATCAACCCTGCGCCGACAGACGCGAACGGCAAGACCATCGCATACGCTACGAACGGATATGCTGCGATGATCAACCACTTCAAGAATGACCTCTACACACAAGATGTCACCAAGAGCTACTACATCTCTGGTGCACCGCAGTGCTCTCTGCCAGACGTCCACCTCACAAGCGTCATTTCAGCAGCGTGGTTCGATTTTGTGTTCATCCAGTTCTACAACACTCCCGCCTGCAGCGCTCGTGCAGGAATCAACCACCTGAATGGCCAAGGTAGCGATGATATCTCCTTCGCCTCGTGGCAACAATCCGCGTCGCTGAATCCTGCCGTCAAATACTACATCGGCCTTCCTGCGGCGAAAGCTGCATCGAGCGACGACTCCTACTATTTGACCACGCTCGAGGCGCAGAAGATCGTGAAGGAATTCGCCAACACTACATCTTTCGGTGGCGTCATGCTTTGGGAGGCCACATATGACCAGAACAACACTATCTGCGGCAGCCCGTACTCCGTGTGGATGAAAGAAATTGTCACTGCAGCTGTGCAGGGTACCACCTTCGATGCCGACACCACCAGCAAGTGTCCAGCTCTGATTGTCTCGCCCGATGGTGCTTGTGGTGGATACACTCGCCAGACATGCGCGGGCTCTACATGGGGCCAGTGCTGCAGCCAGTACGGGTACTGTGGTTCTACACCCGATTACTGTGGCACCGGCTGCAACTCTCTCGCTGGATTGTGTGGAAGTGCAGCCTCGTCCAGCTCGTCATCGACCGTGTCAACTACTTCAACAAGGAGCAGCTCTACAGTCTCTATTGTGTCGACTACATCGGCTACTTCTACCTCGACAAGAAGCTCGCGCATTTCAACATCCACAATTTCGTCCACCGTATCATCGAGCACGTCTACCAGAAGCAGTACTTCGTCCACATCCACAAGCTCGCAAAGCTCTACATTGTCCGCTACATCGACTTTCACGAGCTCTTCTGTGTCTTCAAGCAGCACAGTCTCGAGTTCAGCGTCAAGCAGCGTTTCCAGCTCGACATCGTCTCTTTCGACCTCGAGCAGCCTTTCAAGCCTCAGCACATCTTCACCTGTGAGCACATCCACCACGTCTTCTTCTGCAAACATCAGCACGAGCTCTACTTCGCTTAGCAATACACAATTCACCACATACACGACGACATGCACCGAGAACTCTACCGCTGTAACGCATACCCACTCCGCACCAATTAGCGGAACTGGTGTCACATCTGTCAGCGCCAATGCTACATCGATCAGCGGGACTGGTGTCACATCTGTGAGCGTCAACGCCACAACGACTCTGCTCTCAACCACTTCATCATCAGTCGCGAACTCGACATCTCTCAGCAATACACAGTTCACAACTTATACCACGACGTGCTCAGAGAACTCAACAGCTGTTACACATACTCACTCGGCACCGATCAGTGGCACAGGCATGACCTCCGTCAGCGTGAACGCTACTACGACTCAAGTCTTAAGCACTTCCTCGCCGATCTCTGTCGGGCCGACTAACAGCTACAATGTCACATCTTCTGGTTCGATCACTTCGTCTGCAACCTCAAGCCCTATCAGCTCTTCGACAACATCGTCCGGTGTCTCTGTAGGCCCAACCAACAGCTCTAACACTACCGCGACCATCTCTTCGTCGACCCAGTCGAGCTACAGCACATACACAACACTCTGCACCGAGACCACGAACCGAACCACATACACCACTACGCACACACACTCTGAGCCGATCAGTACTTCTGCATCGATATCGACTACGGATTCATCGAGCAGCAGCAGCGTTGGTTCTGCTACTCTGATCACCTCAAGCTCTGCTTCCACGTCTCCGACCAGCAGCTCGCCAGGTAGCACTGTTATTGTCACTGCTGTAACGACCACATTCATCACTACTTGCCCATACGGCACCATCGTGACGAGCGGAAGCGTGACGAGCACGAGCGTGGGTACAACCGTGTCCACCACGACATCAACCTACTTGACGACTGTCACGATCCCAGCCACATTCAGCAATGCCTCCATCAGCAGCGTTGTCTCTCCATCCTCTGCCGCTAATGTTTCGTCATCTGCGAGCAAGCCAAGCAGCAACTGGGGAGTCACATATACGGTGCCCGTCTCCGTGACGACCGCAACGCTCGTCCAGTCCAGCCTCCCGGCTTTCTTCAGCAGCTTGGGCGCAGCGAAGCAGTCCTCGCTCAGCGTCAGCGCTGCCACATCTACTCCCGCTCAAGGAACTTTCACCAACACCATCTACACTACTCTTACAACCACAATTACGAGCTGTCCAGGCGGCTGTGAGCACCCGACCGGTGCTCCAGTCACACAGACTTTGACGACTGTGATGTATCTGACTACTGCCGTCCTGCCAACTCCTACCAGTTCTGCTGGGGGTGCGCAGTCTTCCGCTGCCGGCAATGGTCCTGCACCGTATGGTGGTCAATCCGGCGCGCCTGCCTCCAGTGCCTCTACACAAGGTGCCGTCGGTCAGAGCTCTGCCGCTCCTGCATCATATGGAGGTGCATCGACTTCCTCCAGTCCTGCTGCCGGTGTCCTAGCTTCGTCCAGCCCAGCTGGCGGCGTGTCGACTTCCTCGAGCTCTGCCGCTGGTGTTTCGGCATCCAGCGCAGCAGCCTCGTCGGTAGCAGCCACTCAGTACTCTTCTCCGGCCGCACCGGCTCAGTACTCTTCTCCAGCTGCCCCAGCTCAGTACTCTTCTGCAACCGCATCAGCCGTCTCCGCGCCCGCTAGCTCGCCAATAGGCGCCGTCCCGGCTTATTCCGGCGCAGAAAATGCTGCAACTCTGACAGCCAGCTCGACCTCAATACTCTACGAGACAATTGTCGTACGACCAACCCACTCAAGCATGACCGGCGCACAGCCCACCGGTGCTCAACTACCACCATACCCAGTTGGACCCGTAGGCAGCAGCAATGGTACCGCAAAGGCGACTGCGTCCGCACCATCTGCTGCCAGTTCAGGCATACCCCAGCGCTCTAGTTACCCGACAGTGACACCTTACACTGGTGGAGCTGCATCAAACGCGGTCAGCATGTTCGCCTTGGTCGCGGCGATCGTTGTCGCTGTCATGGCATTGTAGGAGGACGATCCTTTTGTACAATTGTGTGTAATACCCATGTAGTTTCATAGCATGATTTCGATTGTCAGCTGCAAGTCGCTCAAGTTTTGGTACATGGGCTACATCAATCACTGTCCTCCGCATCGTCGCTGGGCAATCGTCGCGGGAACCATCCGTAGGCTGCGAAGTCGATGCTGCGTTCACCCAGACTGCCGTGCTCGACCTCGACATTCTCTTGATTCAAGGCAGCTTCTTGGCGTGCTGTGCCGCCGTCCCTGCTAGAGTCAGTAACGGCCGTAGAGTCAATACTGTTGGCGAAGGTATACCTTGGACTTATAACGCCCTTCGCGTTGACCACTCGTTGCCACGGGACCGTGTCGCTGTTGTATCGAGCATCAGGCTGATCCTCTGCGCGTGGTAGATGTTTGAGACAGATTCCGACTTGACGTGGTCGTTCAGCTTGTACTCGTTAGCGCTAGGAAGACTGTATTGTCGCAATGGCAGTCATACGATAGCCTAGTAATGTAGCTATATGTCCGTAGGAGGTGACCTTGCCATGTGGGACTTCTTGAACGGCCTTGTAGACGGCGCTGAACCACGCTGCTGCCTCTTCGGAGCGCGGCATAATGTGACTTCTATTGCATAATTCCGAGATGCTTGAGATGATTGGCATATGTTGAAGTGAGTATGACTGTCATTTAAGCTCAAGCTTAAGCTTCCGGTGACAAATCGGGCACGAGTCATGCTCCAGCGTTCAACGCCAGAGATGAAGTGCTCTCACATGTGAACGCTACTTGATACAACCTCATAAGCCAGAATGGTATTATCAGACTACCTCGCCAGCAAGTATCTATCTGCAGACCAGAAGCCAGCGAAAAAGCGCAAGCGAAAGGAAGCAAAGGGGGAAGGACTCACGATCGCCGAGGACGATGCAAACGACTGGACGCGGCCAAAAGGCGAAGAAGATGACGATGATGCGCCGGTTGTGGTCGGCAACACCTTATCTGGAGGTCTAAACAAGCCCATGAAAAAGACCAATTGGGTCAAAGTGGGTGTAGCAGCGCCCAAGGATGCAGATCAAGCAGCAGCAGATGCGATTCTGGCCGATGCTCAAGCAGAGTCGGCGCAGCGAGCACAAGACGATGACGATGCTCCGGCTGTGGTAGAGGAGGAGGAGGGACCTACGATGGCTTCTGGGGCCATGGCTGGGCTACAAAGTGCAGGGCAAGTGACCACGTCACTGAAGAGGAAAGAGAGGCAGGAGCGTAAGGCTATGCAGGATGCTGGGCTGGATCCGACAGGCAAGGCGCAGGATACGATATATCGTGATGCGTCTGGTCGTATCATCAATGTTGCCATGAAAAGGGCAGAGCTTCGAGCCAGGGCTGAAGAAGAGGACCGGAAGCAGGCAGAAGAGCTCGAGGCAAGAAAGGGCGATGTACAGAGACGAGAGAAAGAAGAGCGGAAACGTGATCTCGAGGATGCGAAAGTCATGGGTGTGGCAAGATACGCAGACGACGAGAAGCTGAATTCTGAGCTGAGAGAGCGGGAAAGGTGGAATGATCCTATGGCTCAGCTGCTAGCGACAAAAACGACAACGAGTAAGGGTGGCAAGAGTAAGAGTAGCGGAAAGAGCTATCAAGGTGCTTTCGAGCCGAATCGATATGGGATACGGCCTGGCTGGAGATGGGATGGTGTGGATCGCGGTAATGGGTTTGAGAGGAAGTGGTTTGCTGCTCGCAACAAGGCTAAGGATCGGGCTGATTTGGAGTATCACTGGCAGATGGACGAATGAACGAGTACCTTCGGGCATTTATATCAAGTTTGACAGGTCACAGCGTGCTCTGCACCTGGAGACAGGCTTCCAGCATGAAGCACTAATGTGACACGAAATGTTCTCCCAAAGGATCAAATGCTCATCAAGGCAATACACGCATTCCGCTCCACATGAGAGGCCGCTTAGACTTGTCATCCGGACCGTATGACAGTATCATGTCGGACATATTGTGTCCCAGAAAGCACAATCGTGCTTACGACTCGGCGGGGACATTCAGCAAGCGTGTAGCAGCTACGACATCATGGTACGGAGATGCTCAAACCTCAAGATCATCAGCCATCCATTCCTGCTTGATGCTCTCGCTACTGCTTATGAGCATGCTTGGCATGTACCAGGACTCCAGAGATATTGTAAAGGTGCAGTTCGTGATCACAATTGCAACAGGTGAGTCTACACAGGACAATATACATGTTACGACGAGGATATCCAGGAAAGCTCTCGTCAATGTTGTTCATGCGACGACTCCTTCTTGCTTCAGAGCCTCAATATCCGCACCGCTCATGCCGAGCATTTCTGACAACACTTCCTGTGTGTGCTGGCCAAGAGTTGGTGGCGCAGATCGGATGCTTGGCTTCGACTCGGAGTATTTGACTGGCGGACTGAGCAGCTTCAGAGGCCCGCAGGATGGATGGTCGACTTCTGTCACCATGCCTCGTGCTTTGGCTACCGAGCTTTAGTAAGAACTCGGGAAAGGGGAGGAATCAGAATACTCACTATGCTCATGCTCCAGCGTAGCCTTGACATCATTGATAGCAGCATACGGCATCCCGCTCCCCTCCAGAATCTCCAGCCATTCCTGCGTCGTCTTCGTTCTCGTCACGCCCTCGACCAATTCCTCCATCACATCTCGATTCTTCACACGATCAGCGTTAGTCAAGAATCTCGGGTCCTTGACCCACTCGGGTTTCCCAAGCTTGTCGCACATGACACCGTATAATCTATCGTTGCCACCACCAAGCATGACATCTCCGTCCTTGGTCTTGAAGCCCTTGTATGGCACTATCGAGGGATGAGCAGTGCCCCAACGTCCGGAGTCAGGTTTGCCGCTGATGAGACATGAACTTGCTATATTTGCCAAGGAAGCGATTTGGCAATCTGCTAGACAGACGTCGAGATGTTGACCTCGGCCTGTTTTGGCTCGGCTGAGTAGGGACGCCATGATTGAGTTGGAGGTGTAAAGGCCTGTGGTCAGATCTGTGATTGCAACGCCGACTTTGGCTGGTGGGCCGTCGCGGTGGCCAGTAATATGCATGAGGCCCATCTCGCTATGTCGGCATTAGCCTTATGACGAAGTATAGACGCTATACCTGACGTACGCTTCGACCATGACATCGTAGCCTGCTCGACTACTGTACGGTCCTGTTTGACCATAGCCTGTTATGCTGGCATAAATCAAACCTGGATTGACCTTCGCCACGCTTTCGTAGTCCATGCCATATTTCTTCAGAGCACCGGGTAGGTAGTTCTCGACGAGAATATCGCAGTCTTTGGCAAGCTTGTGTAGGATCTCGACGCCACTTTTGTGTTGGAAGGAGAGACCTAGGGACTTCTTATTGCGATTGACCTGAGGGACGATAAGTGACTGATCCTCATTATGACGACCTTTGTACATACGCTCAGGAAGTAAGCACTTTCGCCGGAGCCTTGCTTACCGCTGTCGTCAGTGTAGGTGGCGTATGGAGGTCCCCATGCTCGGGTGTCGTCGCCTCGGATGGGATGTTCGATCTTGATTACTTCGGCTCTGTCGAAGCATGAGTATAGGTCGAGTCAGAGGTCATACAACGAGTCGACCGTACAGGGTTCATCAATCGTACCCAAGGTCACCTAGCATCTGTGTGCAATATGGCTAACCAATAGTCAGCATATGCTGTGTAGATAGCTGCAAATCAATATCCTACTCCGGCAAGCACTCTCGTCATGTCCAAAACTCGGATACCTGCTAGAGGTAGCAAGGTATCAGTTGCTCCGTTCGCGGTCGTTGCGAGACATCGTCTGGTAGATGTTCCATGATTCAATGCTCGAGACGACAATGTGGAACGGAGTGATCGATTGAGTGGCCGTGTGAGAGACATTGTGAAAAAGGGCTGTCGCGACGTAGCTATGCCAGACACCTACAATAGCCCGGGAAGTCCTGAAAATGCTTAGTGAACCATTGGCATGACTGATATTCGTCTCTTGGAGTCTTGTTCGGATCGTCTACCATCGCCTCGGCACTCTCGGCACTTCGTCGCCGATCTTCGGCCTTTGGAACTGATGAACACCAGATGGAACGTTATAATTACACCTGCATTCCGATCCATCGAAGTTGCGAGTGACAATGTTTACCGGCATTGTCGAGACAATAGGCAGTATGTCTCTGTGCCCGCCACCATGATGAAAGATGCTGAGGCTGACGCCAGCAAGCCGTCTCCCATCTCGTCAAGCACGATGAATCATCAAGTGGCGGAGGAGGCACTTCCTTGACAATATCGAACTGCTCTGAGATACTCAGCGACGCACATCTGGGCGACAGTATCAGCATCAATGGAACATGCTTGACTGTTACCGAGTTCAATAAGGATGAGTTCAAGGTCGGTGTTGCGCCAGAGACGCTTCGAAGAACGAATCTGGGATCGTTGAAGGAGGCTAGTGGGGTCAATCTTGAGAGGGCTGTAAGAGCTGATACGCGGATGGGAGGACATTTCGTTCAGGGGCATGTCGATACTATTGCTACGATCGCCAAGACGACTCAGGATGGGAATGCCATCACCTTCCGATTCCAGCCGCGAGACAAGAGTGTGCTTCATTATATTGTTGAGAAGGGATATGTGACACTTGATGGAGCATCACTGACTATTACGGCTGTCCATGACGAGGAGGGTTGGTGGGAGGTTATGCTCATTGCCTATACGCAGGAGAAGGTTGTCATGGGCAAGAAGAAGGAGGGTGAGAATGTGAATGTAGAGGTTGATCAGATCGGCAAGTACGTGGAGAAGAGCGTGGCGTCGTACTTTGAGGGTGCTAGTGGTAGTGGCGGTGCTATGTTGGAAAAGATGGTGCAGAGGATTGTGGACGCCAGGATGAAGGGATAGTAGTACGTCGTGGGTCTCAATTATCAGATGAATGACCAACGGAAGTGAATTCGCGTCGATCCCTCGTCCCTGCGCCTGAGCTTATCTCAATTGCAGGTCTGTTACTCGCCCTGATTCGTGCCTTCCATCTGCAACTGGTCACATGATCATGGGATCAGCCACGCTGCACAAGTGCTATGCATTGCGTTCACGTCCGAGCTTGCACGAAACGCACATCATCGCAACCCATTGAACGTAAACAGATATACCAGAGGTATCAAATCGCAGCGCTCTTCGCCCCCATACGCACCCATTATTGACGGTGAACAGATTCCAAGCCATGGCATCTGCCATGCAAAGCGTTCTCGCCACGCCGGAGCTCCTCGAGCAGATCTTTATCCACCTCACAGCAAGACAACTGTTCGTCATCACACGTGTCAACAAGAGCTTCCAAGACAACATAAATTCATCCCCTACAATTCAGAGGATGCTTCGCTTGCTTTACTGCGTCGACGCGACAGCTCATGATAGCTGCGCAAATGATGATCTCAAAGATGAAGACCTCTGAGCCGAGTGCCCAATTCCTTTCGTTGCGAGCCTGGAGTGGAGCGGGAGGGTTCGAACCCCCCAACATCGAGTCTTGTCCTTCGTGATCGAGTTCTACTACGCCGATCAAGAAATCATAGACTTGCCCCAACACTGCCCTCATCACCAGAATCGAACTCACGACGCCTCCTGGCAGAAGATCCTCATCTGCCGCACCGCCATCCCAAGTACGATCATAGCCACGGTAGATATGTGCGGCGTGGGTTAGACGGCTTTCCCAACCCTTGGTGGGAGGAGTACATCGAGGCTACTGCCACATTCGAGCCAGAAGAAGCCACCCTGGGCAACTTGATGGAGGCGCTACATTCTATCTACAAGCGTACGTTGAGTGAGCATAAGGACAACTATCATGCGTATTAAGACTCTAAGAAAGCGGCCACCGCCCTCACTGCCGCATGAGCAGCGCACTTAGTGGCAAGGAGGAGTCAGAAACGGATCAAGTCGTGTAAACAGGGCTTGGGCGCAGCGGTTGATATAAAGCGGAACAAAGGCGCAACGCTATGGTACTGCAGGTGGAGGATGATCAGTGGCAGCGATGGCTAGGACCCAAGTTTCCGTGAGCACCGGCCTTACGGATCCGCCGAGTTTGTGGTATCGATTGATACGATGCTTTACATTACTCATCACATATCTCACAAATCCTTCTTACCCTCCTCAACCCCACTCGAAACCGCATCAACACCACCATCCTCCTTCTTACCCAAAGCCCGATCAACCCACCCCTCACCCCTGAAACTACTTAAAGCCTTCCTAACCATCGCACCCCTCACAGCATCCGCCCTTCTCTCATAAACCACGTTCAACAGCGCCAGACTCGCCACAAACAGCAACACATCCCCCTGCCTAACACCCTTCCACCAACCCCTTTTCTTACCAACCTTGTACAGACTATCGATCGACAATCGCGCGCTATACAGGAAATTACTTCTCTCCCCCCTCCTCGCCACGAAAGCGAAAAGGCCGCCTAGGAATCCTCCTAAGAACCAGCGTTGAGTGGGTAGAACGTTCCGTGGGAGCGTATTGGAGAAGAAACATACGCTCGCCCAGCTTGTCCCTATCGCGCCCGTGATGAAGACTGACATCCGGAGTATGCGCCGGGAGATGCGGTTAAGAAATGGCGCCGGAGCTTTCAGAAAGCTCTTGTATGCCAGTAAGGCGAAAGCGCCATACACCAATGCGAAGAAACGGGCGACGGTGGGAAAAGAAGTAGCCCAGTATTTAAGATATGTCCTTGTGCAGCTCGGATCTGACGGGTGGAGGAGTGCGCAGGATGTGTGTTTTATTCCTGGATGCGCTGGCGCCGTTATCGGACTCACTTTCGCCAGCGCCGGGCCAGAAGGGAGAGTCTGCTTGGTACTTGGGAACAAAATGGGAGAGATGAAAGGCGGCCAGCGGAGTTTGCTGAGCTCGGCCAAGCCGTCCACGATATCGAACGTTCCGGGCCAGGGCTTGCCATCTTTCGGGTACGACTTCGGTCGGAGTTGAATGTATTCTGGTGAGCGTTGGAGGATGAAGCGACCGTAGCTCTCGGGGAAGCATTCGCGGTCGAAGACGAAGGCGTGGAGGAGTTGGCCGCACGCGAAGGGCATGATGAGCCAGCTTCCGAACCACCAGGGTCGGAGCGGCTTGCCGTCCTCGTCTTTACGCCACAAGGGGCCGCCGTCCTCGAGGGCGTTGTAGCCGAATTCTAGACTGCGGGTGAAGACGTATATAGCTATCGTCATTCGCAATTGATCTGCAGGTGCTATACCCAGGAAAAGTCCAGCTAGCGAAGCACCGATCGCAGGCGTATACTGTGAAGTAAGCAGTTTCGCAACACCAGGATTCCGTTCCCTAAACGGTCCCGCCCCATCTTCCAGTAAACTCGTCCTCAGTTGTCGGAAGAAACGACCAAGCAAGCGATGAAACAACAGAATCGTCGAGAAGCTCAATGCGATCCTCGCGTTGGCATGCCTATACACACTCCCCTCCACAGCTCCAGCAACCTTCTTCGCTCCGCCCCCTCGTCTCGAAGCAAGTTTCTCGATCACAACTTCCCACCCTTTGAGCCCCACATAAGCACCCACGAATACGCGTAGAGCTGCTCGAAGGGCAGCAACATTATAGTCTCCGTTCTCCGAACTTGCCCTTGTGATCTTCTCGTAGCGTTTCGGGTCCGGTGTCTGTTTTTGTACCCGTTGTGGCGTGCGTGAGATGAGGTATTGGTGCAGGAGTTCGTACTCGCGGGGGCTGAGGGAGTAGCGGAGGGCGGTGCGGGTTATTGGGTCGATGGGACGGTTGGAGAGACGACTACTTGCGGATGAGCTGGAAGGTTTGCGATCGGAGGACGACATTGTGTTGAGTTCGTGGTATCACGATGTAAGAGGTGTGGTGGTGATGTGGGCTGGGAGTGTTTATCTGACCGAGGTCTGTTTGTCGCGTACTGCCTTTTCGGGAATAGCGCAATCTTCACGTGCAACGACTTCTCCTGTCTCAATCTGCAGCAGGTAGACACGTCCTCTGAAGATCGAGTCGCCCATACGGACAGAGGTCTTCTACTACTATCTCAGCACAATATGACAGTACATGCCGATCCATATCGTGGCCCTCTACCCACTACTACCTCGTCGCGAAAGCCTCGTACCCCTCCAGCATCTCAGCCGTCGTGCCCTTTCTGACCGCTCGAAAAGCCTCCTCAAAGTCTTGCCCGCCGATAGCTATCCGCGAAGACTCGGTTGCCACATCATGCTTGAAGCCGCTCATCTTCGCCATATTGCAGATCCTCACAATCTCCGCGCCTGAATACCCCTCAGTATCAGCCGCCAACTTCTCAATATCCACTCCCTCAGCAACTCGCAACCCAATCTTCAGAATCTCCTTTCGGGCTTCGATATTCGGGAGTCCGATATAGATGTGTGAGTCGAAGCGTCCGGGACGCAGAAGCGCCGGATCGAGAACCTCAGGCTTATTCGTCGCGGCTAGCACAAGCACATTTTTCGTCTCCTCGAAGCCATCCATTTCGTTCAGTAGTGTTGTCAAGACATTGAGACCTTTCGTACCACCAGCATCCCTCTCAGCACCAATAGCGTCGATTTCGTCGAAGAAGATGACACAAGGGGCCGCCTGTCGTGCCTTGCCGAACAGCTCTCGGATAGCTTTCTCGGACTCACCAACGTACATGCTGATTAGTTCAGCGCCTTTGATGGCGATAAAGTTGAGATTATAGGTCGTGGCGACTGCCTGTGCGGTCATCGTCTTGGAGCAACCTGGTGGACCATAGAGCAACACTCCTTTGGAGGGCCTGAGGTCGTATCTGGCGAACTGCTCGGGGTGCTGGAGTGGCAACCCCAGAGTGTCGTCGAACTGCTGTTTGATGGCATCGGAGCCACCGATATTCGACCACTTCACTTTCGGTTTTTCGAAGAAGACCTCGCGGAGGGCACTCGGATGCACAGTAGCCCGCGCGAGGTCAAAGTCCTCCTCTGTCAAGGCGGGTGGCTGCATTTCCAGTAAAGATGTGTCGACTTGCGTCGTATCTTCACTGTAGATCGACGAGGCCATGTGCCCGTTTCCATTCGTGGCATTCCCGTTGCGCAGCTCATCGCGTAGGCCAATAGGGAGGATGCCAGATAGATGAAAGTCCACTCGGTCCTCGGCGAATTCGTGCGCTCGAGAGACCAGCATATCAAGATCGCCACCAGTAAAGCCATGTGTTTTTGAGCTGATGAGCTCTGCCAGGCCCTCAGACTCGTCCACCAGCATTGTGCGAAGAATGGCGGTGCGAGCTAGCATATCGGGTATGCGCAGCTCGATGTTGAAGGCGAACATACCGGCACGAAGCAGGACATTGTCGATGCTAAGAGTCGAGCGTGCTGCCGCAAGAACAAATACTCTTGCTCCACGAATCTTCTTGAATTGTCTGACCAGCACAGAAGTCAGAGTACTGTTCTCCTTTGGCATAAGCTTGTCGAGTTTGTCGATCGTTATAATGCTTGGCTGAGCTCTCAATGCATCATCGAAAGTCTGCTCGATGAAGGTGATAGCTTTCGTGGGTGTGCTCAAGTCATCCTCTCGTATCGTGTGAATACTTGCTCCTGGCGTGCGCTCAACAGCTTCGATCAGCATACTCTTTCCTGTTCCCTCGTACCCGTGCAGTAGTGTGTGGCGTGCATCATGTGCATGGCGTGACTTTGAAACGACATGGGACGACCTGTTAAGCACACGATCCATGCGTTTGTTAAGCAGCTTGATCTCGTCAACAAGGCCTCCGATCGCACCAATATCGAGCACTGGGAAGGAATCGCCCAGGGCCAGTGAGGGCGTGTCAAATCTAGTGCTTTCGTCTCCGATGACGACTTTGGTCATGCCGTCGCAGTAGAATAGACCACTCGTTCCGGATGCACTATTGCCTTGAACATGGTCGACGTAGAAACGCCTTCTAAGCTTCTTCTTCGCCGAAAGATCGAAGGTGGTACCTGCGGCAATAGCCTCGCAGTCCGTGAGATAGCTATCTGCTCTCTTCAGCCAGGCAAGGTCGTCCGTGTCGTCAGGAGTGCGCCAGTCAGGTGGCGTGATGTCCGTCAGGGTGAGACTCGCGGCAGGCATTATGCTGGCTGCAGACTTGGAGATGGCGACATGAGATCCCTCCTGAAAGCCAAAGGCAGCTTGTGCGGTACTCGTCAGCTTGACGGGTCGTAGTTTGGGGCTCGTGCCCATCTTGTCGGTGGCTCGCCAAGCAATGCCATATCCTGTGCCACCTTTCTCGCCAGTGATTTGGCAGACATCTACTCCTGACTGGAGGCCTAGTCTATCGAGACTATCCGGTGATAAGTGAAAGCGGAAGGCGCCATCGAGGCCTGCGCCAGGGAGGGGGCGGATGACAAACGAGGTTGGATCGTTTGCCATGTGGATGCTGAGTCTCCCGTTAGGAGGGTTCATTCTTAAGGGGTGAAAGCACACCATGTTGAGTTGGAGGAGCTTACGAGGTGACAGAATTCTCTATATATGCTTGGAGGTGGTAGAAGTGGAAGTGACCTTCTTCACATATGCGTATCAGATGTGGAAGGAGCGACGGAGTGTGATCTCTTATTATGCACTTGATCGCAGTAGAGATATCAAACAGCGCATGGGCAACTCGAGCATGAGCAGCATGGCTAGTAATGGCAGCACGTCGTTTCGTGACTGGTGATGACACCCCCGCGATAACAATACAAGAGCAGGTTCTTCTGAGGACTAGCGACCATGTCAATATTCCTGATTGGCTACGCGTAACCATCACGCTAGTGGAGGAGCAAAAAAGATTGGCGCTAACAATCTACCTCGGACTAACAGCTATATATTGATGAATAAGAATACAAACACGAGTATGAGGCATCGATTGACCATCCCTTGATGCCCACAGCGCTTGTCGTCCGACGGCGCTTTCTTAGTCCGCCATGGTCGAGCCTTAGTCGCATACACAGCCGCTGCCAGAGCAGCACCTCCAACAGCAATGACCGAAGGAACATCAGGCCGAAGCAACGGAGATCTGAGCACGAGAGAGATGGTGGCACCAAATCGAAGGGAGGCGCAGAGCCGAAGAAGAAGCCTTCGTTAATGGAACAGCTCTTTCCAGAAGAGACGAAGAAACATGACGAGGCAGAACAGAACGCGACTCGTGAGATACCGCGACTGCCTCTTGAGAAGCCAGCTACAACGATCAGGCGTCAAAGGAGCTTTTCACCCTTGTCGGGCGAGTCGACCGTCTCTTCCGGAACGGCGCGCGGACGTCACCTTGAGACAAGATATCGGCAGCAAGATGATCAAGGAGAGCAGCCGACCGTCCTCGTCCTCCGTAATGCCAGCAAGAATCTGCTAGAAGAGGACTTCAGAAGAATCGTGCCGCAAGGCCAGCATATGGAAGGATGGACGCTAGAGCAAGGTGATATTCTTAAGATCGTACCTGGTCGAAATCTGGCGACGCTTGAGCAGGAGAACTTCTACTACCTGCTCTTCTCAAACAAGCTCAGCGCCTTCACATACCAAGGTCACGCGACACGAATATCACGCATGGCAGCCTCTCAAACACCCAGCTCGCTATCTTCACCTCTTGCGCCACCTCCAGGCTACATGATCGACGGCATAGATGCCCACGCAGCCATTGAGTCCTTCTCCCTAGTCCCAGCATTGCAGCAAATGGAGCTCCGACAACTCCAACCACCTCTCACGCCAATGATGGAAACGATAGTCCGCCATCAAGGCTACAAAGCACTAGTCCGCCGACCGGACAAGGTGCCCTTCGAAGTCCGTCTTACAATGGACGGGCCGCAACTCGGCCGCAGCAGCATCCGCCGGATCCTCCTTGCCACTGCCGAAGATCGTGCCCTAGGCTGGTCAGGTGGCGATGAGAAGCTGCCCAAGATCCAGGAATGGACGCCTGCCAAACAAGCCTCGCCACATGATCGCCACGGGACACGAGCTCGTGTTATGGCGGCCGCTCTGGAACGAACCGAGGAGGAGCAGATGGAGATTGATCTTGCGAAGGAGGCGCGGAAGGCGCGATCGCAATCAGCTGGTCAGAGTGTGGATATTGGGGCCGAGAGTACGAAGCAATTGGGGAGACGTACACCGGGGTTGGTGTATGTTGTCGGGTTTCATACGGAAATGGCGGCGCAGCAGTTTGTTAGGTTTTGGCATCGGAGGCCGTTGTCATGGAAGCAGGAACATGCTGCCGAGTGGGAGGACGATCTACCGCCTGTGGCTAATGCTGAGATGCTTTGGTAGAATGGCCACAGTAGATCTTGCAGATTGTGCCAATCTCACGTCTCAACCTGTCACTTCTCAAAGGGCTTCTCTCGATGGCTTTTGTTGGTATCGGGAGCATGTTCCACCCTCGTCGTGTTCGAAGCAACCACCGTCCATGCAGTAGGAGATGCTCTACTTCAAGCACTTTGGGTGGAAGCAACCCTGCGGGCTCTTCAATCGCATCTTGGCGACGGTCCTGATGCATCGGTCACAAGCACTACGGACGGGCACGTGGGTGACGCCCTGCCAGACAAGGACAACAATGCCTTGTGTGGGAGCTGTCTTTGTTCTCGGAAGTGGTATATACCTTAATCCTTGGATCCTGTGCTCGAGAGATAAACCGCGATACCCTTGCAGCTTTGATCCGACCATGTCGAACGACGACGAAATCAGCAGAGACCTGTCTGCGCTCGTGGCGAACATCAATCTCCATACGACCACTTCGTGTCTCGAGTCCGCACCCGAATTGTCTGCTGCAAACTCGATCCACACGTCCATCATGGACAACCCGCCAATCGACAAGCAAGTCCTTGGTATCAGTGACACCTCATGCTCTGCTGAGCTGCAAGTCAAAGCAAACTTGATACTGCCACCCGTGATATACTCTCTTCCGAACCTTGCTGTGCTGGCTACGGTCGCACGATACACCGCTGCGCCTGGTAGTTCCACATTGAAGTTAGTCAGGTACTGGCAGAAGAGCTCTCAAGGCTTAGTGTACAGATTGAGTCTGAACAACGAGGCAGATCTCCATCTATTCGAGGCCGCTCCCGTTTTCGAGCTGGACTCGGATCAGTTTGACCTCCTCTTAGCATGCGGTAAGCACATCGAGTGGCTGCGATTGCTGCGAGGACTAGTTTACCGCACCTCATATCGTGCTGTGTATCATGTCCGCAAGCAGCTGACGAGATTCTATGGCAACAACGGTCCTGTGTTCGAGGAGCAAGCATGGACTACTGGCTGGGCGACAGAGATGGGCAAGAGACCTGTCAACGACAAAGAAGTGCTGTAATGCAGGCCATGTTCGCCACGAGGGCTTTTGCCGAGGATAATACTGCTTGGCAGGGGCTTAACACGACAGTGACTGAAGACAGTCTCGAGCAGGAAGTCCACTCCACGACTATCTTTAGAGCACTACATGCTGCTCTACAGACGTTGGATGCTCCTACGCTCATCTGTCCACACGCCCTGAGTCCTGTAGCTCACACGAACACAAATCTGGTTCTAGAAGAGTCCGAACGCACGCTCTACGATATCGACTTTTACCAGTCGTTCACACCACGCCAGCTGTAAGATAGTCTCTCTTGTCAAGCCAACATCGTAACAGCACCGGAGAGCGTGGATCTACGTGTGCACCTCGCTAGCCTGAATCTGCAGGCACCGTGGCAACGATTTCTGGAGGCCTGGCTTACCCGAGTGGTCAATTTCGTGTTTCGTCAGAAGTGTTCGAGTGAGGGTGTTGCACACGATGGGATGCATCGACATGGGGCTGATCAGTTCTATAATTCTGCTGAGTGGGAGCAAGAAACAGATGTTGGTTGGGACGAGGAGGCGGAGGATGTTGGTCATGGTAGAGTGCTGCCTCGAGCTGTGCGAGACATTGATCAGATGTTGAATATAGCTGATCTGAATGGGTATTAAGTATACATATGCATGTCTTGAGGTATGTCTCACAGCCTGTTAGTGTCAAGAGTGCTGTTGTCTCATCCACTATACATCTTAGGAATTCATCTACTGCCACTGACCTTAGAGTGTAGCTTCCTTACAATTGGTCTCCGCACAATCATCACTTGTCACCCCTCCTCGTTATTACTCTCATATATATATGTCCGGACAACGCTAATGAATGGCTAGGCCATACCATTGACGGTCATGCCGTCTAAGCATAGCGGCCTACGACAGCAACACGGCCAGTTGCGTTACGAGGCGCTGACAGTCCTTTGGGATCGACATGACATCGACACGACTCCTCGCGCAGCTGCAGTCGTGTACAATGCTATTGTGGCTGTGACACACCACTCTTGTGTTCACTGTCGCTTCTCACAATCCAGTCGACTCACAGACAAAGAAAATACTCCACTTCAAAGCCTTTGTATCTTCCCAGCGCCAGCGTCTGCTGCTCGACTCTTGCTGTAAACACACTGCTGCCTGTATACACAAAGACTTGTGGCCATAAAAACAGGTGACCGTCACTAACAGTTGATCTTGTAGAGCAACTTCTTAATCAATAAATACCACCTTTCTCGACCATGTCGTCCTCGTCTATTCTTCGTGAACATATTCCTCTGGTGCCGATCCAGCTTTCAACCCAACGATTCATATCAGACAACTCGCAACCACAACGGTTGAGGAAATACAGCCTACACCAATCATGGACCCCGCGACCGCCAGTCTAGCAGAGCTTGCTCGCTCCCTAGGTAACGTAACCCTTGCTAAGGAGAGCGACCGGCTGGCTACTACAATCTTGAGTATGGAGTCTCCAGCCGTCGAGCTCATGCCCGAGGGAGCCGAGCTGGATGTAGAAGTGCCGAGTCTGGTGGCACAAGGGGAGCGACCTGCTCCAGACCCTCGGACTATCGGCGTCTATGACAACTCATTCTTCGTCGTGCTGCCAACCAGCGCACTCAATCCGTTCGCGGTCCAGCAGTCTCATGATGCAGTCGCCGACCTCTTCACTGTAATAGAAGCTGTAGCTAGGGAGCCCGGCAAAGGCGTACTCCAGATGGTTAGCTATTCTCACGATGACGGCAACACTGTTCAGCATCTCTTCAAGCTGACCGCACCTTCAGGAAGAACAGCCACCATCGTTCTGTCCGACGCCCAGTGGCGCAAGTTACTAAAGAAGCAGTATCGTCACCCTTGGCTGACCATGCTTAGCACTCTAGTCTATCGTCGTTCTGCCCGAAGCCATTATCATGTGCGCGGCCATCTGTACCGAGCCTTTGGCGACCATGCATTGGCAGTGGACGAGCGGGTTTGGTTGGATAGATGGGACTCGCAGCCACCACGATCTGCACGGCACTTGCTCTACGCTCGTCTACGCATCAGCAGCGAAGAGCCTAGGGACGGCAAGATCGCAGAGCTGCTGCCTTGTGGACATTACGAGAATATTCGTAAGATCCAGATCTTTGCTATGAAGAGTCCGGCATGCTCCTCTTACTCGTGCGAGCAATGTGGCTGCAGAGTTTTGCTGCCCGAGGACGACCGAGAGTTGATGCTTCGGACTGAGCGGCGGCGAACCAAGGAGCATATTCGCGTGACGGCAGAGTGGCAGGTACTTGATGATCAAGTTCTCGACCATTCCATGCAGAATCTGATGCCTGCATCCGCCCTACGCTGTGCTCTCGCTGCCGCCCTTGGGTCACTCCGTCTCCCAGCGCTCGTCTGTCCACCCGAATTGTCCTTCTTGCACTTCGCCGAGACGAGTGCTGTGTTTCACGCCTTGGATGACACGCTGAAGGACATGCAAACCATCAACGCGAGGAATGCCCAAGAGCTGTTCGAGATGCTGGTTGATTGCGTGAAGCTTGCACGCTTCGACGGCCCAGACAGTGCATTGACCTTGAGCGGTCAGTTGCTACCAGGTTGGTCCGAAGACTTGAAGAGGTGGCTGACTCGAACAGTGAACTTGCTGTCGCAGCGCAGCTGAAAGCTCCGACACCCTGATCATGTTGGCTTTCACAAGCATGGGGAGAGCTTGTATTGTGGTGTTCAGCATTCGGACGTCCTGGACCAGGCTGAAGTCTCTTGGGAATACGGCATTGAAGAGCCAGTCACATCCATGGCAGAGCTTGCAAGCATGATGTCCAATACCACCATTGACCATGATCCGACAGGCATGGACGATCTGCAGGCTCTAGTGCACCATGGAGGTGTGGACCGCTGATGGAGGGGGCATTGTTCTATAGATGTACGTGCTTTATCAGTGATTCACGCTGTAGGATTATCGCCCGCATCGTAGTCATAGAATGTCTTATAAGCCAGCAGATCTCAGAAGCATGAGTCCATTACCATGGCTAGAGTGAGCATTCTCAGCTCTTCTTCGCCGCAATTCGGTGCTTCTCATATTCTGCTAAGCCTGCTTCCACACCATGAACTAAGCTTGCCGCTCGTGAAGTGGCATCTTCACGATAGCTCAGCCGTCCAGTCTGCCACTCGAGCCAACTCTCAGCTCTCGCTCCCTCGGGCGCATCAAGTAGCCCCACGGCAACATCAATGAGATCCGGCCGCATATCCCCGTCCCAGAATATCGTCGCTCCACAAGTTCCGCAGAAGTGCCTTGTGGCTATATCAGACGAACGATAGTGTCTGAGAGTACCGAACTCTCGACTAAACGGGACTTTGCCGCCCTCATCCAGAGATATATCGATCGTGGGAACGAAGCTCCATTCCACCCACTCTATCCCTGTGGCCAGACGACAACTGTTGCAAGAGCATAGGCCAGCGAGATATTTCGTACCACCTGCTGGCAGCCACCAAGCTTCGTCCTTGGGTGGAGGTACGCCTTTGTAGTGGAAAGGAACTAGCAAGTCTGGCCACGGTGCTCTTCCGCGGGCGGATCGTGCTGAAGGCTTTGCTATATAGAATTGGACACCGTTGCATTTGCAGTGAGCATGAAGTCTATCCGTACTGGTTGGCGGCTGGGACTGACGGTGTGACGCTTGCCAGTACTGAGGCAGCTCTTCGCCTGTATAGAAACCGTGCGGCCACCTAGCTAGATCCTTTCCATTGACGGTCCGGATGAAGTCACTGAAGCCACCGTCTCCTGTATCGGAGATCCATTCATGCCCTCTCAGCTCGTATACACCTTCTGCTTGCTCCAGCGTCCCACTGAGAAGGTAGTAAGAGAGTCCAGCTTCCGAACTATCAGACGTATCTTGCATGCTGCCCAGTACGTGCGTCCCACATGTTGGACAGAAGTACTGGGTAACGTTGGTGGAGAAGTGGAATGCCTGCAGTCTCTCAAGGGTCGATTCTGCCGGACGATATGCTTCGTCTAGTAACACCACCGTCTGGCAGAGGCAGCCACTTACGTGTCGACATGAGTTGCAGTGGCAGAAGTGAGCTTTGAGTGGAAACAACGAGGTGGGAAGTGTGACTTCGTGAGCAGCGCGGCCACACAAGCAGGTGGCTTTGACCATGCGGTCGGTGGTCACCATTGCTGCAATCCGACGTCTTCGAGTCACGAGGATGAATGTCGACTTGGGAGATTCCGCGTCGAGAAGTCGTCTGCAGTTGCATGGACAGCTAGGAGCAAGGAGTCCGGTCTTTCAGAAGCTGCAGCTTACGATGCTGGCCTAGGTCGAAGGAGAGCCTGTGCTTGGTTATGTTTTCCAATTGCCCAGTGATCACGGATCCTTCATCCGTCACTGGCGCGCCGTCATTGAAATATTGCAGTGCCTGTAGGCGTGCGGACACTTGTCTCGGCAAAACAGGAGCAGCAGCGTGTAGACTCAACTCTGCTTAATAGCAGCTTTGAAATTGTGAATTTGAGGTGAATGTGATACTTCCATGCCACGACTTGTGGCCAAAGCCTAGCGTCGGGAGCGGCCGGCGCACGATCGATTCCGTCATGTCGCATGCACTTGGTGGAACAACAAGAAATCTCTCCAGCGACTGCGATCTAGAGTCGCGCTCTTTCCTCACTCGAGTCGGTCATCACCACTGTTCCCTAGCGTCTTTGATACGCAACATCATCCACGTTCACGACATCAGAAGTGATTGCACTACGTGATCTCACGTTCCATAAACCAGCCCGTCATGGGCGACCACTACTACCGCTCAGGTGGTGGTGAGCACCGCTACGAGGACTCACGATACGATGGACGACAGTACGATCCACCGCGCTACGATCGATATGAAGAGCGGGATTATGGTGGCGGGCGCGAGTACAGGGACCACAAGTACGACAGATATGCCAGAGACCATTACTACGATCGTGCGCCACCACCTCTGCCTCCTCCCCCACCACGCGCGGACGATGGCTACACATTCAGAGGTGCTGCAGAGAGGCGACCGTATCAACCACATGAGGAGTTCAGCTTTCGTGCGCCTGGCCCACGCTTCCCGCCCCAGGACAACTACTCCCAACCTTTGCCACCGCAACGTTCCCATCGAGGCAGAGGTGCTGATCGCCAGCGTGGCTATGGCGGACCGCGTGCCATCGATGTTGCACGCGAGAGGCACGCCTCTGCCCGTGGTCGTGGCCGCGGTGGCTTTCGCAGCAAAGCCGCTCATAGGCGCGAAATCCTAAATGCCTCAGGACGCGAGACCACACCAGAGCAGCTGGAGGGCATGAATCTGCATGGCGATACACGGTTCCACGAGGTCGCGTCTACTGATGACGATGTTAGCGACACGTCTGAAGTAATCGACCTCACGGAAGACGGCGATGCAGGTGACGATGGCCCACGCAAACGTACCAAGCTTGATGTTCTCGCGCCGCCCGTTGTACCTAAGTGGTCGAATCCAGACCCTTACACTGCTCTACCACCACCTGAGAGTCTTGGTGGTCCGAAGAAGGACATCGTGCAGGTGATACGCAAAGCTAAGAACGATGCCCTTGATTCTGCTCACGCGAAGAATCTTGTGCAAGAAAATGTGGACTTCATCTCATTGAATTTCGATGATGACTTCAATAATGAAGAGGTAAGTGACGATAGCGATGGCATGAACGTTGATCCAGATGATGCCTCGCGACCGTCGGCGCCAGTACATTTCAGCCATCGCCCCAGCCTTCATGCTGTCATTCCTTCAGCTCAGGCCCCACCACCCAACTCTTCCAGACGTCACCCAGCGCCTACGGACAGTCCACCCCTTTCGCCCGAGGACCTAATAATGCCGACCGAAGAAGAATTGGTGGCCCAATATCTCAGCAAGGGCTCAGACAGGAAACGCAAGCGTGACGATAGTCGTGGACGTCGCAAAGGAGACATCATCGACGACTGGAAACCAAATCGTTCGAACTCGACACCATGGTGTGTATCTGATTACTCCGATACTTCCAGCACAGCATTAAGGTAAGCAGACCCTCATAACAGCTACGAAGAATGTACTGATAAAAGATCAGACTTCATAAGGAGATCTGCGACTTCTACGATTTCGTGCGACCATTTGAGTACGAGGAGAGCGTGCGACAAGCGCTCATTACCCGCATACAGAAAGCTGTTCGCACCTCGCCGGCTCGGGGTGCCCATAATGTGGAGATCCTCTGTTTCGGCTCTTTCGCTGCTGGCTTATACCTCCCAACTGCTGACATGGACCTTGTGGCGGTGACAAAACAGTATATGAAAGGAGGATACCCCGCGTTCGGTCAGTCCAACAAGGAGATGCGCAAGGTATCAGAGCATTTGACACGGTACAACATTGCCGACTCGATTTCGATGAGAGTCATATCGAAGGCGAAGGTGCCAATTATCAAATTCGATGATTTGGAAACCGGTATTCATGTTGATGTCTCCTTCGAGAATGATTCCGGCCTTAAAGCGAACGAAACCTTCCGACGATGGAAGGCAGAGTATCCGGCGATGCCCGTGCTTGTCGTGCTAATCAAGCAGCTACTCGCCATGCGTAATTTGAACGAGGTCTACCTTGGCGGCATCGGAGGCTTCACCATCATATGCATGGTAGTCAGCATGATGCAGCTGATGCCTGAGATCCAATCAGGCGCTATGAGAGCTGAACTTCACTATGGCCAATTGTTGATGCACTTTCTTGATCTCTACGGTAATCGCTTTGACGTCCGCACAGTCGGCGTACGTATGTCGCCCCCAGGTTACTTCGACAAGATCGAGAACCCAATGCCAAGACAGAATAATGAGAGGCTTACTATCGAGGACCCCAACAACGCAGCTAATGATATCGCTGGCGGCTCGCATGAAATCAAGACAGTCCTTGACTGCTTTCGGAGCGCTCACACCGCCCTCCAGCGTCGCTTGGCCGATGTTGATGCAGAACCTGAGAGTGTTCTCAGTATCCTTGGATGTATGTGGGGCGGCAATTATACTTCCTTTATGAATCAGCGCCAGAAGCTTAGTGTGCTTCATCGCGGGCATGCAGCAACTCCGCCGCCGGCTCCTGCACCACAGTATCTCGTGCAGAACAACAAGAAAGGGAAGAATGTGTCTGCCACTTCAACAAACTCGAATGGGGTTCGTCATCATCAGCAGCAATTTACGAGACCTCTAGACGCGAACGGGAATTCCCATTCGTACCCTCTCCCGCCCAGGCCGCCAATGTCTCCTGCCACTCACGCTTTGCCCCCGAAGCCGACCACTCAAGATACAATGGCGTATGCGCAGGACAGGTACGCCCCACATCGTGCCCACCCTCCCCCGCCCCGCAACTAGCGACTACCTGTCAGCATATATGCTGACAGCCATAGCAACTCGAACTTGACTGGGAGCGCATTGCTGCCGACGCCCCGTCACAATCATGGCGGACTGGACAGTGCGCCTGGGCAGAACGGTCGAGGCGTGAGACCGCCAAGGAACACGGAGGAGGCTCTCAGAATGAGCAACGACGAAGTTGCAGCAGTCCTTCGGTGAGTCCCTACATTCGTTTGGTGCTCCAACAGGTCAAGCTAATTGAGGTACCGTCCAGTACTGGTGTCAGCCAGTATTTCAGCAAGCCACAACTCAAGAGATACAGGAAGACAGCAAAGAAGCTGAAAGTGGAGAAGTCCGCAGTCGACGTTGGTGGTCAACAATATGGCGTTGATCAAGTCTCTTCACCCAAGACATCGGAACGCAACAGGAGATCCAGAGCTGAAAGGCGCAGGAAACGAAACGAGAACAAACGGGCGACAGCCGTAACCGACGCTCCGGAAGTGCTGGAATCAGACAGAACCAAAAGATCAATGAAGACGAGAAGCATGAGTTAAATTTGAGGCTGGTGTACATGGTGATGTGGTGTTTCATGGTATTTATTGTGTTTTTGGTGCCGACAACGATACCCTGTACGACTAGATGATTTTACCTGCGGAAAGACCACGGGTGAGTCATGGCTGGCACAGCGATGGAAAAGACAATACTTGGGGAGGGTGACCATTTCGCGCCAGCTTGCGAAGGACGTGCGATCACCGCGGAACGTCCGTGGCACGTATGCGAGAGAGGAAACGTTTTACCACGATCTTTCATACTTGTCCACTGATACAGAAGGGAGCTGATCACTCATCAACACAGCAAGCGTTACCGGCGTTGGCCGAAAAATGACGATCCGTGTTGCACTGAAGGTCGGCTGACATCAGCTACGCCAATTTTGGGGTTTACGGCAGGACTGAATTGTCCTTGTGCAACCGCTCGAGCGATGCTTCATTGCGAGCTTGAGCTGGTGCAGCAACCTTGATCGACACCCTTGCTGCTGCGAAAGTGGTCGGCAGGGTCTTTTCTCATCAGCTCATTGGTCTGCATGCAGGCTGGGAGCTGGAGAGGATGGAACGATGTTGAACATTAGGTGGCAAAATGTGCTTGACATACTGCCGATCTATCCTACAGTCTCGCGCGTAGATTCGAAGAAAGCGGTATCTTCGATCAGGATAGAACGAGCTCGGTTGTACGACTGGAGCTCGACCACGACCTCCCTTCCATCAGCACAAAGCACAATTAGGAGTCCCCTCTTCGCGCGCAGAACTAGGTCTTCACAATCTTTGGGTGCTCGACACGACATTCGCCCGGGTTCACACCGCCAGCCATGAAGCAGTCCAAGCATAACCCCCACAACCTCTCCTTATGCATGTGCTTCACCAGTTCCAGGACATTAGTGAAGCGCTCTCTGATGTTCTCGCAGAACTCGCACTTGTCGCAGTCGTCGTACTCTGGAACGCGAAATTGGCGGAGGCGTGTGAGGGTAGTTGCTAAGTTGCCTTGCCTACAGTGACGACCTTAGCAAGAGATCTATGATGCAGAAGCGGGATGTACCCTCGATTCTTACCACACTGTCAAAGGCCAAATCCTCTCGTCCCTCAAAGCGCCCAGATACGTTGTTGCTCCACCCTCGTCCACGTGACACAAACTTCCCGACACTTTCCCCTCATCATCGGCGTCAGGATCCATACCAGGCGCATAGTCGACGAAGTGTTTCGCTTCCCTTGAAAAGACTGCTGAGCAAGGCTCGATCAGTAAGTCCAGATCAGCCCGCACGGCCGCGAGCTGTGCGACTCTCCGATCTTGGAGTTGCGTGGCTAGAGTGTGCAGCTGTTGATCGATGTGCTCGATTGTGCTGATGGTTGGGGTTAGGCTGGTGTGAGTGGGACTGTCGAGCACCAGACGATCGGTGAAGTGGCGGAAGTAGAGAGGCTCATTGAGAAGATATGCTGTTTGCACGGCTTTCCAAGTATCAACCACCAACTTGCCGTCAGCGCTGGCATTGAAAACACGATCCAGCCAGGGTACTGTCATGCGGCTGATTCCTGCGGCGCATTGGTACTTCACTGCCAATTGCGCCAGCTCGGCGAGTGGTTCTGCGGCTAGCTTCGCGGGCAAGAGATCGGTGCGTAAATGGAGGAGGCACATGAGGAGGTAGACAGATTCGCCGCCATCCTCGACTGAAACGGCACGGTTTATGTCTGTTAGTGCTTTGCTAGCCAGTGCCGTGAAGACTGGAGAAGCATTCGAGATCACACCGCTGCAAACATCAAGGAGTACATTCTTCGCGCCGGCAAGGTGCTGCACACGAATCATGACGCTGGTCTCGGCGGCTGCCCTGGCGATACGAACGATGTTGTCGGTGGCCATGGCAGCGGTGTTGTCCATGGTTTCGGGCGAGATAAGTGACGTGGAGCTCTTGCGAGGTTTTGATGACGGTTCGTCTTCTTATGCTGTTGTTGTTATTGTGATCGACAAGCTTGCTTCCTTCGAGTTCTTTGACATTACCGGCGTCAGCTAGAGACAAACCAATATTATATGATGTTCGTGAAAGTTCTTGCGAATTGCTGAAAGGTGTGAAGACTTCCTTGTTGTTTGTAGTTGACGTGAAGTGACGTTGCAATCAACCAGCCACTCATTTCTCTCATTCGGGCAATTCCTGAAGCAATATGATGCAGTATAGGCGATACATTTCTTACCGCACATCTCAATAACCCGCCTAAAAGGCATATGATGACCGGTTTAGCCTTGACCTTTCCTTCCAGAACTCCTCGCTCCCAAGCAAGCCTCATGTTGACCTTCCACCGCTCCCTAGCCCTCGGTGCCGCTACTTCTGAAGGTCGCACAAAGCGCCGCATATTGATGTGTCAAATCAAGAATGTGCTGCGGCAAGCTCGTCGCCTGTACTATAGAGCGGATCTTCACAGCACCTTCTTCCTCGATGAGTCGGCGCATTGTAAGCAGGAGATCAGGCGAGAACTAAGAATTGCACATGTCAGCGTGTCCGCCAGATAAGAGAAGCATGGAAGCGGACCACATACCTCAGAATACCACCTCCACTGCCAAGCGATCAACCTGATCAGACACCCGATCTCGCCCCTGCGATCTCCTGGCCTATTTCGCAAGTCGCCCATCAAGCCTCTCATAGCCTTGGGACTAAATCTCACCTCCAGACAGCCTCGCCATGCCTCGATCGCTTCGTCGCCCCTATGCAGTCGCTGCGCCAGCTCACCCAAGATCTCCCATTCCTCAGCCGTCTTCTTATAAGCAAGCTGCTGTTGTCGGTACTGTGCCGCTTCTGTGCGCCATATAGTATATATCCGCAGGTCTTCGTACAATACCATGAACAAGTTATCGAGCCAGCGTTCGCAGAGACGTTTATGTCGAAATTGCGTGTAGGCGTCGTCTTGGGTTGTGGTTGGTGGCACGGGCTGTGGTGTTTCTGCTCCAGAGCGGACTGTTATCGATGTCGTAGGTTTTGATACGGAAGGGTCGAGATAGCCTGTGGTAGCTGCCTGTGGCTCATCCGATGCTGGACTCACTATATCGGAGCCGTTTGTCGTTGCGCCAGTGCCAGATGATGATGGAGCTGGGCCAGAGTCGTCCTGATTATCGATCTCGCCATGGCCATTCGGTTGTGGCGTATCGGTCCCTCGTAATGCAGTAGTACTGGCATTACGACTCCCGGGCGCCTGTTGCTTTTCATTTCGGTACTCTTCTTCCATTACGAAGACTTGACTTCTGATCTTGAGTAACTGATCCCAGCCAATCTTCTTAGTGATCTCGGTGAGCAATATATAAGCCTTGTGAAATGTGCCTTTGTAGTTGCCTGCTGCCAGTCGTCGAAGCGTGGGGTGTACCATGTCTACATCAGGTGGCGTGGCACCCGCGTCGTCGATCTCGTCGCACATCGTTTGCGGGTCTAACGGCAGGGATACTCGTGAGGGCTCTGGTAACCGTGGCGCATCCTTGTCTTGGTATGTGAACATTGGACATGAATTCAGCGTGAGCAGAGCCAGATCCCATTGTTCTTGCGCGACATACACTTCCGCCAATCGTGCCCAGGTGCCAAACTCACTTGGTGCCGCTACTACACCACGTTTCGCAATCTCGAGCGCCAAATCTGATCTACCTTTTCGATTGCAGAATTCAGCCTGGCAGTCGAGGATCGAGTAGTCCATGGGCAGCTCTTCTACAGCCTCGTGGAGCAACTGCACCGCCTTCACCTCCTCGTCTGCCGCCAGGTACACTCGCGCAAGAAGCGAAGCAATCTCCGGATCCCTAGCCCTCAGCTTTTCGAAGAGGTTGATCCCTGATGTGAAGCGTCCGGTTGTCGTGATGTAATGCAGTAAACCGCTCGTCAGGTGATTCGACACCAAATTAGGGACCTGGATTTCCGGATCTGACCCTAGTTGCCATCCACTGAAGAATAGCTTCTCTGCCGCGTCCAAGAACTTGTGCTCCTGCTCTGTACTCGTGACAGGATTGAACCTCCTTACGCCAATGATCTTCTTGACCGTATCACCACTGCCATTGTCCGCATACGAATATGCTCTGAGCACCGAGCACAAATACGTCTCCAGCCAATGCTCCTCCGTGGCCTCCAACTTGTTGCCTCGCTCGTCCATACAGTAGCTCTCGACCGTTCCAGGTATCTGCACTTGTACGCGCATATCTACGCGGGAGAAGGCATTGTAGCAGCAGTAGAGTCCTGAGGTGATCTTGTTCTGTCTATCGTTGGGCTGGTAGACTAAGGTATTGATGTACGCTGCCAAGGATGCCGACGAGGAGGCATCGATGCCAGTCACATGATGGTACAATCCGACCTGCTTGGCACTAGACTTGCCTACAGGTTGTTTGACCAGATGAACAAGATCGGGAGGTCCTAGTTCGCGAAGGGTTTGGAGGCTGTCGGTGCGTATCTCAATAACCGAATGCGACTCATCTTCGTACAGTCTGGACAGCCACTGTTAGCACATGATATGCGCATGTACGTACATCACTATAGCTTACTCGGGCACAGATGTCTGCACGACCATCCTGTGAATGCGCTTAGGCCAATTGCTCTTGCCGTATTCGTTGACTCTTTCTGACTGTAAGATGTTGGTGAATGGAAGAGCCTTTAGATCTTGTCCTATAGGTGTCGAGGCGGTAAAGTAAGGTCGAGGCTGGTGTGAGAGCCCGATAAACAATAATGTTTCATTCGAGTTGCACAGCTGTACCTGGCCCAACTGCGCATTGATGTGCCAAGACCTCTCTCAGCTGCGGACTTCGCGTCCATGTGCCGCGTCTCCTGCCACGCGACATCCTCTTTGTGAGTGACATGTGAATGATTTGATCTCACATCACCAAACACTTGTATCTGGATATGCGTCGAACATTGATCACAATGGTGACGCGAGGACTGGCACAGGATCATCATCACCAGTAAACACCTCACTTGCTTCTCGATATTATTCCCTAGGCACTGACACTCCAATCATCGTTAACGGGCAAACATGTCCAACTGGCACGCTCTCAACATCGAGTCCGACTCCGAGTCCGACGACGAGATCGATGATACCAAGGAACTACAAATTGAGGACGCCCTGAAGCTCTACCAAAACGCGCTCAGGCTACATGCTCAGGGGCCAGCCGCCTTCGACCAGGCTGCAGAAGCTTACCGTGAACTCTTTGAGTCTGAGATCTTCAGGTACCCGGAGAGCCAGAACGAGCTACGGCGTATCGAGCTGTATGGTCCATCTACCGGATTTGAGGACAATTCATTACTGCTCAATGGACAGCAAGATGGCGTTACGTTGGGAGGAAATGCCGGCCTTGGTGCCTCGAGCAGCGGGCTGTACGAGACAGGACCGAGCACGCTCCCCCAGATCCTCCACTTGAGCCATAAGAACTATGCACAATTTCGGCTTGAACATCTCGGTACGCGCCTTGACGACTTTAATGTCTCCTTACAGCAGATCCTGACGGATGCGACCGCCGCACTGGAGCACTTTGTCCAAGCGCTAGACAAAGATGATTCGGATCTAGATCTGTGGAGGAAGTCAGCCAAGGTCGGAGGTATGCTGGGAAGCAAGCGGATAGCACGATTTTGTCTGGAGGCCGTGCTTGAAGGTGATGAAGAAGGCTTAACCAGCGCGTTAGCATTAACTGGTCTTGAAGAAAGCTTGGCAGGCGAGCAACTTGTGAATCTGGTGGAGGCGCTCAACGATCGTCTGTCTATTACTCTTGGTGGACTGCCAAGTGGCAAACGGAGGACGCTTTCGAAGGCGCTGAAGCGGCGGCTTGAGGTCTTTCGTGATGTTGCTGATTACGAAGATGAGTTGCTTCACACGGAGAAGATACCGGGCCAGGGTCTACCGCAACCTGGAAAGGTACTACTGAAGACACCTTCAACATGGGCTGAAGTTGGGGAGCTACTGCTTGCGCACTTCATGTCGGAGCAATATGGAGCTAGCAATCGTGGACCAGCTTCGGCAATTGGGTTTACGCAAGGAGAGAACTTGGGGACGATGACGGAAGCCACATTTGAAGCTGAGCACCAAATGCATCTCGAGCCTGCTAAAGCTATCGCGGACTCTGTGACTACCACGCATCTCATGCCGACGTCCATCGCTGCCCAATTTCCTGGACTGGACTCTGGCAAGCCTACCACCCAACCACAGATAGCACCTGCGGATCCTAGTATGACTCTACCCAGCGTAGCTAACTCGGTCGCTTTGCCAACTCGAAAACGCTCAGGCGACGCTGCGGGTCTCCAGGAAGGCATGGATGAAGGTCGTAGCGGACGAAGCAAACGCACGCGCCTGCGTGAGTCTATTGTCAATACTGTCGAGCATCGTGAATCTCTGGCTGGTGGGGACGCCGGAAAACAAGCGCAAATGGACGCGAACCTTAGATGGGAACATGAACAGCAATTGAATGAGGCTCAACAAGCTGATGATTGGATGTTCGAGACTGTTGGTAATCTATTCGAAAGGATCGGCGTTTTCAACTTTGATCGAGCGCGGAGAATGCGACAGGAGATCTCAGGAAGTGGTCATGAGAGCACGAACGGCATACCAAGGGAGATCCATGATTCTGGAGACTTACAGCATGCGAGAAATGACATTCGTGCGTTTCTGGATGGATACTCGGAGCCCCTGGCTCAGCTACTGCTTGTCAAAGGTAACATACCCATGGAACACGGACTCGGAGATAAGATGTGGGGTTTCAACAATGCTGGCTTGATTGCTCATGGGGGCCAAAACACGGTCCAGCAGCTGACAGCGATGCTGTCGGAAGACGGCCTGCAGGCCTTTCTCTCAGATACCAACAATGGCTGGTTCACGTTGCAGCAAACCGCGTACGACTGGCTCTGCCGACTATTAAAGCCCATGCCAGGGTCCGGTGCAAGCAACACCTATGCTGCCTATAGATGGCCGACAGAGTTAAAGACTATGATCGTGCGCACTCTGGTCACCTTCGACGAAACTGTATATGAGCGTGCGCGTCAGGACCTCAATATTTCCATTCAGCAGGAACATCACAATAGCGTAGAAGCGATTCTTCGCTCGGCAGGCGAAGTTGCGGAGATGCTAGAGTCAATTTTCGAGCTACATTTGGATATCTACACATTGATAAAGGAACCTAACAGTGGCGTGGATGCTGAGACGATAGCATCGCAAGGCGATCGATTGCAACGGTGGGCCGGACTTGCCAGGGAGGTAATGCACTTCCGTGGCTTGAGCCAAGATACGGAAGCTGTGTCAGACGAACTGAGTCTTAGATTCTTATGGGCGACGACTTTTCATCTTTTCGCTTGCTCGTCAGAAGGCTCGGTAGAAGCGGCCCGGGATGGAGGGCCTGCTCATGACGATGTCACCCAGGATCATGTATTGGAATGCATGAAAGATCTTAAGCGCGTTCTCTTGGATGCTGAGGTGGATGGCAATGAAGTGTCAATCGTGCTTAGCAACAACGCTGTCATGGGCGAATTGTCTGTGGCTGTTCTGGAAAGACAGATGGCGAAGCTGACTACACGAGGCTTCATGAACGGTCTGGCAGTGATGCAGGGAGGTGACGCTGTCGCTATCATCGAAGGCCTCGAGCCACTACTATTGAGCCTTCAGCGTGACGAGCGTGTGGTTTTGGAGGACGACGCAGATACGGACGACTCGCCTACTGTAGATGCACCTGCAGAGCTCGTCCGCTTCCTGCAGAACAGCAGCCTGTCGGTGAAGCTAGTACTCTGGAATCGACTTCGCGACGCTTACCACTCCATCGACTATCAGCCAATGGTTCTGCTCTGTCACTTTGTAATCATGCGCATGCTTATGCAGGAGCTCATATCACACTCGACGACCCAACAAGCCCAACGCGAAAGGCAGACAGCGACATTGAAGACTTTGCAGGTGTTGAAAGACACCACGGCTAAGATCCTCCACATTACTCAGACGTGTGAAAATGCCCTCGAGTGCATTGATGAGAACCAGCTGAAATGGACTATCGCCATGCTCAGCGAGGTCCTGCAACTGATACAAGTCTTCAACATCGCTGAAGACTCGGTCCGCGTAGGCCAATCTGCAGCGCCGACGCTTGCTACTGGGTTCGCAATTCCATCCTGGCCTCATGTTACAGCGACTATGCACGACTTCCAAGTGAATATCTGGATGGTTTTGTACTCCCTATTCAGCGAAGCCATCCTGCAGCACACAGACCTCTACCCAACGCCTACCGAGGACAAATTCGACTTCCTCCGCTGTGTCCACCGTAACCTTGGCCTTCGCAACATATGCGGTGCCAGTAACAGTGTTTTCATTCGAATGCTGAAGGATGAATTTGTGGGCATGACACACGTCGAAGGCTACGACAGCGAGCAAGCACAAGTCCTTTATGATCTCTATGGCCTCAACTGTTTTCTGAATCCGAGCTATGAGCTTATTGAACATCACTGTAACCATGATGCTTTTCTCGACCGCGGTGTGGCAATGCTGGCGGTCGACTTACTTCTTGTACAGGCGAGAAAGTTACCAATTAAGGAGTTGGTCAAGCGTTCATTGAAAGACACCATCGAGAAGGTTCATGGCGTTGTACCGAGGCGGAAGCCTAGCGAAGCTATAGTCCGCAACAAAGAGATATACAGGACTTTCCTGAGGTCGGGCATCAATCCGCTGGATGTTTTCAACGCACTCAAGGGAGATGGGAATGAATTACCAATCCTGGCTATACCCAAGGAAGATGCGGTCCTAGCTTCGAAAGGATGGTACTTCCTCATGGGCCACCTCTCTCTCGCCAAGTTCAAGGTCCAGAAACGCACTACTGTCACGCCAACAGAGGAACTGGACATCGCGATCGCTTTTTTCCATCAGGATCTCGAGTATAGCTCGCAAAACTGGGAGACATGGTTTAGGCTTGCTCAGGCATACGACACCAAAGTCGAAGAAGCCGTGGTATGGTCGGCCGAGAAGCTTAACAGTGGTATGCCAGAGATAGTAGCTCTGCAGAAGAGTGCAATTCATTGCTATACTATGGCGACCGCGCTAGTCCACCGCTCTGGAAACCTCCGATTCGAGACAGCAGACTTTATGACCGAGCTGTACTCCGATTTTGCCGCAAGGATCTATGCTAGCTCGAGAGAGCCATTTGGCATGTTGGTATTCGCAAACGAAGAGGAAAAGTTCTTGAGCATGCCTGTTGGCATGGGCAAGGGCAAGGCTTTCACACCACTGCGACTCTACACCGCATGGAAGTTGGCCAAAGTCTTGTGGGAGCGTGCTCTCGAGGGCAGGGAGGGCAAGTGGCTCGAGTGGTTGACGCTGGGCAAGTGTATGTGGAAGATGGTCTCAGCTAGTCCTGAAGTAAGAGGTCCCGGCAAGCACATGGTGGCACAGGAGGTGCTCGCAGTATTCATCAGAGCTATCGAGATGATACCCGACAAGCGAGACAGCAAAGAGAAGAAAGAGCCAGTCCTTGAGCCGCATTACAAGCTTGTCAGCATCGTTCACAAGATGGTTCAAAGAGGCGACTCGTCTCTTCAAGTGGCAGAAGAGGCTTTACGGCACACACCTTACGCACGACAGGATCCTTTCCCGCGGAGCCTGCAGGAGTGGCCTGGCCATATGCTCGCCATACTCAAGAGCCTTCGCAACGCTGACAAGTCGAACTGGCACCATCGCATGATTGCTCGTGCTGCACACATTGTCTACCAGCATCCTCCCGAAGGTGGTGAGCCTGGAGGACTCAATGGGGCGAATGCGGCCAAGCATGAACTTACGCAGCAGATGTTTACCAAGACCATGGTACTGCAAGTCTGGCGTCCTGAAAGTGAACGAGCTGGCCGTCACTTCGTGTACACGGCCCGATACACGCGCTTCTTCACCCGCATCCTTGAACAGCTTGCCGATAGACCCTCACTCGAAGCACTTGCCCGCCGTGTTCGAAGACGCCCGCATGAGATTTTCGAGCATGGTGTTGTGTGGCAGGAGATCTGCAACGCTTACCTACGACTCTTGCGCAAACATGGCGACCTGAGCGAGGGACTGGAGACAAGCACATTCAGCAATATCGTCCACGAAGACTTTTTGACCCGCAAAGAGCCGCTGGAGAAATGGATGCAGGGTCAGGATTGTGGCGTCTGTAAGGCATTGGATGTGTTGAGAGACGTCCAAGAATTGAAGAGGATCAATCAAGGACTGATGAAGCCTGGTGGCATTGACGACTTGATCGGTGATGCGTATGCTTTCCTCTTCGCATCTGTTGGGAAGCAATTATGGGAGGCTGAACGGAAGGTCAAGGCTGAAGAAGATGCTGCCAAGGCTGCTCTCGCTACTCAAGCCGCAGCATCAGCACCTCCAGCTATGGCTAGGAATCCTATGATGAGTCTCAATGCTCTCATGAACCTCGACGGCGCTACAGAGACGAAGCCGATCATGACACAGCCGGCGCCATTCTTTCCGCCTGCACTTCCCGTCCTGCCGTCGACTGAGGCTCCGGCCGCTGCTCAACGAAAGAAGATAGGCGTTGGACGTCGCGAAATCAGGACCTGCGCAGAAGCGTGCACGCAAAAGGCCCCAGCAGCTAGGGCGACCGCAGCCGGCACGCCCAGGGCGCATGTCGTGATTGAGAACAATCGATCGGTGTTTGCCGCTGGCGGGAATGGTCATAGTGGCAATGATGGGGATAGATCGGTGGCTGCGAGCGTCGACGGCAGTCTACATGACGATGCAGACGATGAATCCGAGCTCTCTGACTTGGAGCTGGAAGAAGTTGAGGATGATGGTGGTATAGAGGTGGGTACACCTAGGCCGATGTTTCCAGGTCTTAAGCAGAATTCGCCCACGACTCCAATCGGAGGCGGGGCCGAGGAAGGAGATGAACAAGGAGATGACGATGTCGAAATGGTCGAAACGGCGAGTCCGAGCCACCAGGTGGGTCTAGACGCTGTGATGGTATGAGGCAGGTGAGATCCATGTACTATATGATATGCCAAGACTTTTACACTACGTCTATCATTTCACATCTACCAAGCCGACGTATACCAGTGCTCCTGACAACTAGTACGAAGTGTCTAGTCCTCGTCGTCAACTTCGGCCAATTCGGCTTCTGCATAGAGATTTAGCCCATTGATCTCGCATACGGAATCATCTGAGCACAACTTACCTTTGGGAACAACTCCGCCCTTGTTCTTCTTTGCGCTTGCGGCTGGACCGCCTTTCGTTGCGGTGTCCTCGGCATCTTCGTCGTCCTTAGTCGAAGTCAGCGAATGATTGGTTATCATGGATCACAGCGCTCGTGTACATCGTCATCGCCGGCTTCTTCTTCATCATCTTCCAACTCGGCTGCATCCACCTCGCCGTCATCTTCTGCCTCTTCTTCTTCGTCATCATCTACCTCGACCGGCTGAGTCTTCTGCCTCTTGCTAGGCTTGGGCTCTGAGACAGGTGGTCAGAAACGGTCGGTCATCGCATGCTGTCATGGTGGGATGGACATACGAGCAGCAGGCGCTTTAGCAGGCTCTGCTTCTACCTCATCCTCATCTTCCTCGTCATCCTCGTCTCCCTCGCCCTCTTCGCCGTCCAGATCGCTTTCTTCATATCTAGCATTGGTCAGCCATGTGCTCGGAGCTACAATGCCTGATCCGAAAGTCACGTCGGCCATTGCACCGAATGGCGCAACCCTGCCGACGTCGGTCGCAGAGAGATCGACTTACTCCTCTTCTTCAGAACCCTCGTCGTCCTCTGGCAGTTCGACCTGGCAGCGGTGAGCAAAGTGATCAATCGATTGCAAGTCATGGAACGATGTACCAGTTCCTCCTCTGCGCCCCGTTTTGAACCTCTCGTCGTCATCCTGTCGCAAGCAACAAAGCTCTGTGTGTTGTGTAGTATCGTACGAAAAGTGCAAAGCTATATGGTGGACAGTAGACGAAGTGAGAGCGTGGAGAGCAAACGTACCAGGAACGTGGGTAGCTCAGAGCCTCGAGGGCTGGGGAGAGCTCCAGCCCGCCCTGACGTTGCGATGCGATCGTCATCACCATTGGCCCTTGCGGAGACAAGAGTCTGTGGCCTGTGGAGCCGTTTTCCCCAAAATCGCGCTACGATCACGTGACTCGAGCGAGTGCGAACTATGTGTTGACATCCAATTCAACCGTCACCTTTCCTTCCGCCTGCCAAATATTGTTTCCGTTTATCCTGTAAAGATTGTCCATACTTTCAATCCAGCATGGGCTCTATGCTCGACGAATGGATTCGCAGTGATGCCTTTGCGTTCGCTGCACAGCATCAGCCCAGCATTCCCGATTCGGACTGAGCACGACATCGGACGAACGTCTAAAAGGCTGGCTACTCGATAGCGTACAACATATACATGCTCCGCGAGCTTCCCTACGAAGTATAGCGATCATTGCGCGACGATTATGGCATACTAATGCCAGACAAGGTGGGTGCACTACCACGATGGACACCCCAGTCTCTAGGTGCCTCGTAACCATCGCCGCTGTTCCTAAACCGCTGCTGAAACAAAAGTGTCCGGCAGGCAGCTTAATGCTGGAGAGACCGTGACAGTTGCTGATCTCTCGATTTGCTCAAGATGCTGTGCCAATGCCTTGTGAGTGGAGAAGCAGGGTGCGACGCATCCTCGTCTTTTGCTCTGCTGCATTGCCACAGCTCAAAGATGTGGTCATCGGCATGCAGATTCAGGCAATCATGCCACTACAAATGGTGATCCATTATGCTACATCTGAAATTCTCGCAACCGCCTGAGGCTGCGGTACGGTATAGGCCAGCGACTGTTCAGATCATGCCAAGGGGAAAATAATTAGAGACGACACCCAGAGGAAAGACTTTCTGACAAACGTCTACGGGCGAGCACTTTCCGACAAGACGTCGTTTCAAGTTAGATGGCAAAAGACCTCACTGACAGTCCTTCACGACCTGCACGTAAGGGTCTCTGTCGGAGCTCGTCTGTTCGCCGGACTCATCTCAATAGATCCCGAACCCATCACTGAATCCGACGATACGGTAGTGGTGCACTTTGGGATGCAGCGACAGAATGTAGCAGACGAACCCTTACAACGCGAGCCTGCTCTCGACATGAGCGTGTGGGCTCCAGCTCACATATCGGCCGGCAGCATGGGAATCATCTGGCGCTATAGTGCTGATGCATTCCCCTCTCGCTCGGATTCTCAGCTTATAAAGGCAGTGATGTTAGCCACCTCAACCCACGAAAATCTTCCAATTCAGGAGCCTCTGTTTCATCCTCACGATGGCCTGATATTGTCGAAGAGGACGACACGCGAGCCAGCAGGACTCCAGACTTGTCACCAAAGTGTTCAGATCGATGTCATTCTCTAGTCTTGAGTATACTTATGAGCGCCAGAGAGCTCACTACTTCCATCTCTTCTACTGCACCAGATGGCGTCCGATCCTCACGTTCATATGCCTAGACAAGCACCACCAGCAATGCCATAAGCGCAGGTGTCGAAGCAACCATCTCGCTGCTCGCCCAGCTTAAATAGAAGGAAGAGCGGCCACCGTTCTGTGTCGATGTCACGCAAAGCTACTTGAGAATCGGAGCAAAAAGTCCATTGATAAAGCGGGCGAGCATATTCTCAGTGCTTTGACTGAAATCTCCGGCCATGGTGTATGAGCTTTGTGCCACGCAATATAGTGTTTCCTTTTGATATAGATATAACCTAGACAGACACGAATATTCGTGCGAAGGAACGACCGTTTCTCAGCGTTGTTGTCGGCCCAATCAGCGTCCGGCTTGGATGGTCGACGGAAGCTTCATGTGCTTCCGCAAGCTCGAGCAGAAGGTCCCAGAATGGAACAAGTTCCTCGTAGATGCCTCAAACCAACTAGGAACCTGGTCCGATCAGCTCGGAGCTCGCCTTGTTGGGAGATGGAAGAGTGGTTGTCTAATCTCGCTCTCTCCAGACTTTGATGACACAACTATCGCCAATGACCCAAACAGGATCAACAAGTTTGAGTTCGATGCCGGTTACAACTTCAAGTGTCCAATGGGTGCCCACATCCGCGAGGTCAATCCGCGAGGCGACCTCGGTAGGTCGACTGTCAACCAATTCCGCATCATGCGCCGTGGTATACCCTACGGAGATGAGGTAGATGCCAACCCTAGCGGGGAGCGTGGCCTGCTCTTTGTCTGCTATCAGGGCAATATCTCCACCGGCTTTCAATTCATTCAGCAGACCTGGGCTAATCAGCCTGGCTTCATCGGAAATGGTGCTGGACTAGACGCTGTGATGGGTCAGAGCAATACTGAAAAGACCGTCGACATGAAGGGCTTGTTTCCACAAGATGCCAATCGACCGCTGCCGCTGTCGGGCGTTAATCGGTTCGTGGTCGTTCGTGCGGGAGAGTACTTCTTCACGCCGTCGATGAGTGCTCTTCGGGGAGCTTTGTCGACTGTCAAAGGTGCACATCAAGGACTCTAATTTGCAGGACTTCGAATTCGTCGGCTTTTATGGAGGTAGTGTGGCTTCCTAGCCAGAACGTCATGTCAACGCTCATACTCGCAGCAATGATATCATCTGCTGCGGTTCACACGATCTTGAACACCACCTCCTCACACGCTTCCAAAAGTAATATAGGGACCTCTGTTGCCATGCCGATACGTGCGTAGGACCCGTTGGTGTCTTGATTTAGCAACAGTGCACCTGCAACTGGGTGGTCGAAAGCAATGTTCTTGTTCCGATACAATGGCAATACCCACGTATTTACTGCCAACATCCAGTGCTGACCATTGAAGACCAACTCGCTCTCGAGTCTCAGATTTTCAGCATAACTTCCGTATGGTGTATGATAGCATTGCAAGTTGATGTGGGCGAGGATCAAGTCTCGATGAACTGTGGCAATGAGTAGAGAGTGGAGACGCGTGCAGTATCTACGCATCATGAATGCAGAGGACATGCGCTGCAATTTTGCGATTTGTCACACCTTACATCTAGTTCAGGAAGATGCTTCCCATCTCCTTCATCAGTCCGCTCATACTGTCAGCAGCCTCCTGTCTCTTCGCCAGTTCCGTGATCGCCACAGCAAATAACACTGCACGCCATGTCCACTTCTTGATGAACCTCTCGAAACGCGGAGCCACTCTCATACCACGATTCCCAGCAGCGGGATGTTCTACAGGCGGTCGCATATCGGACTCTGCAATCGCAGCCAGGTGATTACGATGCTGAGATGCTAGCTCTCCCTCCTATTCAGCGACCATATCATCCCTAACTTCAGCCTTATTCGACCCGTCCATTACCGACCTGTTCACCAAAGCCCGGATAGCCACCTCAGCCATCTGAATCAATCTTCCATGCGCCTCCCTTAGAGCCATCGTCCTTGCCAAACCCTGTGCACCTCCAAACTCCCACTCAAGCCCAGCAACAGCAGCTCGAATCTCAATCGAGTCAACCAAAGACATAACACCCGGCATGACCGTCTCCGGCGCTCGCATAGAAGGCAGCGCAATTCCCAGCGCCTGCAACATCTGCGCATCTCCAATCTCAACCAAGGCATACCTATCCTCCGTACAGAAGTCGAATAGAGCCCACCAATGCTGCTCCGCCAGGAACTGTTGACGTCTACGCTTCTCGAATCCGAGCTCAATCTTCTTCCGTTCGTGCTCGGAGAAAAAGAGTGCCGAACAGCCTGGCTCATCGCATGCGAGCATCAGGACTTTTCCCTCGGTTGCGTGCCAGAGGGAAGCGATTTCGATTTGGATCTTGTGCCTGCAAGTTGGTGGCCGGACCCAGACTACAGCGTGCTCACTCAAATTTTCGAGGCTTTTGAGGCGGAGCTTGATCTCGTTGCCATCTGCATCAAGGCCACGGCGGATGAAGTGGTTGCAGAAGGTCTCCTTAGCGGTGGGGATGTACTGGTCTGGAGGTGCCCAGGCGTCGCGCCACTGCCGCTCTTCTTACTCGGAAAATGTGCTGTCGTATTTGAGGAGGCGGTCGAGGACGTGGAAGTAGGCTCGTGCACTAGCTCGCTCGAGTAAGTGCTGGAGTCATCGCATCCATGGCTCGTCCCTCGCTAATACACAAATTACGTCAAATTCGTCCTCATCAAGACAGAAACCTTTGACCTCAGTGACCTCGCCACTGCTAATCTTCCACGTGGTCGCTAGATGAATGTGATGCACAATGACACGGCCCTCGTAGTAGCCCACGATATCGAATGTCGAGCTCCCCTTGTTCGCACTAAGACGCTCAATACTCGCGATCAAACAACGCGAATGCAGATCTGGAGATACACCATGCATCGCGGGAGTAATGTTGACCGGTATACGGTGGAGGAAGTTCAGATCGTTCGGATCGGGCAAGTAAGCACGAACGTCAGGCATCTCCCTATAGCTGAGGTCTCGCGGTATCTCCAGATGAGGTTTGACATCCGGAGGAAGCAGTTCAGTGACCGGAAAGTTGAATGAGATCTCGTGTTGTTCTGGATTCTCGAGACAGTGGCCGAGAACGTTGGCGAGGGATTCGAATTCTGTGTAAGACATTGTTTGAAGCTGTTGGCAACGTATGATGGAAGATATTCTTGCTATGTGTGTGGTCCTCAAGTCCTCAGTCTTGAGACGGCGAAGAGTCTAGGTACTCGGGAGTATTTTAATGTCCGTGTGTCTCCAGTATGTATGTGCCTCCAGCTGAAGTTGAGTGAATGTATTGTTCGCTTTGTGCAAACGCAGCTATTCACGTCTTCAATTCGCATTCACACTCGAAGGATACGGCATCATCCTTCGCAGACCAGATGCTCTGAGAGGCCGACAACAGATGACATAGCATCGTGTCTATCGGTAGTGATCTTCTGTGATTCCTTGCCGCAGCGTCAGGCAATATATAAATATATATATATATATACCCAGCAGAGTGACGACTCGCAGCCCTCCTCCGCGAGGTTGCTCTCGAGTATGATCTTCCATACTTTGAGAGCCTCGTGCATGATGGCGTGTACATCAGGCAAGATATGTACTTTTGTTCTGATTGGCTTCGATGGTTCGCTTTCCTCGACTGTAAGTTCGCGAGTGATGGTGGGAAGGCCACACATGATGATGGCCGCCGCAGCACAGCTGACGAATCTGACGTCGGTAAGTTCTCGATCCACCCAGACAGCAGGCACATTGTGCTCCGTGGACAGGATAGCATGAACGAACACGGACTTATCCTTACCGCTACAACCATGCAAGCGAACTCCATGTAATCCTATCATCCCAACACCGAGCGCCTTGCATGAATCAACAAAGCAGGAACATCCTCCGGAATGGCTCTACGAGCTCTCTCCCACAGTTTGCTAGACCATAAGTCAGCACAATCACCCACGGCATACCCACCGACACAAGTATGGGAAAGACTCACAACTAACCAATCCATCCCTTCATTGACACCCCTCCCATCTATCGCCGAACAAGCCATAATACTCCAATTCCGATCCTTCAACCCACCCAACTTCAACGCCTCACTAATCTCCCCCGCCCCTTTCGCACCAGGCTGATCCTGCTTATTGGCAAAAACCAACAACGCCGCATCCCTCAACTCCTCCTCGGCCAACATCCCCTGCAGCTCCTCCGCCGCCGTCTCCAGTCTCTCCACATCCGTACTATCAATCACAAACACCACGGCCGCCGTATTGGCATAGTAACATCGCCAGTACGGTCTTATGCTTGTTTGGCCGCCGAGGTCCCAGACGGAGAAGTTGAGGTTCTTGTAGGTTACGGACTCGACGTTGAAGCCGATGGTGGGGATTGTGGTGACGACTTCGCCGATTTTGAGGCGGTAGAGGAGGGTGGTTTTGCCGGCGTTGTCGAGGCCGAGGATGAGGATGCGGATTTCTTTTTTGGCGAAAAGTAGTCTCTGGAATGTAGAGAGATAGCCGCCCATGGTGGCGGTGGTTGAGGGGCGGTGCTCCCGAGGGAGTGGGGTAGTATGGTGGTGACCAGTCTTCGGTTGTCTGTTGTATCGTTGTTTCGAGGACGCGAGAGGATGGTCTGATCTGGGGGAGTCCTGTACTATAGAATTATGTGTTCGATGGGCCCTAAAAGACTCGGGGTATCGTCTTGTTCCGTATTACGCTTTGGCCTCTATCAAATCTAAGTCGACTCCTCCTTCCAATTGTGATGCTTGTCAATCACCACCAGCTGTCGTCTCGATCAACATGTGCCTGTCTCGGTGTAGATCGGCCCGGCGGACGATGCGGCCGCAAAGCAACGCACAACTCCACCACAAGAATTCTTTGTCTGCCTTCTCTTCCTTCGCCATTTGCATGACAAGACGACAGCATGATTCACCTGCGTGGTCATGTCGACCAAAGGCTCATGAAGATGCGTTCTATATTCCGATAGCAGGGACAACGGCATGGCACGGCTGGTAGGCAACGGAGCGGCCTCAGCCATGCACATTTAAACAGGTACGTGACCCAGTATCTATCCTCCAAATACAGCACACGCACATACAACCTTCGATGATGATCAATCAACTTCAAACGATAACTTCCGAGCGCGCTCAATGAAGTCTCAAACTATATTCAAGCTCAACAATCTGATTTCAATTCACCACTCTACCTACCACTCATCTCGCCACGCGTGAATTCGGCAAGCTGGCTAATGATTTACACAGCACTTCTGATCGCCTTACTATCTAACTTCGAGAGCAACATAATCACTGTACATACGTACGAAGAACTCTCACATCCCATTGCGCACCGAGTATGAAACCCAAAGTGCCGTGGCAGCCAAGCCTGTGGCGTTCTCCCATCAGCAGTCCACTCTTTCTGTGCACCGCCACCCTTCGAGGCTTCTCCTCACGCAATCCGAGCACTCGCACCTAAGCCATGCCATCTGCTGTACGACGCTTTCCGATTGAGATCGCCGTGTCCCGCCTGACTATCTTCGCCAAAGAAGTTGCACGACTCTGCGGCTACGTAGAGGCTCTAGAAGTCCTTGCAGGCTTTTCCTGACGGTGATCCGCGGGCCTAGAGTAGATCCCACAGTACATGGAAAAGTGACCTCTACAGGCCGACGTGCGCCACCATGCCGGATCCGAAGTCGACGCTGCTATTGATCAGTATTGGTGCGCAAGGGACATGGGTGTCAGGACGCCTACCTCGATTACCTTGGCGCAAGCATAGGTCTCGGGCTCAGCACGATATGTTGGCGCCGTGGTCCTCTTGTTTGTGTTCTCGTCAGATTCGAAATTGTGCTTCCAGGCGATGTGAGATTGAGTGGTTGAGTCCCACGCAAAGCCAGCAAAATTCTTGTAGTAGCATCCAGGCTAGACGTAGATAATCCGACGAAGACCAAGTGAGGCATGCTACCAGAGCAGTGGACAGCGTATGCCGTGCCGCACTACAACCCTCCAACATATCGCGTGATTCTGCTCGTCGAACTTACCTCCCACATGCCAGAAAGTAACACCTCACTCATCATCAACAAAACTACTCGCCAGTCTTCCCAAAAACGGCACCTCGACCCGATCCAACGTCTCCGCATTCCTCCAAGCCCCATACCCCAGCCAAAGAATCAAACCTATATCCACAGCCAACAGCAAATAACTCACGACCTTCGTCCAACTGAAGATAATATGCACCATAACCATCACCGTAAACACCAAAGCACTCTGCCAAGCGTGAAAGCGCACATAATCGCTCTTGTGCTCGAACATCAACAGGACTACCCCTCCTGCGGGTGGAAGAACGAGGTAAGCGAGGAGTGCTTCGATACCGAGTGGGAGGCCGAGGGAGGTCTCGAAGATGTTTCCTGAGCCTACGTAGCTCGGTCCGCCGCCTTGCAGGGCATTGCGGCCAATGTAATCGTTTTGGAAGCGCTGGGATTCTATGTCTTGGTAGGTGCTCGGCTCGTCGTCTTCATTGTCGTCTTGGTAGCGGGACGGCGAGGGGAGGCGTTGAGCTCGCGCTGCTGCCCAGGGGTCTTCGGAGGAGGGGGCCACGGAGCTGATGTTACGGGAGATTTGGGGGATGGGTCGTTGTTGGTTTGGTTTTGGTGAAGCGGTGGGGGAGCGGAGGGGAGGTGGGGATTTGGCGCGTTCGGATTCGGGCGGGGAGGATTGGTAGGGGGCGAAGTTCATGGTGGTAGATTATAGTGTCGTCTGCGGGTGTGGTTGTGTATACTACTACTACTGTATGTATGGCACAGCACATGTCGAGGATTCGAAGCTCCAGCTCAAGCCATTCGAGGCCGAGACCCTGCATGAAGCTTCGACCAACCGAAGCCAGGCGAGATGGCTTCCTCACGTCATCGTCTATTCCGTATTCCGTCAACAACAACCAGATGGATTGGCAACACAGGCCCGCCCATAAACCGCGTTATCGCCGTCGAGACCGACTGCATACCAGCCCTAATATTGTCACCGATATGCAGAACACCAGGATAGCCCTGAACAAAGTCTCCGAACGTGCGTAGGGCAGGGTAAAGTGTATTCGCATGACTGCCGAAACACAATCTTTCGAGGTGACGCAACCGATGGCATCAACCGGCCCTGTAACCAGACGACATTATTTTGGAGGGGCAGAAATGTGGTGGTGGTGGGTCAAAGATTCAGTAGAGTGACATTTGTCCCAATGCTTCGCTATTTCCCAAGACTGTCTGTTCCTACATACAAAAACCTCACCTCCCTCTCATTAACCACCACCACTCTCAAATTCCATCAAACCCATCCCTTCCACACCACCCATTCACCCAACATGCGTGTCCTCCTCACAGGTGGCTCCGGCTTCATTGCCGCCCACGTCCTCGACATCCTGCTCGACCACGGCCACAGTGTCGTCACCACCGTCCGATCCCAAGAGAAGGCCAACAAGATCGCCTCCGCCCACAAGTCAGCTGGCAAAGACAAATTATCCTTCGCCATCGTCGAGGACATCGCGCAAGAAAACGCATTCGACGAAGCCGTGAAGTCCGACCCTCCCTTCGAAGCCGTCATCCACACAGCCAGTCCCTTCCACTTCAACGTCACAGACGTGCAGAAAGAACTCCTCGACCCAGCCATCATCGGCACAACAGGCATCCTAAAATCGATCAAGAAATCCGCTCCCAGCGTGAAGCGGGTGGTCATCACGTCCTCCTTCGCCTCCATCGTCAACCCCTTCAAAGGCAACTGGCCCGACCACGTCTACAGCGAGGAAGACTGGAACCCCATCACCCAAGAGCAGGCGGTCGAGAACCCGGCGAATGGGTATCGGGCTAGCAAGACTTTTGCCGAGAAGGCTGCGTGGGAGTTTGTGGAGAAGGAGAAGCCGAATTTCAGTATCGCTACCATGTGCCCGCCGTTGGTGTTGGGACCGATCGTGCACTACCTCAACTCGCTCGATGGGTTGAACACGAGTAATCAGAGGATAAGAGATATCTTCCAGGGCAAGGCGAAGGAGGAGATTCCTCCCACTGGTAAGTCTCCCTTACCCACCCCTTCACACTGATCCACCTTGATACTGATACAATTATCACCAGGCACCTACATCTGGGTCGACGTCCGCGACCTCGCCCTCTGCCACGTCCTCGGCATCGAGAAGGAAGAAGCGGCCAATAAACGCTTCTTCATCACCACGGGCTACTTCAGCAATAAGCAGATCGCTGAGATCATCTCCAAGCACTACCCTAAATATAAGGATCAGTTGCCGGGTGAGAAGACGCCGGGTGGGGACTACCCGGAGGGTGGGTTGTATAAGTATGATAATGAGCGGGTGCAGAAGGTGTTGGGGATCAAGTTTAGGGGGTTGGAGGAGAGTATTGTTGATACTGTTAAGAGTTTGCAGGAGGTTGGTGCTTAAGTGTCTTGATGTGCTTGGTTTGATGCGCTGAGGGGGTCAGGATAGATATACATCGACAAATCTGCAATATTGTAGCCAAGTGCGAACGCCATCATTTCAGATTCTCGGATCGCTTGCCTGGTCTGCTTCGCCTCACCGGTATGTCTTTACTTTGTGATACAGACTTGTTCTGCAACATGTTTCTCACTTCTCTGCTCGTCGACCTCACCCAAGCGGACGAGGAGTGAGTATTGAATGTGGTCCAACCGACAGAATCCACTCCTAAGTCTCTCCTAGAATGTGAAATATACTTTGTGATCCTTCACTGGCTGGGTCAGATTTTGTCCGGAACTGATGAAGTCGATGGGGCCAGCTCTGTGCTATTACTGCGGCCTCAGTGTCCTTAGCTGACTTCACTTGGAATCAGCTTTCATCGTTTCGAACATCACTAAAAGAGTTACAGGGATCAGGTATGTACGATCCCGAACCACTACACCATTGAGCCTGCTCTTCACCGACCATCAGCAGGAACAGATCCGCTGAGCCACGACTGACCCTTCTCCACTCCTTCATCGGCTCACCGAACCTACCATGGCACAGGGCACAGCGGCAAAACGCAGGCTTGAAGCGGACGCCTAGCTAGAGTCAGCAAAGAGGGCGAAGTATCGATCAGCAAAGGATCCCTGCTTACGCTTTGACTGACATTTGCACAGAATCGACTTCGAGGACACGCTTAATATTCTTGTCGGGCCTGCCAAGAAATCCTTTCAGGTGCCGAAGAACTTGCTATGTGAGCGCTCAGCCTTCTTCAAGGCAGCTTGCGGCGGGCGATGGCAGCAAGAAGGGACCGGCATCATCAGTCTCCCAGAAGACTGCCCGAATTTCTTCTCCGCCTACCTGCAGATTTTGTTCCGAAACGAAGTGACACTCTCGAGCGACGGCGGTGCGACTATTCGGGGTCTAAGCAGTGTGTACGTCTTGGCCGATAAGCTCTGTGACCTGGTGGCTGCCAATCTGGTCATGGATGCGATCGTGTTGCGTCTGAAAAGCACGCAGTGTAGGGGGGCCCCAGCTCCTGGGACGACACGCTTCATCTATGACCATACTTTGATCTATCACCCTTTACGTCGAGTGCGGGTCGAACACTGCGCCATCGTAATACGAAAGCGAGCGCAAGAGAGAGTTCTTCGGAATCGGGACACCCCTCGCGCATTCGTCGAGGATGTTGCGGTTTTCTCGACCAACTCCAATCTGCGGCGCGTGCATCGCAAGCTCAGGTTTCTAGACAGACCGAGCAGTAAGTGGCACATCACAGAAAGCAGCGGGACGAGTTCCGAGCATGGTGTTGCCAACACTATTACTTGAGGCTATCAGAAGATAGCCAAAGCATTCGGCGGACTAGCAACACCACCGGGCACATTGCAAGGCTCACTGCTCATGAAGAAACTCCACCTCCCCAAACTCTTACAGTGCTCCGCCACAGTCTCTAAATCGAACAACTCTCCAATCGGCATCCCCCATCCACCCAGCATGACCTCATGCAAAGCATACTCCTTCTGCGTCGGCCACGCCTCCCAAGAAGGATGATCACCGCCCGCCGCACTGAAATTGGTCCAGAGAAACTCCATCATCTCTTCACTCTGCTCCACGCCGGTGAAGGTAAGCGGTTGTTTAGCCCTTAGGGTTTCGATTTCAGAGCGGGAGAGTCGGTTATAGGCATCCATATACCCACTGCGAACCAACAAGATATCTCCGAACTTAATCTCCGTCCCTTGACTCTTCGCCACGGCCTTCAGATCCTCAACCGATATCGATGCCGTCGCGAACGCATCGTGTCCCCTCCCCTCCTTTACTCTCCAACTATGATAATCCAACAGCACTCCCCGTCCCACGATCCCCGCCTTACTCCACGCCCCAATCCCATTGACATTACTCTTCTCCACCCCATTTCGTCCATGAATCTGATCCAGCGTCACCCCGTTGTAGAAAACCTCCTCTTTCTGGAAACCGAAGTGACGTAGCCCATCCCATTGCGTAGAACTCTGTGTGTTGAAAGTCCAGACATCATCGTTCACGATCCGAGGCGGCTTTTGATAGACTTCTTTGTGGAAGGCTTGGCGGCCGAAGAAGGGGAGGTCGGATTGGGCGTCTAGGGGCCAGTCGAGGCCGATGCGGTGGCCGGTTTGGATTTCGCTGGAGGCGGCTTTGACGATGTCGGGGGTTAGGCGGTTGAGGGTGCCTAGTTCGTCATGTGGGCCGTACCTGGGTTTTGTGTCAGTACAGGTGGCGATGTGGTGGTTGCTATACTTCTTACAGGCCCCAGGCATTATGATGAGGACCGTTCTTGTCAAGAGGGAGGTCAGAGAACTTGGGTATCTTGTCTGCCATGATTGGTGGTGATGCGATCCGTTCTCGTCCGATGGGAGTGTCACAGAACTTGGATATCCTTGTTTGCCGTGTTTGACGGTAATTGTAGAAGTAGAAATGTATACCTACCTTTCCAAAAGCCTACAGAGCGATCATGATCGCTGCTATCATTGCCCCTCAGCAGGATGATGTTTCGTATGAGGAGTGCGGGCAGAGCTTCACCGAAGCTCTCGGATGTTCACTTGCAGATGGATGCCAAGACATTGTGAGCTAGACTCACAAGAACTACTGTGTGTATGCTATCAACATCCCCTCCACCGTACTATGCCTATGCTCATGCAACGAGATCTCACATATACAAACTAGCCGTAGCACAAATATCCCTCTTAATCAACTCCTGACAACTCTGCATCTTAGTGAAAAGCGTGGGATCCCCAATAATCCTCGCCGCATTCTTCACCTCCCTACACGTCTCATCCAACCGCGTAATAACCCTCACGATCGTCCCCTCCAACACATCCGTCAGGTCCGTGATCCGATTAAACGGCATCCCCCGTGCCCATTCATACACCACCTCCACCAATCCAAAACGTGGCCGGGAGACGAAATCGTTGCTGTCGTCCGAGGAGAGGATGACTTGATGTAGAGTCTGGTAGTGGTTCACCTTTTCAGAGATTTTGATTAAGATCTCTTGGCCGCGTTCTAAGGCGGGCGTGAGGTTGGGGATGGAATCTGTTTTCTCTTGGAAGACGAAGGAGGAGAGCAGGGCGACGATTTCTTCGGGTTCGAATTCGGCTAGGACGTTCTCAAGTACTAGCTCGGTCAGGACGAGTTCGTCGGCCGAGTGGATCTCACAGGCGACTTTGCCTTTGAGTTCGACACGGGAATTGTCGTCGATGAAGCCGAGGTCTTTGAGCACGGAGATGCGTTGCTGGTAGTCGGGTAGGAGTTGGAGGTTTTGGTCGGACATCAGTTGGCGGATGGAGTCAATGTTGTCTTTGATGACCCAGGTGTCGTGTTCCATGGCGTAATGCTTGGCGAAGTCTTTGCAGTGGATGCATTCGCATTGCTGGGCGATGTTGGCGGCTTTGGCGCGCTCGTCCATGAGTTGGCGGAGGGACATCTCCTTCAACCACTTGTAATATTCGAGCTCGTTCCATGTTGAAGATGTCCAGGAGGAGCAGCAGGCAAGCAGTTCTGTCTTCGCTTCTGTCATTGCGTCCGGCTGCTTTTGTAATACGGCGTTGACGTCGATCTTGATATGACTTGCCGTCAAAGCCTCGATATCATCGAGCCTTATCATAGCCAGTCGAAGGTCAAACTCTTTTTCGCTCTGTGGCAGGGGTACGAAGTGGCGTCTGAAGCGTGGCAGGTATGGCAAGAAATCTGCATCCTGACGATTTCGCTTCGGTTTATGCAGGACTTCAAGAACTTGCACACTAGCCGCTGATCCACCTCGGGCACCTTCACGAAGCAGCACACCCACCGTACGGACATCGTTTTGTCCCTTGAACACAATCAAGCGCTTTGGCTGGAACATGCGGCGGCCGACGGGTGTAGCGAGCATGGAGAGATGCAACTGCTTCGTGCACATATCATAATCCACACCAGCCTGATGACACCGCTCCATATCTTTGTCGCAAGTAGTGCACGGCTCACGCTTCACTTTCTCAAGATCAGCCTCGGACAATATAATCTGCTTTTCGTGTTCCGGAAGCAAAGCCTGCGTGGCATTTTCAGAGAAAGATCGCTTAATCATCTCCTCGATCTTGAGCGCTTCCACCCGAAGCAAGTTCAGGATCATATTGTACGTCAGCCTGAACTGCGAGCGCAGCTTCGTCGGGTCCCCAAGCATCATCTGTCGAAGACGAGCAGCAGGCGGCGCTTCATCAGACCCAGGACTAACGAGTATGACATAGCCGACCGTATCGAGACCTCTTCTGCCGGCTCGACCAGCCATTTGCGTGTACTCGCCTGGTAGCAGATCACGGAAGTTCTTGTTGTCGTACTTGCGGAAGCCAGAGAAGACGACGGTTCTTGTCGGCAAGTTCAACCCCATTGCAAAAGTTTCCGTGGCGAAAAGTACCTTGACCAATGTCTTTGCGAACAAGATCTCAACACATTCCTTGACGATCGGTAAAAGACCGCCGTGATGCACAGCAATACCTCTCGCTAGTAGCTCTCTGATGCGGCGAATTTGTGGCAAGGTGCGGTCGTCTGGTTTGAGACGTGCCAAAGATTTCTCCAAAATCATGTGGATAGCACTCTTCTCACTGGCAGTGCAGAAGTCGTTGTTAGCTAGAGCATCGGCATTCTCTTCGCATCGCTTCTTGGAGAAGACGAAAATACAGCATGGCAATAGCTCCTCTTTCCGTAGATGCTGGACCAAATGGACCCATATATTGCGATCCTGTGCTGCTGTCGTGCGTCCTCCGCCTCTGCCAGTACGTGCAATGTTGCCTTGACCACGAGCAGCAGGAGCACCCCGACCTCGCTGCTGCGGACCGCCTCGCTGATTAGCACCACCACGTTGCTGCCCACCACGGCCTGGCTGACCACGTCCGCCTCTGCCTCCACGACCGGCCGCCACTGCTACATCCTCCTTCTCCTTGGCTTTTGCCTCGGCTGCAATCTGCTTGTCTTTGCCAGTCATGGCATCGTTGGCATCCTTCCAGCCCTTATCAATGAAATGCTTATTCGAGTCAACAATCTTGTACATCTTCTTGTCTGCCCACAGATAATGCTCAAGCGGAACAGGTCGTTTCGGGGTTGAGATGACATAGATGTCCTTCTTCTTAGTTCGTCCGACCCATGACGCGAATTCGTGCGTGTTTGGTACTGTGGCAGACAGCAAGATCAAGGTGACGTGCTCTGGTAACATAATGATGACCTCCTCCCAGACCACACCTCGCTCCAGATCATTGACGTAGTGGACCTCATCGAAGATCACAAACTCAACGTCTCGAATAAGGTCAGCTCCACGATACAGCATGCTCCGCAAGATCTCGGTAGTCATTATGAGACAGCTAGCCTCGGGTCGTATCTGCACATCTCCAGTCAAGATACCCACGTCGTCGAACTCGTTGCGAAAGTCTCGGAACTTTTGGTTGCTCAAGGCTTTGATTGGAGAAGTGTAGATAGCTTTCGTCATATGCTTTGCAGCCAAAGCAATAGCATACTCGGCCACCACAGTCTTTCCGGCAGATGTATGCGCAGCGACGAACACAGAATCACCGTTCTCAAGGTGATATACAGCTTCCTTTTGGAATGTGTCAAGCTCGAATGGCCACGTACGTGCCATCTCCGGGACCAGTTCCTTGAAATTAGTGATATCTCGGTTGACATCGACCATGTGGGCCCACTCACGACCACCGTGCTTGTTACGCGCAATGGCGAGTGTACCGTGGGGTGCCAGAGCTGGGAACTCGATGGGCAGTAGAGCGTCGACTTCCTCTTCATCGTCCTCGTCGGCTTCCTCGGGAGTGACACCATTAACAGCTTCGTCAGTGCCATTGGCTAGTGCCTCCGGATCATCGGCCTGCTCCTCAAGAACTTTTTCGACTTCCTCCGCGGTAGCCTCGTCCTGGAGAGGTTTCTCAGGAAGCCGCAAACCACGCTTGAAACCCGGCGGCACTTCCAGGAGCCCACCTTCCGCTGCAAAGTCGATCACTCGATCAAGCTGATTGGGTCTCCCCGCCTCTTCAGCGCTACGACTTTGAGCAAGGAACTCATCTTCCGCAGCTGCAGTAGCTTCAACGGCATCCAGTCCACCTGGTGCAAAAGGATAAAAGCCAGCTGCACCTCTCACAAAATCGGCACGATTAGCAGGTTTTCGTAGAAGCGAAGTCGAGTTCTTCGCCGTAGCACTGTTAGCAGGAACAGTGACTTCCTTGTAGCCAGTCACACGGCCTTCAAGACCCTCACGAGTGAAGCGAATAATAGTTCTTGTTTGTGTTGGAGCCAAGGTGAAGAGCTCATTATAGTTGGTCGGTGCATCCCATCTCTGCTGCAGACGATCGAGCCATTCCGGACTGAATGTTGTGGATGGCGTCAAGCATTGCTTCTCGAGTTGTGCTTTGATCTCCTCAGGCGACTTGCGAATGCGTTTGCGTGGTTTGGCCTGGTCTAGCATATCATCAATGTCGCCGTCGAGCTTTGCAGATGCCACTGATAGCCTTTGAAAGGCACTAGCTAGGTCTCCTTCTACCTCCATCGTGTTCGCGCGGCCTGCTTTGGGCGAGTAGCCTTGACCTCTGCCCATGGATGCCAAACACGAAGGCGAGCGAAGAGCGTCCATCGACTTTTAATGCAAGGGTGCCTGAGGTTTACGATCTTGTGCTTCGAACACTCTTCTTCTTTCGCATCAACACTTTGCCATTGCAATTTCAGAAGAAACGTAGTTGGTTACTGTCATTCTCGAATTCTCATAACGAGGGCTGGGTGCCTTCGAGGTCCACTTATGTCCACCAAGCATAGATCCTTCCGTGAATGATCTTGTTAGAGATGCCGATGACGTAGGGAAATACCAACCATTTGACTTTCGACTTCGTTTTATAACTCTTTTTCTTTGAAGTCCAACAATGCGCAGAGCTTTACGTATTGTAAACCAAACGACCTCTCACATATTTGCCAAACACATAACCGCAGATTCAGCGAGTCTCATCCAACAAAGATGCTACTCCGATAGCGCTGGCTCCAAGCCTGCAAACCCATTCTACGGTTACTATGCCGACCTCCTCGATGCGCCATTACGGTCCATGCAATCAGCGACCCGCACGCCAGCGGCCCCACAACCATCAGTAGATGAGACGTCCATGACAGCAGACGAAGAACGTCTAGCCAAATTCCGCACAGTCTTCGGATCACGAGGTGCCAATGCCACAGAACGACAACTGCAGATTGAAGCCGGGAGTCGAACGATTGCCGGCGTAGTAGTCCCGCCAAGACCCGAAGAGCCAGAAAACTGCTGTATGAGTGGCTGTGTCAATTGCGTGTGGGATCAGTATAGGGATGAGATGGAGGAGTGGGCTTTGAAGAGTGCGGAGGCGAGGACGAACATGGCTGTGGAACGGAAAGAAGGTAACGCTACGGGCATGATGATGAAGGATAGCAGAGCGCCAGCTCATGTTGCTACGAGTATGGATGACGATGGTGGTGGTAGTGAGACTGCCTGGAGTGGTGGGCAGGATGGTGCTGCGGATCTATTTGCAGATATTCCTGTCGGCATTAGGGAGTTTATGAGGACGGAGAAGAAGCTGAAGGAACGGAGACGACGCGAGGCTGCTGAAGGTGGCTGAAACACTTCATACCGCGTCTATACTCGTGTCCATTGTGAGCGGCCTGGTTGAAAGAGATCCGATGCTCTGAGCCAAGACTGGATGCCATGCTGCAATTCAAGGTATGACTGCCTGGCCCCTCGAAGACTGTCTTGAGAGAGGGGCGGCAGGAAGCACTCGAAATGCTGCTCCTGTCGGGCTGACCATTATCGCCTTTCACCTCCATCGGCCCATCGCCTCCGCTAGATTGCGATCGAGTTGCGAGTGGAAGGCGGGCTGTCATGGAAAATCGGCGCCATGGACCGTAGACGTCGATCACGGAGAATTATATTTGTTCATCTATATACTACACCTTCTTCATAACCCCGAATCCACCTTTCGCCACTCTACAGCAGCAAAGTAAAAGCGCGCCCATCACTGTACAAATACCGCCAAACACCCAGACATAAGTGAAACTGCTCGCACCCAAGATCGCTCCACTGATCGGTGTCCCAGCCAGCATACCCATCGATGTAATCGCGAACCCCATACCCATTCTTGTCCCTATAACAGCTCGATTCTTCGTAAGCTGTACGAAGATCGTAGGTGGCAAGCTGACCAATGTGCCGCTGCAGAATCCGTATAAGACCAATATGGCGATGACAGGGCCGAGCGAGTATGCGGCAGCTAGACATAGGCATAGTATTCCTGCCAATAGAGTGCAAGGGAAGATCATGTTGAGCGGACCAACACGATCAGCCGTATATCCAGGAATGATGCGTCCGAATGTGCTTGCAGCATTGATGATCGATAGTAAGTAGAATGCGATATTGGGGTTCGCTATGTTGTTCTGTATGGCGTAGGATTGGATATAGAAGAAAGGCTCATACAGTCCGAGGAAGCAACAGACATTGCCAGCCACGAAGAAGATATATGGCCATTCCTGAAAAGCGCTTAGATCCAGGAACTTCCTCCGTCCAGCAGGCAGTACTCGGACCTTGAGTACCGAGTTCGAAATGATGAGTGTCGCAAGCATGATGAACCCAATCACCCTCGTAGCCCACGGGAAACCGATTGTCGGCTGCAACTTGTAGAACACAATCGGATAAATCGTCCCGCCTAGACTACTACCCGCCGCCGCTAATCCAGTCGCCGTAGCGATTTTAGTATTGAAATACGTACTCAAGATCGCAACCCCCGGGACGAAAATAGCGCCCGCTCCAATCCCGATACACACAGCCTGTGCAAGGAAGACTTGCCAGTAGCTGGTGCAAAGACTTAGCATCATCTGGCCAAATACTGCGAGTAGGGAGCCGCCGAGAAGGAGCGTACGGACGTATCCGGCGTCGTAGAGTGGACCGGCGAGGGTTCCGGTGAGCATGAGGAGGGTCGCTTGGACGGAGCCGATCCAGGAGATATCTGAGGGTGAGGAGGAGGAGAGGAGAGACGTTTCGTAGTATGTCTGGTATACTCCAAAAGTATTGATGATGCCCCAAGCATTCCAATATACGAAGAAGGAACCAAGAACTTGTAGCCAAGCTTTCAGACCGCCATTGGGTACACTTTTGATGTTGTTGATTGAGGGCTTGGCCGAGGCGACTTTTTCTAGGGTAGCGCCATCTTTGCCAGTGGCGCTCAAGTCTTCGTTCTCGGTGAAAGGTGGCTCTAGCGATTCAATGATGTCTTCTTCGTGTTGAGTGACTCGTTGATCTTCATGCGTGCCACCAGACTTTTCCCACCCATTGTCCTTTTCGACATCGCCGTAAGACGAAGTTGGAGAGCTGCTCGCCATCGTGCTCCATGAATAGCACTTGTAAGCTTATTAGATCTTTAGACTGTGTGTCCATGTCTCGAGAAGAGATGGAGTCCGCATTCCTGGCATGAGAGCCGCGGTCTTGCTCCGTCTGGCAGTTGAGAGGGGTGATCACAACGCCGTGCTGCCGCTTTATCCGGGCAGAGGGACAATATTGGTAATCACGGCGTAGACCTCACCCGGGACATTCTGGATCGTGTTTCGTCGAGACGTTATGTCAATGAGCCACGAAAGATAGCGGTCGAGAGATCTTGCTGCGAGGTAGGCTAGGAGTACTGATGGGGTCACAAACACGATCTTGGTGGATGCTTGCCTGCTGAGGTCTGTGCTCATGGCTTGGCCTGTTGAGGCAGTCACGTCTGCCTGGCATCGTTCTTGAAAGATCTGCAGACGGTAGGGAGACTCATGTTGGGGGAACCCTTCACTCAAAGACTCTTACAAGGACCAGAACACCTACTACCATGAGCGCAAGATCGCTATTAACGGCACTGCCCGAAGAGCTCATCGTCACCATCAGTGCTTGCATCTATGTAGGAGATCTCCTGAACTTCGCGTTGACATGCAAGACCACACATCGTTGCGCGAAAGAGCATCTGGCGGTCAATGCTACATACGCTAGGGAGTGGATTGTACGACATGACCGCCTCCCCCTCACAGCTCCAGATCTTCTGCGTCTTGCCACCAAGCACGTAGACCAGATCTGGCACCTCAGGAGCTTGGACTTCTGGACCGCGCGAGCGAGATGGGACGACTGGAAAACAGACGAATATGATGACCCAAGTGGTCAGGATGATCCGGACTGGCCTGATCCAGCCCAGGACTGCACGGATCTGGATACATCCTACTTTACTGAAGCGGAGATGAACATACTCAAGGCTCTACTGAGGGATCAGCTTCGCTTGCGAGACGAGGAAGCCGATCTCTGGACCTCGCGCATACTGGATGGGAACGATGAGCCGCTAAAGTGTCTGCTCATGGCGAACGCACCCAGACTTGACAGAGTAAATTTTATAGCGTGAGGGGACACTTCCTACATTCCCTAGCCCTCACTAATAACCATCATGACAGAATTGACATGGCTCGTAGCGATGACGAACTTGCCGAACATCCATTGACTGTCCTGACGCTGGCATGTTCACGTATAAAAGCTGCACCCCACCCTGCCTGGCCCCTAGGACTCCAAAATCTGCGACAAGTCTCCATCTGTACAGGCAGCGACCTCCGTCATCCTCATGATGCCTACTATATGCAGCCCCGCGACGTTGCACCTCTGTTCGCACTTCCTAACATCAGAGTTCTCAATCTGCAGCTCCTAGGTTACATGGATGAGGAGGCTTTCGATCTGGAATCGTGTTCGTCGACGGTGGAGGACCTCGCCTTTACATGCTGCGAGATCAGTATGCAGGCTTTCGAGAAATTTGTCCGCGCCGCAAAACGTCTCCGCCGCCTGGGGAATGACGACTTGGCCTATAGTGCAAGAGAAGTGATAGATCTTGTCGCAGAGTCGCATGCAGGTTCGATTGAAGAGCTCGTTGTACGACCACGTCCCACGTTCCATGACTTTGTCCGGCACCAGGGCAAATTCACCAAGCTGAAACTTCTTGATAGTCTGGATATTTCAGATTCGGGTCCGCGCCAGGATACTACTTCGAACATTGCGGGCGGGCCGACCAAATTCGCCACCTATCTACCAAGAACACTCGAGAAGCTCCAGCTTTATGGGAATAGAGTCAGTGGAGTAATGCCGAGTACTTTGTGCGCAGACCTACTTCGGGCCGTGGCTGAGCTGGCGGAGGACGAGAGATTTGCTTGCCTAACAAAAGTCTGTATGTACGACACTCTACCCGGGCCGGAGGGTGAACACGATCTTGATCTATCAGACTGGGACGACGCTGCATATCAACGTATCTGTAAACGAAGGATCGATATACATCACGTTCGCGGTAGTGGCAATTTCATGACGTACGAAGAGCACGCTCAACTTCATCACGACTTCAGCACTGGTACTCTGCTCCCGATCGAATCTCACCCAGGTCCAGCATCAAGCTGAGGGCGGCCCTGGTCGAAACTGCTCGATTCCATCGATGGTAGCTCAGTGATAAACCAATGTGAATTCGGCCCGCGTGGAATTGTGCTGGGCGGATCGTATAGTTCGTTGCGTGTCGCTTGCAAAGGAGGCGCCACTATCGGCATCAGTTTCAGTACGGACGATCTTCCTCGATTGCATCAGCTTCGGCCGTCTTGATCATCTCGCCAATCGGCGTATATTCCCCAACGCTTGTAATGCCCCAGATTCGACGGATCCATTCCACCCGGTCTAAAGTCCATCTACCGGTTTCGTATAGCTGACGTTCTGCGGCAGTAACCACGCAATTAGTATGGTCCAGCTCGTCACTTGAGGCGAGGTCGATTCGCTGATAGCATGCGCAGTAGCTGGTATCCCTTCTGACCCCACCTAGTTCGTGGATCCAGCTGGACACTGATAGACGCGAGAGAGCGAGCTGAGTGAGGTAGCGAGATGGGCGGAGATAACCTTGCGTGCGTATTGGATAATAGTGAAGTCTATCTGGAGTCTTGTGAACGATTCTGTCGCCGCCTCCGGGCTCCTGAACAGTCCTTGACTCATAGACATGTTGGGCACTTGGCATGGTCCACCATACAGGCAGCTCTTCACCGCTGCCACGCCGATAAGGCAGCGCTTTGCGTCCAGACCCACGAGGGCCAAAGTCGATACGCCAGCAGAACGCATCTTTGGTGTGGCGAGCCTTCCGCAGAGGGTTCCACCGTTTCCGGTCCTGGCGAGGACCAATGTCGTGAAGTGCCCACCCACGCTCAACATATTTCTTGACTCCGCGCATTGTAGCAGTCTCTCGGTCAGGAGTCCAGGGTTTCTTGAGGAACATGCGCCGTCGCTTGCCAAAAGTGCAATTCGGATATGTGCTAACGGCTTCAGTGCCCGTGAGATAATTCAGAACCGTGGTGCAATGGAAGCCCTCGAGTATAGACTCGATAGCCATGGTTGAAACGTCCTCGTAGTCGTCTTCGTTCTCGATGGATATGACTTGTATGCGCTCTACTCGCTTGCTACGTGGGCTCAGAGTTGAATACGTGCGGACTGCCTCGACGTTGTTGATCGGGTACTGTACTTGCGCTGCGGTGCGAGTATCGTCATGTTGATAGCCTTGAATTTGAAGTAGATGATCATGAAGTTGTGGCTCATGTTTGAGAGGCACGTATACGTCCATATCGCCAGGCTCCCAAGATGCTGCGGCATGATCAAAGTAGCGCAGCGCCACACTGCCTGAGACCAATGCGTTACATGCTGTAAGCTCGTTCCGGAACCCTACAGGATCAGGCACAAAGCGCTGTAGTGAGCGATCTATGTTCCACCTGGATGGCAGGGCGTAGTTGTACAAGTCCCCAAATTGTCGGCAGGTTAGCTGTAGGTTTCGCAAATCAATGATTGGAAGGTGCTCAAGGAGAGACTCCAAGATCGGCCCCCTGCCGAAGGTGCTTGTGATTTCCGGTCGACCCATTGTGTTGTCATAACAGCAGCATAAGGAGATAGATTGTCACGCACCCACGAAGAGGTTGGCAGCTTGTGATCAGCCTCGATGCAGCTCGTAGCGCCAAACGAAGGAGGCGTTGTCGCCGACGTAGTGCACAGACATCCCGCCTACATGTCCTCTCCGACACTTACAGAAGCGAAAATGGCGCGTAGGTTGAGCAACAATTTTTCGAGGGTGCTCGATAGCTGTCAGAGACTCACGAAAAGGGTCCAGTCAGAGCGATGCAGAAGATGAGGGCGACTCGAAGGTTTGCTACAGATCGTTAGTCATCTTTCTTGCCGTGCTTTCGTCCTTTTGACTTCACTCCACTTCTCCGCCTTCCGCTGTCTAAACATCTCCATTCAAATATGTGCATCTCGCTCATATCCACAGCACATCCAGACTACCCTTTCATACTACTCAACAATCGTGACGAATTCCTCAATCGTCCGACAGCTCGAGCAGATTGGTGGGAGTCACTTAACCAGCACATTCTTGGAGGACGGGATCTGCAGAGGCAGATCCGAGGCACATGGCTTGCCATCACTCGAGATGGACGTATAGCGAACTTGACAAACTTTCGTGACGAGGGTGTCGAGGTCTCACGAAATAAGAGCCGTGGAGGGCTTGTAAATTCTTATGTGACCACGCCACCTTATCCTGATCCCCACGATGAGTCCTTCATCCGAAGTCTTGTCGACGATTTTGGCATCCAAGATGTCGGAGGGTTCACCCTCTTATTCGGTCGCTTACGCAAGCCCAAGGACGGCAAGGTTACCGGACTAGGCGTGATATCAAACCGAACCGAATCTAGTGCAGACACGGAACGAATATGCACAGAAAGAGATCAAACCAACGGGCTCAGCAACAGCCACTACGGTGATTCAAGTTGGCCGAAAATCGTGCACGGCGAGCAACTGCTCAATCAAGCCATCAAGACGTCTGTCAGCCGGAGGGACGACGAAGACCAATTCATTGAAAGTCTGTTTGACATCTTGTCTGTCGACACGCTACCACGGCCACAGGATAATGAGCCATGGCAGTCATATACTCGACAACTTCGCAATTCGATTTTCATTCCGCCCTTTGGTGGCGAGGACGTCGAGAAGAAGCCAGCTGATAAGATTGCCGCTGCCAATGGCACAAGCACACCTGATCAAAGTACTGTAACGGTTGGTGAAGGTGCGTACGGCACTCAACGCCAGACGGTCATACTTGTAAGTACAGAGGGTGAAGTCACATTCATCGAACGGTCTTTGCACGACGGGAAGGACGTGGAACCAGAATTCAGTGATCGAGACAGGAGGTTCGAGTTCAAAATAGACGGGTGGGAGCATTGAACGACTATGCTAGGCTAATATTAAGCCATCATGCTTAGCCGGCAAAGCCACGGCCCTGGATGTAATTCACGATGATCTTGCCCAACTCCTCCGGCGCTTGATACGTACACCAATGCCCAACCTCCATCACCTCCAGCGTAAGATCTGCAAACAAGCCGGCTTCCTTCGGCGGGTCTAGCGTCTCTGGTGGGTTGACACCATCACCAGTACACATGATAGTCAGCACTGGTATCTTGAGCTTATACTGCTCCGGTGGGATATCCCTGTCGGCTTCTGATTGTACGCCTTCGGTGAAAGCACGATACCAGCAGAACGTCGACTCCCAGTCTTCGGACGTCGGCTTCTCGGTCTTCCATTCCTCCTTCAGCCTCGTGTCCTGGGCATATGGCAGGAGCGGCACATCAGTCCTACCTGCTTCGATCCACTCTCGCATCGCATTGGGAGTGGTGAAGATGTACTTGATCCAATCCTTTCGATCGCCATGCATGACGTGCCAGACGCTCTCCTGGTTCTTAGAGAAGATGGCGGGTGCGTCTGGAGCGGTGAAGAGGTGGAAGTAGCTATATCGTGGGTAGCCCACTTGCTGCTCAGTCAAGGCATTGAGCGTCTCGAGATCTGGCAAGACTGGCATTGGCGGCATAAATGCGATGCCTAGGTGGACTGCGGCTACGCATCGGTCTGCATATAATATCTGGAAGCGCTGGGTAAGCCAACAGCCGAAGTCGTGGCCGACCGGGATGACTTGATCGATGTGCTCGGCGTCCAAGATCTCGACAAGGTCTTCGGACATGCGGCGATAGTCGTAAAGCTGGATGTCGGTTGGTTTCGAGGTGCCGCCATAGCCCAGTAGGTCCGGAACCACGATTCTGAGGTTCAATGTTGCCAGGTACGGCAAGGTATATTGCCACACCATGGCACTGTCGGGCCAGCCATGGAGTAGCAACAGCGCGGGCTTGGAAGTGTCCCCTGTTTTGGAGACATAGTAGCGATAGTGTAGACCACGCTTGACATCTAGGTGCTTTATCTGAAGGCTGTCCATCACTGCCGTCTGGTTCACTGTCACAGGATACAACGTACAATAGTTCTGTGGCGGTCAAAGTGTACGAGAACTGGTATTCATGCAGCTATCGAAATGCTACATGGTCTTATAGCCCGGAAGTACTGCCAAGAGTCTCTGCATGGCAATGTCACGACGAGCTTAGCAACAGTACGACTGTGGAAGAGAGATCTATATCACATCCGATGCCGATGTTGCATGTGCGCTTTGGCTCATGTCAGCGTTCCAATGGGGCTAGTATGCCGCTACCTGGATTCGAGGCCTGTACAGTATACCTAATGCAGCAATCAGTCATCGAGTAGGTCAGTCTTGGCGGTGCCCACAATGCAGTCACTAGGGCTTCATCTGAACAACACGTTTCGGTGTTGAGGTCGTCCCTAACAAGGAGGCCATCATCCTCAGTCTCGTGACGACGTGTAGAAACCTTTTGTACATACACTTGGCAGCACTCTGCTTCGACTTGACGTGCAGCTCGTCAACGAGGCTCTTATTAGTCCGGTGCAGTCCGCCCAGATGCTCGATTTCTCTGTGACATTGGACGTACCGTCGCCTTGCATACAGTACCTCGAACCGGTTCCCTTCTTGCATAACATGTGCTTGCCGACATCCCCAGCAAATTGTTGGCTCGACGGACCATTGCTCGTGAGATCATGCGTATATCGTCAAGGTCCGGCTTTCGATGAAGTACATGACGCGGGCTGAACACGCGACGTATGCGGCTAAACCTTAGTGCTCGTTCGTACAGGCGGACCGAGCGCTGTAAGTGGTCGAGTGGGCCGAACTCATGCAGGGCCAATGTGGGCAGACGAGCTGTATAGATTGCCAGGATGCGCGTGCTCCTTGTTCCTGCGCCTGCGGTACTTGCATGGCCCAGAAAGAATGACTTCCTCCTTCCTGCTGCTTCCGTGGTCCGCCTCAAAATGTGTGAGGAATATGTCTAGCCTCACCAAGAGCTTATATATTCACAGCAGTTAATTCGTGCTACCACAACTAATCAAAAGCTCGCCCCGCCTTCAAACCAAACATATATTTATTGGCTACCAGTAATTGCATTCATTCAAAGTGGACGAGTTTGGCATAAGAGACATCTGTTTCATCTTGGGAAGATCTCTCAAGACCACGCTCCCAACCACCTCCGCTCATCATGGCATTGATCCGCAAGGACAACCGCTACACACTATCCGTCAAACCAGTCGACTACTCGCTCACAGAAGGCACGAATATACCGGCCCCTCTCGACACACCGCCACGGTCACCAGCTGGTAGTGCAAGACCGCCGACATCTGGAGGAGGCCCGCTCACATCCCACCCAGCAACACCAGAAGATATGCCTGGTGCCTACCCCATCACACCCAGTGCCACGAGGGACTTGGACGATCTGGCCAAGATCAACACATCCATGTTCACTGGCAGGGTAGAGAAGGCCGATAGTTTCCGCACCCCTTACTCGCCAGCCTCCGCCGTTCCAACAAACACAACCTCTTCCCCTGAGCAACCACAACGTCGCCCTTCTGGTGTCCGAAGGCTATTAAGCCTGAGTAGTCTACGGTCCTCCTTCAACAGCTCGAGAACATCTCTAAGTCTTCCACGACAACCATCGGATGCGCCCGCGCCCGCACCCGCGATCAACAATCTCAAGCGTCCCTCGACTGCCAGCATCATGTCACATGCCGAGTCCACGAACTATCAACCACGACCGGACTTGAGGAGGAAGAAGTCAAGTGGTTGGTTCAAGAGGAAGAGCGGGATGTTTATGCTCAATGACGACAATACACTCGCCGCTGTAGATGAGAGCACGTCGAGACCGGATACTCGAGATAGCAAGAGGCTGAAGGAGACCATCGAACCTGCGCCGCTTCTACCCGAGGTGGGTAGGCTCAAGGGTGGAAGAATAGGGAATGGAGAGATCGGCTGGGATGAAAACCTGTTTGGGAGGTAGGACCCTCGGTTACGAGTCTGGTGTTAATGACGACGTTATTGGTTGTACGAGTATGACGGTTGTTGGTATTGTATAATTCGTACGGTGGTAAGCGGTACCGTTGCTGCTCGCTTGTAAGAGAGACTTTGGTGTCGACAGGACAGGCGGTAAATGGGCCGTATACATTCGACAGTTGCGAGGAACGCGAGACGAGCTGTACAAGGACGAGTGGTGAGCTGTGCATAACATTACTATACCCCAAGAAGAAGGCGGGCGTTCATGCTTTTGGGACTGTACACAGATCAATGTGCATCGCTCTCAAGCCTCATGTGCCACTTCTCGCTGCACAGTACCACGACCTTTCTCCTCTGCTATGCTCTGATTTCTGACCGCCTCTTCGACGTCCTTGTCTTCGATATCCTTGGGTAATGTTCCGAGAGCACGTTCGCCGAACAAGAGATCAATTTCCTCAAGAGTCTTTTGGTTCGTCTCCTTGAAGAAGAAGAAGATCGTGGGGATGGTGACGATGATGTTCCAGGCGACGAACACCTGCCACTGATATTAGCAAAGTACTCGATCGTTTTACCGATAGAAGCAGAGACGCACGAAATAATACTTCCACGTGATGGAGCCTAGCGCAATCGGACTAACTTGTGCGAAGAAAGTGGAGACCAGCCAATTGCCAATACCGGTGGCGAACGCTGAACCTCGTCCACGGATTTGCATGGGCAGTACTTCACTCATATATAGCCAAGAGATAGGGCCGAAGGACAGCGAGAAGATCACCGAGACCAGAAAGATGAAAAAGACGCCGCCAATCGAAAGACCGTGTTTCGTACCATCTGGATTCTGCGAGTTGAGAGCAGCTTCGCATATCAGCGCGATGGTGATACCAGCTGCGCCGAACAGAAGTGGCTTCCGTCGTCCGACTTTGTCAAGGATGAAGAAGATGAAGATCGCGTTTGCGATTGGGCCGACGCAGTTGTAGATCCCGGCTACCAGGACATTTCGACCTCCTGTGATTCCAAGAGCATCGTACATGACCGTCTGATAGTAGCCAATTACATTGATACCAGTCAGTTGAGTGAATACTTGGATCAGTGTGGCCAGGCCTAGTCGTCTTCGCCATTGCGGTACTTTGAACATCACAAGCCAACCTGGTGCGGTGATGGCTTTCTCGGCTGCAATGGTGGCGCGAATCTCATTGTACTCTGTGTGGATCCAGTCTTCATTGCTGCCGTCGAAGTGCAATCTGCGCAGGATCTTTAGGCCGTCGTCGTCGCGATCACGTTCGATAAGCCCTACATCAGGTTAGCTTGTTGTTAAAGCTGCACTGCGTCTACTATATCACATACATCTTGGCGATTCTGGCAGCCAGACCAGACCAATGACCAGGAGGATCGCGGGCAAGACCTGGAATGCGAGTGGAAAGCGCCATTGCAAGGAGCTGGAGGCCGCTGCATGATGGCAGCCGAATCCGATCCAAGTACTAACAATGAAGCCGACTCCGATCATCTGCTGCGTTAGACCTACTATAAGACCTCTAATCCTAGGATGGGCACACTCGGCTTGATAGACAGGAATCGACATGGACCTAGGAGTAAAGTCAGATTTTACGGACTCACGCACGATACAACCCATCTTCTCGCTCACTCACATGAGGCCGATAGCCCAGCCGGAGACGATGCGTCCAACCAACATCATGGCCAGATTGTACGAAGCACACTGCAAGATACCTCCGACAGCAGCAATGACCGCACCAATCTGGATAGTCCTCTTGCGCCCGAGACGATCCATGGTGAAGCCGCCCATGAGCGAGCCAAAGACCGCACCACCAGAGAACGTAGAGTTGATAGCACCGATGATTGGACTCGTGTTGGTCGTGTTGAAGAAGGCCAGGAAATTGGGAGACGCGATTACGTCGGTCATCACTCCTGAATCGTACCCAAACAGGAACGACCTTCATATCATCAGTGACAATCATATCATGGTGAAGTCTCATATATACCCTGTAGCCGCGAACATGGCCAATAGGATGTTGTATATTTGTCCCATCTTGGCGTCAATCCCGGTAGTAGTACGTCTGGGTCGAGGCTGTCAATGTCAATATGCACCAGACGAGTCCAAGGCAACGCGTGTAAGCTTCCTATATACTCCCAGTGGCGCCGCTGTCGTACCTCGATATCTTAAAAGCTTTCAACGCCCGCTATGCACATATGCCAAGCGTCTGCAGACGGTCGGTCACGTTCATCGGCGTGACATGCCTGCCTTCGAGTATTTCCACCAATCATGTATTTCTGCATCCTACATGCAGATGCTTGCGGCCAGAAAGAGGAGAGCTAGTGCGGAGAACACAGTCTGTGCCATGGGGAGTGCATGGCTTGCAGACGGGATGCAGGGTGGTGGCGATCTTGCTGAAGCTTTCTTGCATGATCGGCTCCACCGGGTAAATGAAGTCCTGGAGATGACAGCATCTTGCTGATGTTCAGATGGCAATCGCGCTCGTACAGCAGTATCACAGTTCATGAATGAATGGGAAGTGACTACCTGGTGTACCGCTTGCTGACGGAGCGCTCTACTGGCATCGGAGGTGGGTGGCAGCGAAGGTGGGTGTTGGAGGCAAAAGCCGCGGAATGAGGTCAAGATGCAGTTTCGAGGATGTGAAGTCCGAGCTTTTCAGAACGCCACATCCTTAATTCGCACATTCGACGCCACGATTCCACGACGACCATCCTTTCCACTGATTCACATGATTCTCTATTCCTATGCTTCTGAAGGTCTCTCCCATCATCTAAGCTTCGGAGTCCCCACGTACTGGACTCCGTCAGATCAGAAGGCATGGAAGCGTAGGTAAAGTCAACGACAATCATCTCGCCTGACTGTATCAGATCGTCTGACGGTAGGCACATTCCGAATTGCTTCGCCTATACTACTATGATGAAATGCCCTTGGAAAAATCTGACACCTCTAAAATATGGGAATCGAACGCTTCTACCCTCGAATGCAGGCTGCTGGCTTCGTTCATCAAGATGAAGTGATAGGTCAGCCAGGAGACAGCGTTCATACTCATGCGATTCTAGATGGCCCGGCCTTTGCGTATTTCGTTCATCATCGCCTGAAGACGAGCAAGAATAGAGGATCGAACAATTGCCAAAGCATATGCTCTGATGTTCCGTATACGGACCTCGCTACCGAGTCCTTACGTTGGCTGGGGCTCCTTGAGAATCATGGTCTTGAAGTGTATGTAGACTAAGGAGACATGCGTCAAGCTTGACTGATAGAATCCAGACATGCTGTATATTTTGACGGAGCTCTACCTCCGGCGAAGAGGCCAACAAGAATGAGACGGCTCAAGCAGAATGCCGAGCAGCTGGGGAACTACAAGTCGCGCCATGAGAGCGGCCTGCCACCCCAACGTGGGCCAGCAATCAGTCCTCAGCCTACCATGCAGCACCATGCACTTCCTGAGCCACCGTTCATCGTACCAGTAGTCCGCGAGGCACTGTTGCAGAGTGAATACCAGGATCGCATCCTCGTCGTTCCAGGAGAAGCCGATAACTTCTGCGTAGCAGCAGCTCGCCAGCTGAACAGGGACAATGAGAGCAATAAGATTACCATTCTCACAAACGATTCCGACTTGGCCGTATTTGAGTCTGGCGCACGAACACGTATAGCTATGTTACACAGCTTGGCAATCACGGAGAACAACACTCTAATCACTTCCAGCTACTGGCCGGCGAAGATAGCCAAGAGTATAAAGCAACCCGATCTTTTACAAATGGCATATCAATTGCAGCAAGACACTCATGTCAGTGTTGCAAGAGTGCAAGCACGAATCGAGCATAATGGCTCGGCAACAGGTCGCGCCTATCAAGATTTCACAGACCAATATAGCGTGGAATCTGAACAGGTGATGCTGGAGAAGCTGCAGAAGGATGCAAAGTATCGTCTGCCGCTATTGGGACTTGACGCACGACTAGCCGAACTGATATGCCAGTCTCGAGACCAAGTCAACACATCAAGCCAGCTCGAAGTCTACCTACCATTCCTGATTGACGAACCGAGCCGGGCATCTGCATGGCATATCGGCACTCGTCCGCGCGACGCGGCGTACACCCTCGTGCTAGGTCACCACAAACGTCAGAAGAACAGTGTCCTAGAATACAAACGAGCCGGTGACAACATTGCTGCCCGCAAGATCTCCTGTCTCGACACTGCGGACCTACCATCAGAGTGTAGTGCACTTCATGCTTCTCTCGAGCATACTCTCGAGGACGAACGCATGCTGTCTTCTTTGCAAGAGCGGTGGCGGTATGCGGTAGTGCAGACGTTACTTTGGAATCTGGTTGAGCTCGACCAGCCCATGCCGGAACCGGACGATCTCCTGAATGTGGTGCTCGGGCGTGCAGAGACTGCATGGTCACAGGTTCGACTTACAGCGCAATATCAAGCGTGCTACTACTCTCTTCGATTGCTTCGTCAGGCGCTACGATACGTGAAGTGCGTTGGCGACCTTACAGACATCATCGACGATGAGCACCAGAGTGCCGAACGTCTGCTAGAGTTGCTGGACACCTTGCCTGGTATAGCAGATTTTATTATATCTTCGCATGTATCAGACGGGACTACCGAGTCAACGACACTCTGGCTTGAGCTTCTCAGCGCATGCGTTGCTGAGATAGGTGCTCAGGGCGACAGGCCTGTCGAATCATCTCGCCCGAGCAAGAAGCGGAAGACGAAGAAGTCGAAGACTGTCGCAGAGTCTCGACCTCAAGCACGGACTATTGTACCGCGCTCAAGCAATACCTTCGCCATGCTCGACATTTGACTGGTGAAGTTTCATATGCTAAGCAATGCGCAACTCGCGCTTGAGATGTAGACAATGGTTGTAAGACTGAGCTACAGTAATTACCTTCCTAAGCTCACCTCCACAGCGAACTGTGCAAACAGAGTGCCAAAGCTCTACCAGATCCACACTATCGCCACGCAGTACCTGCGAAGTCCCAACTTTTTCCTCCAGGACGCCAAAAGGTAACCTCTACTACTTGAACGCCGGTAGTAAACGACATGACATGACATACCATGCTTCCCTCCCATCCCATCCCATCGCGTACGCTGCAGTACGCTCGCCACTATGCAAAGAAAAAACACCATAAGAAACACGACAGAGCCACGGCAGACTCGTCATCCTCCCACCGTACGAGCGTCACTTATAATATAACACAACACCCCCTCCCCTCTTTCCGATCCCCGCTCAGCAGACTCTGCCGTGTGGCGGCCTCAAACACATCATCCACCCCTTCGCCCGTAAGGGACGAGCATTCGAGGTACTTCTTCGCGCCTATCCGGCGGCGAACCTCCTCGCCTTCGTCATAGGTCAGGAATTTCTCGCTGCGTTTCCGCATTTCTTCCTGGGCGGCTGGGTCGTCGCGGAGGTCTTTTTTGAGGCCGACGAGGATTATGGGGACGTTGGGGCAGCGTTCTAGGACTTCGGGGTGCCTGAGATATCTATCAGTACAGTCTATATGGTCGTCTTGGATGTGATAATACCATTTCGTTGTGATGTTCTGCAGCGAATCTGTGCTGGAGACGGAGAAGGCGATGAGGATGACGTGGGCTTGGGAGTAGGCTAGTGGTCGTAGGCGTTCGTAGTCTTCTTGGCCGGCTGTATCCCATAGGGCTAGTTGAACTGATTTGCCATCGACTCGGCAGTCGGTCACGTAGTTCTCGAAGACTGTGGGTACGTATCGCTATGCGTGAGGTCAGCAATAGGGCCTAGTTTAGTCGAGCATGGTAGAGCCATGTTCGTACTGTTGGGAAGTAGCCTAATGTGAAGACTGATAGTAGACTGGTCTTGCCGCATGCGCCGTCGCCGATAATCACGAGTTTCCTGTAGACAGCTTATCAGACATCTTGCCAATAGTGTTCCAGGTATTTATCCTCTCCATACCGTCGCATCACTTGCTGATCTTGCTGTGCCATGTTTGCAATGCTCTGATCGGACCTGCCGACGTCGTTCCTTCCTCAGGTGTATGTAAAGTGGTTTCAGGTCAGACGACACCTCCTCCTTGTCTGCGCTTCACAGCAGCTCTTCCAAACACAATCTCGAGTGGGAGTTTGTGGATGATAGTTGGCAGTAGCACCTTCGGCTTTCGGAAAGTCGTGCAGAATGGATGATGTGTCTGTCGTCTGAGCTCCGAAGTCGATAGGTAATTGGACGGTCGTGACCGTAGAGGAGCAGACGGCAAGAGCGATGGGTTGACAATGGTTGACAATGGCAAGAAGGGTCACGTTCGCTGAGTTCCCGTGGTTGTAATGCTCAATGTTTCAGGATACGGGTTCGGAGGGCAGCCCGAGGTGTGCCGCGATGCGTACGCAATGCGCAGCTGAATGTCCAATGGGGCAGTATTCTTTCTGGCCGGAGCTTGATGACCGGTTTGGCATGAACTACAGCTTCGTTCGTAGCAGAGATACTGGTCGCTCGGGATTGATGGTGATTGCAAGATACCTGATCGCCGTAAGCTTGCTAGGTTGAAGGAGCAGGCAAGTGGGTAGATGCAATCAATGTTGGGCGAATGAATCCCAGAATCTTGTTCCCTTCATGCAGGTTTCATGCATGACATCCTGAGGCAACAGGTGTGGCGCAGCTTTTGACCGCCAAGGCCGAATCGGAGCGGAGCAAGACCGTCCATGTGTGTCGAGCAGCTCACGTCGTAGCGTTGTAGCACACATTCGAACCACCCAACGACCGCCCAAGACACATCGCAACGCATGTCACGCCAGATTATCTTTCCACCGAGCACGTCATTGGGAGGTCTGACGGCGCGGAGGGCGCAGAACGGGCACGACAGGCACGATATACCCATACAGACACTTCGATAGGCAAGCGGGGCCTTCAAACCGCCAAACGGAGACTCAACCACGCGCAGCCGCCGCAGCTCCGCAACCGCTTCACTTTCCATACACCAGTCGGTCTAGCTAGTCTAATAAGTGAACACCACACCATCATGGCTACGAACGCGAAAGTGGCGCCCCCGCTGCCTGCCAACGGAGTCATATCCGCACCTCCCAAAGGTCTTCCTGGCGGCAATCGTAAGAAGCAAAAGCGGCGAGCCAAGCAAGCAGCAAAGATCACCCCTCAGCCGGTGGGCAATGGGACTCCGCAGCCCGCCGAACAAGACTACGAGGAGGATCCTCTACGATATGGCGATGACGACGACGACTACGACTACTCCGATGCGGAGGGAGAGGACGAGCAATACGCTGACCAATACCCTCCACCTCACTCACACGACAATCACCACCATCATCATCACCACCACCACCACGACCATGGCTTCGACATGCCACCGCCTCCTGTCGCCAAACGTAGTCGCAAGAAGAAGAAAGGCAGTGTAGGCCACGGCGCATATGATCCAAGCATGCTACCACCACTTCCGAACCCTCCTCATCCTCACCCACACCCGCCGTCGAGGGCACTCAGCTCCATGCACAGGAACACGCACCATCACGATGACATCTGGAACACGAGCACAGCACAAGAGCGACAGAACATCAAGGAGTTCTGGCTGAGCTTGAGTGAAGAGGAGCGTAAATCATTGCTGAAGATTGAGAAAGAAGCGGTATTGCGTAAGATGAAGCAGCAGCAAAAGCACTCTTGCTCATGCACGGTATGCGGTAGGAAGCGGACGGCGATTGAGGAAGAGTTGGAAGTGCTCTACGAAGGCTACTATGAGGAGCTCGAGCAGTATGCACACCACGACCATCCCCCACTACCTTCGGTGGACGGCCTTATACCGGATCCTCTGCAGCACCATCGGCCGCATCCGCTTGCTGCACCACCGCCGCGACCGCAGCATAGGACAAGTGCTTTGCATGAACATCTGGACGAAGACGGCTATAGCGACGAGGAGGATGATGATGAAGAGGGAGAAGAGTATTCAGACGAAGACGAAGAAGGCTATTCCGATGAGGATGTGATGCCGGAGCCACCGCGAGCAGGGGTGCCTGACTTTTTCAACTTCGGCCAGAATCTCACTGTCAAAGGTATCCTCACACCTTGGCTTGAAAAGTTGCAGCAAGGGCTAAAGGGTAAAGCAGACAATCTACTGACCGTGGCCGACGACCTGCTGAAGAACGATGGCCGCAAATTCATCGAGATGATGGAGCAACTGGCTGAGCGACGCATGCAGCGGGAGAGTGAAGCAGAATACGCAGCTGCGAATCCCAGTCATCCTGGCGGCTATCCTCCAGATCCTGGCTACAGTCATGAAGATCCTCTAGCGGCGAATGAGGAATTCGACGATGACGAGGCCTCGTATGACAGCCAAGAAGATTACGACGACGATATGGATGATGAGTCCGAGACTGTGAGTCCTTGTGATTGGCAGCTGCCGGATATGCTACTGACATTGTTGAAGGGCGGCCTGACAGAAGAACAACGAATGCAAGAAGGTCGGCGGATGTTCCAGATCTTTGCTGCACGGATGTTCGAGCAACGAGTACTTAATGCGTATCGAGAAAAGGTGAGTGCAGAACGTCAAGCGAAGTTGTTGGAGGAGCTGGAAGGTGAAGATCAGGCTCGTGCGAACAAGGAGGCCAAGAAAGCTCGGGATGCGCAAAAGAAGAAGGAGAAAAAGAAGAAGCAGCAGCAAGTCAAGGCGGAGGAGAAGGCTCGGAAAGATGCAGAGAAGGCTGAGGAGGAGGCAAGGTTGCGGGAGGCGGAGGAGAGGAAATTAGAGGAGCAGAGGCGGCGGAAGGACGAGCAGCGGAGGAAGAAAGATGAGGAAAAGCGAAAGCAGGATGAGGAGCGGGCGCGGAAAGATGCTGAGAAGGCTCGCCGATTACAGGAGGACCAGCAACGTCGTGAAGATGCCGAGCGGAAGGCTCGCGAGCAGCGCGCGGCGGAGAAGGCGAAGAAAGACGAGCAGCGAAAGCGCGAAAGGGAAGAGCGCGAGGCTCGTGAGAAGGAAGGCCGAGATCGCAAAGCGTTTGAGGAGAAGGACAGAAAGGAGCGCGAAGCCAAGGCTCGAGCCGACGAGGAGGTCAAGAAACGAGAGAAGACCGCTCAACAAGCAGCGCAGCCGCCATCACAAGCACCGCAGATCACGAAACAACCTTCGCAGATCGGTATGGTTGCAATACCAAGCGTGCACCAAAAGCAAACTCCTTCAGGCGTTTCCTCGCCACACCCGCAAATTGCGGCTCCCGCGATTCCCAAAGCACCGACTCCTGCCAAGCAACGACAAGCATCCCAACAAGGCTCGCTTGCCTCATCACCAAAGCAAGCACCTTCGCAGGTATCAAGTGCTCCTAGCAAGTCATCTTCTCCAGGCAGTATACCCGAGCCTCAGCATCAGCGTGGACAGCAGGGCCCGATCGGGCAGCCAAGGACCATCATGCAAAAGCCAAGCAACCAGCACATGGGTCCACATCATCCTATGCAGACAATGTCGCCTTTACACCAGCACCCCATTCAAGGCCCGCCGGGCATGCCACAGCATCACCAAGGTGGATTCGGTGCCATGGCACCGATGGGATTCCCAGGCTTTCAAGGTCAACAGCCGCCTATGATGCACGGTAACATGGGCCATCGTGGGCCTGTGCCAATGTACCAGCAGCAGCACGGCCCTCCCATGGGCGTACCAAACCGTATGCCATTCAGTCCTAACATGAACGGCATGCCCGGCCCACCTGGCATGATGCAACCTCCAGGCCGCGGTATGGGCTTCCCATTCGATGGACCAGGACCGCAATCAGGCTTCATGCCAAATCATCCACCGAGTCACACGTCACCAATGGACCACCCGCAAATGCAGCAGCAACCGCCTAATGCCGAGCCACCACGAGCAGAGCTACCAGGCCACTCCCGCCAACCATCAGCCAGCGAGAAAGAGCGCTTCGAATCCGCCGCAAACCAGCCGATTGCACGACCCGCCCCTATCCAGCGGCCAAGTAGTGTCAAGCCGCTAGCCGACGAACGCAAGGGCTCTAACAGCGACCTCGACGATCTGTCCAAGCACCTCGGCAGCTCTGCACTCCTAGCCGACGACGACGAACCCCTCCCCACCGTAGCAGACAACCGCCGCCATTCCGGCATGCAGAGTGTAGGCCGCAACGCACCCCCCGTTGGCCTCGGCGCCCTAGGCGGTTTCGGCGGCGCACCACAAAGCGGCTTCGGTGGCGGTCCAGGCAGTAATTGGAACACGCCGAGCTTACAACACTTTGGCCCCGGCTCCGCTGGTCTCGGTCCCACGCAGCAATGGGGCGCCATTCCACCGCCGGGCATGAGCGGCTGGGCACAGAACCAGTCTGCTTTCGCCGCAAACGGGGCTTTTGGCTCGATGGGCAGTGGAATGCAGCCGCATCGGCCGACGGGGACGAGTTTGAACCGACCGTTGACCATCCGGCTGGCGGTTTGTCAGGCTTGTAGGCAGCTTTCTTCTGTTGGTGAGGGCGGGGATGGCTTTCATCCGCTTGAGGTCTTGCTGAGGCAGATTGAGGGGAATCGTCCGCTGTTGGATTCGCCGCCTACGTTGAGGGAAATCGAGGAGATTTGTGAGACGGAGGGGGATTCGCAGAATGGGGGTGGGGAACTGCATGTTCGGAGATCGGGTTCTGACTCTATACCCAATGGCAATGGTAACAGGGGTTTTGCTGTGAAATGGGAGCCCGATGCCGGAACGCCTGCGGACGCTTCGAGGGGGCCGCAGGGACTGGGCGAGATTGGGAGTCCTATGCCTGCGAAGCTTTCGCCTGCTTTTGGCGCGCCGGGTATGGGGAGGCAGCCTCAGCAGCAGGCTTTCCAGAGTCTGGGTGCTGTTGGGTCGTCGGGCTTCTAGGAGAGGTTTGGACGGTTTGCCAATGGTCTTGGTCATGCGAGGGGTCGATCGGGGGATAGTGGGAGTGGGGTGTTGAGGAAGTGAGATGGGTGATGGGATGGTTGGCCAATCGCTGGTGCGGTGTTGTTTGCTGGCTCTGTGCTCTCGCTTCGCCCTTGTTTTTTTTTAAGGGTGGTGCTAGCAGGATGAGTTGAGTTGTGGTGTGTACCTAGTGCCTGCGTGTCATTGATAGCACTTGGGAATTTGCACGCATGCTTGATATGCATGGTTAGGGATGATGTGATATCTTGACTTTTTTCACTTGTCTTGTGTCACAATTTGGTCCAGGATGGCTTATACTATCCTGCTTGCCTTACAGTAAGAACGTATGCATGATTATTGGGTCAACACTTTCGAGCTTGCTTTGAGCAATGGTGTACGCTAGCATGGCTATGCCGAGTCACTCCCAAAGAGGAACCTCTCTGGAAGCTCGATGGCAGCCTCCTTGCCACATAGACAGACGTGAGAAGATGCGTCGTCAATAGGTTACCGGGACTATGCACGTCAGCGCCTCGGACGTGAGTCAAGGCTACAATTACTGGTCGGAAGCGGCAGTGGCTTGCATGTTACAGCATGTAGCATGCAGGAGTCAGTTGCAGTCTGTTTTAGACTGGTGGGTCGAGCTTTTCCTTCCCAAACATTCTACTTTGTGACGCATCGTTTTCCATCACATCGAAAGAGGGATGGCAGAACATCGAAGAGACCTACGAAGGGGTATCTACGGACGAATATACAGAACGAGGGGTCGTATGGACAGGAAGTGGGATGGGAGCCACTGTATCGACGTCAAGGTTAGGGATCGCTTAAACTCAGGCAGAAACGCAGACAATTTTGGCAGGTAGGCACGCGATGAGGAGAAGGCGGTCAAAGTTAGAGTAGAACGCTAAAGGGGGGTCCGAGCGCAAAGCGGGCCAAAACTTTTGATTCTCATCTCGTGCTTCAACTTTCTGCCCCCCTCCCTTTGACAAACAACCACCAACATCCATACCAGCGACGAAGCACCCTACCAACACACATACACCGCATACAATCACATACCACCTTCGTCGTCACAATGCCTCAGGCGATCGCTCAGCTCTAAACTCACCGCTGGAGGTTCTACCTTTGTGGTGGTCCTCCAGTCCGGTCTTTGCTGAACGAGATTTCAAACTATACGAACGACGATATACGATTCCTTGCTCTAGACAGCAACATTGTAGCCTGCAACAAGCATCCATCCTCGGAGACTTGCAATACACTGGCATTTGGGCTCTGAAAAGACCCCTCGACGAAGAACCGGCCTGATCACTTACCTGGTCTGGCTATTACTAGTTACACCGATACTGCGAGTTGCCTGAAGGCGACAGTGCGCGAAAGTAAAATCCTAGATCATTGCCAAAGTCCAACACCACGAGGGCGACCTCCTCAACCCGTCCTATAATCGACAACGACCTCATACCCCCAACCAGACCATCGTAGTCCACAATGGCAACCACGAATATGAAAACGAGTCCTGCTGTAGCAAACCAAGCACAGGGACATGCCTACAAGAAACCCTCCAGCAACCGCGAAACTGCAGCGGGAAGCAACGAAGCAGGTGCAGACGACAGCGATGTCAGTGACGATGAAAATATGAATGACGAGACGAATGAGGCGGATGTTTTTGCCCTGTCAAATGCTCGCATTTCAGAGCAGCACTTGGCAGGGCTTGACGATGACATGTTTACGAGCGATGCAGTGGCTGGTGCATCAGTCTCTGGCGAAGATGACGATGACGATGATTACACAGGAGTCGCAGACGTGAGCGACGATGAAGAAGATGTAGGAGAAGACAATGAAGACGTAGTAAGGCGTGCGGCAGAGCGTGATCTTATCGCCGAGTTCGACCGCGCTGAGCAGCGGCGCGACACTGCTGAGATGGCTGCAGAAATGGATTCCATGTTCCTCGAGACCAACCAGCAGGATGCTCTCGCGCGAGAATTAGGTCTCACGAGCGACAGTGCCGGACCCACTGAATTCAACTATGATGTGGATATGAACGACGACCCCTTCGTCGGCCTAGATCTTGGTGACAGCCTCTATCGGGATATGTACGACGATGCTGAAAGAGCGTTGGGCATCTGGGACCAGGCTAGTACTCCACTAGCGCGACATAACAGTGAAGAGTCCACCGAGACGAAGAAGCGCGTAAGATTTGCTGAACCACAAGAAACTTTCTCCAGGAGTTCAAGCATGAGTTCGGTGGACGAGGACCAGGATCCGAATGAGATCTTCCCAGACCTGTTTGATGTACAGGATGATCCTGCTTTGAGGCAGCAATTTGGACTTGATGTCGACATCGACGCTCAGTTCTCCTTCGACTTCGATGACTCAGGCTCCGTCTATGATTTTGACGGAGACGAGGAGAGGTTGGCGCTTGTAGTCGATGACGAAGAGAGTGACTCGGACGATATGTCTAGTAGTAGCGGCTCTGACAACGAATGTAGGTATTGTTCCAGCACTTGTACTATTAGATCCTGCTGACGTGACTAGCCGATAACGAGGGCGACACGACGGATGAAGAAAATGAAGAAGAGACGGCTGCACGTGAGGAGCTTGTGCGCAAGAGAAGACTTTCTGCAGCTCGCAATGCTGCACCCAGCACGCCGACGCCGGCGAAACGTGCTGTCGGCGTGAGTGCACGATCCACTGGCTCCCCAGCCACGCCGAGAACAGGTGGTGGCAAAGGTCCGAGGATTGGAAAGTTCGTCATCGACAAGACCAAGGCTGTCATGTCTGCGGACCCGACAGGCAAGTTCATGACGGTCCGGCCACCATCTAGGCCCAGTGAGCAGGACAAGGACTTCTGGAAACGACACCAAAACGCGACTGCCGCCAGCACCCGCGCTAGTACGCCGCGGTCCGGAATGCAGCATAGACGCACATCAAGCAAGCACGATGCACCTCTACGCCCTTTCACCGCACAGTCCACTCTTGGGACGATGTTCAACGGCAACCTGGACATCTTGCAGAACAACAGCACTCCCGACATCCACAGTGACTTTACTCCTGCATTCATTCCGCGACCGCACAGCTCATACGCAGGCACCCTCCACGCTAGCAGCGACGAAGAAGAGGAAGAAGACGTCGACATGAGCGAGTTCATTGACCTAGACGAATATGGTTCCGACTCTGACAACGAGGAACCACAATCCGCTACCTCTGTCACGTCACCCCAGTCGGACCTCACATCCTCCTTCTCCAACCTCGACACCCGCCGCAGCGAAAACAACCTCCTCGACCACCTCGATCAATCCCGGGGCCTCGTCGGCTCCTTCCGCCGAAATCAGAATTTCACCAAACATGTCAGCTCGTTGGCTTCTCATCCGGCTAAGCGCGCTTCGACTATGGAGACGAATGCTCTCCTCAAGGGTCGTAGGAGCGCGGCGAATATCCCCATCACGCCACTCCGGAAGAAGCGCGTGAGTCAGGATCTTAGTATGACTGGTTCGGGGGTGAAGAAGAATATCAGTAGTCCGCTTTCTGGACGACGGCCGCGGAGTAGAGGCGGTTCGATCTCGGCTGGTATGCAGCAGACTCTTGGGCCGTCTTTGATGTAGTATTCGAGGTACGGGTACTGAGGGTTGCTCGTGCTCAGCCCAGGACTGTAAGCTTTTTCAGGCATGAATTCGATTTGTTTACGGGAAAGTGCTTTTCTTGCTTTTGGTTGCTGGTATATATTAGCGCGGCGCTGGAGGCGTTCTTTGCTTTGACCAGATTGTTGGAAGCGTGGTCGTGGTGATTTGACCGGTGGTGTGTTACTTCTTTGATGATACCCAGACATTGCGAAAAGTTGTTGTTTCGTGCTTTGGAGGGAAGAAGGTAGAAGAGGGTGATTTCCAGCTATCAGGTGCACGATACGGTAGACCAGGAGAGAAGTATCGAGGGTGTATCATGTTCAAACCTCGGATTCGCACCATCATATGTGTGATCGATTGATGATCGTGTGGATGCTAGTGTCCCGGAAGCGTGTCCTTGCAAGCTTCGAAAGATAGTCTCACACAGTATTTGACATTGCGGAAGTGTGTTGAAGATCATTGACGCCACGATCATGTAAGTCTACAACAGCAGCGGAATGCATGGCTGGAAGAGCGGTGGATTCGCTGCATGTGGTTTTTGGCTCCACATAGAACTATGCTGTATTCGAGCTCTGGAGGAGTAAGACACTCTTCCGTATCGCTTGGTCACTGCTTCTCGAGGGATGTCGAGCAGCGTGGTCTGGCAGGGACGCAAGCAAAAGGGCGCGTAGAGGCCCCGAATTCCGGAAGCGCAGACATTGGTGCCGAGCCTTGTAGAACATGCAGCCTCTCACTCAAGACCGACGCAAAGGTCAGCGAAGCTGGAGCTGGACATGAATGAGGTCGAGAAGAGCAGAGGTGCAAGCTTCCGAGGTAAGATGTCGTGGCTCGTGAGGACTATCATCTAGCGTGCTTGTTGTCGGTGCCAATGAGGATCGTGAAGCACATCTGCTGAGATTGCCTTTAGGCGCTGTGCGAGAAGCACGTGCGTGCTGCCTTGCAGGGATTGTGAAGCTGAGGTGCGAGATCGTTGGAGTGGCTCGTGAGGTCTATCAATTAGCGCTGCCATTATCGAGGCCAATGAAGATTGTACGGCGAGATCAACGTGGCTTTCTGATATGGCAGGCCAATCAGCATCGTGAAGCGCATGCTTTCGTCAAGAGAAGCTGGGGCGACTGAGGTCATTGAGACTGATGCTGTGGATTAGGATCCGAAGGTATACAGGATCAATTTGGAAGAATTCGTCGTAATCATGTATACATGCCGTCCCTCCAACTCCGTGCTCAAACCACAATATGCAATACCACACAGCCGAAGACCCCAGCTTAGCTCCTCTTCACGCAATATCAAAACTCGTCCCACAGCCACAACTACTCTTCGCACCAGGTATACCCGTCACCTTGAACTGACTCCCAATAAGCTCCATAGTATAATCAATACTGCTTCCCTTCAGCAGTTCCAGACTCGGCTCATCCATCACAATCTTCGCCTTATAGTCTCCAGTTTTGCGTGCGACCTCTTCATTCTCAAACACCGTATCTTCCGCTGGATCAATGTCCTTTGCGTTGATGAGACTCATGAGGTATTGGAAGCCGTGGCATCCTCCTGATTCCACACTGACACGTAATGCCAACTCTGGATTACTGTCTGTTTCTGATATTGTTTGTAGGCGGTGCGCAGCTCGAGGTGTGATGGTGATGTTCATGTCGTTGCCGTCATCGTCCTTTCGGGGATTGGTTATGGCTCGAGCAGCGCTTCGTGGTGTTGATGACAAGTGTCGTCTCGGATCATAGCTTACTGCGGCTGATCTGCTCGATACATGTGATGGTTTAGCCGTACGGGTTGATCTCGTCTGCCATAACGGCGCAAGAAAGTCCAGAAAGAGTGGCACAGGCGTATGTAAATTTCGATTTCTTGATATCATGGAGGTGTGGCGACTCAGAATGGTCGCAGGTCTACTGGTCAGGCTCCCGCAACACTTCGATAGGTAGAAAGTGGCCATTTTGTGTTGGAATAGTTCGTTACTTACCAGAAGATGATGCTTTGAGGTGGAGTGAGCGCATTAGTAATGGCGCCTCTGGTAGAGGTCACGTGACTATCCCCACAGGGTCCATCGAGTCCGCCATGCATACATAGTGAATCCACGGGGTTGCTGATGGCTGGTCTGCACACTGTTGTCATTACACTTTACATACTTGTTCATACGCTAAAGCTGTTCGCAAGCAAGCATGAAATATGAACACCACACAACGCCATTTTCCAGACCATATCCAAAGGCCGACCAATCTCAATATCCACATAAGGAGTGCCTCGCCGTCCACGATCCCATACCTTCACAGCAAAAACGCCGTGACCTCCACGCAATGCAGTATACAGGGACTATCTCCTTAGATGATGCCAGCCACACCAGCGAACCAGCTGAAGCTCAGCACAGTCAGCACAACCATGCCCAGCATGAAGCCCATAGTCTGCCTTTCCATCACAGAATTGGCGGAGTTACATGTCGTACAGACATACTCCGACCAAGCCACGGACGGCTGTGAAGTATACATGCCGAAGACGAATTGGCTATAAGGCGCCAAATAGCCGGCTGGCGCGGTCGCTGTGACTTCCTTCGCGGCATCGTGAATAATGAGAGTATAGCTGCCAGTCAAGAGTGTGGTTGCTGCGGTCTGCTGGAAATTTCCAGTATCCCATGTGAGTACTTGTGTCGCATTGGTGATGGACTGGTTCATTGCAATGGTATACATTGCATTGTTCAAGGTGCAAGTCGCTAGAATGTCCACGGCAGATGGAGTAACGGATAGTGATGTATAGTTCCATGCGAAAGTCACCTGGTCATTGATCCTGTAGTATGTTGTCGAGATCGGCGCGGGAGTCACCATTTGCACGCCACCAGGCGGTAATCTGGGATCGAATCCGGTCACGCTGGCCTTCGTGCTCTTGCCTGAACCACCACTTGTAGCTGTCGCACTCCCGCTCTGCTTGCCTGATCCGGTCTGTGTGCCTGTAGCCGTTGCGCCACTCTTACTGCTCCCTGTTTGCGTCCCTGATGATCCACTGTCCGAACCAGTCGTCGAGGCATCGGTCGAGCTTTCGGTAGTGGCAGTGTTGCCTTGTTGTGAGGAGAACGACAGATTAAAGGATGACTTGGATGTTGCGTCTTGTCTAGGGAGCAACTGTGCAAGTTCTCGCCTCACGACCTCTAATGGCTGCCATGCTGATGATACGGAGGCGAGCAGACAAAGTGGAGCGAGTATTGCTGTTGGTCGCATCGTGAATATGTTACTGGATTGATAGCGTGGCCAAGAGCGCACTCTGCGCCTCTCGTTGTCGTAAGTTGCGTCGTTGAATCTGGTGGGCTAGAGTACGCGTCCTCCTAAACTGATCGATATATTATTCTTCGCAGAGTCCAGAAGGTGTGAACTTGGCGGCCGGATTAAGCGATTGTAATCAAGCGATGGGAAGGTGCGGATGTCTCAAAGAAGTGAATGTGCTCAGGTGCGTAGAAGTTGCGTTGCAGAGAACTCCGTTGTGTGGTGAGAGAGAGCATCCAAATCTTACCCTCGAAGCAAACATACACTATACTCGATTGAGCGAAAGCGCAGGGATCTTTCATGCAGCCCGGAACGCGGGCAACGCACGGTGCTAAAAATATGGTTGTGGCGAAAGTATGCTCTCGTATAACCACCTATTTGATGTGATACAAGAAATAGTGTAGGCCGTCCACTCAAGGTCCATACCACGACTCTGGCATCAATACGGAGTCAGGCCTATGCGCGAGGACAAATGCGAGTCTGAGACCGACTACAAAACGACCATTGCCAGAGGACCAGGAATATGCTTTTCAGCAATGATACGATCCAAGTTCATCGTTGCTCTTCTATACACAACAACTGTTCTACGCCTGCGGATGCTCGTCAATCCACTCTGTATTACCAGACAGCCCGGAAAAAGGATACTGGAACACTTTCGCAGGCTTACTGTACGGCTCGTATTGCGCCGCTGTCATCTCTATCGTAATGTTGCTAGCCAATTGTCGGCCAGTGAGATTGAAGCCAGGCCCGTAGTCTTCGTACTCTGCCATTTTAGTATCTGGCAACAGTCAGTATCACCAAATCGGCTCAAGATATCGCTGCCAACATACTGAGATTGACCCTTGGATCTGTTGCACTCCACTGGATATACCCACTCGGCCGGATACTATCGTCTAAGTAGTCATTGGCGAAGATCGAGCGATGCTGCGCGTTCCACGGTCTTCCAAGCGCACACTGATGTGTGATGTTCAAGGTGCTGTTCGCCTTCGCGACATGGCTGTTGTGGATGTAGACACCGTACTTGTTCTCGAATGTGGTATTCGAGCCCTTCCAAGCTGTGATGCCGCCGCCACAGCCACGTAGCTGGACTTGGGACTGGTCGACCCATAAAGTGCCGAAGCCATAGAAGAAGTCGGTCTGGCCACCAATGATGCAGCCATACATGTATGCGTTGCCTAGTTTTCCGACGTAGACCTGGTGCAATATCAGTATATACACTGCCATCTGATTGCACTATGACTGACTGTATCCTGATAGCTCTGAAGTTGCGTATAGTAGAATCCGGCATTGGCATAGCTCACACTCAACGCCAGACTAGGTCCAGCAGAATATGGCAGGTAAGCGTTGATGAAGTTGAGATTATATGCCCTAAAGTCAGCATTGCCGAATGGTGTTCCTGGCGGGACAGGATTGCCACTTGGTCCAGATCCAGTCGCTGAAGCATTGAAGTCTGGCGCAATGGTCAACGTGCTTGTGTATGCGTTGTCGTAAGTGCCAGTCGTCGCTGTCCCAGTAGCATTGTGCCAGATTATGTTGACAGTGTTCTGTGACGCATCGTTGGGAGCATGAGTCTGGCCGAGAAGCGTCAGTGGTCCTTGTCGAGTGACATTGACCTGTTCGGTGTAGTTGCCAGGCAGGATGAGAATTGTGGCAGGAGTTGTTGTATTGCCTAGGCTACGTACGGCGGCCTGTACGCTGGTGAAGTTCTGGCCTGGGCCGACGAGTAGGGTGCCGGCAGGACAACCCTTCAATGGATCATGGGTCGGCTCGTGGCAATGTCCTCTACCATAGGCTGCTGCTTGCCCTGCACATAGCAGAATCAAACCGAAGACTGCAGTCTTGATGGCCGACATGGTCGAAAATTTAGATGAGTGGGGGAAACCGGAGACAGCCAAGAGACTGGGTGAGACGTGGAGGTGCTGACCTACTTGTAGTATTCTTGCCAGACCCTACGGAACGATTCATTCTGCCAGGGAGCAGGAAAGTCATCGAACATCTCGACAGACTAGCGAGGTTTCAGTACTGATCTTGAAATGCGGAGAGTGACCCCAGTGGAGGTAGAGACTGTCTTGCGGAGCCTCGTCTGCGAGTGATTTCCACCAATGAGAGAGCCGTTTGCTCTCGTTACATGTACAGAGATTATGTTGTAAAGAACGTCTTTGCGCTCTGCTGGAGCGCCTGCGCTCAGTCGTGATTGTATGCCGAGTTGGGTATATCATGTCCACAATCTATCGCCTTTCCCGCAGAAGTCTAAAAGCCACAACGCTCGCTCATGCGCTAACAATGCCAAAAACAACTTCCGCAGATCCATACAATGCTTGAATACGCTTCTCTAGCCCTTAAACATGTTCTTGGAGAATCGTACGCTCTTCATGAGGCCTTTGCTCAGAGCACTGCTTGAGCTTCTCGATCCATAGCCGTCCGAGGTCGAAGACTCGTCCACGGGAGAAGAGACGTATGTCGGATAATTCTTCCGCGCGCTGGGCAATGTCTCGTGAGGGTGTAGAGTGAGGTAGAGATGTAGACGCTCATTCATCTCACGATGTCTTTGACCCCGGTCGCTTCCAGTGCTAGCGGAGCTACTATGTCTTGACAACGAGCTCAGTGTGCTCAAGCTTCCGCTGCGACCATGCCCAGTCGCCAGGAAATCCGAAGCCATGGGCGATGATGGCGAGGTTCCAGCTTGTGGGCTACCGAAGAGTCGATGTGTTGAGCTGCTGGTTGACGTCTCGTTGTCGTTGCACCAAGGACAGTGTTCGTTTCGTGTCTCCCATCCTGCGATTCGTAGCTTTTCCGGGCAGTTGGCTAGATTTTTGGTGGGCTCGCATTGTTTCTGTAATTCGACCCATCTGTGATTGCAGGGTTGCGTAGAGACGTTGAGGCCTGCGACGCACATGTCGGAATCGTGAACCCAACGTTTTGTAGAACTCCGGTGATGGCCAAGGGGAGCAGATTGCAGCTATCGATGTGTACCTTCTGGCAAGGCCGTCCTCCTAGGCTTGATACAACGTATTTGTGGTGGCGGTGATGCGCAGAAGTCGGAAGACGTGGTCACAAGGCGCTTCCGATTCGCCACGAGAACATCAGGGTCAGTAGTGGTCAGTAACAAGGTCCGTATCATCCACAAGCTGCAATGTAAGCGTAGGAATCACACCATCAAGGGACGGGGACGCTCAATAAGCACCCTTATCAAGAATCTCGTCATGGCTATTCAAGAGACACAGACACGTTGTCATGCACCTCATTTCACACTCGTACTACCGTCCATCATAAGCGACCCAAGCATCTGCCGAAACCGAGCATGCCCGCGGTTCGAAAGGCACCTGTCAGATCTCAAGAACGGTCTCGATATCGTGCAAGGATTCTGGATTTTTGCCAGAAGGCTACGACCGTTTGCCGGTTGAATGGCGTCGGCTAGCGCACACTGCCGTACGTGCCGATGGTTAGCGGCTCCTCTGTCCGCGGTGCCGGGATCTAGCCTCTTGTCGTCCATGTGGGATAGATTGGGGAAGATGTCGGTCAGTTTTGGACCTCTTTGGCGTGATCTTCTTGCTTGAATCTCGACAACATCGGTATTATCGCCATCGCACGGAGTAATGTCAAGTGCGAGAGGCAACACACTTCGCTGTGATTGGTCTCCTTATCGCTTGTGTAACATCAGTGTGACTCGCACCAAACCTTCGGTACTGCACGCCCCAAACCCACCAACGGGGGAGGCGAGCCGCAAGTTTCAGACCAAAAATCCTTCCCTTCTTCTGGAAACTCCAACGTTCGCGGGTGAGACAACATCGTCACGATTCAGCACACCGTCAGTGCAACGTTCATGGAGTGTCTCTCCAAGGAATCGAACACGTGGGCGTCAGGGCTTCATTGTTTCGTCTGAACTTACGCGCAGACGAGAAAGACGGTGAAGCCTTACGTACACAAGCGATGAATTCGAAGTAGGTTCTTGATATACAGAGGCTGGCTCAGCAAACAACTATGAGCCAAGCGAAGCAACGCGTCAACTTTTTTGCGCTACCACCTCCCCATGGGCTAGAACGCAGCAAGGCCATGCAAGAGCACACGCTCGTAAACTTTACCTACCAGACCGCTCCCTGGTTCGCTGTCTTCTCTCTTTCTCCTTCTTCTCGTCGTAGATCAGAAACTCATGCAGCGCGCTACCGCCAGGCACCATAGGCAACACGGGTACCTTCTGGTCAACCACAACCTCAAGGAAGGCAGGACCCTCGCCAGAGCCCTCGATCAGCCATTGCAGATCCTCTTTCAGATTTGCGAGCTTGATCGTGCGGCGAGCGGGTACACGCATAGCCTCTGCTAGCTTGACAAAGTCTGGATTACGCTGGTGTGTATGCGAGAATCGATCCTGGTAGAAGAGGGACTGCCATTGCGTAACCATCCCCTGCTCTTCATTGTTGAGCACAATCACCTTCACGCCGATGTTGAACTCTGCGGCTGTGCTGAGCTCAGTCTGTGTCATGAGGAAGGACGCATCACCATCGATGTCAATGACGAGTTTCTCTGGCATTGCTACCTTGGCACCGATAGATGCGGGAAGTCCGTATCCCATGGTTCCGAGACCGCCAGAGGTAATCATGGTGCGAGGTGCGCGCCATCTGAAGTGTTGCGCAGTCCACATTTGATGTTGGCCTACGCCTGTCGCAATCACGGTCTCGTTCTTGCGGTGCGCGGTCATGTCTGAGAGAGTCGCGATGACAGTCTGAGGTTTGATGACACCATCTGGCCCATCTTCCTTCTCGTAAGCCCAGGGAAAGCGCTCCTTCCAGGCATTGATCTGGTCAAACCACTCTTGTCGTTGCGCCGGAGTCACTGACTCAACATGCGGTAGCATCAGAGCAAGGTTTGCGGTCAAATCACCCTCCACAGCTTCGGTAGCTTGCACAACCTTGTTGATATTCTTAGGCAGGATATCGAAGTGAACGATGCCTCCACGGCCTTCCTCGGCCGCCTTTCGGGCTTGCGGGGCGAATCTTGCTACGGATCCAGTGATACGATCGTCGAACCTTGCACCGAGAGCCAAGATCAAGTCAGCCTCTTGCATGGCCATGTTCGCAAATGCAGAGCCGTGCATGCCCAGCATATGGAGCGCCTTTGGGTCAAGCTCGTCAAATCCTCCCAAGCCTTGCAGAGTAGTGGTCACGGGGATTTGAGCCTTGTCTGACAGCTCCTTGAGATACTTTGGTCCGTCCGGATGTCCAAGCACACCTTGGCCGGCATAGATGACAGGCTTCTTGGCGATATTAATCAAGTTTGCAGACTTCCTGATGCTATCATCCAGCTGCTTAGATGCAAATTCTCGCGCAGCGACAGTGGCAGCGGATGGATGCGAGGGAAGAGTAGACGCCTTAGGAATAGGCCTGTTAAGAGTTGCTGCAGTGACGTCTTTTGGTAGATCCACGAGAACTGGACCTGGCCTGCCCGAAGTTGCGATCTCGAACGCCTCGTTAATCCTGCGGGGAAGTTCTGCGACGTTCTTAACCATCACGTTCCACTTCGTACATGCTCTTGAGATGCCAATGATATCGGCCTCTTGAAACGCATCAGAGCCAATGGCCGATGTCACAACCTGGCCAGAGAATACAACCATGGGTGTGCCGTCCATGAGGGCATCTTGCATTGGGGTGATCACGTTCGTCGCTCCAGGTCCAGAAGTCACAACAACGACACCAGGCTTGCCAGAAGCGCGAGCATAACCTTCTGCCATATGTCCTGCACCCTGTTCATGTCGCGGGAGAATGAAGTCGAAGTGCTTGCTGTTGTAGATAGCGTCAAATACCGGCAGGATGGCACCGCCAGGGTAGCCGACTATGAAGATGTTAGTCGCGTGACCTGCGAAGAACCAAGCAGGACAACTTGTACTCACAGACATGCTTGACGCCTTGCCTCAGCATCATCTCGTGAAATATTTGCCCACCCGTCATGCCGACAAAACTGTGATCCATATCCGGCTGCTGGAACGGTCGCAGGGGCTGCACATCCCTCATTCTGTTCTCATCGCGATTGAATGCCGGACTGGGCACAGCTCGTTGCGGTGCCGTCGCTGGCGCCACAGCTGCTGATCGGGGCGCAGTATCTGATACATTTCGCCTGCTCGACTGCTGCTGTGTTTGTGCTTGCGTACTTCTTCTGTACGGAGACACGGCGGCGGGTGCGGGTGTGGTGGAAAATCGTCGAGCTCGCGGTAGGCACTGGAGAGCCTTTCTCGCTGGTTGTGCGTGCATCATTGCTGCAAATGCTTATCTTCGCAGTGCCAATGAATCAAGGGGCGATAGTCGTAGGTGAGAGAGAGTGTCAATGGCGAACAAGAGGAGTCAGAACGAAGTTGGTCCAGACCTGACTCACTACATGATTTGGCCTCGTCTCGCCGAACTTCTTTCTACCTCGCCGTTCCTGCAATTCCAGCTTCCTTCCCCGCAATTTCTCGCCACCATTTAGGCTAGCGCCATTACATTCACTCTGCGACCTCTGCGACACCGGAGCATCGTGACTTCCTCTTGTGTACAGCCACATTCTTAAGAGGTTGAGGTGAAGTTGAGCTCGAAACTTTGTAGATATGGATTCGCCAAAATCGCCGCCTGGGAGTGTGCGTCGCCACGGACGCAATATTTCGCAGCCACTTTTACGGAGGAGCACGAAAGGTCCATTAGACGCGGTGGACGAGTAAGTAAGAAAGACATTTATGACAGTGACTTTTATACTGAGACACGCAGCCCACTGGCCAACGCAAAATCTACTCCACCCATGGCATCTCCAGTTGAGCAAGCTCCGTCGACCATCTCTGCCGATTCTACACTCACAGAGGCGGCCATACCACAACGAGCAAAGCCAAACGTAGACATTCGCTTCCTTCAGGCCCCGAATCTGTATCAACCAATTCCAACAGATGACGTTGCCCCGCCCTTCTTGTTAGCGAAGCATCAACCTCCGTCCGATACACCGCTGTCCAATCTCATCCAAAGCGGCCACTTTCGTCGCGCTGCCGGTGTTGCGGCGCAGCAGATCCTGCAATGCACAGCAGAAGATGCCGAGCTTGCTTTCCAGCTACTATACACCAGGTTTGCTTGCCTGATTTTGATCTCTCGCCCTGATTTGGCAGCTCAGGAAGCGGTCCCGCTGCTTGATATATTAGCCCGTAGCCCGCCGGGCGCTGAAGACCTGGTGGCTGTTATGCCTTGGGAGCTGCGGCTGCTACTGATCAGGTTGCAATCATTCACAGCTGCCGATGGTGGTCGGCGGGGAGTCATGGCTCTCTATGCATTGGCAGGTGAATGTCGCGCGCGTGTCAAGGAAGCCAGAGCAAGTGACGAGTCTGCCGAAGTGGAGTCATGGGTACAGCGCTTACGAGATCTGGGTCTGCGAGTTGTAGATGCGCTCGTAGAGATGGGTGAGCTCGAGACTGCAACCAGGCATCTCGATTCTTTGTCGGATGCGGATGCAAATGAGGTTGCTTACCGCAAGACACTCCTTCGCACTCGCGTTGGTGACATGCAAAGCGCAAGAGATTGCTTGGGCGGTGTTCATAATGCCAGTCGCAAAGCAGCTCTCACCGTGCTCATGGAGATGGCAGACGGAAAAGAGGCGACAAGAAGCTGGGAGTCACTAATGAATACCGAGTCCGATCATCCCGCCTATGCAAATAATCTGGCTGTCGCGATGGTCTATGCTGATCGAGTTGTGGAAGCCCGGGACTTGTTGGAGACTGCAGTGGCGGCCAGTCCTGCTTTCGCTGGCGTGCTCTTCAACATTGGCACGATTTACGAGCTGTGCAGCGACCGCGCTGTGGATCATAAGGCCGCACTGGCACGTAAGGTAGCCGAAAAGGAGCCTGTGCCGGCATCTGGTGGGTGGGAAAGAAGTACATATGACTTCAAGCTATGAATGGTGGCTCCTTGACGAGAAAACAAGCTCATAGCAATTACGAACACCACTTCTGGCTCTTGCAGACATTTACTACGGTCATCAACATTTGGCGCCACATATAAGCATCGACGAAACAATGTCCTGGCTACGCAAAGCTATGCCCAACAAACATGATCGGAACAATGCCCGACGAAGACCTCGTCGCTCCCTCTGACGCGACAATCATCAGCGAGGCTCACAAAGCTGCCACCATAACGGACGTCGGCGATTGGCACAATCGACGCCATGAAGTCACCACCATGACCGAAGCCGATACCTGCTGGGAGCAAGGACGATGGGTCGAGTGTGCAGAGAGATGCTATCAAGTATTGCGAGCCGCGCCGTTTGAGGCGATCGAGGCGAAATGTCATATGTACTTGTCGACTGAGGAGGTGGGACCGAAGGAGATGGGTGGACAACTGTAAGTCTATCAAGAGTACTTTCATTCTATCTCGAGGTGGGTGGGCTAATAGACAAATAGTTGGCATGCTAACAAAGCCATCGAGCTGTGGAGGATCGTTATTGATCGTTCCGGAATGTCTCGCTTTCCGATCGAAAAGGCAAGACCGCAGTTGGAGGTGGCGGAGGAGATGTTGGTGCAGGCGGACGAGGCATTCGAATCAGCGCATCGTCTACTTCAGCAGCAGAGACAGGAAGCATTAATTCTAGAATACTGAGTCAATGAGGGGGCAATGAGTCGCTCTTGGCCTTTATGATAGTCTCTCGCCAAGATATGCTGGAGAATTATGGATCGCTCCTCTTGAACGTGAAAGTACTCGTAAGTGTGTTCTGGTTACTGTCGGCGTTCATAGCAGTATATCTCTACCATCCATTTAATAAAGTGTGAGGCTGTGAGTCAGGTACAATATCCGATACATGTGTTCGATATTCCGATGTCGAAAGCGTCCTGATCTCAGCACTCGGGTGTCCCATGATTGGCATCACAGAGTCTTCCGGCGAAGAATCGTCATTGGCCGTGCCGAAGGCTTCAATACTGCTGAAGAACATGAACGGGTGTGTACAGACTGGTCACTCAGAGTAGCACCGATAAAACTGCCGTGTGCGATGTTGCTGTGGATTCGTCCCTGCATCGCCGACGGCATTTGACATGCCACCCCCACCGAGCGCCACGCGCCACGCGGGCATGGTGGGGTTCCCAATGATGTATTTGTTGGGAGCTCAAACAAAATAGCGGTAGAAGGAGCCGCATTGGAAAAGTTGTTGCGGGTGGCTACATCACTCTCCTTTGATCACTTCTTGCATTCAAACACCTTCCAACAACTCATATTACAATTGCCACCATGAGCGTCCAAACAGTACAGACTAAGCCATTCCCAGACCAGAAGCCGGGAACGTAAGTACAAACCATCCATACCACAGCCATTGGAATATCATTGAAGCTTAACGAGGAGGTGAGCATCTTTAGATCATATGCTGACCTTTGACTCCACAGATCCGGTCTTCGTAAAAAGGTCAAGGTCTTCCAGCAAGAGAACTACTCCGAGAACTTCGTGGCCTCCATCCTCGAAGCCATCCCCGAAGGTGCAGATGGCTCATTCCTCGTTGTTGGCGGTGATGGACGATACTGGAACCCCGAGGTCATGCAATTGATTGCCCAGATCGGTGCCGGGTATGGCGTCAAGAAGCTGCTATTTGGCCAGAATGGCATCATGTCCACACCCGCAGCATCACATCTGATCCGCAAGAGGAAAGCCACTGGTGGTATCCTCCTCACAGCCAGCCACAACCCTGGTGGACCAGATGAGGACTTTGGTATCAAGTATAACTTGGCAAACGGTGCACCAGCACCCGAGAGCGTGACGAACAAGATCTTCGAGGTATCAAAGACAATCAAGGAGTACAAGAGGGTGGACATTCCCAAGATTGACTTCAACGAGATCGGCTCGCGAAAGGCTGGGCCACTGGAGATCGAGGTCGTGCACAGCACCAAAGACTATGTGGATATGTTGAAGGAGATTTTTGACTTCGACCTGATCAAGTCCTTTCTCAAGGAGCACTCCGACTTCAAGATCTTATTTGACGGTCTCAGCGGTGTGACCGGCGACTACGGTGTAGACATTTTCGAGAAGGAACTCGGGCAGAAGGGTAGCACACAAAACTGCGTACCCAAGCCAGACTTTGGCGGCCACCACCCGGATCCCAACCTAGTCTACGCACACTCCCTCGTCGAGGCCGTTGACAAGAACAACATCCATTTCGGCGCTGCTTCTGACGGTGACGGCGACCGCAACATGATATACGGGGCCAACGCCTTTGTCTCACCCGGTGACTCCCTGGCCATCATCGCCCACTACGCCGATCTGATCCCATACTTCAAGAAGCAAGGCATCTACGGCCTCGCTCGCTCCATGCCCACATCCGGTGCTATCGACCTTGTCGCAAAGAAGAAGGGCGTTCAGAGCTACGAAGTACCTACCGGCTGGAAATTCTTCTGCGGTCTCTTCGACGCCGACAAGATGAACATCTGTGGCGAAGAGTCCTTCGGCACAGGTTCCAACCACATCCGTGAAAAGGACGGTCTATGGGCTGTTGTGGCGTGGTTGAACATCATTGCTGGTGTGGGCAAGCAGTCGAACAGCACACCCAGCATCAAGAGCATCCAGCTCGATTTCTGGAAGACCTATGGACGAACATTCTTCACACGTTACGATTACGAGGGGTGTGAGTCCGAGGGCGCGAACAAAGTCATTGCGCATTTGAACGAGTGGATTGGATCTGACCCGAAGGCGGCTGTGGGCAAGAGCATTGCCGGGCGTAAAGTCAAGGAGGCGGGTGACTTCAGCTATACCGATCTCGACGGTAGCGTGAGCAAGAACCAGGGTCTGTACGTCAAGTTCGACGACGGTAGCAGGATCGTCGTGCGGTTATCTGGTACTGGGTCCAGCGGCGCCACTATCCGCTTGTACGTCGAGAGGCACGAGGGAGATTCGAGCAAGTATGAGATGGATGCTCAGGACTACCTCAAGGATAATGTGAAGATGGCTGTGGAGCTGTTAAAGCTTCAGGAGTATGTTGGTCGTACGGAGCCGGATGTAAAGACCTAGATGTGCTCTTGGCTCTTTTAGTACGATGAGGGAAAGATAGATGGGGAGAAGAGATGACTTATGAAAATGCACAAAAAGCGAACGATATGAAGCGTGGAGCATAATTTGTAGATGGCGGTATACTAGGTTCCTCAGTCTCATCCAACACAAGTGAGCAGTACTCAGGATTTATAAATCGTATCTCCCAACACATCTGCTAGCTTAGCGTCCGCTTCTGCTCGACTAACTTCTACTTACCGCTCTTCGAAGGACTTTCCAATGCGAATTCCGCCTGCCATAGAGACTCCCAACCTGCCTTCTTAACAGGTGTCTTCGCAGGAGACTTGGGCTCCAGATGTCGCTGTAGCGAACGTACGGACTTCGAAGGCGACTTCGACCGCGCGCGGACTTGGGTTCTAGCAGGCGAGGCACTACGGGACTCCGCCCTCGCTCTCATGATAGGGGCCGGAGAGGGTGAAGGCTTGCGGGCCTGCGAATTTCGCCAAGAATTGTCAGCTTGATGATCTCTCTCTGTCAAGGACCGTAAAGCAAAAGCTCTCTGCGCACCTGCTCATCTGTTGTGGATTGGGCATCACTGTTGTCTGCGATGATGCCCAATCCACTTGTTCCTGTCCCTCCCGCTGCCGGAGCTGGAGCTGGAGTGGGAGGCGGTCGAAGGGAGGTCTGGCTCTCTGATCTCGAGCGTAGAGATACTGCTGCTGCTGGCACCTCACCGACCAGTGGACTTCCCGCACCGCCTGCATTCGCTATCACCGGCACCACGGTCCCCGCCACACCTTTCTTCGAAGCGGAAGAGCTTCGTCGGCTGTCAAGGCTCTTGTTGAGGACTTTGCTAGCGTCTTCGCTCTTGCTGTTGCGTTTCGTGCGTATACTGCCTTTTGCATCGACGTTCGCGGCCGCGACGGTGCTTTTGCCTAGGCCGGGTGTACTCGGTGCGCCGCCTACGCCTCGCTCTTCTGTGGCGTGGACCATCCACCATGTCAGGCCATCAGACAGGTCGAAGGGGTTGTCATCGTCGAACGACGGGGCTTCGCTAGCCTCGTCAATACTCTTTCCGTCGGTGTGAGAAGGCAGGCTCCGGCTCAAGTCGACGACTTTCTGCTCCACCTTCGAAATGCGCACGATGATGAAGTCTCGGCTACCAAGTCTCATGCCCTCCTTCTCCGCCAAGAAGTAGTGCGGACAATTGATGTTGAAAGCGGCCCAAGCACCCTTTGCTTGACCACGAGTCGGCAAGAAGAGCGCTAGATCGCCTTCCTTGAAATCCTTAACTGCGATCTTAGCATGTGATTCGCTCTTCAATTTTAAGGAGCGCTCCTTATATGCTTCCGCACGTTTGCTCGACTCGCGCCACTCTTTGTTGAATTTCTTCGCCGTGTATTCATAGTCGCGGAGACGCTTGTTGACTTGCTCGCTGAAGTAGTCGATATTGAAGCGCGCCACTTGCTGGAGGAAGGTCTCAAATCGAGCGGCTTCATCATCTGGTGTTTGTGCGTCCGCCCAGTGCACCGCGGCTACATCTGGTGGATCATCTGTAGTCGAGGACTTGCGCGTCGGTGGCGGAGACGTCAACGACATCGAGCGACTAGCATTGCCTGGTCGTATTTCGCCTGTTGTGTCGCTCATCAGGGTGCTCGCAGCCAGTTTCGAAGCACGCTCGATGAGCATCGTCCCATCATCCTTAAAAGACAAGGCCAGTCCAAGCTGCTCGAGTAGTCTGCCGAGGCGGGAGTTCTGTGTGTACAAGCGATGCGAGACATCCTTGGCGCGCTCAGCACGTTTGTCAAGCCTTGCGCTCGCGGTCTCAGCACTGGTATGGTATGCGCGATGCTTCTTCTGCATTCGCATAAGCTCGACATCCATGCTGGTGACATGAGACTTCGCCTCCGCCAGCTCCGAAGCAAGTTTGTTCGCCCTGCCTTCTTCTTCCGAGATGCGTTGGCGGAGGACCTCAGAACCAGTCTCACCTTCTGCAAATTTCTCACGTAGCGTGCGAAGCTGCTCTTGTTCGTCGATGAGCTGTTGCTCGAGAGACTGGATCTTGGCCCACTCAGCGGAGAATGCTTCTTGCGCTTGTCGAATCTTCTCTTCGTCCTCGATCTGCTTCTCTGCTGCATGGGAGAGCTCAGTCTTCTGACGCTCGTTGCTTGCCCACAATGACTCATTCTCAGATTTGGCGAAAGCGACTGCATCAGCAAGCTCCTTCACATGAGAAGCAGACCTCTGAGCCAGATCTTCGAGCGCTAATGCAAGCGATGCCAGACTGCTAGGGGTGTCAGCGCTGTCGATCAGATGATTGTGAGCAGCCGTCAGCAACTGCACATTCTTGGCCTCCAGCTCCTGCACCTCCTCCTTCTCAATCTGCAGCTGCCTAAGCTCGGCCTCTACTTGCACCGTAGCGGATTCAGCAAGCTCCAGCTTCCTCTCAATCGCAGCCCTAGCATCATGCTCAGTTGCTGCTCGAGCAGCATGACCCATCGCATCCTCCTTCAATCTCGCGATCTCCTCTTGAAACCCAACCGCTCGCGCGTCTGTACCAGTCCTTTCATCGTCACGAGATCCAACCAAGCGATCGATCTCAATTTCAAGGCCATACACGCGCTCCTTAGCATCATTGAGCTCCCGCTCGAGACTCCTCCGCTCGGTTACAAACTCCTGCTGCTGAGCATTCATGTTCTCCATAAGATCTTTCTTGGTCGACACCGCCTCTTCCACTTGCTTCTGAGTCTCCGCATCCGAGCTTTTGCGATTGGCAGCCTCATCTTTATGAGCTTGAAGTTCCGCTTCGAGATCTACCACTCGACGGGCCAGCTTCTTCTCCTCGATCGCTTGCGCAGATGATGGCCGACGCTGTCTGATGGGGTTATTTCGAGACGTGTCATCAATCGAGTGCTGTGGTGTCGGCATAAGAGGCGATGTGGTGCGGTCAAAGGATGCGCTCTGCGGCGAGAACATGTCACCGTTACTAGCGCGACTGAGCTGGGATTGGCGGTGCAGTAGGTCCTCAAGCTTTCGCACACGACTCTTCTGCGCCTTGTTATCCTCTTCTAGACGCGAATTGGCCTCGCGAAGAACCTTGTACTGTTCGTCGCCACGAAGCAGGAGTGATGTGTCCCCAAAGGCAGCCTCGTGCATGCTGCCGTTCTTGAATGCTCGCGCATGCTTGATCTGCTTTCGCGTCGGCTTGTCAAGGTCCTTAATAGCCTGATCGAGCTCTTCCGTGACAGGACCTGGGCCGAAGACTTCCAGCAGGGTGTCCGTATACTCTTTGAGCTCATCTCGAGTTACCATCGGCCAGCTGCCACCCTCATTTTGCAGACTCAACTCTATGCCAAGTACGTTGCTCTGAAGCGATTCGAGGCTGACCACATCCTCGACTGATCGTATCCACTTTTTGCGGCGTTTGTCTTCTTCCTCTTGATAGGTCGCAACCTCTTCTTGTAAAGTCGCCGAATCGCGCTTCATCTTTGCAACCCATTCACGTCTTCGAACAGACTCGATGAGTAGCTGGCCGTACACGGATGGCAAGCGTGAGACGATGGCGAGAGTAGTAAAACCATGCTGGTCGTCGTCCGCTATTTCCAGGCTCTTAGCCTTGGAATATAGCTCGGAAAGTCGTGACTCAGTGTTTGCCAAAGTTCGCATATGGTCGCTGGATGTCTGAGCAGCACTATCGCGGAGCTGCTGCATACGACGAACAAGCTCGTTCATCTCTCCGCTGTGTTCCGTGAGCGCTGGGAGAAAGTTTCTAGTGTGTAGGAGAGCCATTTTCGAGGCCTGCGATACAGAAGCAGCAGCGGCCGGGAGCGACTGCACATGCTGCAGGTCGGAGGCTATCTTTTTGACCACGAGCTGTATCTCCTCCAGAAGTTGCATCGGCTCAGACGTGCTGTTGGTTGAACTGTGCTGCTCAGTTGCCTGTTGCAAGTCCTCGGTCTGCTTTGTGACTGCGTCCAGCTCTCTGCGCATATTTCCCACCTGGTCTACTAGACCACTCAGCAGGGTCCTCGACGCGGTGGCCGCCTTTTCCGTCGCGGGCACATCGACAAAGCCTTGCAAGGTCGCTACACCAGCCTGCTGTGATAGTCGTCGCGATGCAGGCGAGAATGGCTGAATGAACCGTAAGAATTCTGCTCGTGCTGGAATGCTCCTCAGACTGCCAAGGTGCCGCTCCCAATCCTCCAGATGCACCAGTTGTTCTCCCTGGACCGCATCCAGCCACTGCTCAGCGTGAGCGTACTTCTGCTCGGCGCCCCTGGTGTGCTGCTTCAAGCTGGTGACTGCAACGGCAACACTTCGCTCGATGATGGCTTGCTCGTCCAGGTAGCGCTCAGCCTGCTGGGCTTGCTTGTCGCATCCCTTCAATATCGCATTCGCCCAATTGCGGCGAAGCTTGAACAAGTTCTGCCATGCTTGTAGATCATCCTGATCTGCTATCGTATCTGGTGCCGGCCCAGGGTTAAAGTCATGGCTGCCTGATGAGCTGGTCGCGCCCGAACTGGACGGACTGGCTGCAGCCTGACCTTGTAGTCGACTTGAATCGAAGACAAAGACTTCCGTATCTGTGAGGAGATTCTGCGTGCGTACCGCCTTCCCGTTGGCAGTGAGTAGGATCTGGTTACGCGCCTCGATGGCGGCCTGCTGGGCAATCCATGACCGGAGTGCCTCGACGGTGTTCGTAACACTGGGGTCAATAGACAATCGCTGGCCAGTGTGTCCGATGAAGACCTGCACCGCCACCGACATATGCGTGGCCGTGACAGGCGAGGAGGGTTGTGTAGGTGTAATGGCGGGAGTGTTGGTGCTGGTGGTGGATGTCGAGGGAGAGTGATAGGTAGACGGAGATAGACTCGGAGGTTGCAGCTGATCCATGTCTCGGTCCGGAAGCTTGTCTACAAACTGCCCGCTGCGGTGGCTGATGTGCCGATGTGCCGATGATCTCTAAGCAAAACATCATCGTTGTCATCTTCGTTTTCTGCCACCAACCCGTGATTTATGACAAGTCGTGAGTTGGGAGGCATATCTGGACGTCTTATCCACAAGTGTGCCTTATGCTCATCGACCGAATTGATGTATTTCGAGCTTCCATCTTCGATCGTGGCAAAACCTCATATTGTCATTGATATGGCTGTGACGCAACTAGCAGCTTTGAAATCGAAGTCTTCAACACATTTATACAACGCCACGAGAAGTAAGTAATACATTGACTATCTCAACCCTCCTTTCCTTGAACACAGTCAAGCAGGTACGCCTGACTCTCCAGTGACTACGAAGATAAAGACAGCCACACATCATGAAGGCTGGTCAGGCGGGACTAGATCATGCTCGAAAACTGGACCAAGAGCATGGCCTCTTACACCTACGAGACAACTTCCACATCCCGACCAAAGCCGAACTCTCACGCAAAACAGCAAAAGCACCAGATCGCCAACAGAATGGCAATGGCAACGATGAACCAAGCATTTACCTCTGTGGCAACTCTCTCGGCCTCCAACCACATCTAACCAAGAAATACTTCCAACAATACCTCGACACCTGGGCAACCAAAGGAGTCTACGGCCATTTCACAGACATGGAAGATACAGATCTCGTGCCCTGGCTGCATGTGGACGATGACTGCAAACCCGAGATGGCGAAGATTGTTGGTGCGCTGCCAGACGAGGTGGCGATTATGCAGACGTTGACTGCGAATCTGCATCTCATGATGGCGAGTTTCTATCGACCCACAAAGGAGAGATTCAAGATTATAATTGAGAGGAAGGCCTTTCCAAGTGATCATGTAAGCTCCACGAATTGAAAGCGATGAATGAATGCCTGGACGTCCGATGCTAATGGATAGTGAACAGTACGCAGTAGAATCCCACATCGCCCACCACAACCTCGACCCAGCCACATCCATGATCCTCATCGCCCCCCCCAAATCCGGCTCACTCCTCCTAACCACCGCCCACATCCTCTCCACCATCGACAAACACGCCACAGACACCGCCTTACTCCTCCTCCCCGGCATCCAATTCTACACAGGTCAATACTTCGACATGAAACGCATCACTGCCCACGCCCAGAGCAAAGGGATCATCGTAGGCTGGGACCTCGCTCACGCCGTCGGCAACGTACCCATGCAGCTCCACGACTGGAACGTCGATTTCGCCGCGTGGTGTACGTATAAATACCTCAACTGCGGCCCGGGTTCTATCGGAGGGTGTTTCGTGCACGAACGGCATGGGGAGGTTACGGAGAATCCACCTAGCCAAGAAGGCGAGGAGCCGACATTCGAATACAGGCCTCGATTATCGGGGTGGTGGGGCTCCTCGAAAACCTCTCGTTTCGCCATGACTAATCGATTCCATCCTATTCCCGGCGCGGGAGGGTTTCAGTTGAGTAATACTTCCGTCGCTGACTCGACGGCTGTGAAAGCTAGTTTGGATGTCTTCAAGCAGACTAGTATCGAGGCTTTGCGGGAGAAAAGTCTGAAGCTGACGAAGTATCTGGAGGAGTCACTTGATGCTCTGGCGCAGGAAATGCGGGATTCTGTGGGGAGGGAATGCTTCAGCCAGATTACGCCGAGGGAGGCGGAGCAGAGGGGCGCGCAGATTAGCGTTTTGCTTGATGAGGGGTTGTTGGATCATGTCATGGAGGCGCTGGAGAAGGAGGGCGTGGTGTTGGATGAGCGGAAACCAGATGTTATTCGGGTCGCGCCGGCGCCGCTGTATAATACTTTCGAGGATGTCTTCCGCTTCATTGAGGCATTTCGGGTGGCTTTGAGAGGGGCTGAGGGTGATGGGAAGAAGCGGGGGGAGAATTTGGGGAGTGTTATGGTGGATGGGGGGAGGGAGGCCAAGGGGTGGAGTGAGATTAAGTAGGTGGAATATTTACAGCATGAATGTAGAGGTATCATACATAGATCTTTCGAGCACCAGGCTTTCATGCTATCTTCCTGTCAGTCTATCTATCCACGATCTACTGTTTCCCGTCACCGCATCGGCTGCCGATTGGGCTTGTCGATCCAGTGGTCCGCCGAAGGGATGTAACTTCTCCTCCACTCGCTCGCCTTGTCTCCTATTCGCATCCACCTTCTCCTCGACCGCCTGCAACACACTTCTATCGTGCTTCTGACCCTGCACACTCTCCGGAGCAATCGCCGCAGCAACACTAGACGCACCCGCACCCAACCTGCCCCCCTTAGCCTCCTCCTTTGACAAATCCCCAAACAACCACCCCCCGACCCTCTTGAACACCCCGGGTCTATTCCTCTTCACCTCTGCTGCCTCCACCGCCGCCCTCTCCCGATTAATCAACAACATCTGGTCCTCCGTCACCTCCCCCCTCACCTCCGCCTGCCTCGCCTCCGCCAAATCCCTCGCGCTCTTCGCTTGCTGCTCGGCCAACCAATCGTTTCGTTTCCGTCGGTTGTGCAGTAACATGTCTGTTATCCCCGCCGTCGCGACACAAGCGCTTACGACCGTCAGGCCGATCAGACCGACGGCTGTGGTGCGGTGGGCGCGGTCGGCCCATATTCGGCCTACGCGGATTGCGGTGTCGAAGGTGGTTTCTTTCCCTCGGCGGGCGGCGGAGGCGGCAGAGCGGAGACGTTGGATCTTTTGTTGGGCGGTTTCGTTGGTCGGGGCGCTGCCGAAGTCTATACGGGGGCCTGGGGTGGGTGTGCTGGAGTTGAAGGATGGGGAGCTGGATGCGTAGGGGCCCGTGGCTGTGAAGCGGGTTGCGTCCGAGGGTGTGCGTGCCATTGTGAGGCTTGTGATGTAGTTACATGTGTCGTGGAGATGGTGAGCATATGTTCCAGGCCTGAGTGTTGACTTTTTGCTTGAATGGTTGATGACGCTTGAGCACGGGCACTCGCTTTCCCGAGCCGCATTAGAGACACATGTATATATATCTTCATATATCTCCAAGCCTGAATTCCTGCGTCCTACATGATCATGTTGACCTGTGACCGCGTCTGATCAATGTGATAGATGCAGAGGCCGGCACTCGAACATGACATGAGCATCGCAAACACAAGATGAATCCCAGTGCTGGTCAAGCGCCACCCGACCTACAGTCCATTCTGGCCACGCTATCACAATATGTGCCGCAAGCTGCAGGCGTAGAACAAGCTGTGCAGAATACTGTGGATGTCTACCAGCCCGCACCAGATGCACAAGCAGTTCTTGAGCGGCCACATGACCCACGGCTACGACCGCAGAACCGCTCTGCTACAGCTTCGCCAAAGCCCAAACCCATGGTGGATCCTGCCACTATTGTGACATGGCAAGAAGGACTTCGTTGCGTAACGAAGATCGCAGCTCAAAATGCCCAATTCGCTGTGAGCATTAAAAGAGTAAGCGAGTTTGCATTTCCTTTTGTTTCTGACACGGAGAGCCCATTGACACAAACTCCACAGATGATGGACGACCAGCGCAAACACGAGATGAGATGGTACTCCGAGCGCCAAGCCCTCAAACAATCCCAAGTCACCCGCGTCGATGCATCTGCGAAAGCGCAGTCAATCCTGCAGGCCTTGGGTACTGGTACTCCAGCACCAGCGACTGCGCAGACAGATGTCGAGAAGGATGCTGAGCTGGCTGCCTTTGATCGAAAAATCTTCGCTGCGCAGGTTGCTATGGAGGAGGCGATGACTGGCGAGCTCAAGGGTTTGGGTGTGCCGTTCTTTGGGACGAAGACTGATCTTATCCGAGGCGATGCTTCGATTGTCCCAATGGGAGGTGGATTGAACGGCAATGCACTGGTCAATGAGGTAGACTTGATGGCATTACGAAGGAAAATGGTGCAGCATCTTGAGGACTTGTATAGAGACTGACCTTTGCGCAGCAGTATGCTATCCTCGGGCCATAGATGGTGGCTAGAAGAAAGACCTGTGTTCTCGCGTGGGTATATCATACGTATATAGACACAGGCTCGTGGCATATCGCCTTGTGACCCAGCATGCTCCATGAGTGCTTGCGGCGCTGCATTATCTGGTCATGGACTAAAGACGCCTTAAGCTTTCTCGACGCCCCTTATCTCGATCCAAGATTCTGCAATGGCTCGTGTCGTGTTATTGCCTACACCTGCAAACCCATCTCTCCTAACATCCATCCGCAAACAAGCATGACGGCGTCGACACCATTATCTGGTAGCTCAAATTACAGGAGAGCAGTCAGGCGCTTCTTGGCGTGATCTTCCAAATTCGGACGAGATCAAATCCCCGCTAATGCCGACCTACTGCCCGGACCACCCCTTTGATCTCGACTGCCTGCTGCACCAAGTGTTTCATCAAAGCTGTGCCATGACACCCGAACTTCTCTCACACAATCATACGCGCCGCCACATATGATCGTCTAGTTGCCATGTCTGCAAAGTCAAGGAGGTCTCATCCTTTGACTTGTGGCGCAAAGTGTGCTTGACGCCGGCGGTGTGCGCCTTTGTGGTAGCGAAGGGTTCTTTATCTAGGCATTAATAATGGTGTAGCACTCTCGTCGTGGTAGGGAGAGGATAAGTATATGGTCACCTCCCTCTTTGTTCTTGACTGTCTGCCTCTAACGACGATCAACGACGATACGACACTCGCTTCATCAACCTCACCGCAGCTCTGGTCTAGCTGCCTGCCATCTGGTCATGGCTCCCACACTCCTTTCCATCACGACCTTACTGTCGTTATCTGTTATCCATGCCGTTGCATCTAGTGTCTGGACACTAAACTGTGCACCGCTCCTCCAAGCCCGTCTGGACCCGATCAAGCAACCCGGCGTCTGGCCTTCCTCCCACGTCCACGCCGTCGTAGGCTCCACGGCATTCGCGCAACATATGATTGGAGTATCCAGCGGGAAAGCCACAACCTGCGACAAAGCCACCGACCACAGCAACTACTGGTCCCCTACCCTCTACCACATGCGCAGCGACGGCCAATACGACCTCCTCCCCTTCACAGGAATGGTAGCCTACTACCAAAACTACACCTGTTCCCACTCCTCCATGAACCCCGGCTACTGCCCCTCCACGCCCCGCGATGCCCAAGCCTTCCCTCCCGGCCTCCGAATGCTAGCCGGCGACTCCGACCGCCGCACCCTGAACAAAACCGACCAATGGCAACAAGCCATCCTGCTCGAATCCGGCAACAACGGCGAAGTCTACGGTATGCCCCCCCGACTCGACGGCTCCCGCATCTCCGGCCACGTTCGCTTCCCCAGCTGCTGGGACGGGAAAAATCTCGACTCCCCCGATCATAAATCCCACATGGCGTACCCGGACCCCGTCCTCCATGGCGACACCCAAGGTGGGATGTGTCCCCTTTCCCACCCCGTCGCGCTCCTCAACATCGGGGCCGAATTCGGCTGGTCTCTAAATGGGATCACGGATCCGGGATCCCTTGTTTTCGCAAACGGGGATACGACGGGCTATGGCTTCCACGCGGACTTCTTCATGGGGTGGGAAAACCCGACGGCGTTACAGGATAGTTTTGCGAATTGCATGACGAATGATAACTGTCCTTGGAGGAAATTCGGGTCGCCGACAGGCATGGATCCGAATCCCATAAGCCAAACTCCGGATGTGCTGCCGCCGTTGGAGAATATTGGGCTCAGTGGGCCGGTTGGGAAGTTGCCGGGGAATAATGCTGTGTTTAAGGGGCATTCGAAGCGGTATGCGCGGGGCGTGTAAAGGGGACGCGTTAACGATGTAAGGCGTGATTGGAGTGGTTGTGATGAATGATGACTTGTTTCCATTACGTTGGAGACGAGACGATTGATGAGGTTCACTTCTTCTTTGTCCCATATTATCAGGTTATCCTTCATTGTACATAGATAAGCGTAGGCAGGTTCCCTCCAGGCACCTAGCACCATCTCAAGCAAGACCAGGCATTGCAGCTGACCTACCCCAATCTCACGATCATGCCCACAATACAAGCCTCGTGCCGTCTTGGATGTGATCTGCCCATGACGCCAAGCGCCTACCGCAACACGCTAGGAGCAATCAATACAGTATCCTTCCCAGTACCCTTCCCAGTATTCTTCCCTATCCTCGTACCAGTAGCATTTGCAAGCGCTTAAAGGCCATCAGTATCCTACACCCAATCGCCCTCGTCGAGGTCATCAAAGCCACTCGTCTCAGAAGTAGTCGACTTGCTCGGTGTCGTTTGCACAACGTCAGAAAACAAGTCCTCCCAGTCAGAGGAAGCCGCACTCTGCGCCTGGCTCTCCTGCCCGCTCACATCTTCGGTTGTGAGATCGGGAAGGCTGTTGTTGTCTCTGGCACTGATGTATAGCATCCACTCCTTATCAGTCTCGGTAACGTTATCCGTAGTCGCCAGCTCCGGTTTCATGCGCGCAGTTGTAATCTCGGATGCAGGCTTGCACTCGTAACAGTATCCGCTGCACCAGCAGTCCTCGCCATGGCCGAGCTTCAAGAAATCGGCGAGGTCGATGAGGCTGTTAGCTGCGCTCCTTGGTGCTGGTGTGGATGGATGGAAGAGAGACTGTTCGCTGTTGAAGTGCGCGTCGGAGTGCTCGTGTACATGTGCTGCCGTTTCTGCTTCAATGACACAGTCGACTGGCAGGATCTCGGCTGAGATGACGCTGGTATCGATTGGTTTGTTGTTGCAGTACTGGCCGGCAGGTACACCCTCCTCGTACTCCCGATCCATCGTGAGTTCGTTGAGACCTACAGGCAAGATTGACAGCGGCTCAGAAGTGGTGGTAGCCATGTGCATCATGCTCGGATGTTCGAAAGTATACGGTGAAGCCTCAATATCGCCAATATCGTCTGTAAGACTGTTGCCGTGGACATATGGTATTTCTTTGCTGTCTAGCTCAACCGGCTCAGTATGGTTCTCTGTTGTGATGGCATTCTGCCAAGCGGTCAGGTAGGTGTCTTCGTTACAAGCCTCAAAGCTCGCCAGATATGGGTCGTTGATAGCGGCGCTGTGAGATGGGGACTCTTCTGCCAGGATACTCCACAAGTTGGCTGCAGAAGGTTCAAAGATTGGCATAGTCTGGGCACAGATATCGTCCGGCGGGGTATCAAAATCTTCCGTGGCCTTTCTCGGATCGTCCGGAATGCCTTTCTTGACAGCGTCTGCGTATGGAGCTGATGGGCTGGACAAACTCTCGTCTTCCTTGTGTAGCTTGCACACGGTCGGTGGCAATCTGACCCTTGGCAGCGGTGAAGCAGGACGAGGGAAGAATCGTGATTGCCTCGACTTCTTGTCAACAAGGCCACGCCATAGCTGCATCCCCTGACATGGCGATGGCTTTGGTATTGGCGAGGCTAAGCTGTTCTTCGGCTCTGGCAGTCTCGATAGGTCGAAGAACTTTGGCATGTCTTCTGCTGATGACCTGTTTCGCATGAGTGCCGGTAGTGGCGGACACCAAGATGGGAGCTGAGGAACAGACATCAGAGTCGATGAGCGGAAGTATTCGTCGGATGGCACGAGCCGTGAGAGCGTAGTCAGGTCGAGGTCACCAAACCTCAATGGCGGCAGTTGTGGAGGACTAGGAGGCAATGGTGGCAGGAACATCGGCTCCGGAAACTCGATCTGCATTGGGGAAGGAGTATGTCTTGGTGAAGGCAGACTTGATGGCGGCGTTGGGAGCCCAGTAGTAGTGAAGTTGATCTCCTTCAGGGTGGCGTCGATGTCGCGTGAGAGCTGCTCGTCAAGCATCTGCGCCGCCATCTTTCTTTTGCTTCGCCGAGCATCACGACGCCGCTTGGCTTCCTTTGTACCTCTGCTGTTGCGTGGTCGGCGGTAGCGAGTGGGAGTGTAGATTTCTCGTTCTGGGAGATCCGGCGGAGACTCTTCGGGTGAAGGTCCCAGGAGTTGATAGCGGTTGGCTGTGAGATGTAAGCATCGAGTTTGCTGTGGGATGTGCCTCACTGACCGAACGGCTGCTGAGGCATATGCATGCTCAGGGCCATGGGGCCAGGTGTATCGTGGCCACCTTGACCGTGATCGCCAAACCCGAAACCTGGGCTGAACGCAGGATGTTGGTGGCGAGCATGACCTCGTCGTAGGTGAAAGGGTGTTGGAGAATTGGTTTTCTGGCTGCGGATCATTGCGCGGTCGATTGATTCTGTGGGTTGTGTAGCTGAGGTGCCTGGTGTGGTATGAATAGGTGCGGTTGGATGCAACGAACGAGTGAAGGTCTCCTTAGGTCAAGTGTCAATCGATTCTTAGGTCTGGGTTTAGATACCCAATATGGAGCTCGAAGATAAACAGTCCCATCTCGGGCTTGAAAGCGTGAGAAAGTGCAGTTCGGCATGCCGAACCGGAGGACTATGAGGAAGGACATATGTCTCTGGTAATGCAAGAGCAGATCGAATCGAAAGCTGTGCTGCACCTACTCTGCTTACGTTGTCCGAACGGCAGTCTCACACGGTATACCGACAGTAGTCATGGTCGGTCTTCAGGAGTTGCTCCCTCGCAACGGGAGCTGATGGGAGTCATGGTGGTTCTTGGGAAAGTCCTTGTGCTGACGATATTTGTAAGCTGCTAAGCCGAGCCATTGGGCTTCGACTATCCAATGCTGTCTGCTGCGGAGGATCTGTGGATCGATCAGTACCATTGCCTCATCTGATACGAGACGTCCTCGCCGTCCTCGCCGACCACTGCTATACCGGCTTGCAATCCCACATGTACTGGACATAGGTAGACGTTATACAGAGTGGTGGCCACAAACGAGTCCAAGCTTGCCTTTTCTTCAGCAACCGAGAGCATCCCCACATCTGGACGCTTCTTTGTCACTTGTCTCCGCAGTCGCTCAGTCATCAACACTTCTTTCGCATCCATTGCTCACTCAGTATAACAAACACAACATTCACATCACATACACCTCCCCGGCACTCCAGGAGCTCTTACTCAACCTATCCTTCCACTACCTCCTGGAGAAGTTGCTGTAGCCCTCGCACCTGCTATAATAATCGTCCACGTGCCCTCTGATCAAAATCTCCCTTCCTCCGACGTTTCAAAGCCGTGCCGAGGGACGAAGCCAAAGACAGCGGGCGATGCCAGATAGCGACGGTGTGACTGGCTCAACGACGAAACACAATGGCCGCAAGAGGCCCTCGCAGGGCAGAGTAGTGCCTGCTATCCCGCTGGCACTGAGCAAGTCCCGTCCGATCAAGAGTCAGCCGAAGGCAGAGGAGCTGCCATTGACAAGTGAGACAAATGCAGTGCAGGCGGTGCAGAGTAGCAGTAAGCCAGTAGATGGTGCGGATGGTGATGATGTTGTGCCTTCCACTCCAGAGACAAACGAAGTGAAGAGGGATGGTGACAGCGCGGAGCACACGACCAATGGAGTAAACCATTCAGCAACAGACACACCTGGGTCACGAGATAGTGTACAGACACCTTTACTCAATGGCGATGACGATGACGACTCGTCGACGGCTATCCTGCAAACACCGGCATCTGTAGAGACGACGCCTAACGAGGCAGCTCCGACTGTAGTGAGCCCATCTGGAGCTCGAAGATTTGATATGCGTCCTCTTCGAACCCAGCTTCCGCCTGCATTCGTGCCCTCCGCAGAACGCTACACGCCACAGTCTGCTTCTTCGCCTTGGCAAGATCAGCACCCTCACCTGCGAAACCGCACACATCACCCAAGCACAAGTAGCATCGTCTTTGGCGCGCACGACTCGTCGACCTCCTCGCCTCTCCCACCTCAGTCAGCCGACTCAAATGCCCAATCTCAACAATGGCCGCCACTAGGTGCCAAGCCACCGCCATCGACTTCTGCGCCATCCGCTCACGCTCACCATGCTTCCGAGCCATTTCCACTTCGAGGGCAGCAAGGCATACCACACAGTGCATGGCAGATGCGCCCGAACCACTACTCGCAGATGCAACAACACTTACCACACCCCGTCCATGCTTCCTTCCGCTACCCACCTCGCGAGGTCTTCACGCCTGCTGAGGAAGGCGCACCGAATAGGAACTACGCAAGATCTCGATCCATATCACAAACATCCGCCAAGGTAGCGAGAACCGGCGACGAACTGCAGTCACCTTTCGCTGGTGATGTGCCAGATGGTGTTAAGTACATGCCACGCGAGCACCGAGCGCCCTTTCAGCCAACTCCTCCGAATCTCAGACAGGCTTACTATGGTCAGGCGCCACCGTCATTCCCACAGCACGAGCAAACGCTGCGGTTCGAGAATGCGGAAGCTATTCGTCACCATGTTCAGTCACAATACGGCAATCCCTTGCTAGCTGACTGCCATTTACAAATACTCGAATACGGTGAGGGCGGTCAGCAATATCTCGATGCGCACAAGATCATACTCAGCCGCAGTCCCAGATTGCTCGACCTCATCCAGTCCAGCGATCCGCCGGCTTCGGCAGATCTAAAGCTACAAGTCCATATACCACTACGCGGGCCATATATCCGCATACGAGAACTTACCGAATGCATACAATATCTATACGGCGGACCACTAGGCGCGCTCGAGCAGCTCAGACATCCACATGCGACACCGGAAGGACCGATGAGCAACGATGAGCGGATGCAAGGTGCTTTGCAGTATGTCGCCACTGCAGCATGGCTCCAGCTACCCGTGATTGCAGGAAGGGCGATGGGCATCGCTTTGAGCTTCCTGCACTGGGACACTGTGCCTGCTGTTCTTGCTTTTTCGCTGGACGGTGGACTCGGCCCCGCTTTCACTGTTGAGGATGGTAGTGAAGTATCTTGCTCTTCAAGCGACGATTCTCTCGGACGACCAGACGGCATCGGCATACCCACATACGACCCTTACTCGACCGATCTACTGCATCGCGTCATCGACTTCACCGTCCACATGTTCCCACCAAACTTCTACCTCGACGCCGCAGCACCACAACTCCCTCCCTGCCCTCGACTACCCTCAATGCCACACTCACACGAAAGCAAAGCCTCGCGATCCGACCCCAGACTCAGCCAGATCCGCTTCGGGGAACTCTCACAAGAAGACCACGGTCGTCCATCAGCAGGCACGACAAACATCTCTAGCATCTTACTCTCCTTACCATTCGCTTTGCTAAAATGTATCCTGGAACATAATGGTCTGGTCTTTCAGCTCGGCGCGGATACCGTGGCTAGCATCATGCGGCAAGTCATTGCTGAGCGTGAAAATCGGCGGAAGAGGATCCTGACTGCTCGGACCGCAAGTCAGGTCCAGGTGCAAGATGGGACTGATTTGCAGCTGATACAGAATCTGTATTTTGAGGAAGCTGTGGAGCCATCGAGTCATCATCGTGCGGGTTTCAGGTTGGCGAGGAAGAAACGGGGGGTTGATACGCCGCCTTCTTCTGGCGCTGTTTCGGAGCAGAGGGAGTGATTCGTGGTCTTTAATTTTGGCGTTCAGCGATCTGTCTTTTCGTCGAGTGAAAGGGAAAGGAGATATTGTGGTTGCGAGATTTGCATAGCATGCACGGGGTGTTGGGCGGGGTGAGCGATCTGGGTCGCGACGTTTTGCAGCTTTTCTTGGATCTTTGGGCTGATCTACTGGGAAAAGGATAAGGTGAGGTATGCGGAGTGTAAAAAGAAGAAAAGTGTTTATGAGCGGGACTGGGCGAAGGTGTTCTGCGGCGTGAGGTGGAAAGACTTGGGTTTTGATTGTTTGCAGTCTTGGAAGCGAGGAGTAAGTGTCTAGGTGTGCCCGGGATGAAGTCGGCAGATTGTGCATATATGTTGTACAGCGCTGTGATGCGAAGGAGACCTGCTTGCTGCCTCCCCGTCGTCACATGCAGACGTAGTGCGCGATGTGCGACTTCCTAGATCGATCTATCTCTGTGCTCTATCACGAGGGGCCCATTGCCAGTACTGTCTGGCTCTGCAGAAGCTTGTGACCGCACCTTAAGGAGTACTAGGGTGGTGTGCACTCGCGCGAGAACCTCAGGCACAGTCAGACGTAACGCCTCATCCCATTGATCAACGCCTTCGTCATGTAAGTTCCCATAAGCCGTGTATGCATCTATTCATGTAATCAAGACAACATCCCGGCCTTGCCACCAGTCAAAGATGTTTCTTCGGATCGATGAAGCTATCCTTCTCGCCATAGTTGCCCTGGTGATGAGGTTAGCGCAAAAGCACATATTACAATTCGCACTGAGCGAACGTACCCAGATCCAATTCGACCACCCCGGACTGCCCTTCGCCGGCCTCTCCATATGAGACGGTGGAGGACGATCACGCTCGTCTTGCACACGATACTGCTCCGGATCCGGCATAGTCTCGTACCCAAGATCCTCGAACTCGGACTCCGACCGACTCTGGTGCATGTACCCGCTTCCCGAGTCCCGGGGCGCGAGGTATGATTTGCGAGATGATGGTCTACCGGGTGCTGGGGAGCGAGGCTGCGAACCGGAGGCGCCGGCTGTGGTTGATGTGTAGGCTTCGGTATCGAAGGCCTGGAGGAGAGTGCGGAGCCGCTCGCGTTGGGTATTGACGAATTCGTCGCGCTCGTGGCCGGAGAGTGTAGGTGGGATTAGAGTGCCTGAGCTTGCGAGGTCTCGCGCTTGCTCTTCCCTTGTCGTTGCGTCTGGGTATGTCGTTTGTGAAATTGCCTTCCCAAGTAGACTGAAGAGATCCGAAGTCCCTGCCGCGGCCAAACCATCTCGTGCGCTAGGCATGGTGAATCGACTGAGTAGATGTGTACTGTAGCTCACGTTCCTGCTAGGCGGAGGCGTAGGTTGCTTCGGTGCCTGACCCAACATGTTCACCCGGACATACTCGACACCCCTCTTCACAGCATCCATCCCTGCCGCCTTCGCCTTGGCATGACCCTCACTAATCATGCGATCAATCTGCCGCTCATGCTCTTCCAGGAATGGACTAATGTACTCTTTGTACAAGAAGACGGAACCCTGTTTGCCCGGCGCTACGAGGTAGAGGTGCACACCCAGGCGGATCCAGGAGTAGAAGGGGATCCAGTACAGGATGAAGTAGAGTTGGTTTTCAACGACGAGGAAGAGGGAGAGGGTCGTCCAGTACATGAGCCATGGGGCGAGATTGGCGGGGTCGGAGGAGCGGAGGGCTTTGTAGGAGGCGTAGACGGGGAAGAGGATGGAGGTTATAGAGCTGTGGACGGGTTAGTATGGACTTGTATGCCATTTGACGAGAGTGGTGTGCGCACGTGAGTATGTCAGCGATGAAGCCAAACATATTGGCGGGTGTCGTGTGCTATGCTAGTGATGGGAGACGGCTTTCCTTTTGCCGCGAGTATAGGGCCTTGTGTGAGATTTGACTTGCGAAAAGGACAAGTGGCCTGCACTGTAAAGGTGTTAGGTGAGGCAACGAGGATGAAAGGTGAAACGGAAGAAGAGGACGCTGGTCGTCTGCAGGGTACGCAGCTCTGGCCCCGCGCATAAACCTTATTTCTTATCGCTTTGCTTATCGGGGAAGTGAATGCATGAGCTGTGAGATCATGGTGTAGATTTAGCAGTATACACATGTTCTTGTGGTGAGAGACGCGATAGACGGAAGTGTCGACCGTACCCTCAACAGTCGAAGAGGAGAAGATGTAGAGAACAGGGCGTGCCCTTGATTCGGTCCTTAAATGTTAAAGATCGCCAAGCGTGCATGATTGACTCACTGTCAGTCTAGGAATCTACATCCGAGCATGACTCCAAACTACGAACAAAATGTCAATGGCATTCATGATATTAGATTCACCAACTTCTCAGCTTCAAAGTCATAGTCTCGCATCATGGACCTCGACATCCTCCCAGGGCAAGAAGCCGACGTCCCAGCCTACATCCGTGTCTTCAGAAATGCCTTCGCCGACCATCCCAGAATCCCCATGATGTGGCCTCTAGGCTATACAGCCGACTGGTATGCCTTCCACGAAGCCGACATCGTCCAGCAAATTCATAATGCGGACAATCACTTCATCAAGGCCATCGATACCAGGTCCAAGCAAATCGTAGCTGGCGTCGAGTGGACATTCGCACTTGACACGGCCGAGACAGCCAAGGATGTACCAATAGATCCAAACCAGCCTCCACCACCTGGCTGGCCCGATCAGGGCAATTGGCCAATGCGAATGTTCTTCAAGATGGAGTGGGAGAAATGGCGTCGGGAGCATCTTGCTGGAAAGCCATACATTTGTGCGTACCTGTCGTTTCCCATTATTCAGCTCGTACCTATGTTAATGTTATCCAACAGCGCTGGACATCCTGGTGGTCGATCCAGCTTGTCAAGGTCGCAAGGCCGGATCTAAGCTCTTAGCCTGGGGCTGTGAGCAAGCCGACAGGCACAGTGCGATGATGGTGTTGGAGTCGACGCCCGCAGGCTTAGCCCTGTATAAGCGCTTTGGGTTTCGCGAGATCACCGTGCTCAAGGCCAATATGCATGATTTCGGGTGGAAAGGGTATTATGATGAGGAGGCTGCCAAGCGAGTATGGATGTTGCGTGATCCGCAACGAGTGTAGACTCATACGAGTAATACAGTATGGAGGACAAGGGTAGTAAGCGGCTCTTGCTTAGTAGATGAAAGCCAAGCTCATACTGCCGATGCCGTCGCATTGTCATCAGCTTCAGGGTCCACACTCTCGAACAGAGCTGGTACATGCGTTCGCAAGTGTTCGAGCTGGTGATTTGATAGGGTACTTTCGAGCTCGTGTAACAGATCCTGGTTGTCAGATCCAAGCTCAAGTAGAGCCCGGTGTGCCCAGACAAGTATATCGCTCAGCTGTGTAGTAATCGTGTCCTTTGAGTCACCGAGAGGATAGCTACTAGTCCATTCCACGTCAGTTGATCCCGCATCATCCGCAGCGCGTCCAACCTCGATCAGAGCGCTGTGCAGTACAATGCGAAGCGTCGCAGAGTTTGGCCGCAGACCTCCATACATGGCCACCAATTTCTCCTTGGCGGCGGGGATTCGCAGGACGGTCCGTTGACGGTGAGGATGATCAAGCGGATTCGAACGTTTGCGAGCGGACCTGGAAGAATTATGTCTTCTGTGGGCGCTGCGCACACTAGCTGGCCAAAAGGTACTGACAAGCTGGTGGGCAGCAGTAGCACCACGAGTATTTGCTATGCTCTGCAGGACGATATTGAACGCTTTCACGTCCGACTTGAAGACGAAGTGGTCCGGGAGCGATGCAATCGTGGTGGTAAAGTCTGCCCATTCTTCATCGACAGTGGCCAAGATTGTACATAGTGTCTTAATCCTTTCACCGTCTCGTGAACCTCGTATCCGCTTCTCCTCGCGCTCTGGCATAAACATGCTGTGGAAAAGTTGTCTTGCAGCTACTAAATCTTCTTTGCGTGGGTCATCTTCACGAGTGTCAGACTGGTACTGGAGCTCAAAAATGGTACGAGCAACATGAGCCAAGTTGATAGTACTCCAGCTTTCTTGCATGTTTTCAGAAAGGGTCTCGAGGATCCGTTGTGCAGCAGGCCATCTCCTCATTCCGACCTGCACGTCGAAGAAGGACTGCAGTACTTTATGCGATAAGGTTGGACCGGATCCTGTCTCTTTGTTCTGGCTGGCCTTTGCTTGCACTACTTTCACCAGGAGAGCATTGTCGTGTGCTGCTGTCGCGAAGCGGATGAGGGCAGGTGCCACAGCAGGGTCCTTGTACATATGCTCAGGTATCAGTGGCCCGTCTACTTCGTCGTTGTACAGAAGCCACCTCCCATATTCAAGCGAATTAGCGGCCGTCGCCAATTCCAGCAGCTGCCCGAGTGCGGTAGACGGAATCTGCAGTCCGAACGCTGGATAGTCTATTATGCTGTAATTGCCAGTGAACAGTGGACTGCCTTTTATCCGCCGCTGTTGCTTACCCTCCCCCTCGAAGCGGAAGAAGTCTTGAAGAGACCTCTTTTTGTTTTCATCGGTGTATCGCTGTAACATGAATATTACGTGGAAAGCACCCGCAAGATCGCCAGCTTTGATCTTGGTTCGCAAGACCTGATGTCCTATGCCGATGGCGGCTGCACTACCATCACGTACATACGGAGGCAAGCGTTGTGTGTTCTTCGAGTTTACTTCAACCCCAAAGCCAGGAGAGAGCCCGAGAATCTGTTGAAAAGCATGTATGCCCAGTATATCGTCAGCGCGTGACTCAAAGAGTCGAAGGACTACGGCATCCCACGATCCTCCCCCAAGCTTCAGGCCGGATCTGTCGAGAAAGGCTCTGGCCGCATTCAGCTGCTGGGTGGCTGACACAGTGAGCACGACTCTACTGTCTTTCGCTGCATCAAGCTCGCTAACCAGCGCGTCTACATATGCGTTGACGACCTCGCTGCTGATGGTCCGTTTCACGTCGTGTACTACTGGGTCTTGATCCATGTTATGAGGTGCCTGAGTGTTGAATATGTACTCGAGCTTATCCCAGTTCCTTAAGGAGTCGTTTGCATCGGGCAGCAGCGAACGCCAGGAAATTGCCTTCCACTGTGGCTGAGGTTGTCGGTAGACGGTTTCGAGAATAGCCAGACCTTCCTGTACCCACTCGCCATGCAGACAGGACCACAATATGAGCTCGAGCCATATCTCGGCACTCAACCCGGACACATGGATGCGATATGCGCTACCAGGAATTTCTGGTCGCAAGGGCAGGGATTTGTTACCATTAGCTTTCGCTTGATCGAGCACGATCTTCTCATGAGCCCTCCAAGCCGCATCGGAGAGTGATGTCAAGATCCGAGAACTCAACATATGGAGGGTTGGGGGCTGCTGAATCGCAGTTTCATCAAGGCGGGGTTTGCGGCTGTATATCGATGTAGGCATGATTCCCGAGTGATGTAGATATGCGATGATCTCGAGAACTTCGGGCTTGACGGGGCCGTCCGCACATGCGATGATCATGGCTCCAAGACTACGCCAAATGACGCCGAGTACATTACGTCGAAGTTCTCCCCGGAGTTCTGTGGCTGTCACCTCGGTGGTATGGCCGAAACCAGCATCTAGAGTATCGAGTGCGTGGGGTGATAACCGTTCCGGCTCAGACAGAGCTGTTTCAAGCTCGATGCTTTCCTTGGTCAATTCGTCCAGAGAGATCTGACCGTTCCAGATGGTAGGCACAGGAGAAGTCTCATCCTGCAAAGGCGATTTCGGACCTAGCGCATCGACAAGGCTCTTCACTAGCCAGACGACCGCTTGCCATCTACCTTGCTGTATACCAAGATCGTACAACAAATCGGCACCGCCTCCGGAAGCAGGCCGCCTTCGAGCCACGTACAGGATGCGCCCTTTCTCTGCTCCATCTTGGATGCCAGCGTTCAGGCTATGGTACTCAGGCAGTCGTAATTGTGGTGGCAAACAGGCTTCTAACAAAGACGCCCATGCTTTCACATCGTTCCTGTCATTGCGTGCCGGGAGTTTGGGAGTCCCTTGTGGTTTGGTCGCGACCAGGCCATCCGGTTTCTGCTCACGTCGTGGTAGAGCATCACCTCTGGCGTGTGTACGCTTCGTCGGTTTTGCAAGCACTGGGCCGGATATTTGCCTGGCAATGAGCGGCCGCCAGTTTGATACACCCCGTGCTATGCTCCGACAACCACATCGTAGCATTGATGATTAGATGGAAAATATCGATAAAAAGAAAGAGATGAAGTGTGGCGGACATGATGTCGGGCATCACCAGATTCGCGCTGCCGACGCGGCCGCCTTGAACGCGCTGTTTGCCTGAACTTCGACTTCAACTCAAGGTACCAGAACAAACAACGCAAATTAACCTTCCGCTATTTCACCAACAAGTATTGTACATAACTGCTCCAAATCCTCCTCACTCAACGCGCCCAGCGTCAAGTGTAAGAGCGCCTCAGGCTTGTGCGACGGACATAATCAGTGCAAACACTCGGCGTATTGACAATGGCGTACCGCCTTGGTACCTTATTGATCTCTTCGGACAACAACTTGTGGAGCTCTCAACTAATCAAGATTACAGAAATCTCTCCGAATGCCCGTGCTGTCTGCAAAGCGACGAAATGCAAGGACAACAAAACCAAGATCCTGAAGGGCGAGATCAGGCACGGTGTTATGGTCACCATCAATGAGCACCAGGGCTATCATTATCGCCACTGGTGTGTTCGCACTCACTCCCAATGAGACCGACTACTGACAATAGACAGGGGTTGCGTGACGCCTCTGGTCATACATAACTGGAAGGAGAGCTCAGGTGGCGACATGGAAATGGTTGATGGCTTTGAAGAGCTCCCTTCGGACGTGCAGGAGAAGGTCAAGCGTGCGTTTGAGCAGGTTCACGTTGATGACGAGGACTGGAATGGTGTAGGCGAACTGCCATTTCGATGCTTCCCTTCTCAACGCTGACATTGTATTCAGGATCCTGAGATGAACAGGTACACTGGAAAGGCTTCGGGTATGTTCAAGAGGCAGCAGAAGAAGAAGAAAGGCGTAAGTAGCATGATTCTCCTGTCGTTGACACGACTAACACGACGCAGAAGAATGCTGAGGGCGAGGACGAGGACGAGGACGAGGACGCCGACCCTTCTCCTACCAAGAAAGGGTCTAAGAAGCGTGGTGCTGCCGCCACTGCCACCGCTGACGATGATGTTGACGACAAGCCGGCTAAGAAACCTCGCGCGAGAAAGGCTGCGACGGCCGCCACAGACGATAATGAAGAAGACGAGCCTGCTCAGCCAGCCAAGAAAGCCAGGAAGTCGAAGAAGGCCCAGGATGACGACGTCGATGAGGTGAAGCCGAATAAGCCTGCCACTAGGAAGGGCAGAAGCAAGGCGGCGCAATCCTCCGACACTGTCGAGGCTGATGAGGATGAGACGCCCAAGCCAGCTACCGCTAAGAAGTCGAAGGCGAAGAAAGCTGCAAAGGCTGTCGTTGAGGACGACGGAGACGAACCAGAGGCGGAGGAGCAGCCTAAGCCGCAGAAGGCCAAGGCTAAGGCCAAGGGCAGGGCCAAGAAGGCTGCTGCTGTTGACGAGGAGTGATGCGAACCGAGACTGACTCCGTCTCTGCACCTCGTGGGTGGCATTCCGGTCGCCATATGAGCTGGAGTACTGCTGCACTATGGGCGTGCGTGTTTGCTCGCTGCCCATTGCCTGCTACAGCACATCGCTGATTGCTTCGAGATCTCGAACATGTATTATCATCTATTAGCTCGATACCCATTATGCATACCTTTTATTTCGGCCTCTGCCCTCCGGATTTGACTTTGTCGTTCTCAGCATCGATATACTACTCATGATGCGGATTTGGATGCCCAGGTCCCCAAAAATCATGGGTTCGACCTTAAAGGAACAATGCTGGTCATTCTGCGCATGGTTTACGACTTCCCGTTTAGGCCGGCAGCCGAGCCGAGGCGATTTGTTTCATGACGTTGTCTTCACTTCCCTTTCTTCGCTCATCGGATACACCGTGGCCCGGGCATGTTATTGGTTTGCACATGCTAGTGGCGTATGATTGTGATTTAGATAGCAAGGTGGGATACTTTCCGTTACCGTACATTCATTTCCCGTTCGCGCTGTCTCTGACCGCCTCTCCTCGCAACATTCGAGCATACTGACATTCAGATACACTGTATTCATCATGGACTCTCCGCTTGGACTCGCCAAGTTCCTGTTCCCACAGGTCCCTTCACTGGCAAACACGGCAGTATGGCATTCCCTGGGCATGACCGAGACGTCCTCGAAATGGGATTTACGAACGACCCTTACCGTCCAGGTATTACGGACAATGATGTCAGGCGGAGGCAAAAAGCCTACGACGACCATCGGCAAGGTGCAAGCTGGGACATTGAAGGATCCAGGAATCAAGGGCAAGATTTGGGTGGCCAAGTCCACGATCAAGGCGCCGAAGCCAGATGAGGAGGGCGTTAGGAATGCGATCTTCAAGGCGATCGATGATATGAAGGAAGGTGAGGTCAACTACACCAAACCAGACCTGGTGGACACTGAGGTGGAATGGACGGGCTATCGACCAAATGCTGGCAAGGAGGAAGCCTTGCCTGATGTCAGTGAAGAGGAGAAGTATAAGCGACTCCTAGCGGAACCCTCACGAACCAGCGAAACGACCATACTGTATTTCCATGGCGGAGCATACTATCTCTGCGATCCATCAACCCATCGCGTACTTTGCAGCAGACTAGCTAAGGAGACCCATGGACGTGTATGCAGCGTGCGGTACCGACTAGCACCACAAGCAGCTTTCCCATCACAATTACTGGACGCATTTATGATGTACCTATCTCTGCTCTATCCACCACCAGGCTCGCTACACGAGGCAATACCAGCAAAGAACATCCTTATAGCTGGAGACAGTGCAGGCGGGAATCTTGCCTTCGCCCTTCTCCAACTTCTGCTACAACTACATCGGACCAGCGACCAACCTAAAGTGCAGTTCCATGAGAAGGATGTAGATGTCCCACTACCAGCTGGAACATGCGCAAACTCCGGCTGGTTCGACATAAGCCGCGCCATGCCATCGATCACAAACAATGCCAAGTACGACTATTTACCGTCTGCGAATCACGACGATTCTGTGTCTCGCTTCCCAAAAGACAATGTTTGGCCCACGAACCCTCCACGAGGTGACCTCTTCTGCGATCTGAGTCTACTGGATCACCCATTGGCCTCTCCACTGGCTTCCGAGAGCTGGGAGAAGTCGCCTCCGCTGTGGATGTGTACTGGCACAGAATTATTGACGGATGAAGATAAGGTCGTCGCAGCTCGTGCAGCATCGCAGGGCGTGAAAGTGCAGTATGAGGAGTACGAAGCCATGCCGCATTGCTTTGCTATGCTCATACCTTCTTTGGCAACAGCGGAAAGATGTATGAAGAGTTGGGGCGACTTTGCACGTAGATGTGTTGAGGAACCGGAGAGTGTGAAGACTAATGGGACCTTTATCGAAGCGAAGTCTGGCAAGGAGAGTGAGGTGGATGTGAGCAAAGTCACGGAGTTGAGTGTTGCACAAGCTAGGCAGTACATGAAGGAAGCTAAGGATAGGAGACTCCAAGGCTACGAGAAGGAGGGCAAGACTATGCCGAAGCCAGCATTGTAATACATCATGTTTTGAAGCATAGCTTGGTTTGGGTTAGATCGCATTATCAGATTCTGTCTTGCGGCCTATGTTGACAAAAGACTTTCACACGAATCACACAAGTACGGATTGACAAACTCTCAAAAACTTGCCAAACAATACTGAAATAAAATGCGTTTAGTGGACAGCGATAACTCAGAAAACAATGTAAGGATGGGAAACGATTTCTCTGCATATGAAGTATCTCGGAAATGTCATATTCATATCGTTACACTACTATACAATATAGATCTCGATTGTTTAGAATCACATACGACAGGTTCTTAGACTACCGCGTCCTTGGTAGACTTGTCCTGCAGACCCTCGGTGGCACCCCTGCTAGTGCCGTCATTGGGACCTGGCAGGCCCTCCTCATCACCTGGATCGGTGTAAGCGCCCTTTGACTTGGCCGCACCACGAGTGCGGGCGTCGACGATGTTGTCCTTGTTGATGGCATCCTTGTCGTCCTTCTCTAGTGGGATGTTAGGAAGTGTCAAATTGACCTGATTAAATGCATTCAGAACTCACCAAGCTGTGCGTCGCTGTCCTCGGTCGCTGGGTTGACACCGCTCTCTATCGAGTCCTCATCCTTCTGGACTGGGATGGGGGCCTGCTTCTGGCCAGTGCGGCTGGTGTAATCGTTGTCGCCGTCAAGACCAACAGGCACTTCGTTGTTGGATGCCGACATATTGCTGATATTGGATGCGAGATCTGTTTGTAGAAGGTGGTTGTTGGATAGTTGGTGATGTGTAAATGGCGGAGTCTGTTTATGGGAACGGAAGCATGTGTACATATATGCCTACCTCAAGGTCAATGCCCATCACAATGGTTGCTGGACGTCACCGCTCCTCCTCATCTTCAGACGCCAAATGTCGAGTGTCATACTGATGCAAGCACTTCGTCTTCGCGCCATTGCAGACAAGCGTGAAGACGATCACTGCAGGTTGCCGGAAGCCTATATGATTTTAGACGACCTACAGATCTTGCCGGAGCCACAGCCATCGACGATCCAAGAACCCTGTTGTCAGCCTCAGGGACAGGGCGCCCAATCAAGTCTGCGGTTGGAGCATTGTTGTGATGGATTGCGCACGAAAAAAGGGCTGGCAGCTGTTGAGAAGATGTCATGGACAGGACGAAGAGGGCCTAGTGCAAGGAACGAGATCTAAAGATCGTACGCTAATGCACGCACTTCATCGGAAGTGACCCCCACAAGATCGGATACTTTTATGACGCGTACTGTTCGTGTGCCCATGACTATGGGGGAGATGCGGCCGTACTATCAAACGACCTGGGCGTGTGAGATGATGTCGAGATGACATACTCGATTGTGTTGATCATCGTCTGCAGTGTTACAGCTCTGAATCATGATGTAGTCTTGAGGAATTCATAGCATGGAAGGAAGCACGAGAAGCTATCTCGACTTAACCACTTGTGGCGAGACCAGGTTGCTGGTAAACTAGACTCTGGTATGTTCTAGGATCTGACCGTGTTGTAGCCATGCTTCGTATTCACAGCATATATCCTTGCTATCTCCCATATAGTGAGCCACACACTCAAGCTCGCTTGCCGAATTGTTTGTCGAAGTCAGTCAGAACGACACGATATCTGACATCGTTCTCCTTGACCTTCTTTGCCGCATTACTGCAGCCCTCTTCACTGATTGGAATCTTCTCGATCCACGACGAGATGTCCTGCTTGGCGGCAAGCTCAAGCCTGTAGAGACGTTAGCATTTACGTCACACATCCAATTAACAGTGTCGATTGGCTCCTTACATGGCTTCCATCTCTTGTCGGTTGCCAAGATGAGATCCTCCAAGATAGCAGCCGTTCGGAGCAAAGTCTTGCGCCATGAGCTGGGAAGGGTCAGTAAAGCTAACAACGAATCGTCAGATATTTGTATGTATACCTGTGGCAGTGGTGCATCTGGTAGGCCAACAGTGTGGAAGCGACCCATTACCTTCAGACAGCTGAAGTAGTTGCTCATGTTGAAGTCCTTCATGACGTCCGCAGTATTGAGTATGAAGTCTAGAGTCTAGAATAGGTCAGTGTGAGCCCAAGGGGTTTCATGTGTTGTACTCACAAATGCCAGAGGCTTCTGCCAGTCCTTTTGGTTAACATCGATGAAATGCGAAGCACCAAGTCTAGAGAAGAACGGTCAGCCCCTTCTCGTGACATTTATCCGGACAAGTCACGCTCACTTCATAGCATCCTCCTTCTTCGACGCAGTGTGCGACAAGACATAGACTTCCGCTCCAAGTGCCTTCGCCCACATCACGGCGTAATGACCAAGGCCACCAAGACCGCTAATTCCAACCTTCTTCCCAGGTCCGCAACCCAATCTCACCAGCGGGCTGTACGTTGTGATGCCAGCACACAACATCGGCGCGGCAATATCTGAATCCAACGCATCTGGGATTTTGAAGACGAAGTAATCCTGGACGCGAATATGGCTCGAGAAACCGCCTTGTGCCACCGTGCCGTCGTTGTGCTTTGCCCCGTAGGTGTCGACCATATTCGGGCAGTAATTCTCCTGGTCGGCTTTGCAGTTGACGCAGGTGAGGTCGGCGCCGATCTGGGCACCAGCACCGACACGGTCTCCAACCTTGATGCCAGTCTTGACGCCATCGCCAACCTTGATGGCGCGCCCGACGATCTCGTGGCCAACGCAGATTGGCAGTGGGCAGTCGCCCCAACCTGATGACCTCGTCAGCCCTTCGACTCCCAGTACGATGCCGTGGATGCAGCAGGTCCTGATGAGATCACCTACCGCCAGTGATGGTATGAATATCAGAGCCACAGACACCGCAACAGTCGATAGCAATGTCGATGTCCCGGTCTTCGAACTTCTTCATTGGGAACTGTGCTCCGCGTAAGTACTCGTACACTCGGTCTCACAAGCGTGCATTCTGCAATGATCATTCGTACCTCTTCTTTCTTGAACTCGGTCCTATCGAGCAAGGAATATGTTAGTCGCTGGGCTGCGTCGCTAGAGACTTTCGTGCTGGATTTCACCTACCACTTCTTCTGGTCGTGGACCATGAAGCCCTCTGCGGTGTCCGGGTAGCCCATGGTGCTTGAGATCTTCAGACGCTTGATTTGAGGTCTTTTGTGAGGATGAGATACAGATGAAAAGAGTACGAGTGAGGGCTCGGGATTTACTTATCAGCACCGTCGAAGAGACATATATCGTAAATAGTCTACCATATCTCCTAGTCAGGCGAGCACCCACTCGACTACTTCATTTCCTATTGTGCCGTCATTGTGACCTATGTGCTCGGCCACACATTTACGACGTCAAACTCTGTTTCTTGCGCACTCCAGGGTGGGAAGCCTTCCCTCTCCGTATTACATGGCCTGGAAGTTGCAACCGGGATTCGGTTCATCTTCAAAGGTGTAGGAGAAGATATGTAGGTCACTTACCCGACAAGCATGAAAGACGATTGTCATTCAAGTCCTCGCACAGTCTTAGCCATCAATGTGTCCACGGACATAAAATAAGCAGCTCTGCATGTGGAGTTTAGAGCTCATATGCTGCTAGAAGGTGGCCAGAAGAGCCGCAGGATCGTCATGGCCGCCGTCGCCGCGGCCTGTCACGTGAAGACACTCCCGGGCATCTCCGCAAATGCGGACCAAGACAATCGCGACTTTCACATATTAATAGTCACTGGCATTGTTGGCCTGCGTCTGCCAGTGCTGTCGATAGAGCTGTCAATGCTGCGACAGCGAGGAACAAGATGGTCTCTTCACTTTCTGCACCCGGACCACCTCGGACACCTACGCCGCCCCCTGACACTCAAGTCTTCACCTCCAATGGCCTTGGCATAGACGGCAACGAAAACACGCCGCCTGCGATCCACACTGACCACGACTACGACATACAGAAAGGTCTCACTGACTCGCCGGACAAGTCACGACATGACGCGAACAAGGCCGAAGATACCATGGGCTCTTTGCTCTCGCCGGCGAGTGCGACGTTTCCTGGAAATGCCTTGAGCCCGCAGAGCACATACTACAGTCCAGTCACGCCACAGACTGCTAGCACAGACGGCGGCTTTGCAAGTGTAGACAATGGCTCGACCACCAGCAATCCGTTTAACTTCACTACGGTGCAGTACACCTCGGGGAAGAACAGTATTAGCAAGAGTGAGGCGCTGGGGCGAAGAAAGGGGCACAAGTACCGACACTCTTCAATACATGCCTCAGCAATGGACTCGATCTTTCAACCTCCTGTTCCAAGGACTCCGCTCAGTGTGCCAGCCTCACTACCTATGCCCACGAGAAAGGAGGCGTGGTGGAGCATGACGTCTAACCAGACGGCACGGTTGACGTGGTGTCTTGGACACTTTCTGATCTCTGCGTACGTGCAGTTCTCCGGCGCTGGTTCGCTGGCTATGACCGCTTTGTCTAGACTACTTCTATTCGATGCAGCAGGTGCCACGGTGTGTGTAGCAGTGGATGTAATGGGCAATTTCGAGGTATGGAAGCGAAGCTCGATCAAACATCCATTCGGCTTGGAAAGGGCAGATGTGCTCGCTGGTTTTGGCATGGCTGTTTTCATCACGTTCATGGGCCTCGATATTATCAGCCATGGGATCCAGCATTCCCTGGAGAATATTGGGCATCACGAGTCCCACTCAACGCACTCGCACGAGCGTGTCGCAGCTGGCTCAGTCGACATCAGCTCCCTGCTGTCCATTGTCAGTACCTTGGTCTCTGCCGTGGTGCTGAAGAACCATGCTCGCATTGGTAAGGCCATGCGATTGGAGCTGATCGCTGGCTGGGGCAGGATCCTGGGCAACCCGAGTCACTTCCTCACACTCTCAGCTTCTGCTCTGCTGCTTATTCTCCCGTTCTTGAACATGCAGAGCTACAAGTACTTTGACCTGAGCTTCTCGCTAGTCATTGCCGTACTTATGATCACGCTCGGGGTGCGGCTCGGCACCTCTCTAGCAAGCATGCTGTTGATGAGCTACAAGTCTGGTGCGGAGGATAAGCGTGCAGTCCGATATGTGATCGACGAGATCGAGACGGATCCTGGAGTTAGTGCTGTCGAGGAGGCACGCTTCTGGCAAGTGCACTACGGATTGTGCATGGCGAATCTGAAACTGAGATACAGAGATGGCAGTGGGTATGGTGATGAGATGACGAAGATAAGACAACGAGTTACGAGCTTGATACGGCAACGGCTTGGAGAGACGAAGGGCATGCATTGGGAGATCAGTGTACAGATGGCTGTAGAGCGTGACTAGTCAGCTATATTCACTGTCGCCCACGAATTGCACAATTGTTCGTGTGGCCATATGGATCCTCGTATGTCCAACGCGAAAACGAGGAACGTGGGAACTTTGATATGATCTCACAAACACGTGACTTCCCGGCTGCTCCCGCTCGTGCATATAGAAGCATGACGCACTCGGAGCCTCGAATCGCCCACTTCCACCTGCTTTGAAACAAGACAAAGCCATGGCCGTGCCAGCACCAAGTTTATGGTCAGTTGACAGTGGCGCAGGAAGGATGGCTCACTCGTGATCCAGTCAGGGTAATCACGTTCCTGATTGAGTGACGAAGCGTGCGCATGGCGTTGGCCACGGAAAGACCAGGTGACTCGACTCGCGTCTGTTGTGGCGCCTGCTTATCTTATGCACTCCACAGAACCGAAGTGTCCGATTGCGCCAGCAGGAAGCTCGAGCTCGGATCCTGAGCTTGATTGCGCGCGTAGGACCGCGGCCGGATTGATAGAGACGATATCAGTCAGTGCCTTGTTGTGATGACTCTGACGTGCCCTCTTTGTTCACCCAGAAGAACCTCGTAGAATCAACTTCAGTCAGAACAATCACAGCAACCGTCCCAAGCAAGCAAGCACGTGCAAGTCGTCTTAGACAAGCATCAGCAACAGCTTCAGCCGTGCCTTACTCAACCGACCAGTGACTCCGCTTCATTGAGTCACGCCCATCATCCGTCGTACCTCTCACCACAGTCACGCAACTCGTCACGTAGCTTCTGTCCAGCTCCTTTGTCCCTCAACAACACCATCCTGAGCCAAACCCTAAACAAAGCAGCGCCTTCGAGGTACTACAATCCCAATCCAGCTCAACCATCAGGTTAGCTCCAGCTTGCAACCCACCAACAAGACCGACTACCACCACAGTACAACCACCCTTTGTGAATACCATCGCAATGTCCTCTGAGCAGACCTTCTCCACCTCCGACCTCCGCAGCACTGCTCAAGACTACAAACGCGATGCGGCGCGTAAGCATAAGTGGCAGCTCGGCAGCAACACCACAACTGGCAGGGCCGCTGGTGGAAAGCCTCGCCCACACCGTCCTTCTGAGACGTATGCATCATCCCCAACTTCCTGCTTGCACCAGTTCTTTGCTGACTCCTCGTAGCGACTACAACGCCAAGCGCCGCGAGTCCAAGGGCGCTGTAGCTGCTCTCCAGAACGGTGCCAAGGTCGCCCGCAAGCAGGACGTGCTTGATGGTACTGCCATTTCCGACGACTCCAGCAACTCCACCTCCGACTACGATGATACTCCCTCCCCTGCAGTCGATCCCGCAGTCATGTACTCCTTCGACGCCGCTCGTGGTCCATCCCAAGGCAGCCAGATCCTTAACACTGCTCTTGCAAACGCTGTTGCGAAATTCGAGGATCGTGAGACCGTCAAGCTGGTCAAGAACGAGTACGAGATCCTGGATGATGAGGGTGAGAGCATTGGTTTGACGCCAGTCAAGAAGAGCAAGAAGGTCAAGGCTCCGGCTATGATCGTCCCGGATGCCGATGAGGACTACGAGCTCGTCTAAGCTGGCGAGTCCACTTTCTCATACATGGCGATGGACGGCCTCACACTCTCTTGCTCTTGCTCACGGCTCTTACGACCTTTGATGAACCTCCAGGTTTTGCATACGGATAGGTCGGATGGCGTTCACTAGCATGATCATGAGGGAAGCGCACACGCGAGGCGTTTTTCGAGGATGTGATATGCTGTAGATCCTAGACGAATCTGTAATGTTAGCTCTAGCAGCGCACAGTCTGCGCATTATCCCGTTTTGGGAAGACTGCAATGCATAACCATTATGCAGTCAGATACTTGTCCTTCGATCTTACTTAGTCGTGACTCAGGCACCCAGGCCATTGTCGCCTAAGGAAGCCATTGTTGTGCCAAGCCCGAGTGCGATGACTCTTCCGGCTGCACCCAGATCATCATCACTACCGCGTGAATTTCATCGACAGGAGGTCGCAAGAGTATCACATACTGTTCTGTGCGAGGCCTAAAGTCGTCCTCGCGGTAAACGACACAGCTCAGACCCAGAGAACATCAAAATCACCATCGACTTGCGAATCTGCTTTCTCAGCGGACACGGTCAGACATCAGAAGATGTAATCCAGGAGCTCCTCGCAATTGATCGCACTGCGCGATTTTGGGTTGCAGGTTGTGTTACAACGCGAACACATGGCCGGTCATGACGTTTGTTCACGTAGATTCGTCTCTGGATCCTGTGGCCTGAAAGGAGACAGACACTCCTGGTTCCAGCATGGCTGGCACTCTCTCAAGTATCGCAACTCCAAATGGGCGAAGTGATCGACTTATCTCAACGACTCTGCTCGTGGGCCCGCGAATTTGACTGCTTCGAGACAGACGAACTCCAGCTTGTCGAAATTCTCCTGGTGGGCTTTCTGTTGTGTCTAGCCCAAATCAGCCATGTTTTGGGCGTGACTAAGCACCGCATATTTTGACAGCACATTGCTGCAAGACAGACAGCTCCGGTCAACATCCCGACCATTCACGCTCGAAGCTCTCACCAGGGAAGAAGCTTTGGCAGCGGAAGTATAGTAGCTCACTGTTTGCTGCACGAAATTTTGAAACGCCCCCTGGTCGAATAATTTCTATTGCCAGGCGGTCTTTTAGTGAATGACTCTGATCGCCCACTCAAGGACATGTCTGCGATACCAAGCTCATACGATACGACAAGCCCGTCCTGTGGCGACTGACAGTGCTCGCATGGCCATGAGTAACAGGGATCACAGCACCTATGGCGCAACAACGCACCTTGATCAAGCTAGCACAGGACTCTGAAGACGCTGCATCCGGCCTACACGTATTTCGGGACAGTCTACCACGCCATGCAAACCGGGTCACTGGCATCATCGCAGGGCTGTTCGCGATCAGCTCGTCCTTACGCCAGCTCGATACTGCTGAGCATGACCCACGCCTGGAGCCTTCCTTCTATCGCATCCGGCAGGATGTTGCTATGCTTCTACAGAGCTTACAAGCCAGTATCAATGAAGTCTTCAGCATGTTCAGGCGGTCACGCGATCGGTCGAGACAGATGGTGTGGGAGGATCTCGAGCACAAGATGAACGATGAAGAAAGTTTTGGACTGCTTGAGCGTCTCAGCTGCTATCGTGACTTCCTCAATGCTCAACTGCAGACCGTCACTGGTGCGCCACCACACGGTCTGAGTGAGCTCCGGAGGCGTATGACCGATCTGAGGTACGCTCAACGGCTTGAAGCCATACGTGTCGACCAGCCGAATATAGCAGGTACCATGCCTCGTCTACCTTTCATGCACATGCAGCAGCTGAGATGAGCTCAGGAGCCCGCACACCACGACCCCGACCACCTCAGCCCCGTCCGCCACCGATACCACCCTTCCCGGCAGAGTTTGAAGTATCTCTGAGTCCAGGAACAGAGTTTGTCTATGACTTCGAGGACTGGGATGCCAGCCGGCCGCGACCACCCGTGCCAAGCCCGCCTCAGATGTCACCAATATATAAATCTAGCCCCTCTCCTACTTTTTCATCGAGCTATACATCCTATTCGACCGGGCCTGTCGTACCTGAAACCATCAATCACTGGGTGCAGCAGATCTATGATGGTAACAATCCTACGACTAGGTTCAGACCTGCCTGTCGGCTGTATGTTTTATTCCCTCGGCCAAGAGCAAAGCTGACCGTGATAGGCCTGAGCAGTCTCGGTGCTACGGAGGCACCGACCACCTGGCGCTTCAACATCTAGCTCAAGATGGCTTTGTTCAGGCTCTGGAGTTGTTAGTATTTCGACGGACGCTGTACATGACTAAGCTCCTGACTGACGGCACAATAGACCCTTCGATCGTGATGGGATGCACGTGCGCCTGTACATCCGGCTACACGATTCTCGATCACGTGTGCTCGTCCTAGGCAGAGACAATGTCGGCCGTGCTTTGTACTTCTGCCAACCTGTGGCAAACCTGAAGGTCATACGTGACATGTCCTGCCTACAGCTATGCCGCGCTCGTACCGATGGCAGCTATGAGCCATGGGCTGTCCTGAACTTTGTTCTGTACGAGCGTAGGTCTAGGAAATCGTGTGGGCTGAGCCAGTACTGTACTAACTCAGCACAGGTATGGTCCTTTTCTACTGCACCTTCGTGGCCATGAAGTATCAGGATCGCCGTGGCCTCCCAGAACAATCGCTCCACGACCGTCTAGAGCTCGAAGGCCAAGGTGGCGAGGTACTACTATTTGGCGGCGTCGTACATCACGATAACATGCAGCACGCCTTGCGACTCTTTCGCGATTCGACGTCTCACGTGGTGCGTATCGAGGCATCAGCTCACCGTGGGTCCATGCAAGATGTACCCATCTGGACAGCGTTTGTTACCAAATATGCGTATGCGTGTGATCTTGATTGGGCGCAATACGAGGGCAACGGGTCGGTGAGTCTGGCTGCCCTGAAACCTCCGCCGTATGTTTTTGCATCACAATATAAGCCTCCGCGCAACAGACGTGGAGAGTATGTTCTCTCGTTCACTAGTAGTCGAGGTATGTGGTTTACATCTACGTCTTTGCGGGATGTTTGCTGACCACCTCGCAGATGGCAGACAGTTCGTCGAGGCTTGGAACGGGCTGTGCAGAAGTCCACCACCTGAAGGTTGACCTCGGAAACGTTGCGATCATCTCGATCTCGCTCTGCTCAATCATATCCACCAAGGCTGCTGTCGCATAGCCTTTGGAAATGACGTCTCGGGATGCATGAAAGGGCCTACATGACGAGGACTGCTCGAAGCGCGCGCAGTCTTTCCGCTTCAATGTCCATCTCGCTGCATTTGAACCATCACCACCACTCTGCTCGGCTGACTATCGCCACTTCATTGCTGCTCCAGCACCAGCAGCGAGATACCATGTATCGGCAAAGAGAACTCCAACTCCGCCTTACCATCACTCAACTGTACATTCGTCGGCTTGCCAAGGGTCCCCAGCATACCAGCGGCCTTGAGCTCCGCAACTTGCGCAGCCGTGGTATTCTGAGGTGCTCCCAACTCGAGCCACTTAGTGTAAGCATTGCTGTGGCTGTTGTCGATGCGATAGTGTGTCAAGCGCGCCGACTGGCAGCCAGGCCACTGTTGGCTCAGCCCCCTCACATCCAGTGTGATATCGGCATCAGGCTTTGGCAGATCATCGTCATGGTAATTCCATACCATGATCGCCAAACTGTGCTCGGTCTCGTTCAGCGCTGCAAGCACGCCTACATCCGGCTCGCCTCTCACGCTATCGCTGAGTATTGCGTCGAGAGAGATTTGGCCAGTACTATTCGCATCGACACGCTGACCAGTCATCTTGCCAAACATCCTGAAGACGTTGAGGATAGGCTTGTCGATCTGGTTGGTGGCTAGTACCCGGAAGCCGTCAAAATATGGATGATCATCGAATTCGAATGCCCAGGTCAGTGTGCCCTCCAGGTTGATGCCATATCGTTTCGCCAAGTCAATGTCTCGAGAAAACGCCACGGCGGTGTACGACGGGTACATGAGGTTGTTACGGTAACCGTACGCATCAGAGACGCATGCAGCACATCCATCTGGATCATCCTCGCCAATGACGACGGGCTTGTTCTTCTGAGATGGGTACGAAGAGATGACGCTAAAGGCATCGCGAACATTCATCAGGCTGGCACTGACATTCAAGGACAAGTGTCCTGGTACGGAGCCTGTGGCGTTGGTGTATGTCGGCAGCCCTTTTGCGTGGAAAGAGATAAAGTCCAGTTGTGAGCCAGTTCCACCGGTAGCGTTGTTCGTGCCATTGATGGTGTGATCCAGAAACAATGGCAGGAACTGGCCGCCCGGACCACCCGCGACTTCGGGACCACCCACTCTGGCTGTTGGTAGAGCACGTCTGACATTGGCGACGGCATAATCGTACAGCTCGAAGTATTGGGTCTCGGTCCCATTCCAGTACCCAATATTGGGCTTAAGATCATCAGCACGACTGCTGAACACAGCGACCTTAGAACATACATACCTCATTCCATACCTCCCAGTACCAGCTATTTACCTCGTCTTCACCACGAAGCTCGACTTCATGCTTCACCCACTGGTACACTAGCTCGCCCCACTTCTGCCACGAAGTCGGCACATGGCTCCAGCCGGTATAGATTACATTATACGAAGATGTCGGATCGAAAAGGAATGTGTAAGGGTCCGGATCAGTGGCAAGAGCCTTTGGCATGAAGGATATCTGTGCGTATGGCTTGACACCTCGCTCTAGGTACGTATCAAAGATGCGGTCGATGATCGTCCAGTTGTATATCGGGTTGCCATTGGCGTCTTCCGTGTACGCATTGGTGCAGCCCCATTTGAGCCGTGCTGAGACGTCGTTGGGAGGGTCGCAGGTGGTCAGCAAATTGTGGGTACGAAAGTATGTCTGCTGCGGCCCAAGCTGGCCGAGCTCTGCCAGAAGGGCTTGACCATCAGGATAGTACGCTAGGTGGCTCGTCAGTACGATAACTCGGTATGGGTAAGGAGAATGATTGCACCATAATTTGGTTCATCAGCACCAAAATATCTCGCAGGTTGATTGAGATCGCCTAGCAGGTTTGATGCATCCACGGAAATTGACACATCTCTCGCCGCCACCTGTTCGAGTAGAAGAAGTGATAGCAAGAACGCCATTGCAGAAGTATATCAGCTACTTACGATTACCGGCTTCGGATGTCGTTGAACTTCTCAACCAGGCAGCCTGCCACGTTATATACAGATTATCTGCAGCATATCATCAACCGGCAGAATTCGAGAGCTACTGTGCGTTACATGCCGGCTACCGTCTTGGTGAAGTGAGGAGTCAAGATGGATGATTATGGATCTCTCGGTATGACGTGAAGGATGATACTGCGGGGTGGTTGCAGGTGGAATTCGAGCACCACGACTCCAATCTTGCGGAAAAGTAAGGAGCCGAACGTGAAGTCAAGAGATGTCCTGCGTCGCTGCATAATGTGGTCGAAGCGATAATTATAGAAGCGTACGATTTGTAGACATGTGGACTTCTTTGCTAGAAGGTTCTTCAAATTCTTTTTGTCTCCGCTCTGTATCGTATCGGATCCACCACAACAGCTCATCCAGCTGCGACCCAACCCTGTTTTACACAAGACTTACCACCACTACCACAACACTGATACAGCACGACATGGACGGTCCAGACGCTTTGATGATCGAGAGCCGCAAGATGGTGCGTGCAGCTGTGCCGGGCATCATCAGAAACAGACACAGCACCAGGTATTAGGGATTGAGAGACAAGGACAGAGCCACGCAGTTCACCACACAGCACCAAGCCTGTTATTTCATCATCGTCGTGAGTCTTATGATGCCCAATTCCGCAAGCAGATCGAAGTCTTCAACGTTGCTGACATTAAGCAGAACCTACATGCGTTCATCGAACGCAACGGTAGATTCGCAAAATGGGATAAAGCCGACCCCGATGACCGCAGGGCAATGTGGTTGAGCCGTCTGAAGGAGTTCCCATGCGAATCACCACCCAATTCCTGTGAGGCTGGAAGCACGCTCTTCCCATCGAGGATATCTGGTATTCTTTCCGTACCCTTGTCTTGTCCCAACAAACACTAACGTCATATGATAGAGCAGGGCAATCAGAAGAGCAAATCCAGTATCAGATGTGGGCCACCACAATGTTCGACATCATGTGCGAGGCGGTCTGGATGTATCGCATCCAGCCAAACATGGACTTCCTGAAGACCAATCAGACCGTCTCTGGCCAGCGCGAACATCAGCAGAACAAGAGGATCTTCACTACTTGGAAGACGCTAGCACAGTATCCTCGTATCAGGGATCTGAAGATGCCGAAGCAAGTTGACGACTGGGCGACGCGCGAGGGTGGCACTTCTGCACTAGCCAAACGATCGTAGACCGTAGTGACCGATGGCCATTGACATTGATGGACCACGCAGGAGGTCAGCTGCGATAGCTACTATGTACTAGGGGGCAATGAAGCACACAGCAGATGCACAGGCTCTTGTGCAGCATGGTGCTGGAAACTGCTCTTGCTATTATGCTGTTGCTTTCAACCACTATAGCCTGTACATTCCAGCTCTTCGCTCTTCACCTACACCGCCACAGGTACGGACACAATCAAGCTACCGACTTCATCACAAGCTTCGGCGGTTTCGGTCTCAAGCAGCCTTGACGCATCGCATCGTAACGAGCATCACCGTCATGGCTCTGGAGGACAAGGTCAAGAAGATGCTGCGCATGACGCCACCAACCGAGTTGGCGATTCTAATCTCCACACCACTAGCGTTCACACGATCAAGCAGTTGAAGATCTGGCTCGAAGAGCTCACAAAGGTGAAAGAGCCTGCAGTGTGGAGCTTACGGGCGCAGTTCCACGCTTTTCTCACAACCATTGTCCAGTTCCTAAGCTTTGCTGTGTGTGGATACCATGCCGTTTGTTGACACTGTGGTGCAGCACCTCGCAACGTTGAACCCAACTCAATTCAATAAAGTCTCTGTTTGCACACTTCATGAAGGCCTTCGAGATGGTCTTGGATGTCCTAGGGCTTGATCGGAACGACAGACAGGTCACGTCATTCTCCCAGTCCTACCTCCGCGGCAACGGCATTACGACGGCACAACAGATCCACGATATCCTAGCCTTGGAGAAGGACTTCATGTTCCGGTACACAGAGTCGACCAGGCAGATGAACCGCAAGATCACGCCCTGGATGGCCTTGCGGACAAGGATGTCGCGTTCAGCTACATGCCTCTGAGGGAGGCCAAGAAATCCACGGCCTCAGTCATCCCTTCTGCGACGAAATCTGGTAAACGCAAGAGGGTGAATGCAGACGAGGAAGATGCTGGAGATGACGAGGGTGACGTTGTGGAGGCCAAGTCGAAGAAGGAGAAGTCTAGTTCGAACGGGACGAAACCGCCGGCTGTGGTTACTCAGCCTGTCACTAAATAAGTGGTCAAGGTCAAGGCCAAGGATAAGGAATCGAAGAGGGCCTCGGCCACCAAGCCCACCGCTGCTGGGGCGGCGAAGCCGAAGAAGCACAAGTCGACCTCGACCTCGACGGTGCAGCCTGTCGTCGCTGGTGAACAGAGCCAGAGGCGAAGAAGGTGAAGAGAGAAAGAAGGGAAGGAGAAGAAGAGGGGGAAGGAGGGGAAGACGGGAGAGAAGGTGAAGAGGGAAAAGGAGGTGAGGAGAGGAAAAAAGGTGAAGAACGGGAAGAAGGGGAAGGAGGGGAAAGAAGGGAAAGGAGGAGAAGCAGTAGAAGAAGGCGAAGAAGGCGAAGGGGGGAAGAGGGTGAAGAAGACGGAAAGGCGACGGCATCGCAAGACTCGAAGCCAATGTAGGTGGCCAATGTAAGTGGCCAAGTGCGGCTAAGTGGGTGGGTGTATATCCTTGCTGCCTGGAATAACGACGTCAAGAGGAGCGCATTCTCCCTAGAAGCTTGCCGCTGGAGTGAACACCGGCGTCTGCCATCGCGCTGATATGTTGCAGGCTTCACAAGAGGATCATTGCTCCGCAAAAAATGTCTTCTGTGGGGCGGGTATATAAGGTGCTGTCATGCCTACATCATGAAAGCTGTACTGTTCGCTGTCGTCGTCCGCAACATGCCCCGCGTCCGATATATTCGCAGCGCCTCTTCCGGAACTGCCCTGCAATGAAAAGCTTTGCGTAATCTTGCGAACATGGTCGCTGCGGTGATGATATGCGAGCTAGAGAAACACGACGAGTTCGTCGAGGTGGAGGCAATCACTGAGGTTACGTTCATTCTGGGCGGCGCCCATTTCAACATCATGAAGACTATCAGTTGCCCGCAAGCCGCAACGAGTAGTGTCAAGCACGAGGAGATTTTGCAGATTTGTTGATACCACTGTAGTCATGGTCGGACAAAGATGTCTACCGCCAAGGTGCGATTGTGTTGATGGCAGACCCAGCACTGACATAGCAGCGATATACGAAGTCGTCCCTTTGCCACGCCTGCCCAATGCATACGCTGTTCTCGGAGCCTTCAACGCCGCACATGGACATCAGCAGAGGAACATGTGTGTGGCTTGTGCAGATGCTTAGGTGATAAGTCTGCGCTCCAAAATGGCAAGCATATGATGCTCGGTTTTACTGTGTCGGAAGGATGCTCAAGCCCACTTAATGCGATGGATGGCGTTCGCATCTAGACAGCACCTGTATGATACAATAATTTACCTCTTGGCTCAGATGATTATGAATGACATCTAGGGAACTATGCTACCATCTTAGGCAGCAACTCTACCTTTCCATACTGTCTACGGCATGATAGGCCATCTAAGCGGAACATTATGCATAGCGGCCCATGTCGTACCACAAATGGCGCAAGTCTTCCGCTCAGGATTCATGTTGCCATTCCCAATGGGGAAGGTGTGCTATCTGATGATCTGATAAAAACCCACCCCCATCCTGTAATATACATTCTCTACCTTTGCATCACATTACTGTTCACGACTCTCTTGCAATCATGTCTTCGTTACATCGAGTCCAACAGATCATGCCTCCAATCGAGGTCACAGCAGACCCGGATATTGAGATGGCCATAGTCGTCGAAGCACGACCACCCGTCAAGCCGGATGATCCTTACCTGGTTGCGTTCGACCAGCCATCCGACTCCGACAAGTGAGCATTGCAGCAAGCATCATTTCTGCTCCGAAAGCCATGCTGACTGCCGAAAACAGTCCGAAAGATTGGAGCGCAACCTTGAAATGGACGGTCACAGACGCACTCTCAGCCACATGTTTCAACAGGATCATGGTATCCACTATCATGGCTCCCGCTCTACCTGCAATAGCAGCCGAGTTGCATATGACGAGCACCGAGTCCTTCATGGCCCTGTCTATTTACGTACTTGCCACAGCAATTGGTCCGTTGCTTCTCAGCCCTCTTTGTGAGATCTATGGTCGCAAGCCTATCTTGCACGCATCGAACCTTTGGTTTTTGAAATTCAACATTGTCTGCGGGTTTGCCAGAAACAAGCAGACTCTCATCGCGGCGAGGTTCCTGGCTGGGTTTGGAGCATCAGCAATCTTCTCTTTAGCGGCGGCAGTCTTGGGCGACATCTGGAGACCGGAGCAGCGTGGTACAACTTTGGCCGTCTACTCCCTGATCCCACTTCTAGGTTCTGCTGTTGGTCCTATAATCGGAGGTATTATGGCGGAGCGGACCACATGGCGCTGGGTGATTGAACGTGAAGATAAAGGATTGTGGTCACGCTGCTAACGTTCCGACAGGATGTTCTGGTCAACATCTGCTTTCCAGGGCCTCATGGTGGTTCTGTCGTTCGTCGTGTTCAAAGAGACGCATGGACCGACTATCCTTTATCGAAGAGGCGAAAGGATCAGACGAGACACTAATGAAAGCAGATACCAGACCGTATACGAACGCCTCCAAGCAGACAGAAATGTTCTCGGTAACAATAGACCCTCACATTCAACTAAACTCCGCTAACGGGCTCAGCATCGATATGGCTGTCGTTCAGTCGACCACTACGCCTCCTAGCGACCCACCCAATAGTCCAGATCGTGGCCGTCTTTCAGGCCTTCAATTACGGCGTCCTATATATCGTTCTGTCGAGCTTCGCCACGCTCTGGACTGAGCACTATCACCAGCACGTTGGGACATCTGGACTGCATTACATCGCAATTGCTCTTGGCGAGGTCGTCGGTTCCCAGGTTGCTGGCAGGCTGATGGACCGCATCTTCGCCCATCTCACGGCCAATGCTGGATTGAGTGAAGGCGAGAGTGCACCTGAATGGCACCTTCCATTGGTGCTCCCATCCGTGCGCATCGTGTCTTCCGGGCTCTTAGTTTATGGATGGGCTGCTGCTTTCCACGTACATTGGATGGTGGTCGACATCGGTGCCTTTCTCTATTCCTTCGGAGGTCAGATCGTTGGCCAGCCCATGACGGCCTATATTATCGATGCATATCCGGAGTATGTCAGCTCAGCGACGGCGGCTACACGATTTGTAACCAGTATGTACGCATTTGCGTTTCCGCTATTCACACCCGCAATGTATAGGGTGCTAGGATACGGCTGGGGCAACACTGTCATTTCTCTGGCAGCAGTGGTACTCTTGGTGCCAGCGCCTTTGGTATTGTGGAGGTATGGGGCGAGGTTGAGGACTAAGACGGTTATGATCTTCTGAAGATCCATGATTGACAATGTGGGTAAGGTCGGTCGATCAAGATCCTCCGTGGCAATAATGGTTTTCTATGCAGTAGCTTCTTTGGCAAGTCGCGACGATCGATCGAATTAGTTAGAGTGAGAGAGAGAGGACCAGACGGTGGCCAAAAATGTCGACGTTTAGTTAGTCACTACAAATGTAAGCTTTAGCTTGCGTTGTAGAGATGTATACACATCGTACGCTTCTATGATTATCGCTTCGACCATAGTATGCAGCGATGAAAGACATCTCCTGACTTCACGTTCGGCTCCTTGTTCTTCAAGATTGGAGTCGTGGTGCACGAATTACATCTGTCAGACAGATGACGATGGAGGTCAAGAATATATTCTTGTTAGCTGAGCACGGCATGCACAGATGAACGCCAAGGTTGTCCTATGACGGTATTGGGTCCTCCTGGACACAAAACGGACGGGACATTCTCATGGATGCTGGCATTAATTGTGATTTATACTCGTGGCCCCCCAAATACAGCGTTTCGTGGACTTTGTTATAGCTAAACAAATGAGAGATGTCGCGAACAAGCTTACCCAAACCCTAACCCTAAGCCGCAGGCAATCACACCAGCCTTCCATTAGTATGACCTCGTCTCCTCGGACGCTTGAAAGATGCTACATATGGACAAAGCGATAGACTATTTGCACGAACAGGTTGAAGATGTGGTAAGATAGATATTCATGATCATAATACATAAAAGATACATAAGTCGGCGTCAAAACCACATTCCCATCGTTCATCATTGATAGCGGCACTTGACTCTGCTTCTCCCCCAGTGTGCCTCCGTCCCCGTTGATCGGTGCTCCTATAAAAGAGTCTCAGCGACTCGTCTCCATTATGGTCGTTGAATCTTCCCGAGTCCTTGCACTTGGCAAAAATTCGCTAATATTGTGCACGTACTTTCGATGTGTGGAGACACAAGCGTCTTTGATTGATGACGGGCTGAAGGGTCCTCATCGTTTTGTTCGACTTCGAGACACGTGTCTGTACTCTGCCACTGCTGAGCGTTGGTGGTCTGTCTATGCCGTAGGATGTAGACATTGACGGTGTGATTGTAGATGTGTTGTCGTGCATTGCAGCACTGAGTATTAATGTTTGTCCATATCGACCAACAATGTCGTGAAGACGTCGCTAGTCGATTACGCGTGACGCTCACATCGAGTAGATTGATGCGGGAGAAGACGGTGCAGAGCTCCAGTCGTCGACACCGACTGCTCGCTCGAATCCATAGCTTCGTCGAGCGTCAACGTACTCGTCGATGGCGTCGACTTTGGCCCCGGAGAAGTGCATCCTGATGACGGAGGTCTTGTCGAGAGCACCAAGCCTGTTGAGTTCTCGGAAACGAACAGCGCAGATGTTGTCCTTCTGCATGATGCCCATGATTCTCTGTTGGCACATGGTTGATGTACCATACGCTCGTAGTCGTGCGTCGAGTAAGTCTTGCAATGTTGTATGCGAGATGGGCGACCAGCCGTGTGCAGCATGGTCATCCTGGTCGAAGCCGATGAGTTGCTTCATGCGCATCGCTGGGGAGTCTGCGGTATCGTCTAGAGATGGCATCTTCTCTGGTGAGAGGAAAGCAGAGTATGCGAGGTGGTCCCGGCAGAGGTCTGCCACCCGCTCGTCTTGACGGAAGACGAGAGCTTGGATCAACTCGAGAGCAATGTGCCGCTGATGGCTCTCGTCAACGTTCGTCCTGAAGTCCTTGATCATATTGTCGATATGTTCGTTTGAGAATGTCTGTGAAGCTGAACAGAACAGAGAGATGCAGAAGAGGACTGGGACGAACTATATCTTGGGCATTCAGGACAGCCAGGCAATCTGCAGGACATATACCTAATCATCTCGGTGGTCGGTCTTTCGCTGTGAAATGCCAGGGGGTGCGTCGTACCGGGCTGAGCCTCAGGACCAGGCCGCGTCAAACGAAACCTTCTCCAGGTCGGCACGCAGCTGTCGTGTTCTGTGGCGACGATGAATTGCCCAATCACGCAGGTACGAGGGTGGATCAGCAGGGCATCCCCCGCATTTGGGCGACGTTTCAAGTCGGCGCGGCATACACGAACACCGATTGCCCGAGGATGGCCAGAACAAGCGAGGGGCTTCTGTGCTCTGTGATAGGCTGTCTGGATAATTTTCGAAGCTTCGTACCAACTTGTCGTTTGGCCAAGACCAATTCTTGCGCGTCCCTCGTCATTTTGTGTTTGCTTTGCAGATGTTACGACAGACGCCTGCGTGGTTACACGTGTCGCTGAACCACTCTTCTATCGTGCCTTGCGCACCATTCGACCCAAGAAGATGTGCTGGTTGGTTCAGTATTGGCAAGGCGCAGCAGTGTTCTGGGCGTCAATCCACTCTCGTTGGCACGAAGAGTGCTGAGATCTCGCCGACAACAACGTTCGCAGCTATCTGGCGGGTTTCCGTGGCGCCATACGATCGTCAGCTGAGCAAGGCTACATTCCTTCTTCGCCCTCAACCAGCCACAAGCTGCTGATCCGCTCTGCTAGACCTCCAGCCAAGTGAGGTGACTGCTTGAAGGCTTACAGCATTCGTTGTCGTGAGATGCCCCAGTATAGCTGAGACACCAACCGATAGCTTATGGTGGCAAAGTCGACGTGACGAAAGCTTCGAGGCGATTCAAATGGACCGCGGTACTTTCGTTGCGAGGCTCATGGCACGATGGTGGCACGTCTGCGTGACTGCACGCTTTTCCTAGACAATCGGCGAGACGCGACGCCGAGCGAATACTGCCTTTTGACTCTGACTTCGCCAGCTTGAGACAAGTTTGACGATCTCGACCGAGGTGCTGAGACAGTTGAGAAGGTAGAGCCACCAACATGTTGCGTCAATCGGTAGTCGATGTGCAGGATCAGTCCAGTCCTTTCATTCGTCGCGCGATCGATCGTGACTCATTTTGTCGTAGGACGATGGTCTGTCGTGAATCGTGAGGCTAAGGCACCCAAGAAGCAATTGTGATTGTGGCCTGTGATGAATGTTCATTTCAGTACCAGGACTTTAGAATCCTCGGATGCATTCATGCCTCAGGCCATCCATGGCTTTCGATATGGGCAAGCTGTCATGTGAAATGATTAATGCTCGTTTCCGAGTGCTGTCAATGCACATATGAGCAGCACGATGAAGTCGACAGTTGCCTTATTGTGCCTTCAATGTGCCGCAGCGGTCCGTGCAGCAAATGGTGAAGGCAGTAGACCCAGAGGTGTGAGCCCGGAGTGTATGTATCTGCATATTCGAGTCCCAATGGCCAGCTCATACCATATCGTCTGTCCTGATGTACTGACTCTGCCTATCAGTTGCAAAATTCTACAAGGACACTACAGCTTTCACATGTATATCAAACCCATTAATAAAGCTTCCAGTCAACCGAATAAACGACGACTACTGCGACTGCCCAGACGGATCTGATGAGCCTGGAACCTCTGCGTGTGCTCACCTCTCACCACTATCTCCCCACACTCCAGCAGACGTTGGACCAAATGGAGCCAACAGCACACTGGCGCTTCCAGGCTTTTACTGCAAGAATAGAGGTCATGTCCCAACATATGTCCCTTTCACGAATGTCAACGATGGAATTTGTGATTACGACCTATGCTGTGATGGCAGCGAGGAGTGGGAGCATGTGGGCGGAGTGAAGTGCGAGGATAAATGTCAGCAGATTGGCAAGGAGTGGAAGAAAGTGGACGAGGTGCGGCAGAAGAGTCTGGGAAATGCAGGGAGGAAGAGGAAAGAGCTTGTCGCTGAAGCGAAGAGAAAAAGGAAGGAGGTTGAAGATCGGTTGCAGACTCTAGGTACGGAGATCGAGGGTAGCGAGCTTAAGGTCAAGCAGCTTGAGAACGAGTTGGCGGAGGTCGAGCGCAGGGAGAAGGGTAAAGTGGTAAAAGCTGGTGAGCAGAAGGTCGGAAAGCTGGGTATGCTCGTTGGCCTGGCACGACAGAGGACGGAGGAGCTCAGGGAGACTCTGGAGAAGACGAGGGGGGAGCGTGATTCCAGCCGTAACAGGCTGGCGGAGCTGGAAAGCCTTCTCACTGCATTCAAGGACGAGTACAACCCCAATTTCAATGATGAAGGAGTCAAGAGGGCTGTACGAGCGTGGGAGGACTATGCTGCGAGGGACAAGGGTCTTGCGCCTGATGCTGCCCACGACCGCGATCTCGATGCTATGATCAAGTCTGACAAGGACAATGGGCTTGATTGGGAGGAGTATAAGGAAGGCGAGACCAGTGATGATGGCGTGTGTGAGTGTCTTAACCATTGCATCATGCCTGATCACAATTGACTCGTTCTAGCATACGCTTTTCTGAACTACCTACCATCTCCAGTCGGTAGTTTCCTCGACCAAAAGCTACGTGACCTACGAGTGACAATGATCGAGTCTGGGATCCTCGCAGACACCTCCAGCTCTTCAAGTGAGAGCAAAGCAGTCACAGACGCCAGGAACAGACTCGAAGCCGCACGCAAAGACCTTGAAAGCTCGCGCAAGTCGAACGATGAGCACAAAGAAGACTTAAACAAGGACTTCGGCCCCGACGACGTCTTCCGCTCCCTCAAAGGCCAATGCGTCTCCACCGACTCAGGCGAGTATACATACGAACTCTGCTTCATGGAACGCACGACGCAGAAACCCAAGAAAGGTGGCGGGCACACCAACATGGGCAACTACGAGACCATGGAGATCATCACCGTAGACGACGATGTACCCGCGGATGGTAAAGGTCTGGGCTCGGGACAGAGGATCGCGATGAAATATGGTGGTGGCCAAGGCTGCTGGAATGGTCCCAATCGTGCTACGACGGTTGTGTTGGGGTGCGCGGAGAATAATGAGGTGTGGAAAATTATGGAGGAGGAGAAGTGTATTTATCGGATGGAGGTCGGGACGCCGGCGGTTTGTGAGGGGGTTTATGGGGGTGGGCAGGCACAGAGTGGGAGGGATGAGCTGTAGGTGACGCCGTGGTGGTTTGAGATTATATAGATAGAGCAATGCTGTGGGCGAGAAATTTGAGAGCATCGTTTCCCCCCGAGCTTGAGGTCTTGTTCGATATTGTGTTTCTTGGGGCAGTGATGACGGCACGGCATTCGAGCCTTTGCGGGATCCTATGCTGCCTTTCGGCCGTGGATGTGGATATGGACGTGGATGTTGGTGTCGCGCCACGAACGCGACCATAACGCGTGCTACCGTTGTACAGCACGGGATTGAGTTGCGCGGCGGACACGCTATCGCTGTTGTGCTTGTCCGCAGATCTTGCCAACGAAGATCTGTAGCTCGCGATCATAATAATATTGGCTTGAACATAACGACATAGGCTCATCTGGCCATTGACTCAAAAGCGTTATTCCGCGTGGTGTAAGGATTCTTCAGCAACAACAACCTTGCACCACAACGTCTTCGACCGGGATAGGCCATCAAATTCGGAGTGCTGTCATCAAACCGTCCACCAACGTTCGCTGTCACGTCGACCGTTGACTCTGGTAAACCTCCAAGGTTGTAAAATGTTTACCTTGGTTGACCATGCTTGATCTCATTTGACATGTCTCATGTTTCGACCCAGCGTCGTCATTGATATTCCATCGCCTGTCTGTTTGACGTCGCTGCACTGGCTAGCAAATGCGGTTGCTCATGCTGCTCAACGAAGCAAGCCCCAGTCACACTTCCTTCTCAACGTCACACAATATAATAGACTCGTTGTTAGCCGACACAGTTGTTCGATTCGGCAAAGGTACAGTACATCGTCCGATCAAGCGATCCAATGCAATGTGCAATACCGAGCCGGCAATAATATTACATACTCCATACCAATAACAATCCCGACCCAGGGCCAGGTTCCTGGTCCGTCGTCAAAGCGACCATCATTCTTCGCTGAATCGCAAGTCAAGAGAAAGAGCTGACCCGACGACAAGGTAGAGCGGACACCAACGTTACAACAGCACCTCAAGCGCTTTCCCCGGTGGATCTTGCAATCAAGAAACTACCGCGCTAGAAGTCCTGTGAGGGAGTGTGATAGGGGTCGCTCGTGAAACGACCAGCCTTGCGAGGATTGTGGCCATGCGACGGCTTGCTGGGGGCTGATGTGCCGGGATGCATTGTCTTGGAGGCGCGCAGGGCGCGGAGGAGGACATGAATCTGTAATTCTGTACCCCTGGTTAGGAGGATCGTTTGTTACAAACGATAGACTGTTTGGGTAGGAACAAATTTTATTGAGGGCAGCAGCGCTATGATGTTGGCTCGTTTTGATACTCTGTTTCCGAGTCGTCCGTAGGTGAGCAGTGTAAGCATACGCTGGTCGACTCACGCTACGGTGGCCGAGTCCGAGGACATAGTATTGATGCGGCAGCATAACATGAGCTAGTTATCACTTTGGAGGATGATCGTCTATCGATAGGAGATGAGCTAAAAACTGATCAGAGCTGCGGTACCTGCAGTAGCGGCCAACGTGCCGCCCGAGATGAAACGGGAGCTCGTCGCCTGCAGAAGGGATATCCAGGGGTACAGGATGTGAGTAGTATGGCCACCACGATGTATCCATTGAAGATGTTGGCTTGTGGTGTGTTATAGCGGCTCAGATTATAAGTCGGATGAGGTTCTATTCACATACATAGGACGCATCGCTCGAATGTCGCGTGCGCGGAGATGACTGGTTCATAACCAGAAGAAGTCTCGAGCATGATCCCTGTTCCATCAACGGGGGTCAGTGCGTTCCATCGCGCGCATTGGCTCCTGCTTCTTACAGGCTACACCTCTCCTGGGCGTGCAGGCTTGATTGAGTGCAAGCCGGGGGCAGAGCGAGGCAGAGCAGAGCAGAGCATATTCTCTTCCCAAGTCCGACAAACGCTCTACGCAACCTGCGACATACACGTTTGCACACGGTCTTTTTCGGCATTGAACGACGACGGCGAGACCTGAGGAGGGGCTTTATTGTTAGGTGGAGAAGAAGGCAAAAGGCAGTGTTTTCACGGATTGCATTCCGGGGGTCGGGAACACGATCGAGGGGGACAGAACACGGATTCCTGCAGAACACACCATCGCTTGTCGACCGGAACGAAGGACGACCAACGACGACGTCTGCGCGTTTGTACTGCCTGCTGTGGTCATCCTAGGACAGGAGCACGGGAAGCTACCCGACGCTATTGGCGATGCTGTTGGGCGGCCTTGACATACCATCGAGTATTGAGCTTTATCGGGACCTTGCCGCGTGCTGGACTTTGCGCGAGTGACTGTAGTGAAGTTTGGAGTGGTGCAAACGGAGGTGGTGAGGACGTGGGAGTGGTTACACGATTATCGAGACGCGTGTGAGAAGACTTGAAGCAGCGCATTGCTTTCTCGTCATAGTAAGTCTTCCACCTCGCGTTATTGTCGTTGCAATGGCGCAGACATACCACACCACTGCTTTTTGCGGGAAGAGCAGAGCTGACTTCATCAGATTCAACATGAACAAATTCAGGAACAAGCTCAAGGGCTCGGATGGGCCGAGCACATCCACCGATGCGCTGAACATTCTCAATACGCCTGCGCCAGTGTCGCCCGGTCTGAAGAAGAGCGCCACGAGTCGATGGAAGAAGAACAAGAAGCAGCCCGAAGCGAAACCAGAACTCAACATCATCGAAGCGCTACCATCTCACGACAACTTCCGAACCAGTCTACTTATGCCAAACTTATCCGCACGTTTCAGCATGCTGAGAGAGCAGGATGACCCAAACTCGTTGCTTGGTAAGGCCAGCGATGATAGTGTGCTCCAGCCTCGGCGGCGATCAAGAATGGCAGATTTCGGGTTTGGCTCGAACGGCTTGAACGACATTGCTGAAGTGCAGTCTACTCGAAGTTCGATCAAGCCAAGTTTCCATTTCGGACGCCAAGACTCGTTCGATACGCAAGGTTATGGTAGCGAGGGTGACTCTAATTCGGGAGGTGTGATGGGCAGGGCACGGCCTGGTGAAGGAAATGTCATGTTTGGTGGTAGACAGAAGGTATACAAGATTGCAACTGGCAACCCGAGCTCTTCTGGACTCGGCAAGGCCGTATACGAGGATGATATCGGCATGTCAGCTTTCCAGCGGTACAGGAAGGAGAGGGAAGCTGTGGAAGATTGGCAGATGGAAGACGAGCCGTCGTTTGACTTTGGGCTGGATACCACGGATGTGAGTGCTGGTGCGCAGGAGGATACGCAATCAAGGACGCCTAACGACTCCGCAAAAGATCTGTCGCATTCGCCATCACTCTCTTCGTACGATAAGAAGCGATCGACTACCTCATCCATGGCACATTCCGAGGCACGATCGTCCACAGCAGCAACTTCTGTAGCATCACAACAAGCACCAAGCACTTCTTCGCCGATGGTGGCTGCTTCACAAGGCCCTTCGCCTGCAGTAATCGCACCTTCACTGAAGCGTTCCGACACCAAGACTCGAAGACTTTACGAACAAGGCCTTGACCAACATATTCAGGAGCAACAGACTTCTGCCATGACACGGCTCAACTCGCTACATCGTCCGCGACCTCTCAACAATGGTGTTCAGCCTCCTCCATTCCTGTATACCGCTAAAAGCGCAACAAATCTGGGTGAGGTGAAGACGCCACAACAACTCTTTGCACTCCGCTCGAACAGCCCTCCACCAGCTATGGCGCCACTGACGACCTTTGGATCCCTTCGCAAAACGAGTTCGAATACTGGCAGCCCGTTGACGAGTGGACCACAATCGCCTGTCAGCCCACAGATCATGGAGTTTCCAGAACTTACGCAAGCCCTAGAGCCCGGTGACAGAGGTAAAGCGACTGCCATGGGAGCCTTCAACAAGCCTAAGCAGTCTTTTGACGAGAATCAATACTTGGAGCGCCAACAGCAATTACAGCGATCACTTTCTAGGAAAAACTCCCGTAAAGCTCCTAGTGCTTCTGCAGAGCACCAAAGAGCTGCTCGCTTGGAGCAAGTGGAACGTGAGCGCAGTGTCTCGGGCTCTTCTGTGCAGCAGCGTGCCGGTAGGCTAGAACACGCGGACAGAAATCGAAGCAACTCGAATCTATCCACGCGGTCACGATCCAGATCAGCATCCAAGGGGCATGAGCCAACAAAAGCGTACAACGTCTTCCAAAACGCGGCCAACTCTATGGCTGTCAAGTCAGGAGCTGCTCCGCAGTACGACACCCATCGCACGTTTTTCGGCAACATTAGCGCAAGTGACAGTGAGGAGGAAGAGGATGCTATGCAGCAAGATGTGTACCACCCTCAGCACAGCTTCGGATATGGCGATCATGGAAGCAATAGGTGGCAGCCTGCGAGTCTCGCGCCGGTTTCTGAACATCCTGCTTTCCGTGGCCATGCGTCAAAGCCAAGTCTGGTGGAGGAAGAAGAAGACGAGGATATGGAGCCTTCCCTGAAACAATCTCCATCGTCGAGGACACTACAAGTCGACTCAGAAGACCCGCCACCATCAACGAACACGGAATTTGACTCGCCAACACTTGGGCCAAGCACATCACAGCCTTTGAATGGTATGGTACATCATTTGCGACAATCAAGCACCAACTCCTCGGTTTACCCGATGGACGATCCTCCGGAGATGCCGAGTGGCTTTTGGAACTCAACTGGTTCAGGGCGAGATGCGGTGCAAAGCACAATCGAGACTGAGTCGCGGGTCGAGTCTACGTACACCAATTCAAATCCTTGGGACCTGGACGACTCGGAGGTTCGATACAGCACGCTGGATCCGCATGAAGAAGGCCTTGTCAGTCCGATCGATAGTATGCGCCAGGAAAGCCGCATGGGCTCGAGAGCGCCCTCACGCATGACCGCCCAGATGGATCGCCAGTCCAAAGTCTCCCAAGACTCAGAAAGTGTCGCCGGCCAGCCATGGCAGCACGAGCTCCGCAAGCAGCATACTCGAGAAGCAAGCACGGCCACCCAAGCCGATCGAGATGCCTTCGACAATGAGCTTGCTGCACGCCGGAATGCTGTCCAAGAGAACCTGAAGAGCATTGTTGAGAACCAGAGCAGGGGCGCTAGTCCCGCCCCGAGCACGAATGGTGCCTTCAAGGCCTTCGGCATGTTGCGATCGAAATCTAGCAGAGAGTCGGTTGACATGGGTCGAGGTGGTCCTTCTGCACCCACTAAGGCTATGAAGATGCTGGGTATCGGTAGCAGTAATGTCAACGCAAGCAACGCCACATTGAACTCACAGTATGAGCGCACTGGGTACAGCTTCGATGCGACACGGCCAAGAGGTAATTCTGGTAACAGAGGACCACCTATGCCACCTCCTCAGCGGGCACCGCCGGGCTTGCCGTATGGTGAGTGGGATCAGCAGTCAAGGCCGAGAGCTGAAAGCAACAGCCGTGCGGCTGGTCAATCGCCTGCTTCTACTCAGGCTAGTCGTGCTCGTAGTCGATCAAACTCGGAGGCTACTACTGGTCGCTCGCGAAGCAGGACTGGACCATATCGTGACGATCTGGAGAAAGCTATGATCGAAGGGACTGGCTCGAGTGCTGCCGGTGTACCTGAACTGTCACCAATGATCACAAGGGAACTCACACCACGGCCCTCGCCCGATATGGCCAGTAGTCCTTTCGACAGCCAAGGTCGATCACGTAGCAACAGTCGTCCTTCGCCGGCAATGACGAATTATTTCGATGCTAAGATGGACCCGCCGTCTAGTGTGCCGCCGACGCCACGTTTGGCAACCGGAGCTTCTCCTGCCACATACACACCGACTGGTCTCAGTCCTGCCCCTACCACATATACACCGACCGGGTACTATCCAAACCACATTCGACCATCTCCAGGCACGTTGCCAATCGCGCAGAATCCGACCCCTCCGATCTCCGGCCACAACACACCGCAAGCCGCGAACTTTCCTACGACTATCCAGCCACGACATGGTATGCTTCGGAAGCGGAACGTATCCAAATTCGATATCTCGGAGCCTACACTGATCTCTGCTACGTCCAACGTAGACACGGTGGATCTACCCGAAGGCGCCTCGCTGAAGAACGGCATGGACAGCGCTCCGCCACTCCCACCCATCAACCCCAAGCGTCGTGGCGCCCGCAAAATCTTCGGTATGGGTCGCAGTGACATGAGTGACGACGCGCAGAATTACGGCAATTACGGTCGATCGAAGACCCCGGACCTCTGGATGAGCCGATCGACGACCGAGCCGGACTTTGAGTCTGCTCGTAGTCCGCGTGGTTTCCATCATGCTAAACAGCAGAGACCTGGTCTCATGCCCCAGCATGGTTTCGAGAATCATAGCAGTCCTGCTATCCCGCAATACGGCGGTTTCACACCTGATCCGACGTCGCCGGAACGAAGGGTTAGGTCGCCTGTTCCGCAGCAGCATGCTACGATGGATGGCGGTATGTTTTGATTCTCGCAACACGAATGCCGGACTACGAGATGGTTGATACGGCATATTTTTTATTGTTTCTATGTATATACTTTTAGGGGCATATTGGTTCTACAGGGTAGGAGGGGGGATTTGGGGGAAAGAGCTTATGTACCAGTACTACGCATACGACTGGCATATTCGTTGTTTTGCAAGATATAGCGAGCAAGTGGCATGGCGTGATATTATGAAGCGTGGAATTTTTGCTTCGATCTTGATGCATTTTTCTTTATCGCACGATACCAGATATGTTATTGCTTTAGTCGTAGCAAGGAATGCAACTTGTATCTTCTATTCACCTCGCTTACGTTGCATATGACTGCTGCTTGCTTGTCCTTGTCGATGGGGTAATATATTGTGAGGTCGTTGGAGCTTGAGAAGGACTCAGCCGAGGGCCAAGAGATACCCCCTCTGCTGCAATATATGGCTGACTTGTCGCGTCTCTGGAGTATTCGCGAACCATAAACAATTGAAAGGTCTGCCAGCGACATCGACAAAGGCCATCGCGATGGCATCTGAAGCGTTCAGCCTCTCGCCGAGCACAGCAAATCCACCCAAGCATTCGACTGTTCTCATTACTGGAGGAGCTTCTGGTATTGGTCTTGCAACTGCACTCTATCTACACAATTCCGAATATAGCAACAACGTCGTCGTGCTTGACCGAGCTACCTCACCGCCACCAGTCAAGGAACTGCTGGAGTCTTCTCGATTCCTGTACGTCCAATGTGATGTTACCGACTGGTCTTCACAACGTCGAGCCTTTGCCACAGCAGCCGAACGATTCGGCCGTACCGATCACGTCTTCATCAATGCTGGCGTAGCCGAGATCGGCGAGCAGATCTTCACCGATCATAAGGACCAGAATGGCGAGCTGGCTGAGCCTGATCGAAAGACGATTGATATTGATATTCGAGCTGTGGGCGATAGTCTCAAGCTTGCCGTGCATCATCTTCGCAACGACGCGAATACTACAGGCGGCCCTCGAAAAGGATCTGGGAAAGGTCAAGGTGGTAGTATTGTCATGACGGCGTCGTTAGCAGGCTATCTCGCCTCAGCAGGAGCACCGCTGTACTCTGCCGCCAAACACGGTGTGGTGGGATACTTGCGAGCGCTCAAAGGCGACTGTGCTAAAGTCGGCATCGCGCTCGCGGTTATAGCGCCGGGCATCACGCTTACGAGTATTATTCTTGGTCGTAGACAAGGGCAGACTCTCGAGGAATGGGGTGACGAGATGAGAGCTAGAGGTGTACCGATTAATGATGCCCAGACGATTGGTCTTACGGTCGCTCATATCATGGGGCTGGGGATGAAGGCGAACGGGAACGGGTATCTGATCCAGAAGAATCGGATACAGGAGCTTGAGGGAGGGATAGCTAAGTCGAGACAGCAATGGATGGGTAGGGAGATGTTGGATCTGTTTAGAGGAGGCCGTAATGCCCCGTTGTTTCCTAACAAGCTATAACGCTTCTATCAAGTCGTAGCTAGAATCGGAGGTCTGACAGCCAGCAGACATGTCCACTTGATCGAACAAATTAGCCACGCACTTTTTGACGCTCCCGCGCGTGAATCTGCTCCTCATATCTACAAGCAGACGACAAGGCTCTCCTACTCACGACAGGGTGGAGTGGACTGACAGATAGCAGTTCCTCGAGAAAGAAAGGTGTTAACAATAAGCATACAGTCTATCAATCGCTTTATGATCGGGGTATACACATGATTTCGAGATTGCCTGCCTCCCAACATACAGAAGCCGTCGGATATATTACAAAGCATGAGTCTGCCTTGCCCAAAAGTCCTGCACAGTACTTACACAAGCGCTAGAGAGAACCCTCGCCACCTTCTCGCTTTTAGAAAGACGAAATAGCCACAGCAATGACCTGCGCATCACTGTGACTTATACTGACAGTCGTCGACTTGACGCCGGCCTTGCTAGCAGCAGCCTTAGCGTCACCATGAAGCTACGGGAGAAAATCAGCATACCATCACACGACATAAGGAACAGGATCATAAACTTACTACAACACTAGGTGCTCCATTCTCGTCGTTCACAATCTCAATATCCCTAAGCGGCGCCCCAGCACCTTTGCTCTCCACCTTCAGACTCTTGAAAACGGCCTCTTTGGCACTCCACTTGCCTGTGAAGCTTGCCTGTGGAGACGGAGCCTTTTGGCAGTACGCAATCTCGCCCTGGGTGAAGTTTCGCTCCAAGAAAGTATCGTTGTGAATGTCGATGGCGTCGATGCTTTCAATATCAACACCCGGGTTCGAGTTCGCGGAGGCATTAACCTTCATCAGCGTCTCGACCATCTCGGTCGTGCTCTTGTCCTTCATCTGCGCAGGCGCGACTTTAGGGTATGTGAGGTTGGAGGTCTTAGCGTCCCGAGTCACACGTGCTTGAGGATTGAGGAAGACGGCGCTCTGTTGCGCGTCCTCGTAGGGCGTCTTGTCCTTGGCGCGGAACATGGTGTTATTGATCAGACCGTCGTGGTAATAGCGGTAGGCCTTCTTCTGTCGTGACTCGACCTTCTGCTTATAGGTCTGGAATTGTACGTGGTCGAGAGCGGCGTAGAGGTACCGTGGGTGAATCGCAATGGCCTGAGCACCTTTCTGACCGAAACCAAAGGAGGTGATCGATACAGCCTTGACGCCATCTGTCTGGATGCTCTGGCTTGGGTAGACAATGTAGTCGAATTTTTCCATGACCTTGTCAACATTGTCCGCGTTCCGGTTGCCTGGCACAAGACCGGTCTCGAGGACCTGGAGGGCGCCATTGAACATCCACCCACCAGCAGCACCCTTTGGATGACCAGTCAGGTGCTTCTGGAATATACCCATCAGCGCATTGCCCTTCTTACGACCAAGGTGTTTCATCTGCTGGCAGATGACATCGGACTCGTTCTTGTCGTTGGCGACGGTAGAGGTGCCGTGGAAGGACGCAACGCCAATGTCATCGACTGTCAAGCCCCAGGTGGCGAGCGCACCGCGGAGAGGTGCAATACGCGAGTCGGCTTTCCAGAAGTTGTTGCCGAGACTTGCCAGAGCGTCCTTCTCCTGCCGTCTCGCCTCGTGCTCAATGTGCGATGCACGGTCCTCGAGGTACTCGGTCTCGTTGAACTCGCCTCCCTGCTGCTTCATAGCTGCCACCTCCTCCTGCAGGTACATAAGTTCAGACTCCTGCCAATTCTTGATGGTCTTGCGTCGCAAGTCGAGCTGTCGCTTCCTGTACTTGATATCGAGCAATGGCGATGGGAACCTGGAAGGCTGCTCACGAGCAGTGGTGAGAACACCTTGGCCAGGAGCCGGTACCGAGCGGCCGATCTTGTCGGTGGCAGTGGCAGTGAAACCAATGATACCGTAAATCGGCACACCCATATCGAGCGCGAGTTGTGCATCCATAATAACCTGCACGGCCGAACCTTGAGATTCCATGAAGCCGTTCCTGGTCGTTGTTGTGGGGCGAGACATTTCTTTTGGCGTGCGACCGTGAGCGAATTCGTCCTCGGCGTTGCTGGTAGCCTTCATGTTGGCGAACTCATACGAACCTTCCTCTTGGAAGTCATCCACACCACCAACGAAACAGATGCGTGCCTTGCCCTCCACAATACAGTCGTAACCAATATCGATAGACTCCACAGCAGTAGCGCAAGCACCGACGGGTGTCCTGATGGGGCCAGTGGAGGAGATGAGCAACATGTTGACCCAAGCAGCCATCGTGTTGATGAAAGCTTCTTGGAGGATGTCCTTCTGCACCGGCTTGTCGGTCCATCGGTCTTTGTACATGCCACGCAGAGCAGAAGTACCACCGATACCAGAGCCAATGCAATTACCGACTTGCGAGATGTGCACGTACTTGTAGAACTCGTACGGGTCCGTGATACCAGAGGACATGAGAGCCTCAGCGGTGGCAACCAGAGCGTAGAGTGTGACCGGGTCAACCTGGGAGATTATGTCTTCGGGCACACCATATCGCTTCGCGTCCCATCCAGTTGGTATCTGACCAGCAACCAATCTGTCGAAGCGGAGCGCCTTGGGAATGAGAAGCGTAGCACCCTTCTTGAGCCGGATCTGGAACTCGCCAGACTCAAGCTCGAAAGTCTCAACCTTCTCACCATGCTCGCGCTTGAACTCAGCAGCAGTCTCCTTGGACGCCTCGAAGGGATCCAGATCCTCTTCAATCTGAATCTCCTGCAACAATTGCTTTTTCTTAGGATCGTAGCCGTTGAACAGTCCAGGCTCGATAAGTCGGATACCTGAGTGCTCCAGAACATGCGACTCGTACTTGGCCTTGATGTCCTTGTCCTCGACCGGCTCCCCGGTCTTGCCGTCGACCCAGCCGGAGTAGCTCTTGCCCTTGAGAGGGCCATTGTGGTTCTTGATCAGACCCATGAGCCACGCCATCTCGATACAACCCTCGAGCGAGAACTCGCCAAAAGCCTCCATCTCCCAGCGGGTCCTTGAGTTGCCCCATGGTCCGACCTCTGAGAAACCAGTGACGACAACCACTTTCTCAAGGTCGACCATACCCTTGAGATCGCCATTAAGCGGCTCAACCTCGGACTTCCAGTCCGGCAGTCGAGGGAAGTCGTACTTCAGATTAGCGCGCTTGTCGACCTTAACAGTCTTGTACAACGCCTCGCTAGCTTCGCCATTGACAATCTTGTTCTCGACCGCAGTCTCACGAGTAACAGCACGACGAATCTCAGAAGTCTCAGTGATCTCCTTTCGGAGTCTCGTCATCAGGTCCTTGAGGTTAGGCAAGAACTGTAGGCCGCCGTTGAGGTCCGCAAAGACTGGCTCGAGTTGGCATAGGTTCACGATGGATGGTGCCATGAGACCGAGCAGATTGAAAGCCATCTCTTGCTGTGAGAAAGTGCGAACGCCATACTTCTCCACGCCTTCCGCAACGACGTTGTTCCCGCCCATAAGACCTGTACCACGAGTCCAGCCGATGACTGCACCGCAGATGGTGAGGAAGTTGCCCCAGCTCTCGGAATGCCATCGGTTGAAGAGAGTCTCGAGAGCAAGCTTGGACTCGGAGTATAGACCGTCGTTGCCGAAGGTGCCGTGGTTTGGCGACAGTGGCAGGATGACCTGCGCAGGACGTGTCTCGAAGCCACGAGCTGCCTTTTGTGCCTTGACACCACCCAACATGCGCAGAAGGTTGGTAAGCATGATACGGTGAGCAAGCTCCGACTTCGAATCAATGCTGTCGATTTCGCGGCCGTTTTCTGGAATGGCAGCGAAAGGCACAATGTAGTCAAGATCCCAGCCAAGGCCCTTCTTCTCATCGTAGATGTAGTCGACCAGCGCATTGACGTCCTGCTGGCTACCCTGGTTGAAAGGCACAACCACAAGCTGCGAGCCGCGAGCACCAGAACGAGCATACATAGCCTGGTAGTACTCAGTGACCTCACGAGAGAAGCGAGAAGTGGTAACGATGACTCGCGCACCACCGCTGATCAGACCCTTGAGCACGTCGGCACCAATAGATCCAGCACCAGCACCAGTCATGAGGACATTCTTGTTCTGGAAAGTGACACCAGCGCGGGCGGCTTGCTCCAGACCATCGAGGTAGATGCTCGTGAGCTTCTTGCTGTACTCCCAGCCATGCTCTTCTTTGCGCTTGAGATGCAAGAAAGGTACGGTCTCGATCTTGCCTTGCTTGGATGACGGATTAACACGACCGTTGCCGCCCTTCTTCTTCAACGAGCCGTTGACCTTCGGGCCGGTGGACTTGCCGTTCTCGGTCGGGATGATCTGGCCCTCGTTCATGGATAGTGAGCGTACGATGTTGCTGTACAGTGACTTGATCTCGAGCTGTGATGACTTGGACAGTTGGTGTTGCTGTCGAATGAGCTTGTACACGCGCTGGAGGTCGTTCTGGACTTTGGTGCGGTTGCCATATTCGGAGATCTTGCCACCCTCTGCCATCTCACGCACGTAGTGCTCGAGCTTTCGCACGGATGCACGAGGAGCTTCGTCGTAGTTCATGTTGCCGCGTGCGTCGATCTCCAGATGTGGTGCAGTGGGCATGGCGACATCCTTGTAGACAGGTGCTTCACCAAGGACGTCGCGGCAGTTGTCGATGAGCTGTTCACCGAGCATCTTAGCCAGCTCGTATGTTTCACCGCGCTCGGTTGGGCAGTGATCAATGTGATATTGCATGAAGTCGAGAAGAGCTGGGTTTGATCGATTCATGATGAGGATGCAGCGGCTGACGATCTCGCGATCGACGGCCTTCAGTCGACCAAAGATGATGTCGTAGTACATGGTGAGTGCATCCTGGCGAGCCCAGTTCCACGAAGAGTCGTATACACGAGCCTTGAGAGGGCTGAATGAAGGCTCGATACCGCTGGCATAGAACTCGCCATGCTCGGTGTTCCACAGATCAAGCTGTGCTTGTAACGCAACCTCGTTCTGCTTGCCCACCAGCGCAGCCTTGTCGCCAGCTCGCAGATCCATCTTGAGATATCGTGCAAAGAGCTCGAGCTGTTGCTTGAACAGTGCCTTTTGATCTTTCGTGAGAGCGTCGAGGGCGGCAGGGTCCATCATCATGCCACCAGCACCTCCAGCGCCATCTCCGCCAGCAGGACCAGACGACAGGTTGATGCCAGCCTGTGTTGCATACTTCTGTGAAACATCGTCCAACCACGCCTTGCCATCATTCTCCGAGCCAAGACGTGCCGCAGGCTCCATGGTCAAGGCCATGAGTAGAACGCCATCTTGCCTGCCAGGTCCAAGACCCCACCTTGTCTCGAGATGTTTCCGTACGGCTGTGATGTTGAAACCTCCCGGCATTTTCGACGACACCATTCTTGCGACTAATGACGTAGACTGCTTGCCAAGCTGGCCATTGAAGGTCGCCTGCATTGCTGCTCCTAGCTCGTCCAGTGGTGTGTCTTCTGGCTTCTCAGGTGTTGAGCCGAACTCTTTCCCAAGGTCACCGAGGATCTCATTCTGTAGTGTCGATTTACCTGATTAAAGTCAGCTACCACCGTACAAGCATAAAAGTAGACCTCTGCTCACCTCCAACGAGATCTTTGATGGCCTTGCTCAGAGGGATGTCAGCCAATGGCTTCTTCAGCTTCTGTGCCACGAGTGTTCGCAGGATTTCCACAGCTCCAACAGGCGCATCAGCTACAGACGCCGCCGGCCCAGCACTTGGTGGCGGTGGTGCTGCTGCTGCGACTGGAGCTGCTGACGATGCTGCAGCTGGAGCCGCACTGCCTGAGCTTGGCGCAGCTGCCGCAGGCTCATCCTCGACAGGGTCAACATCGTAGTAGATATCCTTGGCGTCTTTGTTGTAGCAGAGGATTTGTCGTTGTACTGATCTAGCTGCGTCGTATGCTTCGTATTTTGCTGCTAATGTCCGCTTTGCCATACCACCGAGAGTGTCTGCGGGACCGATCTCCACTATCCGCTCTGTCGTCTTCTCGCCCAATATGACATCCTGCGTTTCGATCCATCGTACTGGTGATGCGAACTGGTATGCTAGAAGCTCGACGAGCAGGGTATGGGCGAGCTCTTGCTCTACTTCGGGCCTCATTTTGGGTGGTTCGGATGAGGCCGAGGATTATTCTGTTTTTCGTGTATGCTGGCTAGTGTATGTCGGATTTGGAGGATTAGTGAGATTAGGCCAGTGTAATCACAGGCAACAATGCTATGCAAAGGCCAGGTGGGTAGAGGAGAAGGATTGGAGCAGTGGAGGGTGTTGAAGCAGGACCGATACGTGAGCAGGGCCAAACTTGAGATGATAGGCGACGCCCTATGCAGGTCACACAACGACGCCTGTCAACCGTAATCCTCCGTTGTGCAGTGGGTGGTGAGCTGCAGGCAGGGTAACGTTGAGTGGTCTCGTGTCCGAGGTGAGGGAAAACTATGAGAGCTTTCGCTGCAGGCTACATCTGGGGTGCAGCGGTTTCGTGCTAGCGTGAGGGTCATCGGGATGATACGATCTTAGAAGTCGTGGTCATATGGACACATCACTGCCGTACATTCACTATGTTGCAGGCTCTTGTGGCGACGTAATCTATCTCATCGCTGCAGGCGATCGTCACCCATCTTTACAGCTGCTCATCATGTTCATTAATCAGGACTGCAAGACTGGGATGCTATGCTGGAGGCTACAAGGCATTTCTCAAAGATCAGTGATCACTACTTTCTCGCCCGTAAGTCTTTCACGCTACTGCTGCCAAACGATGTCACAGGGCAACTCAAAATTTGTGATCAATGGAGACAGACTACAGCGAAAGAACAGCTTGCCATTGAGTATTCATACCTGCTGCCTGCGATGGATTATGTCCTCGACAATCGACCCTGCAGCGTGGTCTGGTGGGAAACGACAGGCGGCTCAACAGACGTAACCCAGCATGTAGCCACGTTAGCTGCATGGATTTGCGCTGCATCCGAGTCTCCCCAACCGTCAGCCCGCATCGATAAACTTCTCCCCAAGCTGTAGCTATGCCGAGCAAAAGCCTCAACGTGCTCGCCATGTTTCCAGCTGTAGTTTAGGATAGCTTGCTGCCTGTGTATTATCGTCAAAGGCAATACTCTGTTGTCACTAATCTTGCCATACACTATCGTCGCTCCCTTCCAGTACACGAATACCATTACCCTCACGATTTGCCTTCCTTCTGCAGGATCGAACCACTACCCTACTACCACGGCCCGAGCTTTGATTCCGCGGCCGAGCTTGCAATTTTGAGAGAAGGTAAGAGCCATTGCCCTGTCAGTGTAGAAGTAGACACTTGGTCGTTCGGTGTGTGATCGGGCGAGAGAACACATAAGACGAAGGGAACCAGTGTGACGTTGCTGTCGAGCTTGCGGAAGAACGGAGATCGTTGGAGCACGCGACAGCCATGCGCTTGGACTGAATACACATCTACTAAAGTTACACAATGGCTAACAACCACAACCAACAGTTCAGGACACCACAGCCACGTCCTGGAGTAATTAGGAGATCCTCCAGTATGTACGGTGGCACGCAAACCGGCGCCACTACACCTAGAAGTATGCATATTATCATACCACCCATCCCAATCGAAGCTATGAGCTAATAGTGTTGCTACAGGTCAAGCTGTTTCTCGACCACTCACCCTATCTCATGGCTCACTCGATTTCACCTTCCTGATACCCACCGCCCTACACTTCCAAGCAAACCAGCTTCGAGAACACTTTGTCGCAACTCTTCCCGAAGCGACTGAGGAGCTAGCACAAGATGACGAGCCCTCATCCGTCCCTGAGCTGGTAGCTCGCTACCTAGGCTTCATCGCGAGGGAGGTAGAAGATGAGGACGAAGCAGGCGTATACGACGATGTACTGAAGCTTGTCACACAAGAATTCGAGAGAGCTTTCCTGCGAGGAAATGAGGTGCATGCTATTGCGGCGCACTTGCCAGGCATACCGGAGAAGAAGCTGCTCACTGTAAAATCATACTATGCTGCTCGAGCTGCAGTGCAGCGACCAATTAGAGCTCACGAGTCTGCTCTGTTCCGTGAGGTCTCGGACGACAATGCCTGCGTCTACGCCATCTTTGGTGGTCAAGGCAATATCGAAGAGTACTTTGATGAGCTTCGCGAGGTTTGGTCGACGTACCCTTCTTTGGTGGAAGACTTCATCTCGACAGCAGCTGCACTCCTGCAGGGCCTGGCTCGCGATACACAAGCCGAGAAGATGTATGCGAAGGGTCTGGACGTTATGCGATGGCTGAACTTCCCTGAGGCACAACCAGACACCGACTACCTCGTCTCTGCACCCGTCAGCTTCCCTCTCATTGGTCTTACACAACTTGCACACTACGTCGTCACTTGCAGAGTACTCGGCACACATCCCGGCCATGTTCGAGAACGATTTGCTGGAACAACTGGTCATTCACAAGGTGTGGTGGTAGCAACTGCGATAGCTGCATCAGGCAACTGGGAGTCTTTTGACAAGGCAGCAAGGAATGCTCTTACGATCTTGTTCTGGATGGGAGCTCGTAGCCAGCAAGCATACCCAAGGACATCACTTGCACCAAATGTGCTCCAGGACTCAATCGACAGCGGCGAAGGCACACCCACGCCTATGCTGTCTATTCGTGACCTGCCGAGAGAATCCGTGGAGAAGTACATTGGTAAGACCAACGAACATCTACCAAAGGAACGCCACATCGGCATATCGCTCGTCAACAGCGCCAGAAATTTCGTGGTTACTGGCCCGCCTATGTCGTTGTACGGCCTGAATCTGCAATTACGAAAAGTCAAAGCTCCTACTGGCCTCGATCAGACACGTGTACCATACACGGAGCGCAAAGTGCGCTTCGTCAACCGCTTCTTGCCAATCACCGCTCCTTTCCACAGCCCGTATCTTGCAGACGCCATCTCGAAGCTGGAAGGAGATCTCAAGGACATCAACATTGGGTCGCAAGAGCTCGGTATCCCTGTATACGACACTGCATCAGGTGAGGATATCAGGAAAACACAAACTGGCAACATCGTACCCGAACTTGTTCGCATGATTTGCAAGGACCCGGTCAACTGGGAGAAGGCGACTGTGATGCCGCATGCCACGCACATCCTTGATTTCGGTCCTGGTGGTATCTCTGGTCTGGGCGTGCTCACGAACCGCAACAAAGACGGTACTGGTGTCCGGATCATTCTTGCTGGCACCATGGACGGCTCGAACGTGGAGGTCGGATATAAGCCTGAGATCTTCGATCGTGATGGTGAGCATGCTGTGAAGTATGCTGTGGATTGGGTGAAAGAGCATGGACCTAAGCTTGTCAAGGATTCTGTTGGCCAGACATACGTGGATACCAAGATGAGCAGGCTGCTAGGCTTGCCTCCGGTCATGGTTGCTGGTATGACGCCATGCACTGTGCCATGGGACTTCGTGGCCGCGACAATGAATGCAGGCTATGAGATCGAGCTGGCTGGTGGCGGGTACTACAACGATAAGAGCATGAGCGAGGCCATCAGCAAGATCGAGAAGGCCATTCCTGCTGGTCGTGGTATCACACTCAATCTGATCTATGTGGCCCCTCGTGCCATGGCATGGCAGATTCCACTTATTGGAAAACTACGAGCTGAAGGTGTGCCGATTGAGGGTCTGACCATCGGTGCAGGTGTACCTTCAATTGAGGTGGCGAACGAGTACATCCAAACTCTGGGTATCAAGCACATCGGCTTCAAGCCTGGATCCACCGAGGCCATCCAAGCAGTCATCAACATCGCCAAGGCAAACCCTGACTTCCCAGTCATGATGCAGTGGACTGGTGGCCGCGGTGGTGGACATCACTCATACGAAGATTTCCATCAGCCGCTCCTGTCGATGTACAGTCGTCTAAGGCGCTGCTCCAATCTTGTCCTGATTGCTGGTTCCGGCTTTGGTGGCGCAGACGACACATATCCATACCTCAATGGCGAGTGGGCGAAGAAGTACGGCTATCCTCCCATGCCATTCGACGGAGTGCTTTTCGGTAGTCGCTGCATGGTCGCTAAGGAAGCGTATACCTCGAAGGCCGCCAAGCAAGCTATCGTGGATGCTCCCGGTCTCGAGGACCACGAATGGGAGAAGACGTACAAAGGACCAGCTGGCGGCATCATCACTGTTCGCTCCGAGATGGGCGAGCCTATCCACAAGATTGCCAACAGGGGTATCAAGTTCTGGGCGGAAATGGACCAGAAGATCTTCAGCTTGGACAAAGCGAAGAGGATACCGGAGCTGAAGAAGCATCGTGAGTACATCATTCAGAAGCTCAATGATGACTTTCAGAAGCCTTGGTTTGGTCGCAATAAGGCTGGCGAGTCTGTCGATCTCGAGGACATGACGTATGCTGAGGTCCTGCGACGCATGGTCGAGCTCATGTATGTCAAGCATGAGAAGCGATGGATCGATCCTACACTTTTGCGGTTGACTGGCGACTTCATCCGACGTATTGAGGAACGCTTCACGACAGGAGACGGCAAGGCCTCGCTTATCCAAAATTATAGCGAGCTTGATGAGCCGTACGCCACAGTCGACAAGGTCATCCAGGCATACCCAGAGTCTGACACGCAACTCATCAACGCGCAAGATTGCCAGCATTTCCTGTTGCTCTGCCAGCGTCGCGGCCAGAAGCCTACTCCGTTCGTGCCTTGCTTGGACGACACGTTCGAGTTCTTCTTCAAGAAGGATTCGCTGTGGCAGTCTGAGGATCTTGAGGCAGTCGTTGATCAGGATGTTGGTCGTGTGGCTATTCTCCAGGGACCTATGGCGGCGAAGTACTCCACCAAAGTGGATGAGCCTATCAAGGAGATTCTTGATGGCGTGCACAACGGTCACATTCAGTATCTCACCAAGGATCTTTACAATGGCGATGCTAGCAAAGTACCTGTCGTCGAGTACTTTGGTGGAAAGCTGCTTCTTGAGACGGACATTGAAGGGCCTGCTATGGAAGGTGTCACTGGTTCGGATCTTGGGAGCAAAATGCTGTATCGTATTGGTGCTGCACCGCAGACGCCTATGCCACCATTGGAGAGCTGGATGCAATTGCTTGGAGGTAAGGGCCAGACCTGGCGCCAAGCTTTCTTCACGGCCGATGTGTTCGTCCAAGGCCAACGATATGACACAAATCCTATGCAGCGTGTCTTCGCTCCTTCGCCGGGTATGATGGTCGAGATCCACCATCCTGATGAGCCGAAGAAGACTACGATCGTGGTGAAGGAGACTCTGCACGGCAAGTATGTCCACACGATCGAGGTTGGTCCGATTTCTGGCAGCGAGATCCCCGTACATCTGATTGAACATCGCACGACGCTTGGAAAGCCGGCCGCGCTCACGCTCAAGTTCGTCTATCATCCCGAGACTGGTTACGCTCCGATCCGCGAAGTCATGGATGCGCGCAATGACCGGATCAAGGAGTTCTACTTCCGTCTTTGGTTTGGCGACGAAGCAGTGCCGTTCGATCAACCTGTTACTAGCATGTTCCCGGGCGGCAAAGCTACAGTCACGAGCGAGGCCATTAATGACTTCGTGCATGCTGTTGGCAATACTGGCGAGGCTTTCGTGGATAGACCCGGCAAGGAGGTCTTTGCGCCTATGGATTTTGCCATTGTTGTTGGCTGGAAGGCTATCACGAAGCCCATCTTCCCTCGCAGTATCGATGGAGATCTGCTGAAACTGGTGCACTTGTCGAACGGCTTCCGTATGATGCCTGGTGCTGCACCGCTGAAGAGGGGCGACGTGCTCGACACCAACGCCGAGGTCAACGCGGTCATCAACCAGGATTCCGGCAAGATGGTCGAGGTCTGCGGTACCATCACCCGCGACGGCGAGAAGGTCATGGAGGTGACTAGCCAGTTCTTGTATCGTGGCGCTTACACCGACTTTGAGAACACCTTCCAGCGCAAGATCGAGACACCCATCCAAGTCCACCTCGCAACGACGAAGGATGTCGCTATCTTGCAGTCGAAGGAGTGGTTCCGCATGGACGATTCCGATGTCGAGCTCTTGGGTCAGACGCTCGTGTTTAAGGTGCAGACTCTGACCAGGTTCAAGAACAAGAACGTCTTTTCTTCCGTGCAGACCTACGGCAGAGTCGAAGTCGAGCTTCCATCAAAGGCAATTGTGCAGGTGGCTGCTGTTGAGTATGATGCCGGTGCTTCGTACGGCAACCCTGTTCTGGACTACCTTCAGCGTAATGGCGAAGCTCTCGATCAGCCCGTCAACTTTGAGAACCCGATCCCGCTTAATGGCAAGACGCCACTTGTGCTCAAGGCGCCTTCGTCCAATGAGACGTATGCTAAGGTTTCGGGCGACTATAACCCTATTCACGTTTCGCGCGTGTTCTCCAAGTATGCCAACTTGCCAGGCACGATCACACATGGCATGTACTCCAGCGCCGCTGTGCGCAGTCTAGTCGAGACTTGGGCTGCCGACAACAATGTCGGTCGTGTGCGAAGCTTTCACGCTTCTCTGGTGGGCATGGTGCTGCCCGATGACACTCTGGAAGTAAGACTTTCGCATATTGGCATGGTTGCTGGTCGCAAGATCATCAAGATCGAGACTAGCAAGGCCGACAGCGACGACAAGGTTTTGCTCGGCGAGGCGGAGGTCGAGCAGCCTGTCTCTTCCTACATCTTCACTGGTCAGGGTTCGCAAGAGCAGGGTATGGGTATGGATTTGTATAACAGCAGCACTGTGGCTAAAGAGGTCTGGGATCGTGCCGATACGCACTTCATGGACAACTACGGTAAGCGCTTGCTGATATATTCGGGCTTTTGATTATCGGTACTAACATTTCGCAGGCTTCGCTATCACCAACATTGTTAAGAACAACCCCAAGGAGTTCACAGTCCACTTCGGTGGCGCTCGTGGCAAAGCTATCCGACAAAACTACATCTCCATGACCTTCGAGACTGTGGCTAGTGATGGCACCATTAAATCGGAGAAGATCTTCAAGGAGATCGACGAGCATACCACGTCTTACACCTACCGATCACCCACCGGCTTGCTCTCGGCTACGCAGTTCACGCAGCCAGCATTGACGCTCATGGAGAAGGCTTCATTCGAGGACATGCGCGCGAAGGGTCTTGTGCAGCGCGACAGCAGTTTCGCTGGCCACTCTCTCGGCGAGTACAGTGCTTTGGCAGCTCTTGCTGAGGTCATGCCAATCGAGAGCTTGGTGTCCGTCGTCTTCTACCGTGGCTTGACCATGCAAGTCGCTGTCGAGCGTGACGAGGCTGGTCGTTCCAACTACTCCATGGCTGCTGTTAATCCCTCCCGTATCAGCAAGACTTTCAACGAGCAAGCTCTGCAATACGTCGTCGAGAACATCTCCGAGACGACTGGCTGGCTCTTGGAGATTGTCAACCTGAACGTCGCCAATCAGCAGTACGTCTGTGCTGGCGACCTCCGTGCCCTCGACACCATGACCAATGTGCTCAACTATCTCAAAGCACAAAAGATCGATATCCAGCAGCTCATGCAAACCCTCAGCATGGAAGACGTGAAGCAGCATCTAACCGAAATCATCAAAGAATGCGCGAAACAGACCGAAGCAAAACCCAAGCCCATCGACCTCCAGCGCGGCTTCGCCACCATCCCACTGAAGGGCATTGATGTCCCCTTCCACAGCACCTTCTTGCGCAGCGGTGTCAAGCCCTTCCGATCCTTCCTGCTCAAGAAGATCAACAAGACGAGTATCGATCCCAGCAAGCTAGTAGGGAAGTACATCCCCAACGTCACGGCGCGGCCTTTCGAGTTGACCAAGGAGTATTTTGAGGATGTGTACCGGTTGACGAACTCGCCACGGATTGGGAATATTTTGGCGAATTGGGAGAAGTATGCGAGTGATGATGCGGATGTGGCGAGGCCAAGGGTGGGCAGTTTTGTGCCGCCGCCTACGTCATAGAAGATGTGGGAGTAGATTAGAGGAGGAGGGTTTGTTGTAGTATGTGTAGGTGGGATTGTTTCGGATAGGGAGGGAGGGTTTGGCTTTGACTGTAATAGATTTATACTACAGAGCGTGCAGAGGCATGTGTACTTTTTGTAAATGCTATGTAGATTGATATGAGTTCCGAGACCGTCTGGTACCGGGCTCCGCATTGACAGCGTATAAGAAGAGCTCTGAGCAGTCCGCCGCGTGATTCCCCCAGCCAAAGAGTCCTGAGTGATTTGGCTCGCGCAAGCGGATGGTTCGAAGGTGGTGAACATATACGTCGAAACCATCTCCTGACCAAGCTAGGAAACGAAGACGCTTCGTGTTGATCGCTTGAGGGCACCACTTGCTGACGTCTAGACCACGCTACGGTGTCGGCAAGCTCGAGAGCCCTCGCCGGTATGACTGACTTGCCCGTGTCCTAAAACTAGAGTGACGGTCGTTGACAAGGTGAGAAAGGCGTGGCGAGAAAGTGGTCGTCCGGCATTTCTTCGGCTCTTGCGGCGAAGCAGCGCAGCACTCCCGAGACGCGCATTGAATACCATGAACAGCATCTCTCATCTGGTTTAGCATTGGACTGAAGGTATCGCAAGGATGCGCGCATCACGACCAGCCGAACAGGCACTCCGCCTCGCTACGTCATCAGCATCACAAAAATACGTCTGCCGAGCCTGTCGTGCCCAAGCCGCCCGCCAGTTCCACACCTCAGTACCACGACCCGCACAAGTGCCATTGTACCAGCGTCTACGGGACACCCTTTTTGGAAGCAAGCAATCACAGGAGGCTGAAAAGGGCCGTGGAGAGAAGCAGGTGCAGCGGAGAGAAGAAGAACAACAACAGTCCAGCAGTCAAGAAGATGGTGCGCTGGAAGTAGTGGTCGGGAGGGATGGACAGGAGTATGAAGTCGCTGCTGTCGTGGACCCGACCCTCGCCAAGAACTACATTCAAGCAATGAGCTGGGAAGGGCTCGAAAGAATAGGCAGTGAAGAGTGGGTCAAGAGGAGGGCTGACCAAGGGGAGCAATATGTTGGGTGAGCTGACACCATGCCCCTCCCTGCTCTGACCAGAATGACTAATACTATACCAGCTTCATCCCAAAGAAGGATATCAAACTCACACCCAAACAATGGAAGATCGTCCTCTCCGACATCATGGCCGATATACTAGCCCTCAAACGAGCCGGGCGGTCCGTCGATCAGGTCCTCCATCCAAACGTGCAGGAACAAGGAACAGCAAACGAGACGTGGACCCCTGATTCGGGACTGCCCTCCTTCTCAATTACAAAACAACAGAGTCTACGTGTAGTTGCCAACGAACGACAATACAGAGGCACTCTTGGTCGGAGAAGCAAACGCTCGACGATAGCGCCTATTGGCGACGTCTCTCTCCACGACCCCGCCATCAAACTGGCCGTAAGCTCTCCCATCTCTACCACCCTCTCATATCACACGCACTTATAGCAGCAACAAAGACTGACTAATCATGCCCATAGCTCCACAAAATCATCCTCAGAGTCAGCGGCCGTCGCATTTCGGACGCCGCCCTAAACTCCAGCCACACCCTCTCAGACCTCTACAGCCACCTCACCGCGAAAACAAAATCTCCTTCACTCGCCCGCGCTCCGGAGATCCGGCGGTTGAAGGCTACTTCGGCCGCGAATGTCAGTTTCGTGCCGCGGAAGGTGACGATGATTGATCGGGAGAAACAGGTGGGGAGGTGGAAGGTTATTGAGGAGGAGCTTGTTGCGAGGGGTTTGCCGGTTACGGGGAGTAGATTTCAGGGGGCTAAGACTGTTGTGCATTGACTGGTTGATCGATTGATTGATGCATTGATCGGGTTGCGGAAATGAAGATGGGAGTGGAGGATGGTGACTGCGGTGTGTTGTGTTGTGATGTGGTGTGCTTGCTTGCTTGCCATGGTGATTCGGACTGTGGCGAGTAGGTGTACGTATATCTGAGATGAATATATTGACTACTGGCAGCGACAGGGCGGTATACATCTATGCAAGTACAGAGCACTCATGGCTATATCTTCTACATCTTGCCAGCGATGTCTTTACCTTTCTTCTACCACCATCGCCTTCGTCTCTCCCCACCAACCGACCATTTGAACAATTGATAGTCTGCTTTGACCTTAGCGTGCACACATGAAAGTACGGGACAGCAGACCATCACAGATATCCTGCAACATGAAGACTCGTTCAACACTGTGCTCTGCAGCCGCCCTAACAGCAGTCAGCGCCCGCTTTGTCGAGGCAGCGGGAAGTATCGCACATTTGCCTCCACAGAACACGACAGCCTTGGGACCCGAGTCGATACATGTGGTCACGCCTATGGTACCAGAGCAAACCTTGATGTCGCTTTTGGCCTCGACTACGACTAATACTCAGAACACAACTTCAGTTATCAGTTCGGCCACGCAGAGCTCTACAACAGATAGCCCTGCGCAAGCATATCGTCATCATAATGAAAGTAATGGTGTGGAGACTGGTTCGCCGGCTGTGTCTAAAGCCATCGAGGTTTTCTTGTGGACTTTCTCGGCCCTACCAGCACTGACATTGTTGATCAACGGCCGCCTCGAAGGCCTGATTATCCTTCTCCTCCTCTCTGTCTCCACAGCGAGCGCATCGAGCATATCACGGCCTACCTTCACAGTGACGGAGTACGCCACCATTACGGTGACCACGACAGACACCCCGACGACGACCACACCTTCGCCGTTGACCACACCACCGCCACCACCACCAACGGCAGTACACGCCACGTTCGACGAGAAAAAGGTATGCTACCAGAACGTCAACGGCCTGCTGTTCCCAACACCCTGTATAACCTACGATGTTATGATAACCGTCCACGGCCCAGCACAGCCCGGAAGCCCTCCAGGACCAGTATGCTGGAGCGATGGGACAGAATTGCCTTGCAACTACGTGCACTCAGGAGCTAAGGAGAACCGACAAGTCTCTTCGGCAGCTATTCAAGTCATCCTGGCCACTGCCTTGACCGTCTGGCTAGGCCGTCGCGCCTTGGGCTTGATGGTACTCGTACTCATGGCCATGATCAACGGGGAAGCCTCAACCGTCCCCTCGCCATCCGCCATATCGACGGTAATGGAATCCGCGACCGTCACCGTCACTGTCACAGGCATCGCTATTCCAGCGACAGACATCACTGTCTTGACGACACCTCCACCCACCACAGCACTGCCGGCGTTCGACGAGAAAGACGTGGTGTGCTACCAAACCGTCAACGGTCTAGCCTACCAGACTCCATGCCAGACTTTCAACGTTTGGACTGCTGTCGAAGCTCCTGGCCAGTCGGGGCCGGTGTGTCAGGAGGGTGGGACGGTGCTGCCTTGTGTTGATACTGGGATGTTGCATTCCCGAGCACGGAACGAGAGGATTATCCCAAGTGTCTTGGGTCTGCTTGCCATGGTGGGTGGAGTGGTACTGGTACTTGGGCCGCGTGGGGTGTGGATCCTGCCATTTGCACTCCTGCTTATGGGTCTGCTTGGACTCGCTGATGCGACTACCTCCCTTAGCGAGCCGACAATTACGGGCACGGGCACGGGCACGAGCACGGCCCTAGTACCCTACGCAAACACCGTCCCAGATCTACCGATCTTCACGACAGCAATCCCTAATGCCACTACTACCGATGAGAAGGCGCCGGGCTGCTACTACAGCTCCGCTGGTCTGCTGCTCCCATCGCCATGTCCGGCTGGTATACCTGCACCGCAGCCTCCCTTGGGCCCAGGCCAGTGCATGCGGAATGGACTAGTCTATGACTGCACGGAGACATACATGACTCCTTCCGGTGCACCGAGCAATCAGTTGGTAGGGGCATCTGGGGCGCTGCTCGGCATCTCGCTGTTGGTCGCGCACCAAGATGTCTTGTCTATCGAGATGCTCATCGGACTGTGGATATCCGGCATGGGTGGCTTCGGCGTAGCTGCACAGGTGATGTCGCAAGAGCACGTTGAAACCCCCATGACGACAGTCGTACCTACAGCTACCAAGGCTGACAGGATAGCTGGCCCGGTTGTGCTTGCTAACGCTTGCCCGACTATGTACGGCATGCAAGCTTGTCCCTTACCAGCGCCTTCTGAGCCTGTGGTGAGATCTGCAGCAAGCAGATTCTCGGGATCCATCATATTCCAAACAGTCTCGCAAGTTGCGGCACACGCTCTCGAGAGTGAAGCTATGTATCTCCTGATCCTCGCAGCATACGCCATACCAACACGACGAGCATTGGCACCCCATCTTCTCGCCACCAGAGCCACAATAGCTCGAGCGCAATCGCTATCCCAGGCGCGGCATCTGCCAGGCCTCACATCAATCCCTCTTCCAGAGCTGGCAGTCAACACCTCGACAATTGCCAGCGTCACAGTGACGGAAACCTCCTTTATCAAGTGGACGGGTGCGCAGTTCACTCCGACAGTGACTCATTTCATTGCTGTTTGCACGCCTTACTGCGCTTCTGTCAATGATAACGGGCAGTGTCAGCAGGTTGAGGGTTGTAAGAATGTCGTAAGCAGTGGTGCTAGAGGATCCATGGGGCTCGGGAGCAATCTGATACTGGTTGTTCTCTTTAGTATCCTTGGTGGGCTGGTCCTGGGCAGAAGGCAATCATAACATCTTGGACACGACCGTGCATGTGGAGGAGAGATTCGAGCATTACGCCAACGCTGCATACAACGGCGACTTCTCGCAATAATGATGGCAACTCCAAATGTTTCTGGCCGGACACTACATATTCGTTCCACCACTAGCCAGATGGCCGCACCTCAAGCTATCTAGCTCCACATCACACATTCATGTCATCACTTGCCCACCTTCGCCTATGACTCGCCATATCTCCTCCTGGTAGCACGTTGCCAGAAGACTTGATCTCCTTCCACTCGTAGCCCGTAACCTTCCTGTAGCAAATCTGGCCAAAGTAACGCATTCCACCGATCTTTGCCTGTGCGCCACGAGCCCATGGTGAATAGTCAGGAACATGACCAGGGACAACACCTCGCACGCGCGTGATCTTGTATTGATCAAGTTGCCGTGGTTCGTCACCGACCTCTGCGATGATGGTGTCGAGAATGTCGACCAATTTGATTCCCTCCTGCTTTGCAATCTCAAGTGTGAGATTGCCACCTTCGTTTGTGGGAGTTACAAGCAGTATCGCCTTCTTGCATGGCGGCTGGGTGATGAAGCCGTTCTTGGTATTGTGGTCGAAATGCATCCACAGCTCCCTGGGCTTGATCTCAAAGCTCGTGGCTTTATGGTATAATATGGTGCTAGTCGCGTCAAGCAAAGGGTGTACGGCTGTTACGACCGTAGCTCCTGGTGTACCGACAAGGGCATCACCGTGGTGGAGGCTCGGCTGCGGTCCTTGGAGGAGGTAATTTGGGACGGGCGGAACGATGGACCCTGGCTCAATGGACACCGTCACGAGCTGGATGGGTCTTGCAGCGATGAACATCGTCCACCGCATGGGTGGCGACGGCTGGTCGATTGTCTCCTTCCAGATCCTGGCGACCGCGCGACTGCGCACAAGATCCATGAAAGGCAAATGTTCGAGGACGAGTAGTAGCACTGCTGATTCGTTGAAAATGTTGCTCGAGTTGGTGGTGCTGCCAAAATTGGTCGTACTGCGTGTTATGGGAGCCATGTCGTGATAAATGAGCTAGGAATACTGCAGAGTGCCAGATGACTATTGGGATTTATACACGTCTCTCCACAGAGACCCAATTCTTGTTCGCTTAGCTGTATGCACTATCAGTACTTGCTCGCATACAGGAGACTCCTTTATAGCAGTCCTTTCATGCACCATGCCAAAGTATACAGTGCGGTGGCACTTCCAGGACTAAGTAGACAAATGTATCAACTGGCTGGACGACAGACCCCAATGGGCAGACTTGGTATGGTTGCAAGGCCTTGCATGGTCCGGCCTCACGAATCAGAGCTGTACTCGACAAGAGATCGTTCCTGGATATCATGGAAACATAGCATTATGTCTGATCCTCTGGTCACCTTTGCGAGGCCTATATTGTCCAGAGTCTTGTCAGAGTGGCGAAACCGCACAGCTCCTGAAGTTTCATCTCAAGATTCCAGTTCTCTTTCTTGTCAAGATGACGGCATGGAATCCCGAGACAATCCTTTGTCGCAGACATTTTGAAGCTGAGAGTCTACCTTTGCTTGCCGCGAGCAAACAGATGGTACTGCGGTTCAGATTTGTGTGGTCATGGATGAACACCCGCTAGATGCGTTCGTCAGTCACAATAGACGTGCTATAGCGGACCAATTTCATCTCGTCAGAACCTAGGTCGGTCTTGGAGCTTGACTTGCCCATATCATTCCATTGTCCGCGTATAGTCTTGCGACTTGGTGAGGAGATGAGGCGTCAGCCAGGTCAATTCAAACGATGACAGGGTATTGCGCCGCCACCCATGTGACGATGTTGCCATGGTAGAGCTATTGCCAGCGCTTGCTGATGGTTAGCCATCACCTTAAGATCACACTATGCTCTCAGACGCACTCAAGTGTCACGCCTCAAGAGAGGGCTCAACCCCAGTCGCACTGATCAGCTTGGCCACAGAAATGGTTCGGAGGCCTGCAGCTCTCATAGCAATGTTGTACCTCTCACTAAAGTATCAAAAAGATAAGACCAATGACTCGTCGCCACCAAGAATATCACAGCGACATCCCAAGAACGCCAATAGGCAGCCAGATGGAGCTAAATCGCAAACTCATGCACGAATAATAATAATTCCCCTACATTGGGCTGACCACAGCAAATCCCCCTGATTTCCGTCCGGGATTCATCCGCACGGACCGAGAACAACGCCAACCCAAAACACTTCTCCACTCCACTCGAGAGGCACCAAAGGCACCACTTCGCGCACACGGCGGGAGAACCGGGTGACTCGCGACAGCCGGCGTGATGGGGACTCACTTCCGCGGCCAATGGCACGAAGCACACTCTCAATAATGTCGCGATGAAAATGGTCGATGTGTGGAGAGAAGGCATGCAGTGCACCATTGACAATCTACAGAATCCTGCCAAGCTAGGCCAGGATGAACGAAGCAAGGCGCTCTTCTCGTCACATCACCGCCAGAAATGCTTGTAACTCGTAGATTACTACGCTGGGTGTCTCATCTTTTGCAGCTCAGCCTGTCAGCATGAGTAGCCTAGACGGACCTAGTTCGTCTTAGGCACGGAAGTACAGACCCATCTCATCTGCCACTACTTGACTCGGAGGCCCACCCTGCAATGTCTCAGGATATCTTTCGTGAAGCAGCTCCAACCTCGTTGACAGGCAGATAGATATACTGTAGTGACTGCCCTTCTCGTGTGGGATCAGACTACACTATCGACTCTTTCCGCCACTACCACATTCATTTGGACTATACTTCAACACACCACACACACTTCACGACACCACCAAACACACCAGCAATCATGCAATACACAACCCTCCTCCTCGCGGCCCTCAGCGCCCTCGCAACCGCCCAACTCAACCTCCCACCCTGCGCAACCGAATGCTTCATCCAAGCAATCGGCAACACCACCTGCGGCCTCACAGACTCCTACTGCCAATGCACAAGCGGCCAAGCCGAGATCCAAGCCGTCGCCATCCCCTGCCTCTGCCACAGCACCTGCACCTCCTCGGATCTGATCTCCATCGTGCAAGACACGAATAAAGTCTGCTCTTCCGCCCTCGCAGCCAGCAGCCAGGTCTTTACTGCTCAGACTCTTGGACTCGGTGCGTGTGCCACGGCTAGTGCGCCTGCGGGTGGTGCGGCGGTCGCGACGACGAGCGCGGGTAGTGGGAGCGCGGCTAGTGCGACTGCGACGGGGAGCCAGGCTTCCTCTTCTGGAACGGCAAAGGCTAGTGGTAGTGGGAGTGGAAGCTCGACTGCCAGCGCGGCACAACAGACTGCTAGTTCTGGTGCTTCGAGGAAGTTGGTGTACGGCGAGGCGGTGCTCGGATTGGCTGGTTTGGCTGCATTCGCTCTGTGAAATGGCAGGGTCGGGCTGGTGGCCTCATAGCTGCTTGAAACGTTGGCAGCTTTCCGAGTCTTGAATATGGCGTCTGGGTGATCGTTAGGAAAGCCGTCCACGCAGGTCCGGAACAAGGCTTTGAGCCGAAGGAGACTGCTTTTGTGGACATAGCCATACCGAAGTTCATGTTTTCAGCCTATTGCTTCTCTCCACTTGACACTCCATGCTGTGAACTCGTCCTCAACACCCTTCCAATCGGTCTTCATGGCTGTCGACGCAGACATGGCTTCCTTAAGGCATTTTTCCAGTCCTTTCCTCGCTCGCTCCTCGTCTAGGTCGTAGAAGCAGCCGACCATCTCGTCGACCTGATGCGGCAGCTTGCGGAGGCTCTCCAATGCCTCGTCCAATCGCTTGACATTCGCTGTCCGAGTTTCCCGCTCTTCCGCCGCCTCACTGTTGTTCTTATTGAGTGGTTTGAACCGTCTCTTGAGTAAAGCCGGATACAGCAGAACCACCTTCTTCAGCTTCGCTTCCGCCTCTTCGACGAGTGCTTTGAGCTCAGGCCTGTCGCTCGGCATACTGTTGGCAGCATTGAAGATATCCTCTACGCTATCCTTGTCCCCACTGACAGCCTCATCATCACTGTCTAGAAGCTCATCATGTCCTTCAGTATCAGGATCCTCACCATTCTTCCACTCTTCCAACTCCTCTATAGCATCCTTGATCGTGTCTCGGTACTGCTCTGCCTTCTGTACTGCGAGACCACCTAGCCCAAGCTTTTCTAGCTCGATCACAGCGTCACAGCTCTCCCATACTACACCCGTGGAAGACAGACTGTTCCTGCTCCGCGCGTTACCTTTCCCTTGTGAAACTGCCTGAACTTCTTGGAGCAATGTCTCCATCTCTGAGAAGACCCTCCTCACTCTCGCTTGGGCTTCCTTGGCCATCATAGTACTCCATAGAGCATACTCCTGCTCGCAGATCTGTACCGCACTCATCATTGCTGGGAGACATTCTGCTGTAAGTAGCCTGATCACTTTGCCGATCGCAGAAGGTGTGAATGGTTTGTTGATTGCCAGGAGGCTGATCTTGGTCGTGTGGGCCTTGACCAGCATGGCCGAGTCGCGTAAGACATGGAGGGGGTTTGGAGGGTCTTCGATGCGTTCTGCAAGAGGTGACGGTGTCGAGGGCTTGAGGAAGGTGGCGAACTCGTTCAGGCGGGTCAGTGTGGCTGCGACTTGCTCGTCGAGCGCCTTGATGTCTGCCTCGCTGGGCGCCATCGTGCGAGACGATGTTGTTTGTCTGTAGGTTGTGAAGATGTGCATGTCACATGCGAATCCCAAAAGTTGTGCAGCAGTCTTGGCACGAGCAAGGTCACCCCGCCGCCAACCATCACATGAAGATAATCTCTCCGATCTAATGGCTCGGCCAAAAAGTGTGTCGTCTGCCCCGATATCTGGTGATCTGGCAGACAAGACACTGGTCCTAGACAATGGCGCCCACACCATCAAAGCTGGCCTCGCCGTTGGCCACGCCGAGAACGAACCAAGCCTGCACGACTGCCATGTCATACCCAACGTGATCGCGCGATCTCAGCGCGACAAGCGCACATATATCGGCCCAGAATACTCGGAATGTCTGGACTTCGGCGAGCTGGCATACAAGCGACCCGTAGAGAAGGGTTTCATCGTGAATTGGGAAGGCGAGAAAGCGATATGGGAACGCAGCTTCTTCGACAAAAATGCTGCGGTTTTGCAATGTGTACCCGAGGAGACCAATCTCATCCTGACTGAGGCGCCGAACTCGCCTACGGCGTTACAGAGACATGCCGATGAGATGGTGTTCGAGGAGTTTGGCTTTGCCGGCTACTACAGGACTATAGCCCCCACTCTGAACGCCTACGCGCCATCACCATTCCCATCTACATCGATCTCTGCCCCAGGAATACCAGTCGAATGTCTCCTAGTAGTAGACGCTGGCCATTCCCACACGACCATAACGCCCCTCTACCAAGGTCGGCCCTTCCAAGCCGCCATCCGACGCCTCGAAGTCGGTGGCAAAACCCTCACGAATCAGATGAAAGAACTCATCTCCCGGACCTTCGACGTGCATCGCGAAGATCATATCGTGGGTGAGATCAAGGAAGATGTTTGCTTTGTTTCTCAGGACTTCAACCGGGATTTGGAGAAGGTCTGGAAAGGCGGGAGGTATGATCCTAGGGAGATCGATGCGAGTGTGGTCGTTGACTATGTACTCCCGGATTACGAGACGATTAAGCGTGGGTTTGCGCGACCGCATGATCCGAAGGCGAATCTGAGGAATATTATGCTGGGGATTGGGACGGAGGGGGGGAGGAGAGAGCATGTTCTCACGATTGGGAATGAGAGGTTTGTCGTTCCGGAGCTGCTGTTCAGGCCTTCGGATATCGGGATGCAGCAGGATGGGATCTGTGGGACGATATTGCAGGCTATTAATGCTTTGCCTGAGGTGCTTAGGCAGGCCTATCTGGCCAATATCGTGGTTGTTGGGGGGACGAGTAAGTTGCCTGGGTTTGTGGAGAGGTTGGAGGCGGGGTTGAGGGGGATGGTTGATGTAGATCTTGTGGTTAGGGTGGCGAGGGCGGGGGATCTGGTGAAGAATGTTTGGCTTGGAGGTGCGAGGATGGCGCAGAATGAGGAGTTGGTGAAGAGTTTGTTGGTGAGTCGGGCAGAGTATGCAGAATATGGGGATGGGTGGGTGAGGAGGAAGTTTGCTGGAAGAGTAGGAAGATGAGAAAATCTGTCCGGGGTGGATCGGCGCTGTCTCGTTAATGTGCTGGGACATAGCAGCATAAATGCCCATGCTCAGAGTGCGAACGAAGTTGTCTTTCAGGGCATCTTGCACAAGGCGCGATACATCGAAACATAGATGATGAGTCCACAAGACCGGGAGGCTATCGTCCGAGCAAAACGCCCTCACCACCACGACTGGAATGCTTGGATAATGCTGATCTTCATCGCAAGACTCTTATATGTGTAGCATGCTCGATATACTGCGTGTCCGCACCGAAAGATCTGGCTGCCGCCACTGACCCCTCGGTCGTTGCAAGACCAAAGACAGAGTGTCATGAGATAAAGACGCGAGAATCCTGTCCGGTCGGACTTTCTAGAGACCACTCTCATGAGGTCCATCTGCGGGAGAGGAGTGCATGAAGCTACATCAGGCCAGAAGAGGCCAGGCGAGGCTGATGAGAAAGCGGGACAGGGAGGGCGAGAGAGTGTTATTCTGCCATAGTCTAGGACCGTAGGTACGAGGCAAGATAAGACGGAGGTTCGTCGACCATTGGGAGAAATGTAGAGTTCTTTCTACCTCGAGTGGATTTACTACTCACTCATCATCACTATCGCTATCATCCTCAACCACAAACCCCGCCCTCGTCCCTCTTCTCACTATGGGCTTGACCAAAGGTACATCGTGCTCATCCTCATCCCGGTCATTGAGCCCATCGAGTAGCGTCCCGCTCAACCCAGCATTCCCCGAAACCTCCTTCAACGCTTTCTGCGCAGGTGAGGCCGGATCATGAGGTTTCACTCCGTCCATAGCATCGCCATCATCTTCGTCGCTATCCTCCTCGAACATAGCTGGTCGCTTCTGCCGCGTTTGGGATACTATTGCAGCGGGCTCGGCTTCCGTGACAGTCGCAGTCGCAGTCGCAGTCGGAGCAGCAGTAGCAGTAGCAGCATCAGCACCTGTATCTGTATCCACATCACTATCCTCCTCAAAGATCGGTCGTCGTTTCGTTGGTCGCGGCGCTGTTTCCTCGGCTTCGGAAGAAGAAGCTCCGACGAGATCCTCGTCGTCTTCCATTTCATCGTCGGTGGTGGCAAGAGGAGAAGCAGTCTTCCTCCTCTTCTCCGCCCTCTTTCCACGAGCACCAGCATCCGCAGCACTCCCCCTCTTCTGCTTACTTTTCCCCTTCTCTTTCTTCCCAGCCTCAACATCCAACACCCCACCCTCCTCACCATCCCCTTCCTCCATTCGCTTCAAAAGTGCACTGCGGATCTCCCCCGCCGTCTTCCTCCTCCTCTCCGCCTCCAACCGGAAAAACTCCGCGTCCGCATCGGCATCACTCTCATCATCGCTCTCCGTAACAAACAACCTACTCTTGATCTTCGAATTCCTCTCTTTCTCCCTTCTCCTCCTCTCCGCAGCTCGCTCATCGGCTTGAGCATCCGTCAGCTCTGTGCGGGTGCGTTTCGTGAGGCGGCGGCGTTTACTAGGCCTTTCCTCGCCATCTGTTTCTTTGCGAGATTCGCGGAGGTTGGGAGGGAAGAGCGATGCGTCTACATTGACATCGGATTCACCTGCTCCTGCGCCAGCACCAGCATTGCCATCGGTATCCTCGTCATCGGCTGAGTCGTACGTATTGATCGCTACTCGCCTCACGGCAGATTTGTTCCGCACCATCTCCGCCGCCGTCTTGCCTTCCTCGAAATGTGGAGGGTCGAACTCGGTGCGTTTGATAGCAGCAAGTCCTTCAGTGACTTCCTCCGTCGAGAGATCGGAGGGTATAGTCCAGCTCGCATCAGCGTCTTCCACTGTACCTAGTCGTTCGCAGCCGATGGTGGTAAGGAGGAGTCGTAAGTGCTTATCCTTGAACAATTGCTCTTTGCGCTCGTCCGTGCCGCGGCTGAGGAAGATGGTAGGCGGTGGTAACACAGCTCCTATGTGGGGACACTCGCCCTCGGCCTCGCGTTCGATGGAGGACATAGCCGCCCTCTCCGCCTCCCACGCCTTCCTCTCTTCAATCGCCCGCTCGAACTCCCTCTTCACCCAATCCAGAATTTCTCCTTTACTCTGCTCAAGCAACAGGCTGACAATGACAGGAACCTTCATCGCCTCCTCCACAGTCCCCTTAAACTCCAACTCCGCCGGTGCTCGCGGCGCTCGCTTCTCCACAACCCTCTCGTACCCGTTCTGCAGGTAAAACACCGAAGCCGGGATTTTACTAAACAGCATCTCTGTCACGCACATCTCCTTCCATCCATCACCCGCCACGTCCTTGGAAAGCCACTTGACGCATCGCCGGAAGACTTGCTGCACCAGCGCCTCCCAGTCTTTGTAGCCGTCGATTTCCGTACTTAGACCTCTAGGACCTTTGACCATGCGGTGTAGGAGCTGGAGAATATCGACGCGGAACAATAGGATGGCCAGTTCGTGCTTGAACGCCAGACGGTAGAAGTACCGATGACACCGTTTCAGCTGATCTGGGTTTAGATCGGCGTAGAAATAGAGTAATGAGATGAAGGTGTCAACGCAAGGTTGTGATAGGAACTTTGCGCTGAAACGGGAGAAGTCGAATTTGCGTTCCGATACTGTGGCGTGAGCTGATCGTTCCTCTTCAGCAGCGTCTTCGGGGTCGTCTTGGCCCGTGGTGTTGCTCTGCTTACTTGCCTTCTTCCGTGCTCGCCGCTTTGAGCGGATATGTAGGTCGGCGTTCTGCTTGCTGTACCTCTCTAGCATGCGGACAAAGACATGGACACACTCTGTTACTGTGTCGAGATAAGCGAAACCCTGGTTTGTATAGCCTCTCAAGATCTGCACGATCCGGTCGTGAGTTGCCTCCTCGTAGAAGATGCGATTCTGAATGTTCTCCGCAATTTCCTGATCTTCTTCGTCTTTGCTCTCCGCCATAGTTTGTACTGTAAGCAGAATCTGGGTGAAAGCCAAAAGTGTCGATTGCAGATCGATCCAGTTCTTCTCATCGAAGAAGCGTTGCATGTGCCTGTTGAGTAGGACGAAAGTCTCTTGGTCAAGTACAGCAGCGATGTATGCGAATGTGCTATCTTCCAGTGGTCGTTGGGAGGCTTCTGCTTGGCTTCGTCGAGCCGATTCTGCTGAAAGGAACCAATTGATGAGGTAGAAGTACTGTCGCTTGTGCACTTCGCCCACTCTGTCCGTCTCTCGCTCGATCGCTTTTCGTAAGCTGGAAAATAGAGGATTGAAGCCAGAATCTAGGAAGTCCTCGGTGAAGCTTCGCAGATGCTGTCTCGCAGTTTCCGTCAACTCCACCTTCTCCCCAAAATCAGTCTGCTCGTTCGTCTGCTGTGCGATCTTGCCACGCTGTCTCGGCTTATTCCACTTCTTGCTCTGGTCCATCATCTGCAATGTCGCATCACCATCCACAATGCTCGCCTGACCCGTCAAAGTGCTCATCTTCTCATCCTCCCGCTTCACCCACAGCATTGTGCCGAAACGGTTGTGTCTGCTCGGAGCATGTCGATTATAGCCCTTGTGCATCGCCTTCTCCCTTTGCATCAACGACTTTAGCTCGTCTGTCTCTTGCGCCTGCATCTGCTTCTGCTCCATAAACAACTTCTTCGCATCCACTCCCTTCAGCAGATGGAACAAAATCTCCAGCAGAATCACATCCTGATCCTGAAATTCGTCGTTTGCCCCCGATCCCAAGGTGAGAAGCAAACTAAAGATATCCTGGTCATGAAACACATCAACAGTCGAAGAACGACTAATCTCATTCTCATCCCCTTGCGAAGGCAACATCTGCGGCTGCACAATCATGGCCATGTTCCGGAACAAATACAACATCAGGCGTATGATCCCTTCATCCCTCTTCGTCCTCTCCCGCCTCTCCACACTCATACTCGGCAGCCCGATCCTGACCGACGTCCGTAAAATCTTGGCATGCTCATAATGCAAGATCGCCCGCTTATACCCCACTTGCGCCAGCTGCAGATAAGGTAGATGTCGATGATGATTGACCGTCGTCTTTTCATCCTCCAACTCCATCGGCCAGGTCAACGGAACGAGCAATTGTAGACATGCCAGTGCCAGCTTGGCCTTCAGCTTGTTCTCCTGCGTCGACTCGGGCCATAATGCCAGGATCTCCAGCAGATCGCCCTTGACCAGATTCGCTTCGGCCAGACATCGTTTCACGTCGAAGCGGTTCAGCTTCTCGTCGTATAATCGTAGCCATTTCGTCAGGTCCTGGAGTGCGGCATAGGCGTCGTCGCCTACTTGGTAGGTGTCGTCGTAGCTGGAACTGCCACCTACAGCTGTGACGAGGGAGTAGACGTAGGCTCGGACCTCGGGGTCGACTGTCTGCGATTTCTCCCAGATTTCCTCCATCGTCGTGTCTGCTGCTATTCAGAAAGCATTGGCGTGAAGTCGGGTCGATTTACGGAAGACGCGTAGCGCGACCAGGACGCGTTCGCAAGGAAGGTGTAGCGAGATCTTGCTTAGGTAATATGACATCGTAGCCGAGGTCTAATTTTACAATGGCTGAAGGATGCCGATGTCGATGTCGATGTCGATACGAGTACTATACTGTTTACACCCCCAACACGATGCTCGCCTCACGATCAGCCACCAGGCTCTCGACCCGCTTCGTCTGCTCACAATGCCGCGCCTTCAGCTCGAGCAGAAGAACACTGGCCGAAGCACAAGCCGCCGAGATCAAGAAGCTGGGTGTAGTGGGAGCTGGGCAGATGGGTCTCGGCATAGCATTGGTAGCATCGCGCATGGCTCAAGTCCCCGTCACCATCGTCGATAATTCGCAGAAGAGTTTAGACAAAGGTCTTGCATTCGCAGGTAAGCTCTCAATCAAATTCAAATCAAATCACGTCCCCAACTCACAGCCTCCCCCCAGACAAACTCCTCGCAAAGGACGTCTCCAAATCCCGCCTCACCCAATCCGACGCCGACTCCACTCGCTCCCGCCTCACAACCACCACCTCCATGGACGACCTCGGAGACGTCGACATGATCATCGAAGCCGTGCCCGAAATCGTCTCCCTCAAACAATCCATCTTCGCCCAACTCGCCCAGGTCGCACCCTCCCACGCCGTCCTCGCCACCAACACCTCCTCGATAAGTATAACCCTCATCGCCCGCGCCACGACAACCGACCCCACGGACCTATCAGCCGCCAGTCGGGTCATAAGCACGCACTTCATGAACCCCGTGCCTGTCCAGAAAGGCGTGGAGATAATAAGTGGTCTCCAGACCTCCCCCGAGACCCTAGCCACAGCGCTGGCATTCTGCACCCGCATGGGCAAAATCCCCTCCGTCTCCGCCGACTCCCCGGGGTTCCTCGCAAACCGCATCCTCATGCCCTATATAAACGAAGCCATCATCTGCCTCGAAACCGGCGTGGGCGCGGAAAAAGACATCGACGACATCATGAAGAATGGAACCAATGTTCCCATGGGTCCGCTAGCGTTGGCAGATTTTATTGGTCTGGATACTTGTCTCAGTATCATGGAGGTTCTGCACCAGCAGTTGGGCGATAGCAAGTACAGGCCTGCGGTGCGGTTGCGGAATATGGTTGCGGCGGGGTGGGTGGGGAAGAAGGTGGGAAGGGGGTTTTATACTTATTGAGCAAGTTGAAGGAAGGGTCTTGGAACTGGGCTTTTGAGAGTCCATGCCTGGGGGCCTTGGAGGCGAGGGTGTGAGTGCGGGGGAAAGCACAGCATCGTGGCTTTGGTATAAAGGGCTCGGTAGGCCTTATGGAGCTCCGGAGGTATTGTATGCGAGGACAGGAGATTCTAGGCCCGCCATGGCCTTCGATGGATCATGCTTGAAGTGCCCAAATCTCCTGCGCTCACTTCATGTGCATGATCCTCTCGACCATTCGGGCACGGCATCCCCCACATTCCGCTCAGTGAGTCCGGATTTGGAGTAGACTGGAGATGTCGTTGTGGTTGTAAAATGTCTTCCTGCTAGCACATCTCAAAGCACTGAAGCCTGAGCGACATCCGGTTGATGATCCTTCAGAGGCGGTGTGCCCCATCTTCCTCGTTTCGAGAGAAAGCGGGGAGGGGATCTGATGGAGTGGGGTCGAACTGTGCATTGTGTAGGATATACATAGTCTACACAGGGCGGCCCACACACTCTGTACCGTACCGTGCCTCACCATCTTGTCGCCAGAGGCACCTTGCTGAGCCCGCCGTCCCACTTCCTGGTACAGATGAGTACACGCTGCAAGCGACGTCTGCCTTCGCTACGAAAGCCGCTCTCGCCTTCGATTTGGCACGAGTGAAGCCCAAAAGCCAAATTCTAGCCTCTCGGCACAGGCCAGATCGACCACGCATTTGGAAACCCCCCTATCTCACATCGTCCTGGCAGCAAAACAAACATCTACACCCTCCCCCTCCCCACCCACCCCACAACCCCAGCACAATACCCCACCAACCTCCCAACCCTCTTCCGCTCCCCCTCACAAACCCCCCTCCAAACCTCCACCGCCTTCCTTAAACCCCATTCCTCCTCACCACCATCATCACCATCATTATCCCCACCAGCGGCATCACCAGAAACGACAATATCCCCATGCACCCCCAAAAACCTCGCCATCCACACTTGTCCGAGCTCGAAATCCCTTCTTTCCCTTAGCAACCACGTGAGAGCATGGACGAACGTGACCATTTCTCCGCTGGAGGGAGAGGGAAAGAGGGAGCGGAGAGCGATATCTGCCGCGGCTGGTGGGAGTGCCTTGAGATGTTCGATCACTTCAGTATACTGTCCAGTCTCCGCAGCGGAGCGAAGGAGGTCGCTGAGACCCTCACGGCTACCATTCTGACGATGCTGCTGGGTCAGGACTTGGGATCTCTCTTGCTCTAGCTCGGCTCCACCAGTCGTCTTTCTCGGGTCTTTACTGCTAGTCGCAGCACCGGGTGCAGCTTGTCTATCCTGTAGTGAAGGGAGGAAGAATGGTGCCTTCTCCGGCTTCTTGGGTGCTTCCGTTGGCTTGTTGCGGACGCGGATGAGATCTAGATGGAGGAGGTTTTGCCAGCGGGATCTAGGGACCATGGAGAGGGAGAGGAGGTCGGAGGAGAGCTGGTCGATGTCGGGTTCGGCGTCGAGATCTAGGTCGAGAGGTTCGTCCTCGGTAGTCTCTTCGTCTTCGTTGTCTAGTGTGATCAGCGCTTTGCCGCCTTCGCCACTGGCTGTTGGTGCTTGTGATTCCTGTGCCTGCACAATAGTCTCCAATTCGGCCTTGCCGATCAGCCGGGTAGGTACGTGCATGAATAGAGCCTTGTTACTCCAGACATCTACGCCTACACTGCCTTCTCTAGCTGTTGCTAGGTATTCGCCAGTAGGTGAGAACGCCAGGCTCACGCAGGTCGTCTGAAGCTTAAAGGCATCGATTAGATGGCCGGTAGGAAGATCCCAGAGCAGGATGATACTACTGAGAGATGCAGCGATCCAGTGACCATCAGGTGAGAATGTCAGATCGCTGATCGTAAGACTCTGTAGCTCCGCAAGTGATGGCCGCGAAGGCCAGAGCTCACGAATGAGTTTATGCGTACTGATATCCACTACCCTTACGCAGCCATCTGTGCAAGCAAAAGCAGCGAGGTCCGCTGCGCGATGAAAGCGCATTGATGAGATCCCCGTACTTGCCGTCCAGTCAAGCTGGTGTACCAGAAGTCCAGAATTAAAGTCCCAGAATTTCACCTTCCCATCCTCGCCGGCGGAGACGAGCGTCTTGTTCAGGTTGTTCACAGCTAGTCCCACCACAGCAGCGCCATGCTTCCCTTGTCCTCGATAGAAGATCTTCTTGCCGTCCTCAGTCCTTTCTTCTTCGAATCCGGTCTTCTGCAAGTCTATCCTCAACTGCTTCGCCTGCATCGGCGCCAAGCGGGCAGGGAATCTCTGTCGATGGATGCCAGATTGCAGATTGAACATATCTATGCCGCCCTTCTGACTTCCCACGACAGCGAACGTGCCGGAGGGATCGACTGCAACGGAAGTCACAGGGCTCTCGTCGCTGGTAGGGAATGCCCATCGTCCAGCACGTTTCCGTCCCCAGAACCATGTTCGTGCTTTATGGTCGCCTTGATGCGCAGTGATGACGCTCTCCCAGCCAGTCATGCCAGAAATCTCTGCATCGACTTTCTTGCCGCTCTTGGCATTCTGCCAGATGCCATGATTGCCTGGAACAGCACCCATACCACCATCACGATTTAGACTACACGCCATACCCGTGATCGGCGGACACTTCAGTTCTTGCAATTTATCTCGCGATTGACCGGAAAGTAAGCCCTGCTTGCGTGCTTTGCTCTGCAAGGCGCCTTGACTTAGTTCCTGGCTTTGGTTGTCTCTTCGCAATGACCAGCCCCATAAGCTTCGATCCTGGCTGGCGGACATGAGCCATTTGCCGGTATCGTCAGCACCATCGGACGAGGTGGGAAGAAATTCGAGATTGGTGATTGGAGCGCCATGTCCGCCACGATGGTGCAGGATACGTGGTATAGGTGAGAAGGGCATCTGGTCAAAGATCCAGGTCTTGAGGTTGTTGTCTAGACCACTGCTGACAAGGGTGTGTTGGCCTGGCAGGAACTCGATCTTGCTGATGCCTCCAGCCGTGGTCGGTGTAGGGTCTGCATGGGCGGAACGTAGTACGCCGGCTTTGCGACCACCTTCGTTGAGGTCCCACAACGTGACATCTCCAGATAATGAAGAAGCGGTAGCCATAACGCCTGGCTTCTGACCATCCTCTCCAGCACCTATGCCATCGGTGCGAAATGTGATAGATGTGATTGCCACACCTGCCGACATGTTGAGCTGCATGACAGTCTGGTCTGCTCGAACATCGTGGATGAGTAGAGGGCCTTGCTGGTATGCAACGGCCACAAGCGACAAGGCAGGTGTAGGCTCGATGGCTGTCACAGCTCCGAAAGATGTTGATGGGGGCAGGACAGTGTAGACGAGCTTGCCACTGGAGACATTCCAGACTTCTGCGCTGCCATCTTCTCGTCCTACGACGACTTTGTTGAGGAAGGTCGGTAGGCTCGAGATACACTTGGTGAAGTGAACAGGCGACACGCCTTGCAGCGTCGTGTACAGCTCATTCGTTGCAGTCTTCCAGATGAGCAAGGTAGTATCGCATACCCCAACCATCCAGCCTCCGAAGCAGCAGAAGGCCTTGATATCTTGTCGCCACCCTTTCGGTACTTCTAGGTCTGCTATCTTCTTCCCTCGCTTAAATACCCATGCTCCTCGTGCTCCATCCTCTCCGGCCTCCGACCATGCTCCAAACACTTTGTCTTTCCATGCAATGCTGGCAGTGATTTGACCAGGCGTTTGAGGTCGCGTGATGAAGACGAGGTTCAAGCCTTTGCGCAGGTCATATGTCTGCAGACTTCTCCCGACACACGTCGTGATCTGGAAGGTCGTCTTGCCGAGTGGTACAGACGTGAATGGCACACTGGTAGGCGAGACGAGTCCAATCGTCCTGTATGGCGCGAAGAGGCGTGAGGAGCCTGGCTTGCGCTGACCTTTCGCATCACCATTCGCCAGCTTTTGCCTCTTGGCTACGGGTTCATCCATCCTCGCAACCTCCATATTACGCATTCTCGATCAGACGACAAAGTGGCAGAGCCTCAAGCTCGAAATGCTAGATCTGGAGAAACTTTCCTCAGCCCTACGAGCATGCATTAGATTTAAGCTTTCCTTATCGATTCAAACCACGCGAGATTCTGCATCAATGTGGGGCAAGTGGGAAAAGACGCAAGATGATGGCAGTGTGCAGTGTGCAGTGTGCAGTGTGCAGTGTGCATATCTTCATATCAGCATCTATGGTAAGCAACATTCGCAACCCATATTCGTAAGTACAGGAGTGAATGGGGAATGTATGCAACGATTGTCTTGCACTCCTGATGTGCATAATATAACATCACCAGAATCTACTACAAGATAGACATCGCCACAATGGCATTTACAGAGCCCCTCACACGCACCCTCTCCAACGAGTCCACCCGCTCTTCCTCGCACTCACATCCACTGTCCGCAGTGTCCTCCTCGGCATCCTTGTCAAAGAAAGCACGACAAGCCGAGATGGACAGCAGCGGCAGCTTCGGTGAAGTCGAACGCGCTAGCATTTCCATGCCCCCGCCGGCTCCAAAGCCTATCTCCCGCTACTCCTACCAAACTTCTTCACGCCGCGGGTCAAGAATTTCTGACAGCCACTGGCTTAGCCCGCTACATGCAGAGTACGCCGCGGACGACTTCGTAGCCAGTAGCGACGACGCAATGGCGCTCCCCGAGGACGCGGATGCCGCTGTGCAAGGTACGCTCTCGGGCACGATCCGGCGGCCGAGTATGGAAAGTGGACGCATGAGCTTCTCTTCGTTGTATGGACGTGGGTCAACTGCTCCTAGCTCTGTTGCTGGAGGCTCCGAGCCAGACGTCGCCATGAGGCACGAACTCGCTGATCGTATTCGGACTGCGGTTCATCGAGACCATGTCACGACCTCCATGCAGAATGGCTCTCTTTCGCCCTCCTTCAGTGGCGGCAGTCTGCACAACTTGGCAACATCTGCACCGGCTGCAGCTCCAATCTCACCACCATCCGGAACCACTGTTCGTAGCACAGGCGGGCGTACTAGGGGCCGTACACCTGGTGTATCAAGACGAGTCTCAACCAGTGGGCAGAACTCTGCCTCGCCCTCCGCCGATCGAAGTCTCGCAAGCAATCCGAACCGCATTGGTACTATCGGTATATGCGCCCTCGATAGCAAGGCCCGATCGAAACCATCACGGAACATCCTCAACAGAATGCTTGGCAAGGACAACGAGTTCGATGTCATCATCTTTGGCGATAAAGTGATCTTGGACGAGAGTGTAGAGAATTGGCCTGTGTGCGACTTCTTGATTAGCTTCTTCAGCGATGGCTTTCCATTGGAGAAGGCGATCGAGTACGCTCGGCTAAGGAAACCCTTCTGCGTCAACGACTTGCCCATGCAGACGATATTGTGGGACAGGCGATTGTGCTTGCGTATACTCGACCTCATGGCTGTCAGGACACCGAAGCGTCTGGAGATCAGCCGAGATGGTGGACCAGTGATCTTGAGCCGCGACATAGCAGCACGTGCTAATGAGCTTACTGGTCTGAAGCTTGAAGGCAGTGATAATGGTCGAGGAGGAGGGGAAGCTCCACCATATGACGTTCACGTGGAAGACGACAACGATACCCTGGTTGTCAACGGTCGTAAGTTGACAAAGCCATTCGTGGAGAAGCCTGTTAGCGGCGAGGACCATAATATCAACATATACTACCCGAAGTCACAAGGAGGAGGTGGGCGAAGACTGTTCCGAAAGATCAACAATAAGAGCTCGGAGAAGGATGATAAGTTGGAAATCCCACGTGCCATCACCGAGCCGGAGCAGAGCTACGTCTACGAACAATTCCTGAAAGTTGAGAATGCTGAAGATGTGAAAGCCTACACCGTCGGTCCTGACTTCTGCCACGCCGAAACTCGAAAGTCACCCGTCGTGGACGGTATCGTTAAGCGCAACCCAAACGGCAAGGAACTTCGCTACGTTACTAGCCTGCGCAAAGAAGAGCAAGAGGCGGCTGCAAAGATTGCTACGGGGTTTGGTCAGCGGGTTTGTGGGTTTGATATGTTGAGGGTGGGCGATAAGAGCTATGTGATTGATGTTAATGGGTGGAGTTTTGTGAAGGATAACAATGAGTATTATGATCAATGTGCGAGGATTATGAAGAGTATGTTTATCCGGGAGAAGTTGAGGTGGGAACGAGGACCTGCCACGCCTAGTGAGGATAGTGAGGGTGATGTGTTGGGTGCGGGAACGCCGCCGAGGAGGAGCATGACGCTGGGGAGGGAGAAGGAGAACGCGAGGAATTCTTCCGAGAAGGCACGGAGTGGTGATGGGCAGGCTGGACACTACAATGCGCTTAAGAGTGTGTTTGGTTCGAGGTCGTTTAGTCAGCTGCGGGATAGTGTGTCCAATGCGGCGCACAAGGTCGGCCATCCTCATGGTGCGAGGAGTCCGAGTGGTACGACGAGCCCTCTGACTAGTCCAGCGAGTATGGAGCGCCAGGCGAATCTGCCACTGAAAAGAGGACCGGCCATGCCTTCCAATATCGACGAGGTTCTCCCGCCACCGGCTGTCAATACTTCGAATGGCCCGAGTAGTCAGGATACATCCAGCGCAGAGACTGTGCTCGAAGGGCCTGTACCGACTGCTCGCGAACCAGAGCCTATGGATCTTCCTGCTCCTGCTGTGAAGTCGCAATGGAAATTGAAGGGTATGGTGGCCGTCATAAGACACGCGGATCGCACACCCAAGCAGAAGTTCAAGTTCACTTTCCACACCAAACCTTTTGTCGATCTATTGAAAGGGCATCGCGAGGAAGTATTATTGGTCGGTGAAGCGGCTCTGGAGAGTGTGGCTCGTGCGGTCGAGATGGCACAGAAGGAAGGACTGGAGGACAAGGCGAAGCTGGCGACGTTGGCTAATGCTTTAAGGAGGAAAAGAGGATTGGTGGGCACGAAGGTGCAGATCAAGCCCATGTTCAAGAAGCCTAAGAAGGAGGAGAAGGGTACTCTGGGTGAAGGGGGCGAGATGGCTGCTGTGCCGGCGCCGGCTGAAACTCCTACGACTGATGCCACGAGTACCACAGCAGGCAAGCACCAGAAGCGACAGGATTCGATCTCAGAAGTCACTCTCTCCCGTGCTGCGGCTGCCGACAATAATTTGGTCCTCGACAAACTGCAGCTGGTGATGAAGTGGGGTGGTGAGCCCACCCATTCTGCTCGATACCAGGCTTCCGACCTGGGCGAGAACATGCGCAATGACTTGATGCTCATGAACCGCGACGTCATCTCCAATACCCGCATCTTCACCTCTTCCGAGCGCCGCGTCACGACTTCCGCCCAGATCTTCGCTTCTGCTTTCCTGGACCAGAAGGATCTGGACGCCGATCCGGATCTTAACGGCATACGGACACGGAAAGATCTTTTGGATGATAGCAATGCGGCGAAGGATGAAATGGACAAAGTGAAGAAGCGGTTGAAGGGGCTTTTGAGGAAAGGTGAGAAGGCTCCTGAACAGTTTGCTTGGCCTAAGGATGGCACGCCGGAGCCGTATCTGGTTGTGAGGGATGTGGTGGATTTGATGAGGTTTCATCGGAGGGTTATGGGGGCGAATTTTGCAAGGTTGAAGGGTAGTGAGGCTGTTGTTGCGCTGGAGAAGCTGAAGCATCCGGAGAAAGGGGCTGGTGGGGCGAGTAGTGCGGATGGTTCTGGTGCGGCGGCGCAGGGTCCGGGGTGTGAGGGCGAGGCGGTGCAGGCGAAGGCTTCTGAGGTGCAACCTAGGTGGTGTACTGGTGAAGATGCAGAACTGTTCCGTGAACGGTGGGAGAAGTTGTTTGCGGAGTTTGTGGATGCGGAGAAAGTGGATCCTAGTCGGATCTCGGAGTTGTACGATACGATGAAGTTTGATGCCTTGCATAATCGGCAATTTCTGGAGTGGGTGTTTACGCCTAGAGGTGGGGAGGATGAGGATGAGGCGGAGAGGATGGCGAGTGAGGCTGGGATGCCGGGGTTGGCGAGGACGGAGAGTAAGGTTGCCAGGGAGGAGTTCTGGGCTAGCCATGAGGCTGGGGTGGGTGTGAAGGAGGATGATGGGAAGGAAGGTGAGGCTCATGTGGACGGCAAGCAACAGGCAAGGACGGATACTATGGCAAGCGGTGCAAAATCGTCGACATTGAGCGACCGTGCGGGCATCCGTCGACGAAGTCAAGAACTTATGAATGTTGTTCGGCCGGCCATTGTGTTTCGGGAATCCTACTTCAACCTCTTCACCGGTGATACAAGTCTGCCAACCTCCGCCGCGAAGCACGATGCTCGTCTCGATAAGCTGAATAAGCTGTATACGCTGGTGAAGACACTCTTCGACTTCATCGGACCACAGGAGTATGGTATCACGGAAGATGAGAAACTCGAGATCGGTCTTCTCACATCCCTCCCATTGCTGAAAGAAATTGTGAAAGATCTGGAGGAAGCGCAAGCAAACGAAGACGCCCGCAGCTTCTTCTACTTCACAAAGGAGTCCCACATTTACACTCTCCTGAACTGCATCCTCTGCGGCGGCATCCGCAGCAAAATCGCGCGCAACGCCATCCCGGAGCTCGACTATCTGAGCCAAATCTGCTTCGAGCTCTACGAAGCTGAAGACACCGAACACCCCATCGACCCCGAACACCCAGACCAAGTCTACTACAACTACTCCATCCGCATCGCCATCAGTCCAGGCTGTCATACCTACGATCCACTGGACGTACAGCTAGATAGCAAGCATACTATTGGGCGTGCGCCACGCAGGACCTTGATGCCGCATACGGAGTGGAGGGTTGTACTGGAGACATTGAGGGAGAAGTTCGAAAGGGTTGACTTGCCGAGGAGTTTTACGGCGGTCAATTTGAGTGAGAAGATGGGAGGGGAGGGTGGTGGTGCTGAGAGTGAAGGGCTGGTGCCTAAAGAGGAGGTGAAGGGAATACGACACCACCGGTACGTCGGCCGACGTTGAGGGATAGGGGGTCACTTACTCTGGGCCGTAAGGATTTCTTTGAACGGACGATTTATGGGTGACGTGAGATGGTGTTGGTGGCATGAGTCAGGGGACCATGAGTAATGGACTGACCTTAGGTATTGATGATACAGATTATATGAATAGAACAATGCCATACATCTACTTCGTATCCACAGTCGTCGCCCCGTTTGGTGCCCAAAATTCCGATGTATTGAGATACACTCAGTACCGAGCGTCCATATCGTCGAGGTCGTCAGTTTCTTCCTCACTGTCGGGCTCTTCACTGTCACTCGCATGCCCGTTTGCAGCTGGTCTTGAAATCTGGCTCCTGACGATCTTCTCCGCCTCCTCCTCATCCACCACATCATCATCTGACTCCTCAGTCGCAGCCTCGACTAGTGATGTCTTGCTGAGGCTATGATGCAGATCCTCCGCACCGCCAACATTCAGTAAACGTGCCTGCTCGGGCGTCAAGTCAACGATTTGTGGTGCATACTCGCCCGTCTCGTCATCTTCGTCAAATGCTGTGCTGTCCATGTGCACTTGCTCGCCGTCTTCCATCTCGAGGAAACCTGACTTGGCGAATGTGCCTCCGAACTGCCAGCCGTGTTCTGTACGTAGATATTCTTCGAGATCGTCAAGTTCGTCGATCATGTCTTGCACACCGATACTGCTTTGGGTGCCTAGACCTTGAAGACCTTTCCGGAAGCGCACTAGCAGATGTTTGAGCAAGGAGCCACCCTCGTCTGCCAAGTCTATGAGACCGCTGTCGGCCACCTTGCAGTGCTGAAGCTGTAACAATAGTGCTCTGATGACCTCTATGAAGAGTTGAGATCTGGTCACTACTGCTGAGTGGCAAGTGAATAGCAGATTCAGGAGACGCTTCCACTGTTCGAGACAGGAGTAGTTGTTCAGCGTTAAGACCATGAGAAAGCAGAACTGAAGTTCGCCGACCACTTCTAGAGCATCGGTGCAGTGCTCGTTAATGAGGCTGCTGAGTGCCCAAGATCGATCTTGTGCGGCTTCCGTGCGCTCTCGTCCTGTAGCTCCTTGCCGCCATGTCTGCTTGAGCTCGACAGGCAAGAAATTGAGCTCTTGATCTGTCTGTAGCTCGGTCTCTGCTTTGCTCAAGCCCGGAATATGCTCCAGGTCACGCTTGCTCGAGCTGCCTGAGCTGAGTGACCGTGAATCCGAAGTGCTGCCAGTGATGCGTGACAACACTTTGTCACTGATGTGACTGGTGAGCTTGCTCCAGTCGACGAGCTCCTCTGACTCGTCTTCTGTGTCTTTGGCGGTCGTCTGTCGGTATGGTGTGAGTCCTTCCTGCCAGATGCTGCCAAGGTTGGCTCGCCACCTCAACTGCTCGGCTTGGTCTGTCACTGCCTGCAAGGTCTCCGTTGAACAATCCCACTTCGCGATGAAGATCGGTATGCCTGGCGCGTTGGCGCCCTGCTTGATCCTGAACCAGATGCCATGTCGCTCGGAGAATGCTGTGCTTGAGCCGACAAAGGTGAAGTGCAAGCCTGGCGGTAATGTTTTCACGCCTCGGAAGCGTGGCGTGGTCGTGAAAGAAAGCAGGTCGATGCCAACTAGAGCCTTATCTGGAAGGTCAAGGAGCAATAAAGCAGAGTTTGTACTCGACATGATATGTTTTGTTCGTGTAGAAGCAAATTCGCATTTGTCTGTTTTGGGAAATTGTAAAGCCGGACCTCACCTCGTACTGAATACAGCATCAAGAACTATCTCTGCTCCTACAAATGCATGAAACGGTTACACGTAGCTGTTTGGTATTGTCATGATTCCAAGGCGCGTGTGAGATAGTTGTGAAGACGATTGTAGATCGAAAAGAATTGTTCCTGCGTCATTACACAGCGAGCGACCCGGACTCGACGTCTCGACACCCCAAAATTCCAAACATTGATATTTCGACCAATACTTGACCAAAACACATGATTAGAGGCTCAAGATGTTCCTCAAACCTCTACCGATCGAATAAAACGATTGGACGCTGTGGGAATTGAACCCACGACCACTCACAAAGTCATGTTCGCAGTTTGGAAGCATGCGAAGCGAGTATCATACCCCTAGACCAAGCGCCCTTGGTTGTTTCGATTGCTGCAGTTGTTGCTATATGATGGCTGGAGTAAGGGCTTCCGGAGAAAGGCCGGGTCTCCGCTATCATTTGGCACCCATTCCGCCTTTCCCTATCTTCGTTGCAGCCGTTTATGAGGCATGTGACGACCTCCGATACGACAAGCTAACAATCTGTGCCGGGAACGCATCTTTCAACCATCACAGGTAGCAGTGAGATGTTATTGTCTGCTCAAAATTGAGACGATCGTGGCTGTAACCGGTTCCTAGCCGTATGGCCAGCATGATCAGGGCCCGTGCTCAATCGTTGTCGTGCTTTGATCCTTGTGCTGAGTTCTGGCCTGAGAAATTGTGGCCTGTCCGGCATTGAAACAATCAAGCGGCAAGAGCGATATGTGCTGGCAGCATCTTCGTCGAGCAGCTGCAAGTGCGTATGTTGGGGGTTCATACTTTTAGCTTACATCCCACACCACACGATTGAACGAGTTGTATCATTTCACAGCTACACCTTCATGTAAGACGAAGCAACTAGGGAGCATCTGATGCAGATTGAAGAGGAGCAATCGGTCATCGCATTCATAGGTTCCGGCAAAAGATGTTCACCGAAGTTTATGGTTGTGGCTGCGTGGAGAAGTCGCAAGAGGTATAACTCTTGTCTACTGTACTAGAAATCCCCCAAACAACAGAACGCCAAAACTGCCAACGATACATTCCCAGAGACTTCCGCTAGCGACAAAGGGGCAGCTAAGGATACGAGGATCCATGCTTGAGTAGGGCGAGGGGAGACTTGAGGTACAATGACCCATTCAGCTTGGAGATGAAGAGGTGGACACTGATGGTTCGAAGACCATTTCAGCTTGTAGACGAAAAGGGGGAGACTGATGGTTCGAAGACCAACTCAGCTTGTTAATGGGAGGGAGTTACTGGTGGTTCGCAGACCAAGACAGCTTGTAGGTGAAGAGGGGAGACTGATGGTTCGAAGACCAACTCAGTTTGTACGTGAAGAGGGGGAGACTAATGGTTCGAAGACCAAATGAGGGGAAGACTGGTGGTACGATGACCAAGCAGCTTGTAGGTGGCATAAGGAGGGGATGTCGCGAGCGGAGATCGTCCTCGCAAGTCATCTTAGCTTACTCCTCCTCGTCGCTTTCCTCGAACGTGTTCGCGTGAGGCACAGGGTACGCAGGACGCCCTTCATCGCCTACGGCACCAGCCGGCACAATATCCTCCTCGAAAGCGCTGTCTGGTGTTACTACAAAAGTCCCGACTAATGCTTCTGCCACCATCTCCGACGGCGCAGCGGGTACCAGCACTTGCGTCTCCTGCGGTGCAACAACATTCTCCATCTCATCGTCACTGTCCACATACGTATCCTGCCCAGACTCTGCCATAGGAGGATCGGCGTCGTCGAGAGCAGCAGCTGTCAAGACACTGAATTTGTTGCCACGCTCTCGCGCTGACCGAGCGGGCGGCGCAATATCTAGCTCTGCTATTGCGGCCGACAAGCTCAGCTGCGTCCGTCGCTTTTTGCGCGCCAGAAATCCGGAGGTCGCGAAAGACGGCGACCCTTCGAGGTTGTTGCTGCGGTCCGGCAATAGATACTGCCGACGAGCAGGGGGTCCGTAGACCTGTTGACCAGACTGGAGTGAACAACCATTAGCAAAGGAAAGTGAGATGGCCGATGAAGAAAACGTACAGTTCGTATACCTGCAGGCGCCCCGCTACCAGGTGCACTGACCTGCATGGCTAGCATGGTCACCAGCACGCCTTGGGGGTGCAGAGCTGAAGTCGGGAAGTACACCGTACCGCGACCAGTATTGTAGTCGTAGAAGTAACCACTGGCTTTGCCATACTGAGCGTGGACTGGGCGCGCGAAGCTAGGTGCCGGCAGCGGAGTCGGAAAGTTTGCAGCTGGCATTGAGTCGGAAAGCGAAGGGGCAGACGTAAACGGAGCAAAGGCATCGGAAATGCTACGCTTAAAGCCGAGCGTGGGTCCAGCATTGGTACCTGGTGTCCCGAAACGACCACCTTGGTTCCACGGAAATCCTCCCGTTGCTCTATGCTCTTCTGCGGGGGTGGCGTCAGATATGCGCGTGGTCTGGCGCGAATGCGACCATCAGGCAGCAGATGCGGTTGTCGCTCGAGGTCTTCAACACTAAGGCCCTGCCAGCCGAGCACCACGCGAGCATCGGGCATGCGCTGGTTGAGCGGACCCTTCCTTTGAGCCCTCTGCGATCGAGGCTTAAGCTCCGGGAGAGTGTAGCCTTGCGCCTTGCGACTGATCATCTTGCGCCAGAGCACGTCGTTGAGACTGAGATCGGCGAGCAGACACGAACATCCGAGACCACCATAGTGACGGCATTCCGAGCAGGGGTCGTCGATGGTGTTCGCGCGACTTGATTTGTCGCACTGTGCTAGGTCAGGCAAGGTACCGCATCCTCATAGAACATTTACATCAACTTACGACCAATTGTCTCTCCATGCATCGCATACAAGACTGGCGCTCCTCAGTGGAAGCTTGCCAATCGACGTATCGAAGCAAACCAGGTTTGAGCCGCTGCTCATGCAGTCCACAACGATTTTCAGGAAATTTGCAGGAGCCTCGCATAAAAAATTCGCAGAGGTCCTGCTCGTCCTCAAATTCATAGTCGGGCATGGTGGTGGCTGCTACCGCTACTGCTGTTGTGATAGGTGCGGCGGTGGTGATCGATGTTGCGGTCGTGGTCGTGATCTTGCACGAAGGGATGTGTCAAGCGGGCTTAATGAGGGTCACACAGCTTCATCTCGCGTCGACTGTTCACTAGTGTTTGTGGCCTAGATAGCAAAGATGGCTTGCAGTATGCGTCTGATAATGTGACCTGTGATTCTGTGTTATTCGATCGTTTACGAAATAGGGGTCTTTCTGTCTAATGCTCTCGCTTGCTAAACCCCTCAAATCTGACCCGAATGAGCCCACTCAAGACCTCGTTTGTTCGAACATCTGGACTAAACGATGTTAACCACTTGCATTAACCATATCGTCGACAATAACGACATCCACAAGCGTCAGATGCATGTCCATCGCACGAACATTAGTATACCAATCCCTGCTGCGACGGACGGCTTTGTGGGTGGGTAGGGAGTCAAACTCACATCATTCTACTACTTCTGCACTTGTTCTGAAGTCATCCCTGTCTACCACATTCAGAGCAAAAGACATCCCACGTCGAACAAGATGCCTGAGACTCGCTCCAGAGAGCCATTGGTATGGATAGACTGCGAGATGACGGGTTTGGATTTGGACAAGGATACGATCATGTCATTAGCCTGCTTCATCACAGACTACGAGCTCAACCTGCTGGACGAGACAGGCTACGAAGCGGTGATCGAGCACTCTCGAGAGCAGATGGATGCGATGGGTGACTGGTGTAGGGACCATCACGGCGCCAGTGGGCTGACAAAAGCTTGTATCGAGTCCACAACTACCGCCGACACAGCAGCAAGTGAGCTTCTGACATACGTTCAACAGTATCTGCCAGACCGCAGACGCGGATTGTTGGCAGGCAATACAGTACATGCGGACAAGGCTTTCTTGACACAGGAGCCTTGGACGAAAGTGATGAAGCATCTGCATCATCGAATATTAGATGTCAGTGCTATAAAGGAGGCCGCGAAGAGGTGGGCACCGATTGACGTGTTGAAGAAGAGTCCACAGAAAGCGGGAAAGCATGAGGCAAAGGCTGATATCCTGAGAGTATCGAGGAGGCGAGGTACTATAAAAAGGTGTTCTTCGACAACCTCGGAGGATGATCGCCTGCAGAAAATAAGTGTCCGTCTGGTACAACAACGACGCCCGCGTGCCTGGGAACGAATATGTCGCGCTGGACGTCGATTTGCGTATTCAATGAACGACCAGCAACTCATACACATTGAGATTGGGAGGTTTCAAGTCTGGAAATACTTGGTCGTTGCTGTCGGTTGGTCAAGCTCTTGTGTCTTGGCCCAGTGGACGGCGACGTAATGGTATCAAATATGTCACATGTCTCTGGAGCGCGATAGTCTCATGAGCCCGAGATTGGCGGTCTGTAGTAACAAAACAGAGAGGTACAGCACCGGAACGACGGTGAACAGGAGGTGACCGTTGTTCGGGTCAGGCGAGAGTTGAGGAGGGACTACATGACTACGAGTCAGCCTACTTGAGTGAGCCATCACCTTAAGCTGGTCTGGCAATATCAGTTGCACCTCTTCATCTTATTACTTGTATATGCTCTCATCGCAGCGCGCCGACAGCCGCATGTCGCATTTGCCGGTTTCGGCCCGATGCACTTCACAGCCAATCGTTTCTCTATCTTCTTCAACTTCACAGTCAAACAACACTGCAGCACACTCATTACACAGGAACTACGTATGAAGCTTACAACATAGACGGCAATTAAATCTGCTCTGCTTTTCGTCATCATGTCGCTGGAGAAGACCATATACATCGGCCCTTTCGTGCATTGTGAAAGTCTCAACGAGTTAGACGTCTGCCCAAATGGCATGTTTGGTGTCGACGAAGATGGCAAGATCGCTTTCATATCACGGGACATGAAAGGTAGACCTTTGCCGGCACATCAAGGTTGGGAGAATGCGAAGGTTGTACGAATACAGGACTACGGTTTCTTCTTTCCAGGCTTCATAGGTTTGTTGTTGACAGAATCAGAGCAAATAGCAGCTGACCGCAATTCAGATACGCATATACATGCTTCGCAGTACCCGAATGCTGGCGTTTTCGGCAAGTCGACTCTTCTGGACTGGCTCAACACCTACACATTCCCCCTCGAATCATCGTTCACGGATCTGGACAAGGCAGCTCGTATCTACAATCGTGTCGTTGCCAGGACTTTGTCACAAGGAACAACGACAGCATGCTACTACGCCACTGTACACGTCGCGGCCACCAACCTTTTGGCGGACATTTGTCAGTCGCGAGGGCAACGAGCTTTTGTTGGCAGAGTATGCATGGATCGATTGAGCCCGGACTACTACCAAGATGAAAGCGTCGAATCTGCCATCCGAGACTCGCAGGCCTGCATCGATCACGTCAAGAAGATCGATCCATACTTCGACCTCGTGTCGCCAATCATCACACCACGCTTCGCACCATCATGTTCAGATGAAGCTCTTGCAGCTCTAGGCAAGCTACACCACACGACGGGCGTGCCATGCCAGACCCACATTTCGGAAAACAAAGCTGAAATCCAACTCGTCCGCGAGCTCTTCCCCAAAAGTCAATCATACACCCACGTCTACGATCGAGCTGGTCTTCTGACACCCAAGATGATCTTGGCGCATGCTGTGCATCTCACCAAGGAGGAACGAACACTTATCAAGAATCGTCAGGCGAAGATTAGTCACTGTCCTGCAAGTAATACTGCTCTTACGTCTGGCACCGCTAAGGTCAGGACCATGCTGGACGAAGGCTTGACTGTGGGGTTGGGCACTGATGTGAGTGGTGGCTACACCTCAAGTATGCTCGCCGAAACTCGCGAAGCAATCTTCGTGAGCCGCCATGTTGCTATGACTGATGGCGACGAAACCAAGCTATCGGTGGCGGAAGCATTATATCTCGCCACTCGAGGTGGAGCAAAAGTAGTCGGACTAGAAGACCGAATAGGTGGCTTTGAAGTAGGCATGGATTGGGATGCTCAGATGATCAGCTTCGGTGACGGCGTAGGGGATAAGCTTGGCCTGGATCAGTCTGCTGGGCTAGTGGAGATCTTCGGAGGCGAGTCGTGGGAGGACAAGGTAGCCAAATGGGTTTATACCGGCGACGACCGAAACACCAAGGCTGTATGGGTGAAAGGAAGGCTAGTGCATTCACAGGGGAACTTCAAGCCTTGAGACCAGAAGCCATTCCAAAGATATGGATTGAGGCATCCGACATGGTCGATTGGCTTTCGCGATTTCGAGATCTGGACGCTGAGCTACCGTACCGCTGATCATGTGTACAGCCAGGCCCTAGACTATGGAGACAAATTGTCAGCTAGCTATATTTCCAGGCTGCTAAATGCCCCACTCTCTCCTGATATAGTTCAGGAGAGCTCCTGCTTTTTACTCCTAGTCGACTTTATCAAGCCGACGCCTCTGCATCCCTGCAGAACCAATCGATGCTGCCTTCCTCCCCGTTTCTCGAACGTCCAGATCACAACTCCATCGTCCCAACCGCCCCACCAACCTCCGCTCCCTGCGGCAAAACCCCCATCCCCAATCTCCTCTGCACCGTTCCCAAAATCTCCTCAAACCCTTCCTCCGGACTCCTCTCCACCTGCCCCCTCATCCTCACCTCCAAAGCCTTCAACGCCTCGAACTTCGCGACCGCAACTTGGTAAGCAGAACTTTCCGCATCGCCTCGCCCGCCTACCAAGTTCGCGAAAGTCTTGGGTGGGGAGAGGAGGTAGGGAAGAATGTGTTCTAGAGCTGGAGGCGAGAGGATGGCCAGGTGGCCTGAGGTTGGGGTGGCGAGGGTGGTGGAGGGGAGCAGGTAGGTTATTGTTGCTGGGGTTGTGGTGTTGGACCAGTTCGCGTTGATGATGGTGGTGATGCAGCGGATTGCGGACAGTGCGAGGTCGCGGAGGGCAATGGTGTCGGCGTGGATGACGATGTCGCGCCAAAAGTGAGGTTGGGCGGCGAGGTAGTAGAAGTAGATTGCGCGGGCCGCAGCGCCTTCGTTGGCGTCTTGTTCGGCGTTCTTGACTTCGGTGGCTGGGAAGGTGACGACGTGCTCTTCCGGGCCATGGAATATAGTGGCGAGAGTGTTGAGGACATCGGCATTCGTGGTCTTGCAGGGCAGCAAGGCGATGGGACTCTTGTCATAAGGCATGAGAGACTGACGAGGCACACTGGCAATGAGGTGAAGATCGTGCTTTGGCGAATCGTTGTGAGCCCAGCTGCCTGGCGTGAGGTCCAGAGTATGTGACAGCCTCTCGTTGACTTGCTTCGCCATTTGACAGGCCAGGTAGTGCTTCGGGTATACGCTTGCGTATGTGCTGAGGTAATTCGCTGCCGGACCATAGAGTAGCATAGCTTCTGCAGGATCGACTGGTTGAGTTTGAAGGTAGATAGCCGCCGTGCGTGCATGCAAGCCGTGCATGATGAGGTACTGCAAACCCAGCGAGTCGTGCTGAGCCATGGTGTGCGTGTCCAGATCCGCCGTAGTCTTGAGCAACAAGCTGAAGAAGTCGATCAAGCACCGATACATGAGCAAATCGTCCTTGAAGTCCACCATCTTCAGTGCCACGAACTCCAGAAATCCACCGGTCGACTTGAACTTCCCCTCGACCTCGCGATGATGGCTGCGACTAATCATTCCCCAATCCAGCCTCGCCACCTTGGGCACCCACTCCATCAGCCTCGCCTGCGCAATAGTTCTCTGATTCTTACTCAAAGCCTCCGCCCCATACTCCAGCGAGCACGACTCAAAAAACACATGATAAACATCCCTATCTCCAAACACTCTCTTCCACACCAAGCCCTGCCCTCCTCCTCCTCCAGCAGGCCTATCTCTCCAATTCTCCCTCGACTGTGCAGGCTGCGGCGGCACATCAACCTTCAACAAATCAAACAGCAACTCGCCCGCCTGCATACTAATCCCCGTATCAGGCGTCGTCAACCACAACCTCACAACCGCGATCATAACCTCCAACATTCCAGCCGCTTGCTCAGCATCGCTCGCTTTACCCCTTGCTTTGCCCAAGAGACAAAGCATCAAGCGATTGAAACTCGTCATCCCTTCGCCCACGCCTAGACCATCCTTGTACGGAATACTACTTGTACCGAATTCGCAGACCTGGGTCCAGGTGAAGCCGTTGAAGAGTTTGATCAGGAGGTTGACGACGGGAGTGTGGTTGCTGCGACGGGAGTCCATGAGGTCGGCGGCAAGGTGGCGCATGAGGAGGAGACGCTTCTCCCACAGCCCGTCGCTATTGGAGGTGGAGACTTGGCCAGGGACGACGACTTGTTCCGCGGATCCAGCATTGTTGGTTGTATATGTTGGAGGAGCCAGATATGAAGGCAGTAAGAGTTCGGCCTCTTCAAAGAGCTTGGTATCTAGTGTAGTTGTTTCCGGGTCTTCGCGAAGCGCCTGCTCGACGCGGTTGAGGAGATCGTCTGCCATTCTGTTCTTGTCCACCTGTCAGTTGAGTTGCGACGGTGTCACCATACAATGACAACGATGAAAGAAGTGCGGCAGTGGCAGTGGCAATAGCGGCAGCTATGATGGTCCTGGCCCCGTGATTGCTGTAAGGATTAGTTGTCAGTCAAAAAGTTCTCGTGTCAAGTTTTGAATGCGTTTGTGGAAAGAAAATTTTATCGAGCCAAGGTGTAAGTTGTGAAGAGCGAGAAGCAGAAGTCTAGAAGACAGTTGTGGTATACGTAGAAGTGAAGGGTCGAAGCTTGCAGGCAAAGGTCACACGGCCTAATTTTCGCCGCTTTAGGCAGGCACCTCATGACGACGAGAACATACTTCACTCTCTTCACTTTCTTCACTTTACGAGACTACAGCTTCACTCGAACGGAGCGGAATTGGACCAGACCTGCATGCATGCAAATATTGGAGAAGAGCGAGACAGAAGCTTGACCGCACCAATTTCCATCATGAATTCATCTAAACGAAGGACATATTTTAATATCGTTACAAAGTTTTCTTTTCGCATCACTGCCGCAGTGGGTCCATAGCTTTGCAGTCTTTTGTCATTCTGTCGCAGAAGCAGAACGCAATAATCGCTAGAAGAAAGCAAGCAAGAAGCAAGCAAACGACCGCAGCAACCGTTCAAGCCGTTTCTGCATCTAAGCAGATCATGCTCAAGAGTGAGCAAACGCATCGGCAGTAACGCAGTGACGTGCGTAGGTCGTGCAGCCAGTGAACACATCGTAGAAGCTTTCATGCCGGAGCACAGTCTCGCAATCGCCAGCAGTAGCAGTTGCGAAACTCACTTGCAGAAGTCCTGCAAAGCACCACTCACACCCTACTAAGTCTTGATGGTCGTCGTGTTGCGAAGAGGACTTGACCTCGCCACCTTCTAAGCAGGCTTGGGCAAGCGCTCCGGGTCAGCACCACGTGCCAAAATCTCCTCCGTGATGAGCTTGTCCTTCTCCGCATACAGATACTTGTACGCGCCACGGATGGTACTATCGCTAACACGCGCCACGGCCTGGATCTCCTTCGCGGTCTTGATCTCGCCCATGAGCTGGCCGGCCATGAAGATGCAGGCAGCTGCGGAAGAGAGTGGCGAGCGGCCCGCAAGCACACCCTCGGTCGTCATGCGAACAGCCAGTGCGTTTGCGACATTGGTCGTGGGACGTGACATCTGAAGGTGATCGCAGTAACGGTCGCAGAGCTCAGCAGGACTCGCAGTGGCGCTGCCTTGGTAGGTGTTCGTCGTCATCTGTCCACCGGCAACCACAGACATCTTGTTCCTGTCCTTGTAATGGACCTGCTCAAGCAACTTGAAGACACGGCCGATCTCCTTCTTCGATACTCTCGTCAGCTCCATCACCTCACGGAAAGACCGCCCCACACCATTCTGACGGCAAGCGAGGAAGACACAGCCTGCGCACAGCGCCTCGGTGCTTTTGCCCTTGAACAAGCGACTCTCATCGGCTGTCTTGTACAGGTGCTTGGCATGGTCGCTGATCGAGATGGGCAGCTGCCAGCCATCACAGAAGGCACCGATCTGCTTGTATGCCACCAGCAAACTCTTGTTGCCCTTGTCCAGGTTGACCTTGTTCTGCGCGCGATGCAACTCGCGACTCTTAAGACCGTCGCCGAAGGCGATGTTGGTGTTGAGCTGAGCGCCGTTGAGCAGAGCATTGGGTCCGTCACCGACACGACTTGGGTCATCGTTGCCCTGGTCATCATTCGAGAAGGTACGCCATTCGGAGCTCATGTCGATGGTACGCTGTGCAAGCACGAGGCCGCAGTTCGCACACATCAAATCGCCACTAGCATGGTCCTCGAACAGCTCAGGCGGATCCTCCTTGCAGTCCTTGCAGATCATCTTCACGTTCAAATTCTCACGCCACTCCTCTTCAGGGACCGGCATCGCGGCCGCCACAACCTCGCCAGGCGAGAGTGCTTGTGCCATCGTGGCAAGCGGCTTGCGGGGTTTGGCGGGCTGCTTGTAGGCGTCCTCAAACCGCTGGGATGCGCGCTTCTTAATGCCTTTGGAGGATACTCTCAACTGGTGCTGCTTCGCGAAACACCTGATGAAGAGTGGGGAATGCGTCTTGGCGGTGTTGCCGAGAGACGATGCTGGTCACGAAAGGTCTGGAGATGACCGGACAGTGAGCAGCTATAAGTAAACTCCGTCAGTGACTGTAGCTGGGGTGCGCGTGGAGGTGACAGTGTGTTTGGGAGACTGCTTTTTAATGAAGAACCACTTTGGTTTGCTTAGTTTGCTACATTCACGGATGAGATATGTGAAGGATAACTGTGAAGGGTTTGCTCACTCACCCTCACTCCAAATGACCGGTTGCTGCAGTGTTTGCCTGAAATTCAGGTAGCGACCGGCTGTCACGTCGTCGGAGTGAGGAAATCGTGTGCGGTAGTAAGAGAGCGTGTAGGTGAGAGGAAGTCTGCTGTCTGCTGTCTATGATCTGCGGCCTTCAACCAGTAAAGGCGTCTGCGAGTGAACGGCGGGTATTCGTCGTCGTGCAGAGGGAAGGCCAGAGAGCGCGCTAAAGGAGGTCGTCGCTCGTCAAAAGTCTACCAGAGCGCTTTTGAGACTGGTTTGCCAAGGTCGACGAGGTGTTCAGCGGGATTTGCAACACGCAGAGACGGGGGAGGTGAGGATGTAGGAGAGGTGGTTGGTTTGAGGATGAGTCGCAGCCTTGAAGCAGATTCTGAGCTCAGCCACCGTGCGGGCCGTGATTACTTAATCGAGCATGGAAGCGCCAAGCAAAGTCTCGCGATCTCTGTCGTCGTGAGGAGAGCTTCGGAAGCTGCAAGGAGGCATTCACGGCCGTCCCATTACGCCATATCACCAGCAACCATGCTCGGACAGTCCTTGAGGGCCTCGGTGGGTCATGATTGATGGAGGGATGATGTTTAGAGCCGGATACTAACCCTGACCAGCGCCAATTGCTCGCAAGAGCCACCCGACCGCAACATGCCGTCGCCCTTCGCCGCACCCTCATAACGCCTACCGCGGTCCGCCAAGGCACGTCTCCCATCAAGCCCTACGTATCTCTGGTCTCATACTAACGCCCCACAGCCGATCTCGTGCAGGACATGTACCTCAAGGAACTGAAGGCCTACAAAGCCCCCGCCATCAAGCAGAACGACTCCGTCGGCCACGTCCAGAACTTCGCCATGCCTAAGCCTCCACAATCACCCGAGGAGACCGATATCGCCAACGACTTGCAGTCATACGAGGCCCAGGTGCCAGAGATTGAGGGACAGGGTGTAGCTGGCGAGACGCTTCCGCAAGAGCAGGACTGGTTCGAGGACCCGGATGAGGAGCCGGCTGTTCCCGCGGGCGGTGCGACTCACTAGACAAGTGATATGAGAGGATCAAGGGGACGAAGTGGTGCATCGTGTATAGTAACGGACAATCGAGTGGTGGTTGACCGCATGCAAAGTGACCTCTCACGTGATCTGGCCGTCACTATCTCCACGATGACAAACCCGCTTCTCTTTCGTCTCTACGATTTCTGCATACATGCGTATCATGTCATGCGGGCAGGTATACTTACCCATTAGGTTTGACCCAGCCCAATTTCAGTGTGGCGCGAAGCAAGATTAGTGGTGGCGACCCCTCCTCAATGTCAATACGACGGAGCGGCTGTGGATATGAGATGGAATCTCAGGAAGCCCAGGGGCATGAGATATCTGCTACGCGCAACTACCATGCTACATGAGCTAATGATGCCGGAACATCCGATTTAGCTTGAGAAGAACAACCACAATCGAAGCACCCAACGAGAACCATGCCATGCTACAACCCCAAGAAACCAACAGCTGCAAAACCAACAAGCATTCCACTCCTCTCCTTGAGCAACGGCTCATCTTCTATCAGTAAAGACGAAGATCAGCCCACTGATAAAATCATCACCATGCACGAGGAAGATCTCTCGCACCGCCCCCCAGGAACCGATCATTCTCTGTTCCGAGGAACCCCAGGTTGCAACGGGGGACGATATGGTAAGGTGAGAACAGGTTCAGCCTCTTGGTAAGCCACCATAGCAATACCTGAGTTGTTCCTCCCAAGAGACAGCGCTCGTTCTGCGTCCATTTCATCGGGCTTCAATGCCGAAGAATGGGCCCCTTCGGTGTGCGTGCGTGCTTGCGTGCGTGCGTACCAGACAGAACATGCGCCGCATAGATACCTACTCCATGCAGCTGGGACGGAAAGGACTCGAGTTATTTTCTATTTTCCCGCGGCAGGAGCACAGGCGATCACGACGCTGGTCTCAGCCGCAGTCGGATATTTCCTTCTCGATTTCATTGGGAAAACGGGTTTGTGGTCGTCAGGAGGTAGGTGTTATACGACGTCTCGTCAATAAACATAATAGCATACAAAAACAAAAGCAGACCGCAATGCGTCAAGCAGATCCATCCAAAAATCCATCCATACAATGCAATACCAGCGGAACTCCCTTTTACAGATCCACATTCAGCCCATCATCCAGGATGAGGCTACAAATCACTCCTTAGTGACCCACCCTCACCCTCTACTTCCCAATCCTTACAGCGCCCATACCAATGCCTGTTCATACACTTCCGTCTCGCCGGACTCGGTGTTCCACTTCCACTAGGTCGAGCCACTGTACCCGTGACCCTCGGCGTCGTCCGCGCGATCGTAGACGAAGGCGCGGCGGAAGAAGTGACAGGGTGGTCTTTACAGCCGAACCAGCCCGGGGTCTCGCAAAGATTCGTGCTCGTGCTCGTGCTCGTGCTCGTAGGTATGGATGACGTAGTCGTAATGCTCGGCGCAGGCGCAGCACTCGGCGTGTGTATAGCTGTCGAGGCAGAGGAAGAAGTAGTCGTAGTAGTCGTAGGATCATTACACCCGAACCACCCGGGTGTCTTACAAGTCGATGTCGTCGAAGTACTAGTACTCGAACTCGAACTCGAGCTCGTGGTCTTCTCCGTAGTCGTACTCTCATCCAAACACCCCCACCAACCCGGCGTCTTACACGTCTCTGTCCTCGTCCGGGTATAACTCGAGCTCGAGCTAGACGTCTTCGTAGTAGTAGTAATCGGCTCACTGCTATTGCTCTCAAAGAACTTCCACAGCGAACAATCCTGACAATCAACATCCACCTCACATGTCGGGACTATATCGTACTTCTCTATCACATCCCGGATCACATTCGAGATCTTGTGCGTGCCGATGCCGACGCGCCAGCCGAGATCGCCGACCGTGTCGTAGGTGCAGGTATGGCCTGTGTGGCAGAGACCTTGGAAGGCGTAGCCGCCGATACTGCAGAAGGAGGTGGCGGAGTTGCAGGTGCCCATGAAGATTGGATCGGCGGTGTGGCCGAAGTGGTAGATGCCCGTGCTGGCTCGGGATTGATGGGAGCCGATTTTGAAGCCGGGTGGTGTGGGGAGGCCGAGTCGTGATGCAGCCATCGCGTCGGGGTAAGCCTCGAAAGTGAGAGCCGGTAGTCCGTAGGTCAGTCCGAGCAAGGAGCTCACCACGCCTCCGAGCGAATGGCCCGCCAGCCATACTTCCGAGTTGGGATATCTCTCCGTAACATTATGATACAGATCCCTCACCGCCCAATAATAATGACTTTTCTCCCTTAGACTCTTGACCAAACAAGTCGAATTGCAAGTATACGTATCCGTCATACAATCGCAAACCTGCTTCCACTGCCAACTGCCACCCTGACCACAACAGCATGAACCGAACAGATTATCATTGAGCTTGTCGTTGCCAGTCGTGTCAGCACCATCGAAGACAGCAGGCGATGTACCTGCAACGAAAGAGTGAACGAATTAGCTTACCAGATCAGTCTCGGTAGTCGTGGCGTCGTCGAAGAAGGGTACGGACGTACCTTTTAGTCCGATCACGATGGTACCATTCTTCTCGTCTGCGAAGATGTGGCCGCGTAAGCCGTCTTGCTGCCAGCCGAAGTTGTCGGTGTAATTGAAACCTCCCTTTACGTCCTTCCAGCCTGGACTCGATTCGTCTTTCTCGTAGGCATTGGAGGCCATCTTCGCCATGTTTAGAACGGATTTCTTATCTGTTATGTTTGGGCCTGAGATCTCGTCTACGGTCCATGCTGAGCTGGGGAGGGTGGCTGCTTCACCGTGGATGTCTGCATGTTGGAGTAGCCGGTCTATGTCTGCTGGCTTGCGTTTGGCGAGCCGCTGTATGTTGGTTGAGACGGCTTGTATTGGCAGATCTGCTGGTGCTGCGAGGTAGGTCTGTCCATAGTCACTTGTCACCCTCAGCTCTTCGTCCGCTTCAATGTCGATGTATTTATGTAGATGGGGATATTGGCTGAAGCCGTGGTGGTATATATGCCGTAGTCGCTGTCAACACCATCAGTATCAGGTTCGGGTCCATCTGCATTTCGCCACTCACGAATGTCCTTGCTCCTAAATCTTGCGCAGGCCTTGCAGCCCTATACTCATCTGGTGTTGCAGGGGGCAAGACCAAATATGGATTCCTCTGCTCCCGCCTCTGCTGTGGCGTCCTCGCCGCATCACCATACCCCAGGACGGCCAACAGGCACGCGAGCAGGACGCTACCGTTCCACATCATGCCAAGAGCGTTGCCTCGGCCCTTCTGCGCTGACGAGGAGGTGATGAAGCATCGCATAGGTCGTAGGATGAGGTTCAGTAGAATGTAATCGTCCCGTGATCGCGATGATGCAGTCAAGGCATCAACAAAAGCTTCGTCGTGAATGACAACTGCGTCACGATCCCGATTCAGCCTCACCCCACCTTCCATCTCCAAAGTCAGCCTCAAAGTGTGGCTTGTGATTGCGGAGAAAGTGACAAGTACAATAATAGGTACATGTGGTACATGTGGATCTCGAGACATACAGACACGGGACGATTTGCTTCTGCTATTGCTGCTGCTGCCTCCTCCACTAAGGTAGCACCGTAGGTACTCACTGCTGTCTGATGATTATGACTGTCGACCGTTGAGCTGGCTCTGGTCATCCACATTCGCTTGCACTGCATGACATGGACGAGGGAGCAGGATAGGGAAGGAGAACGGACAGAAGCCTTACTCGCATAGCTCAGGTTGTATTACGCGGCACATCTTATAAACAGGCTTCCATCGGAGTATTCGGGCATGATATAGCCAACCATTATCTCGCAGCAAGACGCCTGTGATCAAACACACATCTCACATAACCATCTCCACCATGTCGCAACGAGCGGCCAGCGATAGCAGACCGAACCTGCAGAGCTCCAAATCCTTCACAAGAATGCCGTCTTCTCCCACATCCACATCACCTAGGAAGAGAGCAGCTACAATTCAAGATTCCGGAATACCCGGTATACCTGAGGCTCGACATATCGACAGCTCTCCAGAGAGCAAGAAGAAGAGTGATGTCTTCGAGAATGGAGGTGACGAGGAAGAAGATGGGCATGCTCACTCGGGAACCACCACACCCAACCCGGAGCTGAAGCTGCCGAGTACATTCGATGAACTACCCATAGAGATCAAGAGTCTGTCGGAGCGATTTCTCGAGAGTCTGAGCGCCAAGGTCCATCCCACCCCATTGACGGCTGACACTCTATCGGACATGTTCCAGGACTTTTACGAGCGAGCTTCAGCACATATCAACACTCACATTGCAATTTTAGCTTCTCGCATTGGTCGCATCAAAAAGTCATCCAAAGCATCCCGGACTACTGGCCGAGCTCGAGCGGGTTCAGGCGCGTCTCGTGGCGACAGTCCTGCGAGTGGAGGAGAAATGCTCACGGCTTCTGAAGTCGCTCATAGAAAGAAGGCTAGGAAGCTTCTCGAGCTCAAGCGTACGGCATTAGAGGAGGCAGTGGAGCGTGGTGTGTGCGAGAAGGTCTACCCACGCATCTTCAAGCACAGAAGTACAGATGATGAAGCACGAGACGAGAAGCTAAGATCACGTACAGCTGCGTTGTCATTGGTCGGCATTGGCTTGAAAGAGCTCCATGGTGACGCTGATCCTGGCAAAGAAGATCTACGGAAGACTGCAGCAGAGAAGGAGGACGAGATTCATGCATCACTGGCCGAGGCCAGGGAAGCCTTGCAGCGAATGGACGACGAGCACTATCCTGCAGGAAAGCTGCAGCATCTCACGGCCGCGCACAAGAGCATCGTCGAGACGTTATCACAGATTTTCCCATCGTCGTCTTCTGCCGATGAGATACTACCGACGCTGATCTACACTCTCATCACCTCGCCACCTGAAGGCATAAGCGTCGTCAGTAATTTGAATTTCATCCAACGCTTCCGCGCATCTACGAAAGTCGATGGCGAGGCTGCATACTGTCTTGTCAATTTGGAGGCGGCTATCTCCTTCCTCGAGACAGTCGATCTGTCATCCCTCCGAGCAGACGAACTACCAGAAGGCCCTCCAAAGTCGACCAGCGACTCGCCAACACAAGATCACGATAGACTAGCACTAGGACAACCTACACCTGCTCGCCCAGCCTCCACAAGCATCTCTACCCTATCAGCCGATTCTCCCGCCCTAAGCACCATCACTAGCACGACCGACAGCAGCCCAGCCGCCGCGGACCTAAACAAAGCTCTACCCTCCCCACGAACCCCACCCACCCCCTCAACAACCCGCCCACCAATGCACCAACGCAAGCTCTCCTCCCTCGTCCAAGCCCAAGCCGACCGTATCGAAGCCGGCCGCGACAACTTCCTCAACGCCGCCGATAAAGTCTACGATAGCATCAACGGAACCCTAGAAAACAGCCTCCAATTCGTCTTCGGCCGTTTCAAAGACCAGACGGCGGTGGGGAGCTCCCCTCTCCCTAAGACGCTAGAGGATGCGAGAAAACTCGTCAACCCGCCCTCGCCACCCGACGATCCGCTGGACGATGGTACAGGGAGTGGGAGAAGTAGTCCGGCTACTATCGAAGACCCCTTACAGACATCCTCCGCACCCAACGCAACCAAGATGCTCGAACTAGTCGGCGGCCGTAAGCAACTCCGAGATCGAAGCGTAGATAGTACCCGCTCAGGCGGCAGCGGGAAACGTGTCGCTTTCTCCTCGGAAATTCCCAAGGAAAGAACCGCGAGTGAGTCCGCCAGCGCCGCGGCCACGGCAGCGGGTAATGCGGGAGCGAATTTCATCAACGCTATTAATCCTCTCGGTCGCTTTGGGGTGCCTAGTTTCCCGCGGTTTGGCAGGACGGCGAGTGGGAGTACGACGGCTATACTTGGTCAACCCTCGCCTACGCATGAGAAAGCGCCGCCTCATGGACCGGGGAAATTGAAGGATATCTCCGAAGCCTCACCCACTTCCTCGACAAACCCCTCAGCAACGGACGCGGTGGAGCCCTTTCCCCCACTAGAGAAACAGCGCACGAAGGACAGTCTCGCTCTCGTTGTAGATGATGGAGGTGATGACGAAGGCGAACTCAATGCCCGAGAGGCTCTAGCCGAGTTGCGGAAACTGAAGCCGCCTAAGAAGAGGTTTTTGGAGGTGAAAGATTCAAGTGAGTTGCGGGTTGGAGAGGTGGAGGAGTTGTTGAGGGAGTTTCGGAGGTTGGCTAGGGGGATTGGGGTGGCTGTTGCGTTGTAGGTGGACGCCGCAAAGCAGTGGGTCACGTCAGTTCTGAGTTGGGAGGAGGGAATAATGATTTTTTTTTCATGTGGATAGATGATGGACGGGAACCCTTGGGCGGCCACGATTCTTTTCAAGCATTTTTGATCTCACGGCCTGGGTTTTCTTTTCAATGGGTTGCTGCGCGCTGCTGTCGGTTCTTACCGATCCATCACGTTCGCTCTGCGCCCCCTCCTTCCCTCTTTTTCCCACTTCACGTCGCCCCTCGGAGTTCCTGATACCTAGCTTAAGATTGTGGCATGAATGCCCTTTCTGCATCGAAACGAGCGGTTCTGCGCCGGTGGTTCCCAGTAGGATTGCCGGCTCTTCCCATCGTCTTACTTGACGCCAATTTTTGTAATGGCTCTGTGAAGAATCTGTCACGAGTATGATCTCGCTCTAGTTCTGACACGACTGCTGCCGAGACAAAAAGCGATCTGTGCTGCGGGTTATTTCCGTGAAGAGAGAGAGAGAGAGAGTGTGTGTGTGTGCCAAGCCGCAGCCGTAGTTGGTGGTGACGTCCATCGTACGATTAGACATTTGCGTGAGCGGTCGTACACCATGCCAGCCATCCCTTCCTCTTGTCGCAAGCAAGCGGCGCCCTTCGTCAGCAAGTTCGCCGGAGACCGGGAGAAGAAATGTGCAGGAAGAGGGAAGGCCACGATGCCCAGCTGCAAGACCAACGGACTAGACAGGCACCTGGGCTTTGAGCGACGCCTTGGCTCGAAGGCTTACGTGGGTGGACCTTGTACCCGGGCCCGAGGAACCTCCTTCGATCTTGCGAGCGTTGCTTTTCCGAAGCCTTGGGTGAGGAGAAAACGAGAAGGGTTGGAGTCATAGAGGGAGAAAGCTGGAAAGAATTTGCACTGTACATAAGCCCCGTCAAAAACTGTGAGCCTCTCCGAAGTTCGCAGCCCCTCCCCATCATGAACGCAGCAAGCAATATACCGCCGCTGTCCGCAATGGTACTCCCCAAAGGCGCCATCAACACCAACCCTCCTCCAATCAAGAGGCCCACAAACCCACCACACCACGATAACTAGCTCCATCTCGCTAAGAAGCAGCCTTCACATCGCTCCCACCCTCCTCCATCCTCGTCGTCGGCCGCGGCGCACCGTAATCCGCCGGCGCCCCAAGCCCATAAGGCGACTCATGCTGCGGTCGCGAAGCAGCCTCTGCTTGCGCGGCAGCGGCTTGAAGATGGCTGAGGCTCATAGCATCTTGCATCGTTTCATCTCGTCTCTGTGCGCCGGCGGGGGGTTGAGCAGATTCCCGGCTTGCGCCGGCGGAGTAGCCGTGCTCTGAGGTTTCTGGTGGTGGGCGATTGGATGCGGCGGAGGGTCCGGTTGTTTGGAGGCTGACTTGTGCTGGGGCGGGGGGGATGTCGGAGGAGCTTTCGAGGAGGCGGGATTGGAGGCTTAGGATGTACTCTCGGAGCTGGTAGTTTTCATTTTGTAGGGAGCGGTAGTTTGATTCCATGTTTTGGAACTCCTTAACTTGCTCTTCTAGCTTTTTGATGTAGCCTTCTTTTCGTTGGCGGAATGCTCGCTGGGCGTGCGTTAGTAGTGCTCTACTATCTCAGCGATATACTATGTATTCACCTGCGCTGCCCTATTCTGTGCCGCTCTCTTGCTTGTAGACAACTCCCTCTTATTCTTGCTACCTTGCGGACTGAGGCCATCATCTCCGCCGTCGTCGCCACTCATCTGCGCATATGGGACCTGCTGCTGGTGCGCGGCGTTTGGATCCAAGTGGTCATGAGAGTTCGTGGGATCAGCACCAGGACCGGTGGTGTATGGATGCTCCGGACCAGCAGCACCAGCAGTCGGTGGAGGTGGGTATGGACTGTGGTTTGGAGCAGAATTGTCAGCAGCCAGGAGCTGCTCCCGTAAGCCTTAGGAAGGAAGGTCGTGTCAGCATTATAGTCGTTTTCATTTGACCATGCCAAGGCATGTGATCTAATGTAGACATTGACTGATTACTCACTCATCTCGAGACCGGGATTGGGGTCCTGTCGCAAAGCAGATCATGTCAGCGATTAATCCTCGGCAGGTCCCCGAATCTATACATGTGCATAGGTACGGGCAGGGAACGAAGTCGAGCTTCGGGGTGAGGTGGCTGGGAAGAAGGGTGTGCTTACATGATGCTGCATGGCGCACAGAAGTGGCCGAAGAAGGTGACGGCGCGATTGGATCGCTCTATCGAGGACCGGCGTTAAGCAGGACTCGAGTCGGTTGCGTTCCTCAAATCTATCCCGGAGGCTCCGAGACTACAGTACACCAATTGAATAGCTCGTCTATATCATTAACAGCGTTCAACTCGACCTTTGGGGCGTGTTTTGGCAGCAGCGACGGCAATCTACACCTCACAGGACCATGTCAGCGCAAGTAATCCAACGGCCGTATGCTCCGCAAACAGTGAGCATGCCCGTGACGGGAAGCATCGTGGCTCGACGTGAGCATTGCTGAGCTTTGTCTTATGAGATGCTTGTCGCAGACGTACCTGTGGTGAAGTGGGCTTCTTCCAACGAGACGCGGCGTGCTTACTCATTTGGAGAATATGTAAGCAAGAAAGCTGCGAAAGGCCCTGTGCAATGAGGTGGCTTTTGACTGGCTGTTCTCCGCCTCTTCCATCATGGCCAAGCTTGGATCACTCCGGGAACGCGGCTTTTTAGCTTTGTCCAAATTGGGCTCAACTCACTTTCCCATTCGTGCTCGTTTTCTCGCATTCGATTCCATTACAGGTACTTGCCATACGGACGCTTTGACTATGATGCAGACGCTCTTGCGACTGGAATCGATTCCATATCATGCTCGTCAATCTGAGTCCTTGGGACAACTCATCTACCTTGCTGTGATGCCCCTTTGATAAGCCGGTCATCAGCCGGATCATTTTGCGACAGAGTGATCATTAGGGCAGGCACAGAGGTTTGATGAGGTGGGCAGGTCTGCTGACAAATCACTCGAGTGTGTAGCGACTACATATGTTGCGTGTGTACACGCAAGGAGCTATGAGAGCAGTGTGCCTTATGTATGACTTGAATCTACACATATGAATGCGAGTAATAGGGGCACCAAAGCTCTTGCACAGGCCCCTCGTATTTTACTCTGCATTTGAATGGGCTTGGGTGCCTCAAAAAATGAGCACCATTGCTCACAGAACCGACCTGACGCCTTGAGGTGGCGAGCCTCAGCGCTCCCACTCAAACATACATGCACGACGTCTTACGTGACACAGGTACTGCTGCTTAAGGATAACCAAATAGATGAGCATGGCCAAAAGTCCTGCCGTTTGAGTCGTCCCACAAGATTCTGCCAGATGACGCACCCTTACTCTAATCCTCCCTCGGAACGAGCATGGCCGACCAGATCATCGCAACGCCAATGATCGCAGCGATTCTCCGAGTCCAGGCCCAAAGTCGCTGACTTACATCGCCACCGATCTTCATCTGCATGATGGCACGCGCGACGATAGTCCAGACGTCGCTCGCCGGCAGAGCATCGAGAACGAGCTTTGATCGTACCAACAGACCGTACTGGCACACAACATACCTAACCTGCACCTTATTATCGACGCAACGCCATTTGAGCATGACCTTACATCTCGGCGAGAAGTATAGTATCCTCTGAGGCACTATTTCCAGAGCAATATCTCCAACTTCGCCACTTCCCCAGCAGACTTACTTAGTCCTAGAGTACTGCCGTGCCTCATCCTTTATCACGGTTTAGACGGCATTGTCGACTTCAGGGAAAGATCCAATGAAAGGGACAGATCAGCCTGGTTCACGAGGATACGGCAATCGATCAGCAATACGGGTCTCTCGTCCACTCCCGACTTCCCGCCAGCCGACTTCAAGTACTTGTGCAGTATGATGGATAGTATCCACGCGCCTGGCTTACCAACCCATCGTTTTGTACATCAATACTACATCCTCGACGTCGTCCACAACAACGGCCATGCCTCGCCAGAGCCCGAGCAGCACGACGTGGCCTCCGGGGAAGACGTTCCGGACGTCGACGAGATCATGCTATGTGTCAAAATCGGACATGGTGAGCGCATGTGGAGGGGGGAGGGCTCGTATACCTTGTGGTGTGACAATTCTCCCGCGGACGACGAGGGCTATGCGTGGCGGTATGCTACGCATTGCTGTGAGGACTCGAGCGATGCTTTTGATACGTTGAAGGGATCATCTTGCGTTCTATGCTACGCATGGCGCGGCGCAGGAGAATGATGATATACGGAGGAAGCTTAAGCTCGATGAGGCCTGATCACTTCCCAGGTGGGTGGATTGCTATTGTGCAAAAGCCCGCTACGGCTGGTATTGGGATTAGTTCTGTAGTCTCGCAAGTAGCAAAGGCCGATTTTACATCCTGGCTGATGATAGAAGTGAGAATGCTTATGGTCATGGTGACATATTAGTGGCGGGCCCCGCCGGTGGTGAAATTACTGACCTCTGCTTGCGTAGCTTCCGCATCGATCTTCTGTTCCCAAGTCAGCCTCGTTCTCCCAGTGGCCTGGCTGTGCTGCTTTGCGTGTTGCTTTGCATGCCACACTCAGATCTGGCGACCATCTCGACAGCATGACTGAAAGACGCGGGGCTGGGATACTCGCTCTGAGCCCCCCAGCTCTCGAGCGTTGGCTCGCTTCGCTTCGAAGTCAAAGCAGAATTAAAACGTTCTTGACGGTCTTAGGTGAACGAGAAGACCATCTCTCCGAGGGTCGGAGGTCAGTACTTGTGCTCATGTATGTAGCTGCTAGGCCGATGGTCAAGCTCTACCACACAAGTGCTATGGAAGAATGGTTGGAGATTGTGAACCGATGATAATTTTAGGTTTCCGAAGGTAACAATATTGAGAGTCGACAGTGAAGCCGGTCCTGCGGGCCGAAGGAGGAACTACTGTCTGTAACAAGTTGACGAGGTCGGGCATGACTTCGAACTACTAGTATACATACTTTTCCCTAGCCGGCCATGCTCTCCACAACGGGCCTACTGCCGACGGTAGTGTTATGTGGGACGTCGGGTGCGTGACCTCAGACAATGAGTGGTGCCGACCCTGCAATGTTGATGCAGGCTGCGTATATGTAAACACGTCCGCCTTAACATGCTACGGTTGAATTCCCTGGTAGATTTCGTTCTCTTACATTCCTCCAGCTATGTATCAAGTCAAGACGTTAGTCGCTTTTGCGGCCCTGGTGATGGTTGGTGTGGGTGGCGCTCAGAAGGTGCAGCGGGCTGGTGTCAATATTGCTGGGTATGCTCGAATTGGCCCAGATCTGCTGACGACGGCGGCGACGACGCAGGAGGCTGACAGATTGTTCTTGACAGCTTCGACTTTGGCATGACAATCGATGGAAACTTCACACAGAGTCAGATGGTGCCGCCATTAAAGTCACAAGGTGGTCCTGATGGCATTGGGTATGAACTCGCCATCCCTGAGCTCCCGTCTTGCGGTATGCTCATGTGGAGACAGTCAGATGCAGCATTTCGCCAAAGGTGATAGTCTTAATATCTTCCGCTTGCCAGTAGCGTGGCAATACCTGGTCAACTACAAGCTGGGAGGCAGTCTTGACAGCAACAACATGAACGTATACAACGAGCTCGTGCAAGGCTGTCTTGGAACTGGTGCACTGTGCATCATCGACATTCACAACTATGCCAGGGTGAGTTTACCACCTACAGTAAGTAATGACGGTTCTCCCTTGCTGATGATCGCCAGTGGTACCAAGGCATCGTCGGCCAGGGCGGTGTCACGAACCAAGACCTCACCTCCCTCTGGTCCCAGCTCGCAAGTAGATACAAAGGCAACTCCAACATCGTCTTCGGCCTCATGAATGAGCCGCACGACCTGAACATCAATACATGGGCAGCCACAGTTCAGGCTTGCGTGACGGCTATCCGACAAGCAGGCGCCACATCTCAGATCATCCTCCTACCAGGTGACCACTTCACAGCAGTCGGCGGCTTCTCCACTGGGTCCGGTCCGGCATTGGTGGGCGTCCATAACCTCGACGGTAGCAAGACAAATCTGGTGTTTGATGTCCATCAGTATCTCGACAGCGATAGCAGCGGCACACACACCGAGTGCACACACAATGGCGTTGACAACCTGCAGACCTTAGCGACCTGGCTAAAGAGCAATGGTCGCATGGCTTTGCTTTCTGAGACTGGTGGTGGGAACACTGCATCTTGCCAGACAGATGTCTGTGCCGAGCTGGACTGGATGAACTATCATAACGATGTTTACCTCGGATGGGTCGCCTGGGCGGCAGGTAGCTTCGAGTCGGGCGTCTTCTCTGGACATACTTACGAGCTGGATTTGGTGCCGGCGTATGCCAATGGGAAGTGGACCGATAAGCCCTTGGTGAGCAGCTGTGTTGCCGGTAAGTTTCATTGATCCGAACGAGACAGGGCAAGGGGCCGAGAGTCAAGCTCTATGTAGGGTGGGTTGCACTAGCTCGGGACGTCCTGATAACTGTATATGAGATATTTGACAGGCAATGTCTAGTACGTACGGCCACAGATCGAGGAGAACAGAGGATCCCGTCCGCTCTCCTGAACTTAAGCCTCGAATCGGTAGAGTAGTAGTCAGGTCGGTGACGACTGGCGAATGCCTGCAGCTGTACGTTTTGTTCTTTTGGGTACTGTTAAAACACAATGCTCTTTTGATCTCAGCTTGAAGCCTAGATCCATCTTCAACCAGGGGTAGTATTTCGATAATTGGCGGGCATCAAGGCATGATATGCAATTAGAATGAAGTGAGGAGGCGTTGGTGGCGGTGGAGGAGCTCGTGGGCCCTTTAGTACAAAGTAGTTCCAGAGGGGAGAGCGAAAACTGCAGTGTAAGTCTAGCATGCCCCCCTTGCCCTGTGGCTCACTGGCTCCAGACCCTTTGTACCTCCTTCCAACACCGCTCAGTAGACAGAGCAGGACTATCTAAACAGCCGCCTTTTTGCAGCGGGCCACGGTCACCATCATTACGCTTCCAGACACTATACTAATGATACCGACACTCGTACCAATCGCGAGATGTGCTTCTTTGCAAGCCCCAGTGAATACGAATGTTATGATAGGCATGCTTTTCGTTGCGGACCCTAACGCCCATAGCACCCTCGCCGCGTTGCTAGTGCTGGCGTGAGGTGTTAACAGATATGAGGCGTGCTTCGAGCATGCGCGCGTTCGTACATCGATGCGCTGCAACTGCGCATCCGCTATCAATGATCATGTCCCGCGATGCGACAATGAGACCTTTGATTGGGATGAGAAGGTCGCATAAAACATGGTACAGGTGGTGTGATGTTCGCTGCAGGTTCAGTGGGGTGACAGCAGCTGGTGTGACAACAAGGTACGTACCGTGTCGTACTCCGCATATTCTACATGGCGCAGCATTTATGCTTGGATCTTGCTGTTGATTGTGCGCAGGCTTCCAACATAGCATACATAAGTCGACAGACTCCAAGCAAATATCAGTCTACGAAAGAAGGTGCTTCCTGCCTGTGCCGCTCATAGACTAGTCAAACGGATTATGTTCACGAACCTGCCGCCAATGATGTAGCTAACTTGCATTCCTAGAGCATGATCAGCCAGCCATGGCTATGAGAGCTTCGGCTGGCCTGCAGCAACAGCTCTGTCTCCGCAAGTACGCGATGCTCAGATACCTCGCGGTGATGCCGCGAGGAGCGCGCCCTAATTGAGCATCAGCCAGCCAGCAACAACAATGCCATAGGTAGGCTTGCTGAGCTTTGATCAGCTTGCTCGGTTACCATATCAATTTTCCCAAGTCGGCCATTCATCTTCGCAAGCTTGCTCAATGCGGGCGCAGATCTGCCGTTGCTCGAATGATCAGGAACATGCCATGGGGACCTCAAGCCATCCGATACTGCAAAGTGCCTCCCTTGATGCAATACAACTGCGATCGTCGTTGCTCCCCATCATCCAGTGGCGGTCGCCAGCGCACTTGGTGTTGAGTACTCTTGTACTTATGTGAGTGCCAATTCCAAGTCAGTATATAGCTGATCACGACCGTCGGGTCACCCTGACATAGTCACCTATTTGTTCAGAAGACCTTCGCACCCGTCACGCACACACAGAAGACATCTGCTTATCCTCAGAAGATCAAGTAGATTCCTTCCTGCACCTTTGCGCTCGATCAGTCACGAAATCTGCCGACCATGAAGAACACGGACATATTCTCGCCTAATGAGGGCTATGACATGGTGGTTTCTGTGACACAGAAGACCATCAACGACCAGATTGCTATTTTGGCTAACCCGGACATTGGGATCATCAAGACATCGTCAGCAAGCACCAACCCTTCGTAGCAAGTAATGTCAGCTGACTTTGTGAATCAGTTTGATCTTCGGGATGACTCGCAACAAGGACAGGACATTTGATCCCAAGTTCTACGATTCCTGGGAGAGTGTTCCTGGCGTCGGTGCTGATGGAAAGGGATCACCGAATGTGCCGGTCATGAACGCTCAATATCTACCGCGCCTGCAAATAAAGGATTCGGGAACCACGGCAGTTCTTGTGCTGGAATTCCCTTCTGGCGTCGCTTGGTACGTAGATCCTATTGATGGCCTTTCGGAGTACGACGTCAAGGATTGGAAGTACGGCATTGCTATCGACCTGAATTTTGCTGGTATCAGCCGTGCAGATCTTGCTGCTGGCAAGGCTGTTCCTCCCATTGTGTCACAGAAACTGGAACACTTTATGGATCAAGATTTCTCTATCTCGCAGTTGTTCGCGGATCTGACCAATGTCAACTTGATGCGCTCCGATCAAGAGATTACAACGGTCGGCACCGCAGGAGACGCCGTCCTACAATCATTCACCTATTTTATGAATACTTTCCTTGGCGACCTGCAGAAGCATCCAGAGCAGAATCCATACATTCTTGGCTATTCGGTCGCGGCAGTCTCTGCGACTCCTGACGAGGACAAGAATGTCCCTGACTCATTGAAACCCATCGGCTCGACCTTCACACTGTACAAGGATCCCAATAACAGTGACTTGAGCAACGTGAACTTCTGCTTAAATACCAAAGGTGGCCAGGGTAAAGGCGGGTTCGGAACTCATGCTACCCCCGGCAATTTTGACAGTAATTGGATCGGCAGTGCGGAGCAATGCCAAGCTAAAATGATATATTCAGCATATTGTCTGCTTGAAACTCTGGTCCTCAAACCGTTCTACGATGGCTACGCCAACTCCACTCACGATGTCATTTCCAAAGCCGGCGTCAACATACCCAATGTTCCGGACTACCACGCGGCGATGAGCTCGAATACGGACGGCAAGAAATGGAGCATAGCAGCCCAGGGTGGCGACGATATGTACCACAATTCATATGCGGTCGCCTTCACCTCGGACGGGCCCAACCTAACCCTCAAGCTCAGCGGAGGGCTGGATACCAAGAAGTCTGTCAGCCAAAATGACTTCTTCTGCACCGCGAGTGCGTGGGTGTCAGGTTACGTCAATTGGGAAGCGACGATAGTAGTGACGGCGGATAAAAATGACAAAGGAGAGCCCACTCTGAGGATCTCGAATCCCCCTCCAAAGATCACGAGCTCGGGCCACGATTCTTGGATGAATGACTGCTGCAAGGCTTTCTCGTGGATTGCCAAGATCATTGGCGTTATTGGAGATGCCCTGAGTCTTGGACTGGACAACAATTTCTTCCAGAATCTGTTCAACAACCTTCTGGTGCCGACGGCATCAGGAATCTTCAATCCTGTCTCAGCTCTCGGGAGCACGGGTACCACAGTCAATGGCAGCCTCCTTCTTCCAGCTGGCCAAATATTTTTCTTCAAGGTGAGTTGATCGGAAGCACAAACTTTACGCAAGGCTAAATTCTTATGCAACTCACAGAACCCTTCCGCCGATGCAGATGGCAATGTGTCTCTCGAGTTGACGTACAAGACCGAGACAGGGACTGCTGCCTCGCTGGCGGCTGTCTCCAAAGTCGAGGTTGACCATTCACGTTTTCAGTTTATCGAGACCCCCTACTCGCGAGTCACGAAGCTGATCAAGCCTGCATCGAAAGCCACCAAACCATTGCTGGGAGCTGCTCCAGAGAAGAAGACTGCAGCACCGGCAGTACCCAACCCTTATGCTCAGCCACTCAAGGATAAGTTTAAATTCGACTGTGCGAAGTCTGCCGCAGGCACCGGCAAATGCGATGTCGGCATTTCCTGTGAACTCATGGCGAACTCACTGCCTGGCATGCCCGGTAAGTCTGTTTGATCGCAGACATATGCGCTTGCTGATAACGAGACAGTCATGCCATCCAAGGAGTTCTCGCTGGCGCAGGATGCCAAAGGCAACGCTTTAATCTTTGCGCTAAGCTCTGATGCACAATTCAATGTTCTGATTAGCGACTCTGATGCAGATGGGACTGGATTCCGGACCGTTAATCTGGGCGCGAGCTTTCACTCCTTCAAAGCCGCTGTGTGCTTCGCCGTGTCACAGGACGAAGCGGGCCTGATCTCGATCGCGTTCACGTTAGTCGATCAGACAGGTGTTCAAGGCGTATTTTATGCTCCACGTCTGTCCAACGATCTCATCAGCACCGACTTCTCGAAGATGTCTGCAATGGCGACGCAAATCACGGGCTATGACCCGAAGTTCACAGTTGAAAATCTCATGGTCGGAGCCTCGGACGATGGACAGCGTCCAGTGCTCTTAGTCCAGGGCCAGCTGGGGCTTGACAAGTCTTTCTATCAGCTGCAAGCATCAGATTCTACACCACTGCGCGTGGAGTTCCCTGAGAATGTTGGTCGGGATGGCAGTGGCTTGCTGAGCATGAAGATGGGCTATGCTTTCGGCCGGCGAACCAACTACTTTTTGTACACGATCGGCGAGACTGTATCGCTTGTGGGTAAGACTATCCCAAGTGGAGGCAGTGGCTCAAGCACTTTCGACTATAGCCCGGGTAACAAGACTCTTCCGGTCGCATTCCAGCATCTGTCTTACAACAGCATAACGACAGCAACATCCCGCGCCGGTATCAATGCTAGCTCAGACATCCTTATTGCCGCCGCCTCTGGAATATATCGCATCCCAAATGCCAAAGCTGCAAGCATGGAATGTGTTACAGACCAGATCAAGGATGCACACGAAATATTTGTCGCAGCCACCGCTACCACTATCTCGCTATGGGTGGTCGCAAGTCCGAATATCCTTTGGTACATCTACGGCGCAAAGGTATCAAACACAACGAACATCACATGGAACGCTCCAGTCCAGTTCGCCAAGGGTGTCATCCACGTTGCTGGCATGAGGTCCCGAGTGACCAATGCAAACGAAATTTTCACCATCAACCAAGACATGTCCATAAGTCGATACTGGCAAGATCCTGTGACGACGATCTGGAGGAGTAAGACCGAGCTCGTCCCTGGCAGCAAGTATGTGCTCAACTACAACTCTTTCACGTCCGTGATCCATCTGGAACGGAATGGCTTACCTCTCGTCGGTGAGAAGTTGATGGTCTCATCAAACGAGTGGCAGTACTATGCAATCAATGGCTCAATCTATTCCCTGGATGTAGACACGGCGGCCGAGCTGGTAGCTGATCCGCAGGGTAATGTCACTATTATCAGCACTGCAATTGATGTTGCACCGGCTGTCCTGCACGTTCAAAGTGCTTTGTTCAAAGAAACGCTGAACATATATCCAAATGGAAAGGTGAATCATCATCTCCAGAAGGTCACAGACGGTGCGAGTCTACAGTCAGCTCAAGCACAGGATGGAACTCCAGTCATGGACCCCAAGGTGACTGGCGATGTTGCAAATGCCGTGGCGAGTAACGTGTCGCAAGTCAATACCGTTGGCGCCTCGAGCTACCCTCCTGCAGCGCAGGGCAACATTTTCACCGCTGTCGAGACACCTGTCGCCTCTGGAGAAAATGGACATCTCAAGCACTCAGCTTTGCGTACAATCAAGACCACACATTTAGAGGATGGCGTTGTTTGCGGTATGACGGTCAGAGATGGTAAATGGCAACTCCACAAAGAGGGCCAGGCTGAAAAGCTTCTCAGCGTACATCGGGACTCTGCAGTCCTGGGAAGCTTCTTTGGAGACTTCTGGCACTGGATCGAGAACTTTGCCGACGACATCGTCTCCAATATCGAAAATGGTGTAGTGAAGCTCATCGATGGCACAACATTCATCATACACAAGGTTGAGGAGGGACTCGAATTTGTTCTAGTTCTTGCTGACAAGACTCTGCGAATCGCGCTCAGTACTCTGGGCGCGGTGTTCAAGGCGCTCAATTGGATCTTGAAGCTAGTTGGAATCGACTTGGCAAAAGTAAGTCTTGAAATTGTTGTCGGTCGTCTCGATGCGCTGACTGTCTAATCAGATACTTGCGTGGCTCGGCCACCTCCTTGGCTGGGATCGGATATGGGCGACTCATCAGATGATAAGTGGTATTGGGAAGAGTAAGTTGGTCTCTTCTTCCTTTTATATCATGCTAACATCCATGAGACTTTCTTGACTTCGCGAAGACAAATGGTCCTACTTACATCGAGCTCGCCAGACGATCAGCCAAATCGTTCTTCGCAGAAATCGACCTCGATGTGAAGAATGCTATATTGCCCGCAAGCGTCAAGAACGACAGTCCAGATGTAGCTGCCAACTCTACAGACCAAGGTCCCGATACACGTTCAATGGCTACCTCCCCACCAGCGAATTATGCTACCTATCATTTGCAGCACTCTGCAACATCAGCCAACCAAGATCAGAAAATTGGGAACGTCAGCACGAACGGTACTGTCCAGACGAACGGCGAGATGCTGACGGATGACCCTTTCACACAATTTTACAACGATGTGCTGCAGCCTGCTTTTGACGTTATCAGCGAGAAGCTCGGCAAAACTTCCGATGACCTGCTCAAACTGATCACAGATATGAGCCTGGACAATCTGCGGATCCTTTTAGCAGATGTCGCGGACGCACTCATATCAGTCATGGCGACAGTCGTCGATGGCTTTTTGCACTTCGCGGAAGACATCTTGAAGGACATAATTGGTCTTCTGGAGGAGGAACTGGACATACCTGTCATCGGTGCCTTGTGGGACTTCATGTGCGAGCTATTTGGCTCGAGTGAGCCATTTACTGTCATGAATGCATCCGCCTTCCTCCTCGCCATCCCGGCAGTGACTGTGGTCAAGCTTGCCACAGGCACGACGCCCGACCAATTCAACAATGGGTTTGACGACCCAGCATTTCCAGCGAAGGTCGCCAAATGGCTCGGATCCGGTTCTCCGCTCAACTTGACTGCGGCGAAGACATCTGGCAAGCTCGCTGTCACGAACAAGCAGGACGAGGAATACAAAGCCCCACCAGAGTTGAAGGCCTTCTCTCTTGCCGAGGGGTGTATCTCTCCATTTGCGGCCATAGTCGGTACCGTTTGCGACGCAGCCAAGGCCAATGGTAGCAAGAATGAGTATCTGCAAAAGGTCAGCTTGGGTACCTGCGCTGTAAAAGCTCTCTTCTCTTGGCCAGTAACCGACGATGGCCAAGACTGGAATATGTATGCCATTCGTTGGGTCGCCTTCGTCCTTGGTGCCGCTGGTGACTTGATGCCAGGCTGTCCACCTAAGGCGAAGGTGGTGGTCAACGCGGTTCTCGCCATCCTAGCAATTGTTGTTGATGCCAAAGAAAGCCAGGATCCGTTCGCTTGGACGTCGGACATCTGTGGAACGATCTCCAGTCTGGTCGCCGAGGCTGGAGAAGGCAATGCAGAGGTTCAGGTACCAGCTTATGCTGCCAGCATTATGTTTGGTAGCCTGGTAGCACTATCAGGGGGAATCGTAAAAAGCATCGAGTCGCGGACTGAGTCGACCGCGGCCACGGCTAATGTGAAGAAGTCATGGAAGAGTATCTGCGTCGGAGGTGCTTAGCTAGACCGCGAGAAAATGCCCTCCAATCTCATAACCATAACCTTCATTTATTGTTCCTTCGCGTACTTTGCATCAAGCACCATGTAGCAAGTAGGCGGGACTTGTCCACTGTCATACTTCCCCCCAGGCGGTGTCCAAACTATGAGCAGGATCAGGCTATCTAGTCACCATATCATCACTGGCATAGCCATCCTCGCCGCCTTCGACCAAGGTGGTCATTAAGCGAACTAAGCTGAGCAGTTGGTGTTGTTTATTAATTTAGCTAGTTAGTGTTGTTCGTTTATTTAGCTTATCTTACAGCCTCGGAATGTCGCTATAGGCAGGTTGTACTGTAGATAGAGCAGAACTATCGTCTCTCGCTCGGCCCAACAATGGTGCTCGCTCGTCATACCATCCTCCCAGCCCACTTTCGGGATGACAGATATGACAGAGCAGCAGGAATGCGCATCCAAGGGCATAGAAGGCATAGTTGATCGCGGGAAACGCCCACTTATACCACATTTGCAGGCACCAGAACTCAGAGCACCACATTCGCCATCCCCAAGGCGGACGACCAATCCGCTGGAACCACCTTATTGCTAATAGAGCCATGGACAGCATCTGAAGTTCAATGGCGAGCAGACTCAGAGCTCCTGGGTGGTTGGTTTGACTGCTTCGCGTAGTCCAGTATTGCGCAAAGAACTGCAGGATCACAAAAGTCGGAGCGACGGCCAGTTTGGAAAAGCTGATGAATGATGCCGGTATTTCTGTTCCCCATGAGGCTTCTGAGCGTTTTGGCAGGAAGATCACGGCCATCGGGATTACGACGATTACGAAGTGCAAGAATGCGAGGCTCGAGATCGTCCGGTTGAGTACGAAGCTTGTGGTGTCCTTTTGTGCGAATTTTACGAGACCAGGCATGCTGATCAGCTGGCACTCAACTGTAATAGCAGATTGCCGGAAACTGTACACAGTCACGGAGCAACACCATTGAAGCAAGATCTGTATGCCTCCAAGGATAGCCCCAACAGCTCGCAGGCCTCTTAAGCGTCCGCCTACGATCCGCGGAATCACACGCCGTCTCTCATCTGGGTAGGCGGCGGCGAGAATGGGGATCATTTGCGAGAGCTGGGCGTTGCTGAAGAAGACTCGGAAGAGGAACATGTAGGGAGAATAGGCCTTGCGTGTTGTGGCGCTCGTGCAGTCTGGAGAGTTGAGGGACATAGCTGCAGACTATGCCCACGGTAAGAACACTGCTCGTGGCTTTTATTTCAGTCATAGCAGGCGATTTGCAGGCCATGAGTAACTGACTGACCTGTCCACGATGACGTCGGCCAATGTGTTGCAGAGATTAGCCTCCCAATAGCTGGGCATCGTACGATTACTGTGCTGGGTGGAAACGAGCTGAAGGTTGTAATTACATAGGCGCAGAGACGACAGCTGTATTTGAGCGACGTGGCTGCCTTATATGAATGAAGTATGGCACAGCGCAAAAAGCCACCGCCCAATTTCAATGCTCTCGAGCTGAGGAGTATGAGCTTCGGCGAGACGTGCTTTTAGTTAGCAACCACATCGCCAGACCTCACTTCACATATTGCCATTATTGAGGGGCTGTGGCGACAATAGCGATCGTGTCCTATTGTCGTTGCAGTAGGTGTATAACCATCTGCTCATACCGAAGATGTCTACCTTTGCTTTTGACACTCATCATTCCCTGATCGGTATATATCGCGGACACATTCACCATCATGTCTCCTACCAAGTCCGTCCTCAAAAACAATTCAGGCCAAAAGCCGCTGGTCGGCTCAATCTCGGCCGAGTGCGGAAGAAAGTCCGCTACGCTTCCCCGTTAGTCGCGACAGTTACGGTACGGCGCACCTGCAGCGCGAACTTTTGGAGGCTTTACCCCGTACAAACAGCTACAGCACGCGTTCGGTGTCGGCGCGTCAATTGTTTCTTGTTCTTCCTAGGCATTGCTTGCGTGGTGTGCTGAAGGCTTTGGAAAGGTAGCAGAGCAGGTTTAGCAAGATGGGGAGTCTTTTCGACAGGATTGGCGCGCCGAATAATTCGCAGGCGGGTGGGCAAGCACAGGGTGGAGGAGGATTATTTAGTGGTGGTAACACAGCTGCCACGGGCAGTGCGCCTGGTGGTGGTGGGTTGTTTGGGGGCTTAGGGGCGGCTGGCGGTCAAGCTGCTGCTGGAGGATTGTTTGGGAATACAACGGGGACCTCCAATGCTGGATCTGGAGGGCTGTTTTCGAGACCGGCTACCACGAATGCTGCTCCGGCGGGAGGACTGTTTGGAGCTGCACCTGCGGCTTCGAGTGCTGGAGGTGGGCTGTTCGGTAACACTACAACCACAACATCGGCAGGTGGTGCGCTGTTTGGCAACACGGCTGCACCGTCACAGCCTGCTGGCACTGGCCTGTTCTCAGGAGCAGCAGCGAGGCCTCAAAACACCACCGGGCCCAGCCTCTTCGGTAACAGCAATGCACCGGCAAGCAGCACGAGCCTCTTCGGTAACGTGACTATGACTGCTCCACAACGACCGGGCCAGCTTTTCGCCTCGACAGCAAACTCCCAAGCACAACAAGGTGGAAATGCTAGCGTGTTTGGCAACGACATCCTTCCTGCCCAGCAAGTAGCACCAATAATCGAGCGATACGATAATCCGGGCGCCCCGGCTGCACAACCTTCGTACTTCCAGGCTTTGCTTGACAAGGGCAGCAAAAGAGTGGCTGATGAGAATCTGGGGCTACCACAGCTGCAGTATGGACTTCAAGATATTGCGCGCAAGGTACGCAATGTCGGACAAGGCGGGCCGAGTGCAGGACAGGCTGCGCGAGATTCACGATCACCATATGTCCTCGCTGCTTCTGGAGTGAATGTGGGTCAGTCACTGAGGGATATTGAAGAGCTGATGGACACCACCACATCCGTCACCCGGCCCTCCATCTCTCACTCGCAAGACTATAGTCAGCTCTCCGGCGTAAAGGACTTCCTAGGCGACTACCACAGACGCAGTTTTCAAAAAATGATCGATACCCGACTCGAAGCTGCACAGCAGGATTTCGACAAGATGGTCGATGAGGCCTTACACATGCAGCCCATCGACTGGCAGAGATACAGAAACCGGATCGATGTGCACTTCGGTCTGCGAAAGCCTGATGAGACCAGTGACGACATACCTGCGGGCTCTGTCGCAGACACTGGTAGCTTTGGAAGATCGTCGAGGCGAAGCAAGTTCCAAGGTTCTACCTTCGGCCTTGCAAGCGCATCTCGTTCTGTCATTGGTGCTCCGGGTTCAAACGGCATGCGTCAGAGCACTTTCAACGATGTGGCGGAGAAGTTGCCTGCCGATGGATTCAGGCCTGCGCCCGAAGATCGCACCCAGAGGCTAAAGCAGGACAAGTATAGTGGTAAAGTCAAGGATCTGAATGTGGCGCGCATACAGGAGAAGGCATACCCGATTCTGACTCGCTTCGCTGAAGTCGAGGAGGACCCCACGAACGAGGATACCTCGATGCTGGTGAGTGCCTACAAGGCTCTCGTCTCAATCACCGGCGAGGATACTTCCAAGGATAGTCTGGCCGACCCTGCTGTACCTAAGGAGCGTCAATTCGCTCGCGATTACCTCGAGGACAATTCTAGGACGAAGGGCTCGATTGCGATGCGTGAGCGTATCCTCAATGGCTCGCGCTCGTATCTGGAGAGGAGCTTTTACAGTGCACTCAAGACTACCGTGGCGAAGAATCCACGCGAAGCTAATATCGGCGGCGTGCCTACTTCTGTTGCCGAAGTGAAGGGCTACGTTCGCGTTCGTGCTGCACGGAAGGAGCTTGGTGCTGAAGTGGAGAAGCTGCAAGATATTAATGGTGATTATGGTTGGGCGGTCATTTTCTACCTTCTCCGCAGTGGACTGTACGAGGAGTCCGTGCAGTATCTTGAAGAGAATGCTGCAGCTTTCAAGCAGATCGATCGCAAGTTTAACAACTATCTTCGCACTTTCGTGAAGAGTTCTGAGCGTCGACTCCCCCCCGAGATGCAGACGGCGGTCAACAATGAGTACTCGCAACGTACACGTTTAGCTCCTGAGGACTCACTGGACCCGTACCGCATGGTCTGCTACAAGATCATCGGTCGCTGTGATTTAACCCGTCGCAACCTCGACACGATCAATAACGATATGATGGACTGGCTATGGCTTCAATTCGCTCTGGCACGGGAATTCCAGCGCTCAGAGGAGATGGCACACGAGTCCTTTGGCCTCGAGGATCTGCGCCAGAGCATCAAGGAGATTGGCGAGAGGTACTTTGGCGCTGGTAGTGACATCGCAAATGCCCCGACCACGCTCTTTTTCATGCAGATTCTGGCTGGGGCGTTCGAGAAAGCCGTGGCGGATCTGTATGCGCATAGTTATGTCTCGGCTACGCACTTTGCGATTGCCTTGGACTTCTACGGGTTATTGCGGGTCAGCAGCGACTTGACCAACGACGATCTGTTGACGTATACGACACGAGAGCAAGCGCAGATCGCTTTTGGCAGTCTTATTGGCCTGTATACTCGCGACTTCAGGACTGCGGATGCGACGGCTGCGGTGGACTACCTGACCTTGATATGTTTGAACGCTGATCTGACGGGTGAGATCGGTAAGAGTCAGAAGGAGTTGTGCTATCAGGCGATTATCGAAGTCATTCTGGAGACTCGTGAGTTTGCACAGCTGCTTGGCGATATCCGCTCAGATGGTCAACGAATCAAGGGTGCTGTTGAGCAGCGTCTTCGGCTTATCAAGCTGGATAAAGAGCGTGACTTCCTCAAGCAGATCACACTCGTCGCGGCTCGTACGGCGGAAGAGCAGAGCAGGACTACGGATGCTGCTCTCTTGTTCCACCTGGCTGAGGACTACGACAAGGTGATTGAGATCGTTAATGACGCCGTCTCGGTCTACCTTACAACTGAGCTAGGCGAGCAGCCGGCACATCTTACACCGCTAAAGCCTCGTGCACCACAGCAGCAACAACAGGATCCACGTTTAAGCAGTCTGAGCTTAACTGCTATCGATGATCCGCTTGAACTGGCATTGAGTATGCGGAATCTGTACATGTCTAATGATGTCTACGTCACGAAGATCAAGGCGGAGAATCTAGAGATTACTTCACGACTTGCTACCTTGGCTTCTGCGCGGAAACTGCTGGAGCAGGGGAAATGGGCCGAGTGTATTGATGTAAGTACCACTAAAATCATCCACTGTACAGGGCACGTTGCTAACACAGATCCACAGCAAATCTCCACCTCCTCCCTCCTCCCCACCACAGCCTCCGGCCACCTCTCCAGCATCCGCACCCAAGCCCAATCCTTCAATGAATTACCTCCTGTCCTCGCCCGCACAATCGGTCACGTGATGCTCTGGACCGTGGTAGCCTGCTCAAACAACATCGATCGTTTGCGGCAAGCGGAGTTCGAGACCGGGTTTCAGAGGGAGGCGATGGGGAGGTGTACGCAGATGGCGAAGGATACGGTGGTTTTTGCGGGGTTGATACGGTATAGGTTGCCAGGGCGGGTGTGGGAGATGCTTGCTAATGCTGGGAGGGAGATGGGGGCTTATTGAGTGGGAGAGTGGATGACTTGGGGCGGTTTGAGGGTGTCTGTGTATGATGTGGTCTGGTCAGATGGCATGATCAGTCTGGTAGAATTGCGAATTAGACAAAGCTTGTCGCTGGGCTACAAACAGATGAAGCTTGTTCTTTCGTCCGTGGTTGCTAGAACTAGCTGTTGGACAAACGCAATGATGCTTGAAGCCCACGAAAAACATTGACAGTGGGATTCTTTCATCTCGTGCAAATATACATTGATCGTACTTCACAAGTCAGGAAACCTGTTGTCCAGCCTTTTACAGTCCCCTAAAGCTACCATGACCACCGGCTACTACCCTACCCAACAGCCCCGCGGCGATTTCCAGCAAGAATGGAACTGGCGCTATCCAGGCTGGCCACCGCTTTTCACGCACGCCCATCGCGGTCCCCGTCGCAACGCCCCAGCAGAACTACCCTTCAAAGAACACCGGCCCGATCGCGGCGGTGGCTGGTGGCAAGGCGACCGCAAACTCAACCATTTCAAACCAAACTACTACTTCACCCGCCCCTGTGACGGCAAGCGGACTGGTGCTCTAGGCCGCATGAAAGATGCTTTGACGGGTGAAGGGCCGGACGTCTTCCTCACGATGTCCGGGGATAAACGCAGTCTTATGCGCGATCGGCCGCAGCGGCATCAGTGGTCTGGGTGGGGGCTGACGGCGAAAGAAATTCTGGATCGCAGGATTTACGATATGGATTGGCGGGCTTGCGACGAGATGCCGGTGCGGAATATGACGTGGACGCATGATAGGATGCACGAGCCGATGTATGATTTCCGTCCGAGGGAGTTCTTGTCGCCGCGGAAGGCGTGGCGGAACCAGGAGAATGTGTGGACGAATGTCGATTGGGCGCCGGGGGCGAAGAGTGGGAGTTTGCCGTTGAGTTCTAGGGATTATTATGGGAATTGGACTACGCGGGTGCCTCAGTGGGCTGGCCGGTACCCGGGAGGGAGGCCGTGGCCGAGGGATTAGAGATCCTCTTGGTAAGTGGTCGCTTCATAGAGTCGTAATGGCCGAGAAGGCGATAATCATTGGTTAGACCATCCATACCCCACCACCCCCCGCCCCATCCCCTTACTCAAATCCCCCTCCCTCCCCAAACTCTCCCTCCCCCTCGCAAACAACTGCTGCGTATGCTCAGAACTCCACTCCCCGCGAAAAGTACTCAGCTGGTCATTTGACTGCACAGCCGCTTTCTTGATCGCTGCAAACATTTGCGGTTTGTTGCCTTTCGACAGCAAGAGTGGCGAGATGAGTGAGGGTAGTGTTGAGCGGAGGCCATCGAGCTGTGTTGGATTAGTCTCTGCTTATTCAGTCTATGTGTTTGTGCGTGTTTGTATTTGAAGAGGGTATATGTCTGCTGCGGGGCGTACCTGCTCAGACAAGCGCTCGAGATGTGCTAGTGCTTCTTCATAATGTTGAGCGGACCATTGTGTCTCGCTATCTGCAGGGGCTGTTTTTTCCGGCTCGTTCGCCATGACTTTGAAACGATGGGATGGATCGCGACCATACACACTCACTTCACATGCATGTCAGGGCAACAAGACTGGAGGTGAAGTCAAGTTCTGGCCATGACCGTGCACAGACGCAAGACGAAAGCTTGGACATGAAATATTGTGGTTTCGCAAGACTTGTTGCATGCGTACTGCATATACAATATACCCTCTGCCATCTTCGCTATTGTACATCGGGCTGCAGCTGATCGTACAAACCCACTCGCACGCTACAGTTCGCACGCTGCGCTATCACACGAGCAATATCTATTTGCCCCGGGTCGCGTAGTGAGCAAAAGGCTGTCAGGTTACCACCCATCCTATCGGCGATAGCCTTGCCCCTCACCACGTCGCATACGATCAGAATACATCCGACCCTCGTCACGGTACCCTCCTCCACGACCGCCTCGGCCACCACCACCTCTATAACCTCTATCTTGGCCATCGTACCCATACCTCCCGTCTTGGTAGGCCGGCTCTGCGCGTCTCGGGTAGTCGTCTGCTGGTCTTTGACTAGGTCCCAAGGGCGGAGGGCGCGGCTCTCGTCTCCGCTCTTCGCGCTGCCTGTCTTCTGCTGCTCGGGCGTCTGCGTGCTCGTCTACTTCCATTGCTGTGTCGCCTGTTGTGTCGACGAAAGCTTGCAATGGCTCTTCGGTGGGTGCTGCTTGGATCTTGTCGCTGATTTCCGCATGGGCCGATTCGCCGATCTCGGATTGCATGTACACGTAGAGCACGCGACCATCCGCCTGTAAGGAGGTATTAGTCAATTGATGTTGGTTACATGCTTGCACGCGCTCCAAGCTTACCTTCTTATTGTTGAACGTCTTGATCACCTCATCCGCACCCGATCGATCCACGAAGCTCATCTCTGCGATCACCATTGCTGCTGTCGCAACGCTGACCAGTTTACAATAATTCATCTGCCCGCCCACGTTCAACATTACACTCTCAATATCCGCAGCTGAGGTGCCTGGTGCAAAGTTCTGTGCCCGAACGATGTACGGCCCTCCAGCCGCGCCTCTTATGCTCAGCCCATTGCCGCCGTTGTCGATCGTAGTTCTTTGACTGTAGCCGTTGCTCTTAGCAGGGACGGATGGGTCGGAGGAAATATTGATCACGTGGGTCTCGGCACGGCTGTTCTGAGGTCGGGAATTGTTGGGGATTGCTGATCGACCAAGATGTGAGGGTTGTCGTGGGTTGCGAGGAGCACCTGTGCTATTGGTGCGAGGAAGGGAGTTGCTTCTCTGGAGTCGAGGTCAGGTGAGGTTGGCAAGCTGCTTTTGAGAGGATGGTACCTTCGTAATACCGACTCTGCTGGCAAGTGATCCTTGCATGGGAGTTGGGCCTGCCGGTCTTGCGGGAGGATTTGTCTTTGGCCGCTTCCCTAGCATTTCCTGCGCAAGCTTCTGCGGGTTCTTGCCAAGCATTTCTTGGGCCAAGTTGGCACCGCGCTCCTTCCGACCTGCATCATATCAGCCCATCTATTTCGCTCTCAATCGTCGGCATATCTACTTACTCGCTTGCAGCACTTCATCGAGGGAATTTGCGACCTTGTCTTGGGGTTGGCCCTTATTCTTGCGATTGCGATTCGCCATGGTTCCTAACCGAGATCTAGTATGTACGAAGGTGTCTTGCTGAGACTAATATGTGTTCGCGAAAAGTGGCAGGTGTGTCTCGCTCCAAAGAAAGTCGCGCCTGCCTCGCGGAGCTGAAGCCGCGTTTCGGAAGCACCCGCTGCGGCGTTCTTCACTTCATATGTTCCATCTCTCCTTCGCCTCCTGATTTATCAACTCTGTCGCCGGGACATGCCAATCTTCGGATGTACTTACCTACCGGAAGAATCGATCGTAAGGCTCGTCCCGCACAGCGACTCCTGGAATCTTGCTCTCGAGATGCAAACGAGGATTTCCCATATCAGGCCAACTGATTCGGCCGAACCATGGGCCTTTCTGAAGGCCCACCAAGCTCTGTACGGGCATTCCTCGATGTACCCACGAGAATACCGCATCACATGATGGTTCATATAATGTTTCTATGGATCGTACGTAGAGATTACCGCTCCATGCTCAAGTTCGTTCCTACCGTGCATCGCTTGCAACTGCCGCCACTGTGTACATGATTCACCAGGTAAGCGTAATTATGTACGGCAGTCCTTTCTCACGTACGTCCCTTGTTTGTTGTGGTACCATGTCACCGTTCCTCCTAGCGAAGATCGTAGACAGAGAAACGCCTCATCCGAAGCATCGATCTCGACAGCATGAATCGCAAGAGCAGCAAAGCACCGCTGCTCGAACCACAAGATGCAGTCGACCTGACTTCAGGAACCGGATCTGCTGCCCACAACGCTCTACAGAACACTCTCGACAAGAGCACGATACCCAAGAAGAAAAGCTCATGGCTCAACATCGGTGGCAACATCCGCAAAGGTGCTATGGCTATCAAGGGTGCCATCGAATATGTCCGTAGTGATTCCTCTACCTCAGATGGAGCCAAGTAAGTCTTTGATGCTTTTCTTTTCGGCCCTCGCGAGCGTACTCTGCGGAGATTCGTCCATGAGTCTATCGCTGAAACCATACAGAACACCTTCCAGCGACACCACTCCGCAAATGTCTTTCTCAGAGCAAGCCAAGTCAGAGAGCACTGGCGAGGCTCTGCGGCCCACCACTCCAACCAAGCCCTTGCAACGCCACAATACCTTCTCACCAAAAGCCATGGCGACCTCGCTTCGTCATGCCTTTCCACGCCAGCATTCCCACCGAAGCAGTATTAGCAAATCAACGTACGGCAATCTCAACGAGGAAGGCGGGAGCCCTAGAGATCCGGAACAATTTCTCACAGACGGAAAAGCTGATCCGCAAGCGACACCTCATCATAGACGGGTGAGCCTTGCAGGCACTCTGGTTGGCAGCATACGAAATCGGCGATTCGGCCGTGCAGTGAGCCTCAAGAGGCAGAATCCTTGCAATCTTGATGATCTGCCTGCACTGCCGCCATCGCCCACTAAGCCGATTGGTATACCATCGTCTACAGCGCCACATCTAATTCTCAACCTCTCACCCCTGTGCGTGATGTCTCCACCTTTTGGTGAAGATATGCGACGGGACAGCAAAGCGGATTGCCTCGACCTGAACGAAATTACCAGCGGCTTACCAGACGACCGTGGAATATGTGTCCCTCCGGGAATGGAGGCCAGTGCGAAGACTCGAGAAGAACTTGATACTGTAGGACCGCCGTCCTTGGATTTGACCTTACAGCTGCCCCCGCCTGCTATGGAACCTGGCTGGCCCAATCTGATGCTGTCACGCGATGCACCCACAACACCAATGCCCGGGACGATTCTCACCTTGGAGCTCGATGGCAGGAACAGTGAGAAGTCAGCCATCTTCGAACGCAGCGTGGACTGTTCCGAGAGCTCAACCAAGCAAAGTGCCCAAAGCTTACGTCAAGTGAGCTCAATTGATGCCCTTGCTCGTGACCCTCACCACTCAACCGTGCCACCAAACAGTGCGAACGATTCTATGGAGGCCCTCGCTACCGCAGCTGAGATCGCGCATGCAGCAGACGAGGTAGAGCAGCACTGGACCCAAGGCACCATGGATGCGCTCGATGTGGCATCCGACAACGCCGCTGAAGTTCGTGGTGAGACCCATAAAAGTCCTCAGGTTATGGAGATCAGCCACGCATCGCCTGAAGGGCTTGACGAGGAGCAGTCGGATCTTGATGGCACGCCAACCATACGTCTCGTTCCAGTTCCGCTTGAGATTCCTCATCGTCCACGACCGCATCGCGATTTGCTGTCGGCCACCACTATCAGTACGTGTCCGCCTGACATGGAACCGATCTTTCCGTGCGCTACACCGCGTCGAGATGGCCAGCAATCTGCAGAGTGCTCTTCCGAAAATCATGGGCCGAACTCCTTGGAGAATCATCAAAGCTGCAAGGGCAAGGGTAAGGCCGCAGCCATAGAAGACCAGGACGTTCTCATGCATAATATCGACGAAGGTCACTCTTATAAAGCACACCATACGCGCGTCAATGAAGCTGCTGGTGAAGACGACGAGCAGATCATCGACCAACTGCACTCTGCCCCCCGGAACGATGACACAGACTCAATCATCACGGACTACGACGAATTCAAGACTCAGCTCTTCTTTCCAGCCGATGACGCCAGCAGCATCGACCTACCGAACTATGAATATGCCAATGATGTCTCCGGCAGTCCATCGAACGTCACACCTCTCGTACCAGTCCTTGCGAGAGCCGTCAACAACTCTCAGGACTCCAGCCCAGCGAGCGGGAGAGTGAGTGGTATCCGCTCAACGGATGTGGGTGGTCTGATGTACAAATTCACCATAAGCAGCTGGCTGGGCAATACTTCCGACGGCGAAGCTGGTGGTCCTTCCACGCCCACTCCTCAGCATGTCACCGAAAGCCTCGATGGCGGGTCTGAGGCTACTGAAGTTGGTTATTCGCTTGGAGATCCGTTCATGGAGCCTACTACTGCGCATTCTCCATCGCCCTCGAGTCAGCCGGACGATGATGCGAGTCACGAGTTTCATGCTGCAGTTCCGACTAGTTCTCCGGCTTGCTTGACGGAGTGGGAGAAGCTGAATTTCCAGGCCTCCGTCCCAGCTCAAGCTCACGAACTATCATGTGCTGCCTCAGGACAGAACGACTCGCCTACCGTGCCAGGATCCGAGCACAGCAAGGATCGTGTCTGCTCGAATGATACCCTGGACGATACTCTTGCTCTGTTTAGCGAGAACGAGGAGGTGGTCGTGAGCTCACCGCAAAGTGGGTATGAGGGTGATGAGAGTGGGCCTGCGTCTGATGGGACACCGCCTCAGCCGGAGAGGGCAAGGTTTCATTTCAGGGGGTTTGTTGGGGGGATGGAGTAAAGGACGGTGGGATGATCATTATTGTTAGCTTGGTATGCTATGGTGGTATGGCTAGCGTATAAATAGCTAGGTAGAGTAGTACAGTATGATGTACAGACTTCATTCCATCATCATCGCCCTACCCACCGCCAGGCATTTCTCAAATGTCATGCGATCGCAGAGTCTGTGGACGATGTGTCGTGTTACTTTCGTGTTCCCCGAGTTTGACCCGATATCGATGTACATGACCTCTTCCACTTCTCATCCAATCCAACTTACACGCATCAGTTATGTGATGCCCTCAGCTCGCTTCTGCTTGCGGCCTGCGAGCAGACGCCTTCCCAGATCAAACACAAGACACCATGTCACAACCTCGCGACCGTACGAAGAGCTCAATGCTTGCATCACCCAGCATGCTCCCTCCCCCTCCTCCTCGACCCAGACAGCTAAAACAGTAGCGATCAAAGACAACATCGCCACGAAAGACTTCCCCACCACCGTCGCCTCGAATATCTTGGCGGGCTTCACCTCCCCCTTCGACGCCACCGTCGTCCGCCTCTTGCGCGAAAATGACTACACCATCTCCACCAAAACAAATCTAGATGAATTCGGCATGGGATCCCATACCCAGTCCTCCTCTCACGGACCTACACTTAGCCCTTACTCTCGAAACGGCATCCCGCTATCCCCAGGCGGCAGTAGTGGCGGTAGCGCCGTCGAAGTCCTTACCGGACGGAGTTGGACGGCGCTGGGGACGGACACGGGGGGCTCGGTGAGGTTGCCCGCGGCTTATTTGGGGGTGGTGGGGTTTAAACCTAGTTTTGGGGTTGTGTCGAGGTGGGGAGTGCTGGCTTATGGGCATTCTCTCGATACGGTTGGGATTTTGGGGAGGAGGCTGGGGGATGTGAGCGGGGTGTTTGGGGTTGTGCGTGGATGGGACGGCAGGGATCCGAGTTCGTTGACGATGAGAGTGAGGGAGCGGATTGAGGAGGCACGAGAGGTTAGGAGGAGGAGGAGGAGGAGGAGGAAGAAGGGGGGTGTGCTGCGGATTGGTGTTCCGCTCGAATACAATATCGTGGAACTCTCGCCCTTGGTCCGCTCAACCTACATCCGCACCCTAGAGCGCTTGCAATCCGTCGGCCACACTCTCCACCCCATCTCCCTGCCCTCTACCAAACAAGCACTCTCAGCCTACTATGTCCTCGCGCCCGCCGAAGCCTCCTCAAACCTAGCGAAATACGACGGTGTACGCTACGGTACTCGACCAACTGATCCCGACTCCTCGCCTAGGGATAACCTCCCACTTTACGCACAGACTCGAGGTCAAGGTTTTGGAGAAGAAGTCAAGCGCCGGATCTTACTGGGGGCTTATACGTTGAGCTCGGAGGCTAGGGATAATTATTTCATCCAAGCGCAGAAAGGTCGGAGACTGGTTCAGCGGGACTTTGATCGGGTTTTTGCTTTGGCTAATCCTTTGCTCGATCCTCCTCACTCTGTCCCTGACTCCGACTCTACTGGCGGCGAGCAAGACGAAGGTGTGGATGTCATCATCACCCCCACCGCCCCTACCCTCCCCCCCACGATCGAGGAGGTAAAGCGACAGAGTCCGGTGGAGAGCTATATGAATGACGTCTTCACCGTACCCGCTAGTCTGGCTGGTTTACCCGCTATTAGCATGCCTGTGGGATTGTCTGAGGAGGAGGCTAAGGGATTGGAGCAGACGGATGTGGGGAGTGTGGGCGTGCAGGTTATGGGGCAGTTTGGGGATGATGAGGGAGTGCTTGATGTGGCGAGCATGATTGAGGAGGGGCAGTGGAAGTCATAGAATCGAAGAGAAGAAGTCTTGATCCTTACTTAAGGATAGATTCTGCTGTACCAACACAGCTGATCTGCCTCCCATTCGATCGCTTCCAAGAAACGTGACCAAGCTTGAAAATCCCTTTGCCGTTCCCATTCGCAGTATCTCGATCCTTGATGTCAATCTCGCCAAAACACCTTACATCGCTCACAGAAGAACGCTCATAATCATGAACTCATTGCCAACTGATCCCTCATAACGCCTAAAATACTTTCCACGCAACCAGTTAGCCCCTCCCACCAATCCCAGCGCTCTGAGCACTCTCCCCCACCCTCACCTCCTCATCCACAGCCGGTCCCCGCCGACTACTAGCAGTCGTACTCTGACTCTCGCTCCTCTCCCTCGGTCCCGCCACACCACCTACACCACCTGCCCATGCAGCCACAGCAGCTGGACTAGCATGGATAGCTGTATTCCCACCCGTACCGGCGGCACTAGGTACTCTACTCGAGAGTTCGGAACGCGTGACATCACTCTGACTGCTATCGCGTCTTCGCGTCCGTAAGGCGCGTTCTAGTGCTCGGACGCGTTGGCGTAGCATATCGTTTTCCGCTTTCACGATCTCCATTTCCGTGCGGTAGGCGGCTGTGTCGGCGTAGTGTTGCATGGCTGAATTCACACTTGCGCTTGGTGATTGTGGTGCTGGTGAGGGGTTGGTTTGCGGGACTGGTGTGGCGGCGATGGCTTGAGTGGATGATGATGGGTTTACGGTTGAGACGTGCGATGTTTCCCGCGACAGGGAGGGCCGGTGTGGGAGCGTGTAAAGGGTTGCGGATGGTGGGCCGCCGTGGTGGCGTGTAATGTCTAGGGATTGACGGGCGGGTGTCGATGCGCCGGAGGCGGAGACGGAGGGCTGGCGGCTTAAGGTGGAGCCTCCTGCTGCTGCTGCTGCTCGGTCGGCGGAAGCTTGGGATTGGCCTGCGATGGGCACGCTTGCTGTGCTGCCTGCTTGGGCGATGCCGCTGCCTGGTGCTGAGACGCTTGTCGATGGGGTGGGTATGCTTCTTCCGCTGACGGAAGAGGAGGAGCGGTGTCTTCTAGAGGGTGTCGGGTGAGTTGGGCCAGTCATCTGGTGGTTGGGGTTTGGATCTGAGATGTCGATGGGAAGGAGCGAGGCGGTGGTGGAGGTTGAGGAGTGAGAGGCATTGCTAGCCACGGAAGCGGATTGTGCTCGTAGGGCTGTGAGCTCGCGTGTGAGGCGGTTGACCTGTGCACTGTCAGCATCTGTAATCGTGTGCTCTTGTAATCGCAGTAGATATCACCCACCACTGCTTCCTGCTCTTTCTCACACTCCAGATATAACTCTGCCGCCGTGAGTGGCCGTGGATGTCGGAGCGGTACATCCACCCCATCACTGCTCATGGGATTACGTAGTGGTGGTTGTGTCTGGGGAGCAAGATTCGAGGTCGTGCCCGGAGCGGGAGCTGGTGGAGGGCCCATAACTCGGGATGTTCTACGTGAGGGTGTGGCCGACGATGTTTGTCCGTTCGGGATTTGAATCGGACGATCTAGATCAGGTGATCGAGGCGACAGTGGCATAGTGTTGAGATCAGGAGCCATATCTCTGCATGAAGAGTCGTGTGAGGAGGAAGCTTGCAGGAATGTGTTTCACCACGCTTCCGCAGATCTTATTAGCACATCTTATGGCACGTGACAGACTCGAATCGTTGGAGTGGGATAATCGAAACTCACGTTCGGTGGAAGGATATTAGTCTTTGTAGTGGTTGCCGCAAGTAGGATACGGCGCTAGCGGTGAGAGTTTGGGAGACGGAAGCGTGCCTGCATGCCCCACTCAGAATATATGTTTAGCCCCGCTAACAGGCAGGGAAGTCGTTGTCTAGGATCCTACATGTGCACGAGCACGAGCTGATGTTCGCTCGTGAGGGACCTTGTGCTCGAGAGTATGTACATCCTCTCCTGCTGCTATATACAAGGTCTGTCTACCACAGTCAAGCCTTCAACCTGACACTCTGCAAGTCCTCCTGCGCATCCTTGATAAGGAAGCTATAAAACATCAGCACTGCACCATCAAGGACTCAAGCTGAAGTCAGTACTCACTTGTACCACCAGATCGTCGGCCCAACCGTCCCAAGATGCCAGAGAGCATGCGCATCCACCATTCCCCACCAAGGCGGGAAATCAAAGAGCTCCAGACTCATGGCCAAGATCAACCAAGCCACGATCAGACCCGGCCAGGCAGCCCATAGCCTGCCCACTTTCCTGAATCGCTGCACGGAGAACCATGTCCAGAGGATATTCTGCACGATCCCGACGACGACATTGGCTGCCATGTTGTACGTGTAGTCGAAGCGCACGAAGGTTAGGTAGCCGATGTGTGCTAGGTAAAGTGACACACACACTATCGTCCACAGGCGTAAGACAGTCCCAGTCTTGCCATTGATGGCGTCCGGCTTGTCTAGACGAAAGATCCTGATGGGCGAGTAGTACATCCCATACATAACACTCGCGCCAGCTGCGAAATAATCCAGCTTCTCCGTGATATTGAAGTCCCTGGTGTGGAATATCATACTAAAGGTCCAGCTCGCCAGACCGAAATACCCAAAGAGTAGATAGTATCGCCGTAGTCTATAGCTGGCCGGTATGTATTCTTTCACCTTCGCAATACCGTATTCGTGCGCCAGGAGATTGAATAATGAGAAGAGGACACTGCAGGGTTCTTGCATGCCGAGGAAGCTGTAGAAGGGCCATTTGCCGTGGTATTGGAGGATGGGTTCGAGGTAGGGTGGGTCACGGGATAGTCGCTCTTCCGTTACGATGTGTTGGCATGTGTAGTCGCATTCGGATGGGCAGTCCCAGAGGAGGAGTTGGTGTTGCAATGCTGTTCAATCATAATCTCAGCACGTGCTTGTGTTCGTTGTCTCGCAAGTCGCCATACATACATATACTCAACCCATCCCGTCCACAACTAGCCTTCGTACAATCCTACAATCCACAAGTCAACCAACACCATCCTCTCTAATATCCCACAGCTTTTTGACCTTGATTTTGATTCGCATACATACAGCAACACAACTCCGAAACTCCGGCAACCGATCACCCAAGCTCGCCGTCGCCTGGCCTCCCCACCATAGCGCAAACCAGATGAGTGGCAGTAGGCAAGACTTGCCCTGCGAAGTCTGCCACAACATCACGCATGTCTGGGTCGAGTAGGGCCAGATTATCGGGTCGTTGCTGTTGCGCTGTTGTTGTTGTAGTTGGTGGATGTGGAGTGCGGTGACCCTGCCGAGATCCGAGCCGCTCGGTGGAGGTTTGATGGAGGGGATGGTTGGCATTACATTTTTATTAATTTATGGTTCAGAATAATGTGAAGGTGATAAGACCACGCTATTGTCTATGAACGTGAAGAGCGCATGACAGCTGGTCGCGTGCCTACCAATGCGGCCTGTCCTTGTCACCGAAGGATCTCACTCAATCAAGGCGATCCTGCGTGCTCCATCTGCCCTCACTGATTGGTGTGCCTGAGCAACTTCGCTTGAGCACCCCATCAAAAAAGGCTAAGTGTCTCATACCGCATCTCTTGGCTCTTCCTTATCACGTGTGAGACCTCATACAGATGCAACGTCGGTCTACGGCGCGGACGACGCCGCGGAAGAAGTATACTGTTGATGCTTTTGAAGGCGTGCCTGAGCTAGCTGATGTTGTTGGTGATGAGGACGAAGATGCTGCTGTGGCTGATGAGCCGGGTGATGTCGAGGAAGTGGACGAAGATGCTTTAGAACTGGATGAAGCTAGCGACAGTGATGAACTGAACCAGGAGAACGAGGACGACGAGGACGACGAGGTTAGCGAAACTGATGAAGTCGATGATGAAGTCAACGAAGGCGCGCCACTTGAGCCGGACGAATTGAGGACTGAGACGAGAGCCCATCGTATACGACAGGACAGAGATACTTCCCACGTCACCGCTGCAAAACGTCTCTGGGCTCGGGATCTAACACTACCGAGTCGGCAGAAGGACTCTGAAGGCTATGGCGGATTCCACCACAATTTTGCTTCGGGTGATGAAGCCCGAGAGCAACGGGCTCTGGATGGCTGGAAGTGGTATGTCGATTCTGGTGGCAAAGAAGCTTTCGCTGCTCATCAAAAATTGGAGATCGTCACCGCCGAGGAAGCTGTTCAGTATCTGGGTGCTCCACAGGCGTGTGGCTTCGTCATGGGACCGATAGATGAACAGAAGTTGTTCCATCTGGAGCCACGGCAGAGTATAGGCCTTGGTACCATCTGGCGAGATGCGAGTCCGCAGGGTAGTGGTATGGACAGCGAGGTCCCACCCGGAACGAGGTCTGGGTTCATTGTCAACCTTGGCGCTCGTGTACGGAGCCTTGAGTGGGTGCCAAGTCAGATAACTGAATATCAGTACCTGAGCATTATTGTAGGGGAAGATGCAAATGACGGTCTAAATGCGTATTCACAGGGAGCACCAGGCGATAAGGACCTGAGGTGTGCTGTCCAGATATGGGGGCTCATGAACGACACGAACGGCCGAATTGACAATGCCATGCAGCCAAGCTTAGTACTTGTGTTGTGTCTTCCATTCGCCAGTATCCATACGATCAGATGGTGTCCGATACCATGTCCAGCTGCTACTGAGACTCTAGGTCTTCTGGCTATTGTCCCCGGTGACAGCAAGCTGCGTATCGTAGATGTAACATCGATAGAGAGTGGCGATACGGTGGAGTATCGACTTCTACGAGACACGAGCTTTCAAATGTCAGTGAAAGACAGCCTATGCACTTGTGTGTCTTGGATGAGTCCAACCTGTATCGCAGTCGGCTACTCGGATGGAAACGTACGGATATGGGATCTGGACAGGGTGACTTTGACCTCACCTGGTGGCAGTCAACCGATCGTGACGATCCGGGCGCACAACAGCTATGTAGCTTCGATACTGGCCACATCACTGCTTTCGCCAGCAGTCCTTGTCACAGCTGGCATAGACGGCAGGATCAAACATATCAGTCTCGAGGGCGAGAAGCCCAAGACAACGTCCGTGAAAGTGCAGAAAAATAATTTGACCATGCCATCTCTGATATACCACGAATTCCTGGATCGGATGTTGTCTTTCGGCGATGACAATATCGTTCAGTCATATACTGTTACAGCTTTCAGTCAATCGTCAAAAGCGATCGCAAATGTAGGAGGGCTCATCACGACCATAGCAACCAGTCCCTGCCACCCATACATCCTAATCGGAACCGCCAACGGCGAAGTCCTCACCACGAACCCCTTACAAGACGGTCTCCGATCGCGCCAAGGGCCATGGCAGCAGATGTGGTTCCAGCACGAGTGGCGCAGGCCGAAGGGAGATGAGGTAAGCGCAGGGTTGAGCAGGATATTGGAGGGCTTTAAATCTGAGCACGTGCCTGTTAGTCGGTCGACTGGGTTTGTGCTGGCGGAGGAGAAGACGGCGATAACGGCCATTGCGTGGAATCCGGATATACGATGTGGTGGGTGGGCGGCTGTGGGTATGGGTGGTGGATTGGTAAGGATTGAAGATATTGCGCAGTAAATCGTGAAATCGTATCACATTCGATCCAAATATACTTGTGTACCATGCCTTGCCATCACCCACTACTCAGGTATTTCATAAGCCACACTCCGCCAGAAATCACATCGCGCTTGCAATTGCGTGGTAGGCACGTTCGCGAACCCATCAGCCTCGATTACGAATTCCTCCTCCGTTAGTCTGCTCTCTGGTACGCCTGATTCTGAGGCATTGGTGAGCCTGTGAGTGTTAGGATCCCCGGTCTGGAAGAAGGAGGCGAAGGCGCCGGCGTAGCCTTTGTAGATTAGAGGGTCTGTTGTTTGGATTGCGTTCACTCGATTCCACTGCGAATCATTAGCATGTTAAGAAGCAAGAGCACATGTTGGAGGAAGCTCATCCAACGCACCCATTCTGTATCACTGCCATGCTTTGCCGGATCAATAGTATACTCGCCCACATACGAACGCTTGTGGCTTGCCCTCGCGATCCATAAAGCGGGACACGCCAGCACAGTATCGCGGAAGATCAGTCCGGCTCGTACATACGAGGTATTGTATGATATCTCCTCTGCTGTTCCAATAGCGGGGTACATCTGTTGTACTCGTTTGAGGTCCTCTTCACACAGATCTGGTAGGTAGCCGCGGAGCCAGGAGTCGAAGATTTCGGTAGTACCGTTTTGTAGTGCTGGTAGGATGAAGTTTTCGCCTTCGTGCAGATTGTACATGCCCCAGCCGTAATCGCTGTTTACCAGTCCTTTTGCGGTAGCTTGAGAGAGTGGTGTCCGTAGGAAGGATCTGTCGAGCACTGGGGCCCACGTGTAAGAAGAAGTATTATAAGTATGGCTGGCACTGATGGCGAGCGCTGCGGTGCGTAGAGTCTGGACATCGACGGTCTTGAGGCAAGCCAGCGATTGTGGGCCCGTGCAGTTTGTCATCTTTGCAAGCGTGTCATATATCGACTGGGCTTGTGGTGCGTCGTACTCGTATGTCTTGGGCCAGAACGGGCTGGATGCCAAAGCTTTGGTGAACAGTTTTGGTTTTGTGTTTCCACCGTTCGCGATGACTTGGGCAACGACTGAGCCAGCGCCGGCAGATTGTCCCTACTAATATTAGCAATGCCACGACCCTGATTTGTATCATACGAGCATACCCATATGCTGACGTGTTTGGGATCACCACCAAACGCTTCGATATATCTATGGGTCCATTGTAACGAGGCCTGCTGGTCCAGAAGCCCAGGGTTGAGATCACTGTGAGCATCTTGGCCGATCTCCTTGCCAGGCAGGAATCCGAAAGCGTTCACACGATAATTCGGATAGACAAAAATGAAGTCATTCTCGTTGCTAGCATTCAGTACCGGATAGCCCGCAGGCGGCAGATCGAAACTACCTCCACCTTCAATGAAGCCGCCACCAAAGAAGACGACTACAACGGGTCTGAGAGGTTGACCTTGAGTCCATGGCCGGCCGTAAAGTCCTAGGTACAGACAGTCTTCTGTCCCATTCACGGTCCGTTGCGGACAGAAGTCAAAGGGTTGTGTGCTGTTGTACGTGCCATTCGTGAGGGTTGCAGGTGGCTGCGGTGCTCGGAAGCGGTTCTGTCCTACCGGTGGAGCGGCAAATGGTATCCTCTGCCAGTAGGAGATGTTGTACTTTGACGAGTACGAACCAGCAAAAGTGCCATAGTCGAGAGCAGCGGTTAGTGTGGGCTGCGAAAACACCAGTTCTGCTAGGCCGAGTAGGCTCGACAGGAAAATGACGGGCTTCATGGTAGAAAAGAATGGTGTGATGAGCTTTCTACTGTATCCTACATGTGGTCTTGAGGGCATATATACACTACCTACCCCCACCGATCGCGGCCATTGTAGCGTATGGACGGATAAATATGATATAGTCTTTCTACCTCCAGCAGAGGAGGAGTACGAGCGCTGATCCGGATGCGGACGATGATCATCGTGGTTGTCATCCGGGGCAAGAGTGGCCGAGGAGGTTCAACTGTTGCTGGCTGTTCAAGCGTCTCACTCTGTCAAGGCGGATGTCCATTGCCACCGCAGTACAACCTCCGTGCCCGTCGTGGACGAGACGAACAACATATCCGCTAGGATGCGATAGCACGAGTGGGAGGATAGAACGGTGGCGGGAAGGCTGAATGTGGAAGTGCTCTCGCTAGTGCCTCAGTTTTGGATGACTAAGCTCAAATTGTCCGCCCTGCAGCTGATCGCGAAGCTTGTCGCGTCGCAACATTGAACTTTGGCAATCCGCGATTCAAGCAATTTATATCAGGCACTTCAACGACTCGCAAACATGCCGCCCTTTCGCGAAGATCAGCTGTTCGTGAGTCTGCTGTACTGATATACCATGCAACAGACACTTCCTGACCTCCTCCCAGATCATCGCCCCCGGATCCGAGACTACATTATGTCAATTAGGCCTACCCGAATCTTTCGCACCTGCTCGCCATCGCCTGCCCTCTCGCATGTTCACTGCCCAACAAGACGGAGAATATGAGCCGATCAAGATCCGGCGGAAGGAGCGACCAGCACAAGCGCCTACTGCACCCGTCAACGGACTTGCGACAAACGGCAATCTAGAGACCGACGTCGAGGCAGCATGGGAGGAAGATCACGTGTCTGAGGAGGGAGCGATATGGCCGATTCGGAATGGACGGATAGTCGACTGGCAGTGCTTCTGCGCGCTCATGACTCACGTCTATAACACTGTCAACCCGCCGTTCCACACCCCAATCATCCTCATAGCAGAACCTGTCTGGACGACCAAGGAGCACGAGCGGATAACGCAGTTCTTCTTTGAGAAGTTCAAGGTGCCAGCTTTTACTATGGTGGACTCTGCGATGGCTGCTTCCTACGCATATGGTGTGACCACGGCAACAGTGGTGGACATTGGGCATGGCAAAGCAGATGTCACATGCATAACGGACTCCTTGCTTCACGATATCGGTCGATCTGTCGCTGTCCCTGACTGTGCGGGAGAGGCGATGACGGAGCGATTAGTGAAGCTTTTGGGCAGCCGAGACGGTTTCACCAGGAATGTGTGCGAGCAGTTGAAGAAGAGCAGTATCTGTGAAGTGTTACCTCCGGACGTCGACTTGCCGACAGATGAGTCCATACCGTCCACGGCGTCAGCCAACCCTGCTGCAGCGGCATCTACTGGAGCGGATGATGTTGGTCCTGGTCAGCTGAAGCTCTCTGTACCGGGTGAATTGCCAAGAGGACCTGGGCCAAATACACAGGTCGGCGAGGAGAAGTCCCTAGAAGAGAATGATGGTGTACTCGATATCGCCAGCATCGTCACCGGAGGCAACATGACTGAGTATCTAGCAAAGAAAGAACGAGAGAAGCAGGAACGTTTAGCTGCCAGACAGCAGAAGAAGGGCGACGCTGGTCAACAAGCTGCAAACAAACCTGCACGGTTACAAAACAACAAGCGACCCCGAAACACATTTGTTTACGAAGATTACGCTTTACACGATGCAATGAAGAAGGCGGGCATGAGTGCGCAGAGCATGGTCGACATGCAATCGGCCATGGACGAGGGTCCGAATAAGCGACAGAAGACACCCGAACCACAATCCGCTATCTCTGACAAACCAGCAGACAGTGGACTACCCGACAGCACAAGCCCCACAACAGCTAGTGGCTTCAGACGAGAAATCGAGGTCGGACTTGAGAGATTTCAGGCCGCATCGGGTGGCATTACCGACCGCCTGGCAGATGCAATCTACCGAACCATCCAATCCTGCAGCGACTCTAACCGACGGAGTGAGCTATGGGACTGCATGATCTTCGTCGGCAATGGCGGGAAGGTGCGAGGGTTCAAGGAAGCTCTACTCGAGACTTTGCAGAAGAAATACATCATTTCACCTTCATCCGCCACGATTTTCACTTCAGAACTCCCTTCGAATCTTTCCACGCCCATGGCGACGGGGGCTAATACGCCTCTGCCACAGCTCCCGGGTCAACATCACGGCCAAGGCGTAAATCCCTTGTTACTAGCGGCCACGACAGCGCAGAACCCACAGCTCCATCCTTTATCTTCCTCTGGTCTCGGTCAACTCAATCAATCAGCCGTGCATTTTAGTCACGCGCAGACGCCAACGAGTATCAAGCTCACCAAGATCCCGGAGTACTTTCCCGAGTGGAAGGAAGTGGGGTATGATGAGGCGACTTTCCTAGGTGCGCAGGTTGCCGCCAGGGTGCTGTTTATTGCTGATTCGGCGGCGGCGGCGAGTGGTGGGGGAAGTAAGGGGTATATGAGTCGGACGGATTATAATGAGAGTGGGCCTATGGGGATCCATGAGGTTTATCTTTGAGGCCTGCTTGAGGTCTGATGGGTGCTATTCTATAATCAGTGACATCTGGTCTCTGAAGCGCCTCGTGAGTGTTAGTGGTCGACGATATAGAGGCACAGGCTCTTGTGACCTATGTCATCTCTCCCGTTATGTCCTTTTCAGGATGCAGATAGCGGTGTTCTGGCATGAAGTCTTCATCCAGGACGGTCTACACATTTTCGATCGTCAGTAGATCTGTTCAAAAGTAACAACGAAGAAGGCGATTGACCATAATCGATATCGGATCGTTCGGTTTCGTGCATAGTTCGCGACAAGCTTTGTTGACTAAGACGTGTCGTCTGATCGATCGTTGTCCATTGCGCGTTGCAACAAGATCATTTCGACATCAGAAGGTCGTGCAACTGCATTGGCAGTTCGTGGGGTTGTATGTGCCGCTACGATGCCCCCAAAGAAACACGCTCGCAGCACGAGCAGCGCCAACGTCGAATCGACGGCTAAACGACCACAAAAAGAGGCCGACGTAGCAAGCGGACCAAGTCAGGAAAAAGATACCAATGACAGCGTCCTAGTGAACAGAAGCAGTGTCAAATATCACATCAAAGTGCTAATGCTTGATAGGAACCTGAGTACATTTGCATTCATGCAACTTTGTCCGATGATCGGGAGGATGAGGACAGCGACGAAGTGGAAGTCAGAGGAGAAGATGAGGATGACGAAGGTCCGACTAGAACGATCAAGATGAGCGTCAAAGACCAGAGTGTCTTCCGCAAGTTGGCCAGTAACCATCCTGAGCACAAGTGGATCATGATGTGGCAAACTTACATGGCTCTCACTGATGCCGTGGATCATTCTGGACACTCTGATCCAGATCTCTTTGGCATGCATGTTTACAACGACTTCCACTGGGTAAGTGTCGTCGACGTGGGTATTGTCCTGTGGCGATGGTCTTGCTGATGGCTTGTCGATAGTATGGTCTTGCCGAGCTTCTGGAGAACATGGTATGCGACCCTTGCGATCTATGTATAAAGTGTCACTGACATGGCATAACTCGCGGCGTACAACAAAGCCAAGACCGCATACCAGAAGTCAACAGTGGAGACCGCGCTGCTTGACTTGTGGGCTTCTATCGCTGCGTTGGGACACTGGGTCAATATGAACACGGAATTTATGATGATGGACGACGGCGATCGAGCCTTTAATCTTATCGGGCTTATTGGCTGCGCATTCATCGATACCCTGATCACTGTCGACAAAGCTGGACAGCTTTCGGCGGACTCGATCGTTAAGGATCTTGGCCTGGTCATGTCATTGTATTTGAATTTCGGTCGAGGTCAGGAGGACTATGATATCGAGGAGGGAGATCTCCAGTGGCGGAGTGCGATCGTCGCTTTTGCCAAGAAGGCCGGCATAGATCTCACTGTCGTTGGGTGTAGTGCTACGGCCGAGAATGTGAGGAACGAGGAGGAAGAGGCAGAAGAAGATATTACGGCGGACTTGGTGAAGGGTTTTCGAGAAGCAGTCTGATTGGACAAAGACGGTAAGCGCCATCCGCGGATCATACTGAACCATGGCTTACACGAACATGTCATGAAAGGGTACAAATCACTTCACTGCGCTGGTAGTAAGTTGGGAGGTGAATGTTTTGCATCCTCTGAGCCCAGTTCCGTCGCTGAAAGTACGCGGGACTATGTGAAGATAGCCACATGAATGTCAAGCAACCCAAAAATCAACAGATCAAGCGTCAACGTGCGCGCCGGCCAGCGTGGAGAGTGAGCGTCCAGAAGCCTTCCATCATCGCCCAGAAGCATGACGAGAATCGCCATGATCCATCGGATGCGCCAACGTCTTTGAGCGTCGTGGTCAGCCGGGGTCTTTTGCGATATCGGCCGCTCACTTCTGATGCAGATCGATTGTCGAGTCGGTTCCTCCGATGTCTCGACGACCTACAGATTCACCACTTGACCTTCCCACAGACTGTCAGATTCATTGGTGCGTTTTCATGCTACGACGCTGCGGTTGTAGCATTGACTCGGCTAGGAGACAATCGATCGCCATGGCCAGAATCCTCTGTCAACTCCAAGCTCGTGCTCAGGCCTTACACGAACTACGTGATACATCTTGCCGAATCACTACGGTCTCTATCTGGGCAATCCAAGGACGGAGCGCTGTTCACTACTGCCACACTGGGCTTGATTGATGCCTTCACACTGGATCCAACGCAGGAAGACGCTTGGACGATGTTCAAGCACCTTGCAGCGTCAAGGGCGATCCTCTTGTCCTATGACGAGCAGACAGATATTGGCAGGGCTATGATATTGGCAGGGCTATGATCTATACACTCCACGATATCATCAGCTTCATTCATCCTTGCTTTTCTGGGGTTGCGTCACCTTTTGAGGCCACGCATTGGGAAAATGCCCAACCTCTCTACCTGGGTCCCTTTTGCACTCCGCAGTTCATGGAACTAATACAAATCAGCCATCGGCTATTCGTCCACTTGCCAGGACTTGTGAGTCTATTTCGCGCTTTCAGGGAGCATCCGGGATTGGCCTCGAACAGAGAGGGAGCTTTTGCGAGGGCGAACGAGCTTGAAGGCATCCAACACCAAGTAGCTGAAAACTGGCTGTTGCACCATGTCACGATCTCCAAGACTACCGACAGCCGGCTTTGCACCATGCTACCAGTCTCGTTTGGTTTTAGATCGATGGAGGAGCTCCGGGTTGGCGTGTACTACTGGCAAAATCGCTTGATCTTTCTAAGAATCAGGATCCTTCTCGACGAGCGGGACCCGAAAAAGACATCCGAGACCTCCTACTACAAGAGATGCGGCTCGCAAAGAACATCCTCATGTCTTGGCAGCAAAGTCAAGAGTTTGGTCCCATCGGGACAATGCCTTTGACGATGGGGCTCCTTATTGCCTGGGCAGCATTCAAGACCCGGCCGACATTCAATAGCTTTCCACCCAATGTTCTTGGATGGTGGATCAAGCATGCCTTGCAGCGTACTCTGACAGGCTGGATCGTAGGGCCTACCATGACGGATCTGAACGCTGCAGCCGAGGTGCTCGTTGGTGGGCCTTTGATTGGCTATATGGCCAGGATGTTCAGCTCGTTGTGATAAGGCAGGGTGCATCGAGCAGTAGTTTTTCACCGGGCAGAGCATCGACAAGTACAACTTGGCAAGATGACATTGTACACTTGAGAAGGACTAATCGTGTTGTACTCCATACAGACAAAGGCAAGGCTCCTCTGGATGTCATGGGCGCTCTAGGATCCGGTTCAATGCGAAGGCGACTTACTAACCTGGGACAGAGCATGTAGGCAAACCGAGTCGCACTCCTTCCCACTTACTACTGGGTTGAGCCTGTACGGTATCTGGACGTATCCTCAGATTTGCCAAGCGAGCACGTCCATGCTTGTGGTGCCTCCATAGGGAGTACAGCCGATAAGTATCAAACTATACGTCCTCATTACCTCTTCAACCACCGCAGTCAATTAAACATAATCATGCTACTCCCACTGTACTTCTGTCGCCTCGCGAGGCCACCGCAACACATCTCCCATCTCACCCGTATCAGCAACATCAAGAATTGCCTTGATACCTGCTCGACCCATATCATCAATGACCCACAATTCCTCCTTAAGCATCATCATCATGAGCCAATGGGCATGTATCGCTAAAGCGGCGTGATGCTGCTTCTCCAGCATGTTGAAGAGGCCGGGCGGAGTATCTGCGATGCACGCACAGAGAACACGGACCGTGTCGCTCTTGTCTGTGGACCGTACCTGCTCAGTCGCCGAGTGTAGTGACTGCAACGCGCCGAGGCAGATATTGCGTGCCTCGACATTCTTACCGGTGGTTTCATGCAGGATGAATGCATGGAGCGCCGTGTGACGCTCCTTCATTGTAGTCGTGATGTATGCTAGCAGCCTGTCGTACTTTGATGCTGCAGGAGATCCTATCTCAAAGTCGAGCATACCATCGTTATTATGTTCGACGGGAGTCATTTCAAGCAGCATAGTCGGATCAACATTGTGCCCTGAAGCAATGATGGCACCAAATACGGTCTTGACGCCAGACAGCATATACGCCCAGGTCCACATCATCGGGTTGCTATACTCGAAGCCAATCCTGCGATACTCACGGTGGAAAGCCAGCCCCAGGACGAACAGCATTCGAGAACAGGCAATATTGGCATCAGACTCTGCCGAGTCTAGTCGAGCGAGCTGCTTCCTGCTTTCTTCGACAAAGCGAGTGCCGTAGAAGTTGGCTGCATCCACGTACTTGGTTGTGTCGGGCGTGCCATCGGCGAAGCGGAGAAAGATAGCTCCCATGGTAAGCATTCCATCTCGAACCGTTGAATATGTGAAGGCGAGAGTCGGTATATACACCTTCCACACCCATAAGCGCTCTGGACGACTCACAGCTTCGTCGAATGAGTAGAACACACGGCTGAGGTAGCACTGAGTAAGCTCCAATCCACTGACTTCGAGCTCGGCAGCGTCTAAAATGAGCCGCGGGCTGCTGGCCGTGCTGCTGGGTGACGATGCATTTCCACTACCGGCATCGTCCGACTTAATACCAGATCCAGGAGCAGGAGGCTCGACGATCCTTGCATTGGGACTAGTGGGATACACGCAATCGCTCAATCGTAAGGCACACGACGTGCACGCCGGCCGCTTCTCGTCGCACTACGACAGCAGACCTAATCAGCAGGCGTCCTCGTATACGGAGTGAGGTTGAGCCCCGCAACATACCTTCACCCGCCTTCGTTTACACGCAAGACATCCGAAACGGGACTTCCGATGGTGGCGCTTAGTGCGAATCAATGGAAGCTGTATTGAGTTCAACACCTCGGACTGCATGGTATATGTGGTAAACGAAACACTTGACATGTATCAAGGTACGGTGGCAAGGACTTTATCCTGTGGTGAACAGCCATAGTCGTTAGCGACGCCGTCCGGCCTCATCAGGCCTTGGTAATCGCATTGCTACAGAGCTTTGACTTAGTAATCGTGCAAGCGCGCCGTCCAGTCATAGTTGGGGAAGTGTGAAAGCAGGTCATGAACGGGAAGACATGTGGTCTGGTGGCGGTATAGTGAAGATCTTCGAAGGACTCCGCGGCTCGCACTCGTTCGTTCAGCCTTACGGATGGGGACTTTTCCAGGGCCATGATTGGCTGGAAGATAAGACAGCAGACATGGTTGCTCATACTCGTTCCACGACCGTGGGCTAGCAGCAAGACTTACAAAGACGGTACGAGACGCCTTCCAAGAGCATGGTTCATGGCGCTACAGATCCTTGTGGCCAAGGGACAGATCTACTCTGTATTATTCAGGATCCTTTCGTTCCTGGCCGTAGTCCGAAGAGCCTGGCATCTGTTTCTATTGCTGAGGCTGCTCCTGAGGCCGATGTTGAAGTTGTACGTTTCGGCCAGCTTCTAGACTTGCCATGTCATGTGCTATCGTTAGCGTGCGCACATTGACTACGCTGCGAGCTTCGACCTTATGCGCATGCCCAACAATATCGAGTCTTGCTGATGCGGCAGCGCTCGACATCCGTCTCCAGCTTTGCCACAGCGTTCGAGCCAAGGGGACAAATTGGAGTCTGTTCGTGGAGTGGTAAGTGGTTGGAGTGTACGACCTCTTGTTTCGTGAAACCTGGTCCAACGGCATGGACTGCTGAAGCTCAGGTTGGCCTTTTTCGTACCTTCCTCGGCTGCGGCACAGAGGCCACCAAGGGCACTGTAAATGCTCGACCCAGCTGTCGTAATCGGCTGCGCTATCGATCTTCTGGTGCGCCGTGTTTGTCGTTTCATTCTCATAACCCGCCAGGTTCATCTAAGTTGTGCTATGTCTTTGATCGTGGCGTGTGCAGACGACATCAGAGCCAGCCATGATTGTGCTGGGATGCCTGTCTCACGAAGTAGATCTGCCTCTCTCGGCAAGAGCACGAATGGGAGACGTTGGCAGGCCATGTGCTCATCCTCTTCATGCATGGCGTCTTGGGCTGCAGCAAATATGCTAATTCAAATAGTCCTGTGTCGCGGTGTAGCTACAGAAGTTCGTCGTGCGAGTGAACAGTCCTGATGTCTTGCTTATTTACAGTGAATGATGAAAGGATGAAGATTTGGCTTAAGCAGTGGGACTTGGATCTGTAGTCCTATACCAGATCATCAGTAGCGAAATCTTATGTCGTCAACATGATCATACGCTCGATTCTTCGCATATTCATCTCATTGCCCACCCGCTCTGGTATTATGGGGTAGGGAAAGGAAGAAGTGCATACAGAAAGTGATTGCAAGATTCATGGCTCGTAGGGCTGAACGGCCATTAGTCAGCATAATTGGACTTCTACTTCACCAACCCAAAACTCGAAAGGTATCTTGCGACAATAGCGTGAAGTTCGTCGGTTAAAATGCACGTCTACGCCCTTTGCAGCTTGCTGCTAACGTTCCTATGCTCGCTGGCTGCCAGCCTTGAGACAGACCGCACTCTCGACATCCACGCCTGGCCACTATCGGCGCCAAAATCCACCTCCTACGCCCAACTCACATACAATTCCACCCACGCCAATATCAAGACACACAGCAACCCGGCAATTCCGCCAAATGATGATATTGTCAGGCTAGGCTTTCATAACTCGGCTGGCACCTGGTCAGGCATCGCGACAGCAGCTTTGAACTTCAGGGCGGAGAAGGACAAGAAGCTTCAATTACACGTGAACGGCGAAGGGATGGCCTATCATATCGGGTTCAAGGTCTCGGAGCTAGGTACGAGTAGTACGACGTCGAATAAAAAGGATGATCTGAGCGTCGAGGTGGTGAGAGCACAGCCGGGTCCGATCCCGCATCTGAATCGGCCGGTCGTAGTGAATGCTGATGGGTCGGCGGCTGAGGAGGAGAAGGTGGAGAAGACGTTCTTGCAAAAATATTGGTGGGCCATTGCCGGGTTTGTGAGTATTGCATTGACGAAGTGCGTTCGTGACATGATACTGACATTGATGTCTAGGTGCTGCTGCAGGTTGTGCTCAGTGGTGGCAAGGGTGAATAGGGCAGCATTATCGGTGGTAGATAAGTCATCAGAGAAGATGTCAGGCAAATGTATTGCTCGTAGCACAAAGCAATCTATATCTGTACGAAATCCTGCTCAAAGTGCGAAGACGCCATCATGCGTCACCCAAGTATTCCGTTCCCACACGCCATGTGCTCACATGCCAAACTTTTCGTCGTGGCGTAACCTCATTCTTATTCTCATACTTCGTCAAGATCATGCAACAAAATGATTCATATGCCCAGGAACCCGCATCCGGCACTTCACGCAATCAGCCCGATAGCCCATGCTGAAGCCTCGTCTCCCACCCACGCAACCCATCTCCCTATCTAACTCCCCGCCACTACCAGCTAGCCCTCGCACAGGCGATACAGACCCATGACTCTGCGCTCCGCTCCGCTGCCTTTGCTTCCGAATGGGTACATGCGAGTCGTCCATTACGGCTGAGGTGGAGTCTTCCATCATCATATGCTGGCTTCCCAATCCTGGTCCTGGACTGACTGAGTCAGAGCGAGCAGGGTTGATGGTGATACTGGGTAGGTGTGCGGCGGGCTCGATATCCATGTCGCTTACACTAAGCATCGACAGTTGCGAACCGGTAACATCTGCTGCCGAGGGTGGTGTACGGGCTTCGTCTTCGTCTATAGGAGACGGTACTTCTAGATGATCTGAGACTGTGGCCACGGAAGTGGTGATAGTCGTGTTTTCCTGCGGATGTCGTGATCGAATATGATTCGTTGCAGTCTTAGCTCCAGTCCGCACCTGCAGTGCTCGTGAAGCCGGCCGTGCTGCGCTTAGTCCAAACGGCGTGGCGACTCGATCTCTACCACCTTGTACACGCTCACGCCACGGGCTACTGCTTGGTGGAGCCCGAGGTCTTGGGGAGAACGAAGACGACGAGGCAGCGGGCGAGAACAGTGCACTCTCCATCTCGACATCCATGTCATCGCCCGAAGAATGCGATTCAGCATAATCCTGCGGACTGCCCGGCTCCGAGACCATAGAAGACTGATCATCGCTGTCGTATTTGGGCCGGTGGGTAATATTCGTAGGCGTGCTCAAGACAGAATCGTAGTGCCCGGCTTCCTCGGAAGGGTTGATGGTCGGTCGGATTTTCTTGCTGTACAGACCGTCGAAAGCAGGACCGGTGCCATCATCATCTCTGTCACGGTGGCGCTTCATACCAGCGTATGCAGCGAAGCCTTCTGGGACCATGTTGGCCATTGGCGATCAGGTTCCGGGATGTTGATGGAGGTGTACGAGAACAGAGCTGTTCAGTCCAGCACACGAGCATTTCTTAGCTCGATCGTGATAGCTGCATGTCCCGGTGAAAAAGGGAATGTGCCTTCACGACATACTGCAGGCTACAGGGTGCGGTGTCTTGGATCGACTATTGTCGGTGCCGCTTCGTGATCAACAAGCAAGCAGGATCGATCTGGGCTTTCTGAAACATTGCCCCGCAGTTTTGGCCTGGAAACATGCCTGAAAGCTGATGGGTCCTGATTCATTTTCGCCCCTCACTTTTGCTCTCTTCGTCTTCATTGGTTCTTTCCTAGTGTATCGGACGGAGCGATTTGCTAGAAATACTGGCATCTGGTGCCTCACGTATACTTGGCTGGCAACATCCCCACACGTCGTGCACACCGTCTCACGGAGCTCGGGTGATATCTTGAGGACAAAAGGTAGACGGAATTCAGGATAGGCTGATAGCATCTTCGATAGCTGAGCCTGCACCATTGAACGAAGAGAATACTGGATGGCACGAAAGTAATACCAGGATTAGCAAGACTCTATGATATCCATCCGCGAGCCAGTGCCACCAAATCCGCGACCTTTCATTCATAATAGCTACAGCTTATCAGATGCGTCCATTGCGGACCATGCTTGTTGCTCGAGCAGGGCCTAGCAGTAGGATGAGACCAAAGCTAGCACAAGATGGTAGACGCACCGCAGCTGATTCGTCCAGGACTGCATCGAGCACGGGATGAAGCTACCCTGCATGGTTGGAGGTGGGCTCGTGGTCGTGGGCGTAAGTATTGGAGCTGCTGTCTGTACACTGATTGTGGCGGATGGCAGAACAGTGTACGCACAGCTATTGGCAGGTGTGGCTTCTATTCCCGTTTGCTGAGAAAACGTCGATCCCGAGCACACACAATACGGCGAGGTGATACCGGGATAAGGATCCTCGTAACGAGGGGTGCACGGCAGATATGAAGCCGTACTAGGAATGAATGGTGGCAGCGGTGGATCGGGAAGACCTTTCGAGCCTGTATCCGAAGTGATTGTGCTCGACGATGTGATGCTGATCGTACTCGAAAGTGTAGGTGTACTAGAGGGGGCTAGATCCGTTGAAGTTGAGCTGATGAGGGGGCTGCTTATCGACTGAGCTGTGAGCATGGGAGTAGCACTAGCGATGGCTACCGTCGAAGAGTCTGGAACACTCGTCACCAAAGTCGTTATAGGGACGATTGCGGAATCAGGTATTGTTGGAAGTCGTGAGGGACACGAGTAGTATGTCTCCACAGTGGTGGTCGTGCCAGATACATCACCTACCCATTCATATCAGCCTGATGCGAGTCAAATGGGGAGTGAGACAGATCATACAGCCTGCAGTTGTAGCGGAGCAAGTGGTACTAGTACACTCAGTGTACGAGGAGGTGGCTTGGGTGTCCGTGGTAGACACCGAGCAAACGATAACGCAGTTTGACACTGTACGTGATGAGCACAAGCTGCTGGACGAACGAGCCGACTCTGAGACCGATACTTCGGTCGATAACGTCGGGGTCGGGGATGTGTCTGGACTGTCCGACGGGCTTCCAGGATTGTCTGGTGCGTCTGGACCAGTTCCACTGCTTCCCGACCCGCCACCATTGCTTGTGCCACCAGTATGGCAATTCGGCCCAGATCATCCGCCTTCAACGCAACCAGCACCCAGACAAGATGATATTGAGCATCCAGAATGGACGCAGATACCATGCACACAGCTTAGACCCCGTGCAACCAAGACTGATGCAATTGTATCCTAGGCATGCTCCACCTTGGGCACACTGCGGTCCAAGACAGCCAGATGTCAGACATCCGAGATTGGATTGACAGATACCGTTGACACAGCCCGGGCCCATACAACCTACAACAGTGCAGTTCGTGCCGGAAGAACAAATGCCATCATTGCAGCCTGCACCTTCACATCCTAGCAAGGCACACAGTAACCCATTACACATGCCGTCAACGCAATCAGTTCCTTGGCACTGACCTTCGGTGACCAGTGGGATGGGATTTGCTGCGCTGCTTGCAGCCGTTGTGCCTGTCGACGCTGGACTTTCACTGATGCTGGTAGCCGCAACGATTGGCACCGTTGGCTGCGGTCGAGACATATTAGTACCACCTGATGTAGATGTTGTCGCTAAGACGGTAGCAGGAAGGCTGGATGAATCCGAAGCATTTCCTGAGAGCGATTTCGCGGGACTTGGTGTGGTCGTCTTCCTAAGACTGCTCGAAAAAGAGGTGTCGTTGGAGGTGAATGCGATACTGGAAGATGGTTCCAGTGGAGTGTCGAGAATATGGCGGACGTGATCTGGACTGGGAGTGAGGTGTTCTCGGTCTGTGCTTGGGTACTCGAGGCCGCTGCGATGAGGGTCGTTGTGATGGCCAGCGCCCACCGTGCGAGCATCGAAAGCTTCATGGCTAGCGGTGGCACCTTGCGATTGGTGATGGAAATCAGACAAAGACAAAGGACTTGATAAGAGATTGAGTCTAAACCAAGTCTATTTGATCTGCTGCTGCCAGCAAAACAGAGCAACATTTGGGAAGGCACGCTAGAAAGAGCTTTACGCTAGTCTGTTTCAAGAATGCTTCTCTGCTACGAGTCAGAATATATTCACGTGGCACTCGGCCTTGGTATTGGAGCATTGATTACTGGCCTCTTCTAAAACAATCCTGACACCAGGGTTGCGACATCTGCAACCACAATCACAAATAGAACACGGCGTAAGTCTTGACATTTCCTGATCTCTGAAGCTTTCACTAACCGGCGCAAGACGCTCCAAGATCTGTCCTCGTTCGCGCTTTCTCATACGACCAGTCTCACGCTGCGCGAAAGCTCGCTGAGACGTTTCTTCACACCCCTATCTCCTCTTCAATACCGACCAGACCTTTCCGTACCGCGAGCGCTGGACTCCAATGTCTTCCCAGGCACTGCTCGTGAGGCCCGAGTACGCCTGACCAATTCGCCTTGCCCACAATGTGGACAAAGCCTTGTGTTCGTCGAAGATCACGAACTTTCCTAGTACTGATTCGAGCTCAGCGCACTCACTTTCATTCTCAATATCTGTGCCGCCGAAAAGTTGCAGCGAATTCGGCAATGTGTCCACCAGCCAGTCTAGCTCCCCGGCTTTCGATTCGTCCTCTTGACCGAAGAGTGCAACGAACGGGACAACAAGACTTTGGAGCATGCTGAGTATGTTCAAATCGCCAAAGGGCGAGGCACATATCTCATTGGGTATCACTTCGAGGTGCAAGTGTTTCAGCGTCTTTCCGTGCTGGCGCAAAGCATCGCCCAGGGATGCAAAGTCGACCTCCCCTGTGCCCACACAAGCATCCCCCACTTCGACCAAAAGTGTTCTTAGCCGTGGACACGATGCAAGTATGTAGCCCAGTCTAGCACTGTCGAGCAATGCATTCTCAAGGTCAATTTTTGTGAACATGAACAGCTCCGTACTAGCAAGATTGTCTTCCTCGGTGCATCGCAGCGAATAGCCCGTGAGCGTACGCAGCGTGGTAGTCGCAAAATAGGCGCCACGTCGACTTGAGTAGTGCAGTTCTCGGTGTCCCAGTGGTAGATGTTGAGCGTCTTCAATCCTTTGAATGGTGGATCGGATGTAGAGTCGTCTTGGCATAACCTGTGGCATGCTGACGCCTCTCGAAACGTGGATACCACGAGTGGTCCCTTGACTCGGTGAGGTGCTCCAAAGTTGAGAACCCCGAGTCCCCGGTTGCAGAGACACAACAGTAAAGCTAGTCTCGCATCATCCGTACCTTGCTCTAAACCAGCCTGGAGAAGTGTCCGATAAGGTTCGGAAGCAGCAATCCACTCCGTGCTGGTGGTCGCGATGGTCGCGTCGCCTGATGCTGTGCTTCGCTCTGCGCGCGTGTCTTGCACCCCCGCGTTTAGTACCTTCAACAAGTTTCTGCCAGATGGCTGCTGTGACAGGTGTCCCAGAAGTTTCGTCAGTCGAGTCGTGCTGTACGCGATCTCGATAGTGCCGAACAATGCGCGGCGAGCAGCTCTGTGGCACGCTTTGCTTGTCAGGGAAGCATGGCGCAAGGTTGCGAGTCTGATATTATCTTCCGCGTCTGCACTCAAGCCACCTTGAATGCGAAGCTCACAGAATACAAGCTCCAGTATTTCTTCTGGAAGCTGAGGCATGCTGCTATCTCGAGCTGGTGATCAGCGATGCTAACAACCTGCTGCTGCTTTCTATGTTGTGTACCTTGGGATCGTGTATCCAGTGTGAAAGTGTGCTAGAAAGAGATTGAAATATGGCGAAAGGAGCAAAATATTGGCTTTGTCGTGCTATCAATGTGGGGCAGGCACGACATGGGACAAAGTCTTGCTAAGGTTCAGCCTGGCCCACTTTTTTCCAAGGCGGGCCTAGTAGTGGCAGAAACGCTGCCTCGAAGTCTTGTGCGCGTCAAAGACACTTAAGTGAACTCTAAGACACAATCCCAAACACACTACCCGACCTCTTTGTCCTCGAAGTTGGAGTTATCAACGCTTTTGGTACAGTGATGGCTACAAGAGCCGTCTTCGTGTCTGTGTGGGCAGTGGCTCTTCTCCTCCAAGGCGCGATTGCGCAGTCCTTCATCACTATCGGCACGACCACATACTGGTCCAGTACACAAGTCCGCACCAACCCGGTCGGCATCCCAACCTTGGTGTACAAATGTGCCAAGCTTCCCAGCATCTAACAATGTGCATAGCAAAGACGATCCACGAGCTGAAGGATCTCGGCGGAGGAGACAAAGGAGAGCTCGAGTCCGGATCTTATGCTGTTCTTCACTGGGACTCTGATAATCAGCGCAAGAGCGACCGCCGTGACAACATCTGCCCTGGGAACTGGAAGACAACCCACCTATGCCCCGAGGTAGATCAATCACTAGTGGTGCCTCATAACTTTGGCTCAAACCAAGGGTATCTTTCCCGGGCACGAGTAGTATTATATAATCCCACTGACTGCTTGTGCAAACAGACTGACTGTCAGAAACGGGTACGAGGGCCACATCCTTGACGCTTCGCCGAACGCTCCACTCAAGCGCGATTACACTATACTCAATGACCAGGATCAGCACACAGGGATGATGTGGACGTGTGATGAGTGGCCTCCAGCAATGGCGATCCAGGGCGATGTGCAAGCTGACCAGAGCAGAGCTCAAAACTACTGTGCTCCATACCAAGCGAAAGGGTGCACCACGGGCGTCAGCACCAACGGCATCGCGTCAGAGCAAAACTTCCACCCTAAGGCACACTTCATGATCCGCAATTCGGCGGTCGGTCCTAGCACTGGACCTGGCAGTGGGGATGGCGTGGTCGAGTTCCATTTCAGGACTGCGTTCATAGACAACGACCAGGGTATGGCGCCCGAACGAGTCTGCAAACATTCAGCGAGTGACTGACCAAAGCTTCTAGCATTCGCCACGCGGGTGGACTTCTACAAGCAAGGCAAAACCAAGAAGAACCCAACAACTACATCCGTACTATACGCTCAATACGACCCCTCAGCCGAGCTTGCACCACCGATACTTGTCAGCCATAGCTTCCACTCGAACGACTGCCTCGAGATCTCAACTCGGCATCTGACCGATCATGAAGTTGCGATTCATGGCAGCCGGAACACGCACGATCTTGCCAAGAAGCTTGACTTGGGCGTCGTGGTGCACGAACTTATTGAGGTACCAATGCAGAATGCCACGCAGATGGTTTCGAGGCAAGTCTCATGTGTCGACGACCCGGATACGTCAGATCCTGATGACGACGATGCGACTTCCACCGATGATTCGAGTCCGACAGTTGTTTTTGCCACGATAGCTTGCTTTGCCACTGCTGTCAAGACCATTGTGAGTGCTTCCTCGACATGACAAATGCTCAGAGCTGACTCCTCAATAGATCGGCTACAGTTAGCTTGATGTCAGAGAGCCAGAATAATACATCGATCGCTACTACAGAAACGTCTCACGCTTCGATCTTCGGCCTGGGCACTATGTATACCATAAGAGGAGTGCTTGGCGCGGTGGGCCTTATGATAGCAAGGGTCTGATGTAGCAGTATGGAAGATAAGACATAGATGAATAACGTGCCTTGTGCTGTGCTCCAATCAGGGACTCAATCCTTCGCTTCTCAGGCCACGTCTCATGTGTTCTTCAAGATCACGACTCCGATGGCGTACAGCTGGTCGATCAAGCAGCTCAAGACCAGGCACTCTTCTCAATATGTAGATCTGAGGCTCTCGCTGACCATGCATGCCAGTCACACGCCGAAGAAATGCTGCTAGACGGACTCGTATGTCCCGCACAGCCGCAGCATGGAAGATGATATCCTGATGCTAGCATCACGAAACCTGATGAGAAGTGAAGTAAAGTGAAGTGAAGTAATCTCGACTTTCTGCTCCACACGCGGCCAATCTTTGCCAAGCCCGCCTTGCCCGAGTCACGTGGCGTGAGGAGAATGTCGCATCGCTCTTTGCCTCTGTTCTTTCACTGTTACCACCAGCTGCTGTTTCTCTTTTATATTTCATTGCCAGCGCCATCTCAACAAACACAGATCTCTTGCAACCTGGCAAGTTCCAATCAACGACCGTCCGCGAATACCACCATACATTCATAACCGGCGCTTTGCGCCACACCTCCGGCTTCGGCACGCACCAGGAACACCCGGCAGTAGTACCGTAGTAGTGTCTTCGTGGTGCGAGGGAGCCCGAGGAGGACGGGGAGACGTAAGAAAGGATCGGACCATTACAGGATGGTACTTACGCAGCCAAAGACTCCTCGCCAACCTCGCGATCCAAACAAGTTTCCGACCGCACAGCTTGCCTTGCTTGGTGAGTCGCCACCTTCATCATTGGCATCGAATCAGAACGTCATGAGGTAGCGATCTAAGACATGCTAATACTTGTGGTTACGTAGCTCTTGTACGGGTCGCCGAGCCCGTTGCACTCACCTCCATCTTCCCATATGCCTGGCAGCTCGTCCTCGACTTCCATGTCGGCGATCGCGCCAATGCCTCGTTCTATGCTGGACTTCTCATCTCCGCCTTTGCTTTGGCGGAGAGCTTTACGGGAATGTACGTACTATCTGATCCAGGACATGCCTGTTCATGCCATGCTGATTTCTTCTGCAGGTACTGGGGTGGACTTTCGGATAAGCTAGGTCGTAAGCCGATTCTTATTATGGGCTGTTTCGGCACTATTGCCTCCCTTCTTATCGTCGGATTCTCTTCCAACTTCTGGATGGCTCTTCTTGGCCGCTTTGTTGGTGGCGCGCTGAACGGGAATATAGGTGTGATCCAGACGATGGTTGCTGAACTAGTCGTGAACCCGAAGCATGAGCGTAATAATATCACATTATGAAAAGGCGATCAGAAGCTGACATATTTACAGCGAAAGCCTATGCGGTCATGCCATTCATCTGGTCAGTTGGTATCATTATTGGACCAGCAGTCGGCGGCTACTTCTCGACACCAGCGAAGAACTTTCCTGGAACGATGCTTGACAATGCACTTTTGCGCTCATTTCCGTATCTGCTCCCCAACCTCATCTGCACGGCACTGATGGTGGTGTCAATCATCGCAGGTTGGCTGTGCTTGGAAGAGACCCATCCGGACATGCAAGGATCGGTACAACCCTTTACAGCTGACGAATCCACGCCGATCAGACATCGACCCTCGGTCGTCGCAATACAAGGAGCCATGACCATGCCTGCTGTCAACCTCACGCAGCCTGAAAGCTACGGCACCTTCAACCAAGTCAGCGAAGAAGCCGTCGACGTCGAGTGGAACATTATGCCGAACGGTAGTAGTCGACCAGCCAGTGTCACTAGCGGAGGCAGCCAGAAGTGGGCCAGCAGGCGGATAATCGTGTTGATGGCTGCTCTTGGTATCTTCACATATCACTCGATGACTTATGATCACTTGATGCCCATCTTCTTCCAGGACGCGCGAGTGCCCGTAGGCGAGGAGATGATGGCGATAACCGCTTCAGCCATCGGCACCAAGTATGGCTCTTTCGCAGGCGGTCTTGGTCTGACCATCCAGCAATGCGGTGTCATATTGGCATTCAACGGCATCATTGCACTTTTCGTCCAAGGGATAGTCTTCCCGCTCATGGCGAGTTGGCTCGGAATATGGAGGAGCTTCATCGTCGTCACGCTACTACACCCGATTGCCTACTTTCTAGTACCCTGGCTTGCATTGCTTCCGGAGAATCTGCTATATCCTGGTATCTACGCCTGCCTGACAGTCCGCAATGTGCTCTCAATCGTCGCGTATCCGCTTCTCCTGATTCTGATTAAAGAGGCCTCGCCAGATAGAAGTCTAGGCAAGATCAACGGTCTTGCTGCCTCTACAGGAGCCGCATGCCGCACTATGGCTGCACCTATCGCGGGTCTACTTTACGGTGTGGGCGACAAGATCGACTTTACGGCTCTGGCATGGTGGGCTAGTGCTGCGGTGGCTGTTATCGGAGCGATACAGGCCCTCAGCATCAAGCAAGACTCCAGTAGACTGCATCACCAAGTCAGGCCGGTCGCGCCATGCAGGTGGATGCCGGAGGAGGCTGGGCATGACGCGCGGAAGTCTTCGATCGTGAGGATCAGAGTGGGTGGTGATAGTGGGTATGAGACTGAAGATGAGGTGGATGAGAGGACGCCTTTTGCCACTAGGGTGCCTCGGACATGAGTCCTGCTATCTGCTTTGAAGCACGATCAAGATGTTAGAAGGCGTTGGAGGCATTGTAAGGGGTTCGTTGATTTAGCGAGGTGTTGGAGGCGTCATCCTTGGTTGTACATATATTATGAAACCCACTACCACTGTATACATCCTACCCAATACCTTTAGTCACATCTGACCTCAATTCGAAGTCATGCGGGAGTGGGAACAGAGCACCCGCCGGCTAATGGCAGACCCTGCGGCGGCGGCGGTGAGGTGAAAGTTGTGCATGACGCTAGCGAACTTTATGCGCGAAAGCTCCCACGAAATTGTTTACGATCAACCTCGAAAAGTTTCTCTAGAATCTTACGAACTCAAGAAGTACAACAACAGCAACCATGGCGACCGAAAAGCTTACCGAGAGTGAGAACATGCCTCATAGCGAGGTGCATTACTTCAATTCGTACAACCATCATGGCATCCACGAGGAGATGTTGAAGGACGAGGTGCGGACGAAATCGTATCGGGACTCGATCTATAACAACCGGCATTTATTCAAGGACAAGGTCGTTCTGGACGTAAGGGAACCAACGGCTACGAGGTTTGCAGAAATTACCTGCGACATGTGCTGACTCTTGATGTAGGTTGGTTGCGGTACTTCCATCCTCAGCATGTTCGCCGTGAAAGCAGGAGCCAAACACGTAATCGGTGTCGACATGTCGACCATCATCGTCAAAGCCAAGGAGATCGTTGAGGCGAACGGGATGTCCGACAAGATCACTCTCTTGCAGGGCAAGATGGAGGAGGTGCAATTGCCGTTCCCGGAGGTGGACATCATCATTTCTGAGTGGATGGGCTATTTCTTGTTGTATGAGAGTATGCTGGATACGGTGCTGTGGGCGAGGGATAGGTATTTGAGGAAGGATGGGAAGGGTTTGATCTTCCCGGACAAGGCGACGATTTTCTTGGCGGGCATTGAGGATGGGGAGTACAAGGATGAGAAGATTGGGTGTATGTGGTCATGTCACTCGAGATGATGGTTGAGGAGTTCTGCTAATATGTGCTCCAGTCTGGGATAATGTCTATGGATTCGACTATACTCCTCTCAAACTCACTGCTCTGACGGAGCCGCTGGTCGATACCGTGGACCTCAAAGCCGTCGTTACAGACCCTTGTGCGGTTATTACACTGGACCTGTACACCTGCACGACTGCCGACCTGGCCTTCTCACTACCATTCAACCTTCCTATCCGCCGAACCGACTACATCCACGCTCTCGTCGCATGGTTCGATATCGAGTTCTCCGCTTGCCACAAACCTGTACGATTTTCGACAGGCCCACACACGAAGTACACGCACTGGAAGCAGACCGTCTTCTACCTTGCGGACGTGCTTACGGTCGAAGTGGGGGAGAGCGTGCAGGGGAAGTTGAGCTGTAGGCCCAACGGGCAGAATCGCCGGGATCTGGATATTGCGATCGACTACAAGTCTGACACGCAAGATCGCGGACGGATAGCGGAAGGGCATTGCGAGTACAAGATGTGCTAGTGCGACCTTCGCGCGTTGCAGCTTGTGCATATGATGATTGATGACTTGCATTTCGAGCGGGAGAATCATGGGTCGCAGCTTTAGCTTCGCTGACCAGTGTATAATAGAAACCCCATGGCTTTGAGCCGTGCAGCGCACATGGTGCACATATATCTATATTTCTTGCCTAAGTGTTCTACTAGGACACTCACAAGTCCTGATCTGACGTCGAGTGTGGTAGCGCGCTCTTCAGGCGAGCTGCCTGCCACATGTACCGTCAGCCGCACGGCTTACTGTCAGCTAGCCAAAATCGCCTCGCCAGGTACTTCTTGCCACTTCTGGCCACGTCAACGCTCGCATACGCTTGACTTGGTCAAGTGAGCTTGGTCGGCACGCTCATGGCCGCTCACCATCGCTGTTCATGATCCTAGGTAGGGAAACACTCAGCTGGCTCTACTCTACGCAGGCTACATGGTAGTGCTGATGCAGTGCATCGTGCTCACACAGGTACATATACGATTATGACCGCGCCTTCACCAAGGTTCCATCTCTACAGTCGAATCTGAATAGTTCTGTCTCGCTCGACTTTGTACAGACTTTGACGCCCAGATCTCTTCATCTGCCCACCATGGCCTCTGACCCCATGCCAACGCCGGCGCCTTACCTTGATCCTCAAAACATCGATCTCGGCGAACAAGAAGGCGCTCTCCTCAATGGCAAGCAGCTGAATGACTTGACGCCTGCGCAAGCAAGAAAATTGTTCGATCAGTTGCAAGGTTCGAGTCCACCACATCCTGACGTCTCAATTTCGGAGCATGGGATTACGGCTACGCGCGGGAAGGTGAAAACCTTTCTCTACCGCCCTAAGCATGTTACTGTGTATGAGTAGCTGCCGCTCGTGTATCATGTGCATGGCGGAGGATGGATATTTGGCGATGCTTTTGATTATACGGCTTTCGTTTGTGATATTGTGGTATGTTCGCACATCATCCCGAGAGTAGTAGAGTGAGGGTCGTTGACACGAAGAACGATAGGGCCGGACAGGCTTCTCGGTAGTCTTTCCACAGTACTCTTTGGCTCCCGAGACACGCTTCCCTGTGCAAGAGGAGCAGTGTTTAGAAGTCCTCGAGCATGTGCTCAAACACGGTGCTGAGTTCGGTGTCAAGGGCGATAAGGTCGTGCTGAGCGGTGATAGTGCTGGAGGTACGTCAATATCCTTCGAATTGCTTAGCTCGAGCGGCAATTGACTATTTCCGCAGGCCAACTGGTAACAGCCGTCTCCGTCCTCAGCCATCAGCGCGAGCTGAATCTACCCATCATCCACCAAGTCCTCTGGCATCCTCTGATCGACTCCTCAAGCACGGGAGCCCGCTTCTCCGAATTTCTGTTCCAGCATGGTCCACTTCTGACTAACCCCTTTATCCAAGAAGCTATCACTGATTACTTCGGCACCGACACCAAAGACCGCACCAGTATCCTCGCCTCGCCTATCCTGATGACTACGCAGCAAGCGAAGGAGTTCATGCCGTCCACGACCATCATTACGGGCCAAGCAGACTGGTTGAGAGATCAAGGTCAGGACTTTGGGCAGCTGTTACAGATGGCGGGAGTACCTTGTGCGATCTTGCAGGAAGTGGCTTGTTTGCATATCTGCGAGGTGTCCAAAAGAAGTCGGACGAGTCCTACTGTTGAGTTGGTGATGATTGATGTCTGTGGTAAGATCAAAGAGGTGATGTCATTTGATCACAAGGTGGGCAGCGAGCATCAGGTTGAGCATGAGAGGGCTGAATACGGCAAGCCGGCGAAGAGGCGGAAGAGATAGTCAATACCCTGCATGCCATGGTATATTGATTATTGTAGGTTTGCATCGGAGACGGTATACTGCATCCACTTGTAGTCTAGAAGTTGTGGTTCATCTGAGTATCACGCAGAAGCGCACCATATTCCAGATTCCCACCCCCGTCGTTAATTTCTGGTCGCCAGTAGGCTCGACGCTGCATTCCGCATCCAGAGCCATCTGCTTCACCACTTGCTCCAGTAGCTCCTTCCAAGATTCGGGGGTGTGCCGGTACATTTCTCCTGACCTAGTTGCTGATAATTTGATTGCGCCGGCGTTCGCCACTGCTGTCTGTCGGCCGAAGAGCATTGAACCTGGTTTTGACTTTAGTGAGCGGAGTGCCTTGGTGACAGCCTCCACTTGCTCGTCCCGGGAGAAGAGATGGAAGAAGGAGGCGGCGTGGATCATGTCAAAGGTGTCTCGTTCTGGATTTAAGGTTGTCTTGTCGAAGAAGTCACCAATGATGAAGTGGGACTTGAGCTTGTCCCTGTCATTGAAGAGCTCGTAGCCTAGATTCACGAAGCCACCTTCGAGTTCTGTTCCCGTGAGATTCTCGGAAGGAGCACCATCAACGACAAGTTTGCGCATGTCTTGGCCGAAGCAACAGGCGAGATCGAGCAGAGTCTGGCCGTCTTGTAGACGTTCGACTATGGATGGATAGACCGGGTCTTTCAAAATCCCAAACCTGATGAAGGCCCATTGGCCGACACAGGGGTACTTGAAGAGGTTCCATGCTTTGTCTCGCTGGCGATGGAGTGTTAGTGGATGGAAGAGTGAGAATGGACAAACCATTCATACCACTGTACGGAGGTGAGGTATGAGTTCTGCTGCTGGGATGCCACTATATTTGGTCAGGATAGATCTGGCATCTTCGCTTAGTTTCGGATCTGCTTCGTCGTAGAATTGTTGCATGTCCATCTTGGGTTTGATGGGGTTTTCTTTCATGGCCGCCATGCATGCTATGGCTGCTGGTATTACCCGTCGATTCGACGGGAAGATGGAGACTTATAGATGTATCGTGGTCAAGTCAGCTCAGCTCTGCCTGCGGCCTCCGCTATAGAAGCTCGCTATGCCAGTAATCGCGATGCCGTCGGACTGGCAGCGACGCATATTCCTTGTAGCTGCATATCCAGGCTAGACAGCTTGTGGACAGCGTGAATTGAGTTGCACGCATGCTTGGACTTCAACCTTACACCTCTATCACAGCGTCGCAGTATACAAAGCTATGTCGTTCCGAAGTCTTCTGTCCTCGCGCTGCCGCCAACCCCCCACTTCCACTTCAACTTCAACTCCATCTCCGCCCCCACGAAGAGATCCCGAAACGGAAGCTTGCTGACGGCAACGTCCCGCTGCCATGTGATGCGTCCATCTCGTCACGATTCCTTGCGCCTGTCAAGAATGAGCAGGATGTAATCGCACAAACCCTTGATGCGCTATAATTCCCTGTATAGCTGTATATGAAATGACCATGTGTAAAGCCAGCGACGAGAACAACGCCCAGGTCATACGACACTCCGATCGAACAGCAAGGCAACCTTGACAACATCGCACCTTCCTGATGCAAGCAACAACTCTCCACAGACATGACCACCTTCTCTCCGCCCAGCTCGCTCGAAGCTAAACTCGTCGTCCTCGGCTCGCAGGGCGTCGGCAAGACATCGCTAGTCCACCGTTACGTCAAGAACGCCTTTATCCCACCCGCAAAAGCTCAGAGCACGGTCGGTGCCTCCTTCCTCACAACAAGAGTCAATGATCCCGAGTCTGGAGCGACAATAAGATTGCAGATATGGGATACGGCAGGGCAGGAACGCTTCAGAAGCATCTCGAGGCTGTATTATAGAGGAGCGCATGCGGCGATACTGTGCTACGACGTTACGAGCAAGAAAAGCTTCGATGAGATGGGACGATGGTTGCAGGAATTGAAGGAGAATTGTGGGATCGAGTCCGGCAGGGGTGATCTGATCATCCATGTAGTAGGCACGAAAAGCGATGTCGTAGCGCAGGACCCCAAGAAGAGAGAGGTGCCGTTTGAGAGGTGCATCGGCTATGTTGCAGAGCAACTATACCCGGAGACTGCTACGGGTACACCTAATCTCTCTGCCACGCAGGGTAGTCCGCCAAGTACTCACCATGGCCTCTCCACCGCCACCACCATCTCCAGCCCACACACCAACCGCTCGTCCGGCTTCTGGGGCCAAGAGGCAATCTGGGACTGCTGCCACGAAATCTCCGCCAAAGATGGCGAGGGTATTGACGAAGTCTTCCGCGTCATCACACGTAAACTGGTCGAACAGAATATCATGCGATCAGAGAAGGCTAGACTGCTCGAAGAATTTACGGCGAGGGGGAAAACGCCGGGAGTGGATGCCAATGGTGGACAGGGATACTTTGATCTTCCGAATGGTGGTAATGGCAGTTTTAGGGTGGGTGCAGGCGATAAGAGGAGGAGCTGGTTGGGGTTTCCTGCTACGCCTGGTGCACTTTCGGCTTGGACGGGCGATGAGACGGAAGCTGATCTAGAGGTGAACCCGAGGAGAAGTGGGCGATGTTGTTAAAGTCCCTGCAATAGAAGTCATTGATGCTGCCCTCAGTGGCGAAGGGAACGGCTTATTATGAAACCGAAGCGCTGCCAGAACATGTTACCTGCATGATTTGATATGGGACGGCGTCTTCCAGCATTCATGTTTGAGCTCCAACACCATGGGAATGGCTGCGGGCGTTCAGTATACAGCGGTTGGAAGTTTCACGACTTGTGGCGTTCGAGCGACACTGTATGATTGTGCGGGACAATGGCACTGCTGCGTGACGATTGTATGTACATGATGCTGATGCACAGGCTGTACAGATATATAGCTGTAGCAGTACCATGGGCTTTGCTGCCGTACGACTCCAGAATATGGCAACTTCTTAAGGAGAACTTATACGATGCATGGCTGACGTCGAGCCAAGACTTGGAGAGACCTCACCCCGCTCGAACAAGAACCTCACTCGTCACCTCTCGTACATCCACACCAGCTTATCAGAAAGTCTATCTGACTTCTCGCGGAGCACGCGGTACCTCCAAGATCGGAATGGGACTATCTCTGCCTTTGTGCGGGCAAGCAGCTTGGCATCCTTTAGGTTATAACCATTGCTCGCATCCTCGTCAATGAGCCCTTTCTTCTACACCTACACACACCATAAGTATATCTCTCATAATGCGAACCTATCTCCTCTGTCTCCTGCCTTGGGCCGCTGCGGTCACAGCAGCGGTTCTCCAGCCACGACAGGATGTTGGCAATGTCTCTTTACAGCACCCCGAGCTGTTCTCGCTTCACTGGCAGATGCTTGAGCAGAACTCTACCTCTGGGTTCGAGACGCCTATGGTCGATTTCCTGTCGGGATACCTCGAGGAGAAGGGATTGACGGTAGAATTGCAGCCAGTGCAGAACCCTATTCTGGCGTGAGTACGCTCATCGGTTGTGTTTACAGAACAAAGCTAAGAGTATGTGCAGATACAATGTCCGCCGGCAGAACATATATGCGTGAGTTAGCCGGCCTAGCGAGGGGTCTTGGTTACTATCTCAATGCTTACGATTGAGCAACAGATACATGGGCACGAATCGCACATGTCGCTTGATCATGAACTCGCATACAGACGTCGTGCCCCCAGTGAGGCTACTCGACATCCTCCCTCGTATATTGCGTGGCGTTGACCCTAGATCATAGTGGTACCCACCCTCAGATAACGATACCGACATCTTCGGCCGTGGCGCAAATGACGCCAAGGGCTCAATCGCAGCACAAGTTATCGCCTTCCTCGAACTTCAAGATGCCGGTGTCCTCCGAGATGGCGACGTCTGTCTTTTATACGATGTGGGCGAGGAGCGCTATGGCGATGGGATGCAGACTTTTGTCGACTCCCTGACCTGGAAGCCCGAATTCATTATGACCGGTGAGCCTACGGAGTCTTTCCAGGCGACAGGACATAAAGGGTCGATCAATATTAATGTCACTGCAATTGGAGAGACGGCTCATTCGTCTGTGCCGCAGTACGGGCGGAATGCTATACTGGAGATCATGGACTTTCTGCCGAAGCTGCTCGATCTGACCAGTACTTTTCCTTTGGATTCGTTCCAGTGAGTCCAGTATACGTATGACGGTCTCGACGTTTCGGCTAACATGAAGGCGTGCGCAGCGGTAATACAACTTTGTCATTATCCTCGATCACCGGAGGCACCATCTCAAACCAGGTCGCTGATCGTGCAATGGCCGTTGTCAACTCTCGTGTCGGAGTGCCGGCAAAGCAGATTTGGGACATCATCACTTCACAAGTCGGCGATGTACCAAATATCTACATCTCGAGGATTGGAGACTCGTCCAATCCGCTTGCCATGGATGTCATTGAGGGCTGGAGGCCAAAGAAGATTATGCCATATGGCACTGATCTTGGTGCGTGGACGGTGGATAACTTGAAGTTCCTGATGGGTGTGGGATCCATTGCTACTGCACATTCTGCGTGAGTATGACTCTTCCCTAATAAGCCGTACGTGATTGCTGATGACCTTGGGACAGCCACGAGGTCGTTTCGAAGCAGGAGATGCTAGACATGGCAAGTCACTGCGGTAAAAATTGCCGGACACCTGCTAACATCTAAGACAGGTCGGCCACTATAAGGATTTCATGCCGGGGATCCTCAATGGCACGTTGGTACCGATACATAATGGTACTATGCCTTCGAGCTATCCTTTGGATGCGGACAATGGCAATATGACGAAGCGAGAGATTGCCTTGCGGAATATGGAAGTCAGAAGGTTCGGAGGATGCATGCACTGAGGGTCGAAGTACGAGGGTCACCTTGTCTTCGGATGCATAGCTGACGCTCTCGCCTGTCATGAGGGCTGCCCGCCACGAAGCAAAGCTAGCGTTGGCTACCCTATTGGTTCGCCCTTGCATAGAGGACTAGCGGCGATGAGGCGCTAAGAGGTGACTCGCGAACCCAGCAACGATGATTTGACGCTATCAGCTGCTCTATACGTGCGTCAACTCTCAATACCCGTGTCAGCTTTCTGTCTTTGCGCGTGGACCGCGTGATACAACAACATCTTTGCGAGTCCTGATGATCATCTGATCACTCCAGTCGTCACTTATGGTATCACTGGCGAGACTTGTGCCGTCTCTGCCCCGTGCCTCGACTGGATAGCTTGAGGAATCTCCATTCAACGGCGGCACATCACGCAGCGTTGTGCCTGCGCTTGATCGAGGCTTGGAGATGATGGTCGCCGGAAAGTACTCTGGCTCTTGCCCCGATAGAGGTTGTCCTTTGGTTGTAGCTCGAATATAGCCAGCGCTCGACTCGTTCGGGCGCCTGCCTCGTGCTGTCCCAAATCCACCAAAGTCTGTTCGGATATCGTTGGCCACACGACGAAATGCTGGGAAGTTCGCGGTGCATATGGAATACGATAACACCAGCTGCGATATGCAGATAAATGACGTGGCTTGGAGGAGAGGATCGCTGGAGAAGGCATGTCGACCAAAGACGCTCAGCTGAATGGCAACGATGAGGATTGTGCTTTGACCAGTCAGCTCATCAGATCTCGTTATTTGCAGCTGTATCTGCTCGGGATGGGTCAGAACGTACGGCAAACGTATTGCGAAGAGAGCCACGACCATCAACTTATTTTGTCGGGTCGTGTGTAGAGACCAGGTATTCCAAATCGAAGATGCTACGAAAGAAATCTCGAAACCACTCTCACCAACACCTAGAATAACCCACTTCGTGAGCTTTATGATATCAGCACACGAAATGAACGGTCAGCACAGTTCGGTCGAGAGGGCGGCTTACACTGTGAGGATAATCTCTAGCTGTCATGATCCATGGCCTTTGTATCCCACATGCGAATATGAAGACGAGGAGCACGACCATTGTTCAGATGGCTACTATGATCATCATGCCTTGAAGCGAGCGAGTGATAGCAGTCGACCTCGCAGAGTTGATGCGTATCACCAGATAAACCACTGAGGCTTTCGCACATTCAAGGGAAGCAACGAAAACTACCGTCGAGGAGTAGTATATCTATAGGTTGTGGACCGGCAGTCGATTGGATCAAGCTTTGGTCAGATACACCGGACCAACCTTTTGCGCTTTCTCAGCTTTGTCGTCCCTGTGACGGTGTGCTGATGAACCGAGCCCAGAAGTGGTTGCTATCCAGACAAGCGCACATTGCAGGGCATAAAAAGCCTATCACAGGAGAGCGTGTTACCACCGATCTCTCCGTTCTACATCATTCTCTCTTACAGTAGACGCCACAACGAGAGAATCGTCGATGCCGAGTAGAGAGCCTCGCGTGCCTCTACGTTGATCGGTGTCCACGGTCGATCTCACGATCAGTCGTGTGCCAACAAATAGCAGTGATTTAAACAGAAGAATTGCGGTTGTCCTTATGATGGATGCTGCATGGTGTGTGTCGTCGCTGGGCACCAGTGGCGGCGAGCTGGCGGTCTCCATACTCACCATACGGTACTCGAAATCTACATAACATGAGCAGCCGAAGAGGTGTCTTGAGCATATTGCGAGAATGGCTATCGAGGAAGTATACGACAATGATGCACACCGTGCCGTACAGGAATGCACACTGTCATTACTGTACCATCTACCAGAGAGCCATCGTTTACCACATGTAGCTTAGGAGCCCGATAGGACGGCCATGTTCAAAGCTCAGCGTCGGTTATCCACCCCAACAAGTGATCTGCATAGATGATCGTGCGTTCGACGCCCCAGTCTTCTCGAGGTCATTGAAGCTGAGCTTCAAGGGTTGGTATATTTTGGTAGGCTGGTGGGTGAGCTTCATAGAAGGATGTTCAGAAGGCAAGATATAGTTCTGTGGGCGCAGTGGGTGACTGTCTGGCGTGGACACCGCGGCCTCATCGCCCAGCTGCAAGACCAAGATCATGCGCATTGACTTCGATGCAATGGTCTCGACGTGCTGTGCCCTAGCAGTGTAGGCTGCTCGCCTTGCCGTGATGAGGCCGTACTTTGTCCAGAACGGATGTGATGGAGATTCAGATGGGGATCTCGTCAGCCGTCCTAGATATGAAGCAGGGCTTGCGCGATCCATCCGACGCTCCCCAGCACTAAACTGTGCGTTTAGCTTGAACGCTACGAACCCGGCTAAGTGCCGCGCCGCAAGATGTCCCTGTAGTCGTACCCCACGCTATCAACATCACCTTCAGCATGTGCAGCTGCACTTTCCGGTGATGCGATCCCTTGCACAAAGGACCCGCTATCGATGCAGGTTGATCATGGAAAGTATCGATCTAGTACTGGTGAGCGCGCCAAGTCTCTCAGGATTCGTACTTTGCGATCGTGCTTCCTCCTGTATACTTCCTTGTCGTCAGCAATCCTGCTTGCGTCCTCTTTGTTCGGCACGGTCACTATGGACAATTGGGAGCTCTCCGATCTCTCAAAGGGCCGTCATGATGCTGATACGAAGAAAGCGGTAACCACAGTCAGTAACGTTCCCGAGAAGTACAGAGGGCCCATTCGAGACAATCACGACATGTCAGCGCCTGGCAAGACCCAGGTTCTTCGACGTAACTTCAAGAAGGTAGGCATGATTGCGTTTGCCAACAGTGTTATGGTAGTCTGGGAGACCTTGCTTGTGGTCAGTGGACTTGGTCTATGAATTGGTGGACGGGCGCCCGTGTTCTGGGGTTTAGTCTACGGCGCGTTTGCTCTAACGTGTATCTATCTCACCATTGGGGAGATGGCAGCGATGTAAGTTGCCTTGGCCGTGCCCGAGGTATCACCAAAGCAAAGACTGACTTATATACAGCGCTCCAACGGCAGGCGGTATGTCTGTCTTTCCGTAGTGCACTTGTGAACGTACTATACTGATACGGGGACTCAGGCCAGTATCATTGGGTCTCGGAGCTCGCCCCACGACGAGTGCAGAGCTTCCTCAGTTACATCACAGGCTGGTTGGTATCCCTAGGCTGGGTCAGCTATCTCACTCTGGTGTCGTTCACTGCGGCTACAACGATCCAAGGCCTCGCCGTGCTCAACTATCCCGACTATGCAGCCCAGCCATGGCACGCAACACTACTCACCTGGGCAGTAGTATGCTTCGGTCTATTCTTCAACACGGTTCTTGCGCCTCGGCTACCTGCCATAGAAGTCATTTTCTTCGTCTTACATGTCGTAGGATGGTTTGGAATCTTCGTCACCTTGCTTGTGACGGGTCCGAGGCGTAATGCCTTTGATAAGTTCACACACTTCACAGACGGCGGGAACTGGGGAAGTGATGGCCTGTCGGGTATTATCACGATGATGAACAGCCCGCTATGCTGGTTGGGTACGAGTCGCCAGTGCACATGTGTGAGTAAATTGCTATCTTGTTACAGATCCTCGAGATCGTCATACTCGTACTGAACTACTACTCAGCCGAAGAGACACAGAATGCGTCAACAACAATGCCGAGAGTGATAACGTGGAGTATCGTCATGAACGCGATCATGGTCATTGCTCTCGCTGATGTCTACGTTACGGCCATAGACGATCTTGACGCCACCTTATCAACTCCGATCGGTGTCGTCTGCATCCAGGTCTTCTACGATGTGACCAAAAGCAGATCCGCTACGAATGCAATGGCAGCTCTTGTTGTGATCGAGTCGATCTCCGCTTGCATAGCTGAAGGCGCATGTGCATCACGTCAAGTGGAATGTACCACATTTACATAATCGCGCGTCTAGATGAACATCCCTCAAGCTGATCCATGCAGTGGTCGTCCGCCCGTGACAATGGTCTTCCAGGATCTGCGTGGCTGGCTCAGGTCTCGGCCAAATCCAACGTTCCCGTACATGCCGTGTTGACCACCGTCATCATTGTGGCATTGATCTCATTGATCAATATTGGCTCATGCGCGGCACTCAACGCTATCAACTCACTTGGTGGCATCTCTATTCTGGCCACTTATCTAATTGTTGTCGGATGCTACATTTGGAATCGTGCCACGCATGCGAAGCCACCTCGTGGGGAGTAAGTGTTGGCAAGACTTGTTCGAGGTTGGAAACAAGCTGACTGTTGATTTCAGATGGAATCGCTACGGCTTCGTGATTGCCGTTGTTGGGTGGGGCTCTGTCTTCCCAGTCTTCTTCTTTTTGCTTTGGCCGTTGTCAAATCACCCAGATGCTGTTTCTATGTAAGTGTTGACATCCACTTCTTCACGCTGACAATTGACGCTTGCAGGAACTGGGCCATCGCGATGAACGGAGGTATCATGGTCATCGCTTCCGCTTGGTACGTTGTAAGAGGACGGACTCTGTACCAACCCCCAGTCTCGAAAGTCAAAGATTATGCGTGATGAATAGGACGACCTGGGTTCATAGTCATGTGATTGTGGCGATACCTGCATCGCACACAGCGATACAACAAGAGTATGTACCCGTCACTTTTATAAGATGGGGAAGCATCAGTTGCGTTTTGGGCGACACTAGGTACCCGGTCAATACCGCGGTTTCATCGTGATGTATGCCACGAGCTGACCCGAGCCAGACTATCACTTCTCGAGCGGAGCGACAGATGTCGCGAATAATTGCGACTTGTGCAGCGCGCTCAGCTAAGGCTTCTTGACTGATGCAGATGGTGTCGACCCAGAAGCAGTATTGCAGCGCAGAGACTCGTCGCAGGACTGACAACGCCGTAGTAAGGTTTCGGGTAGTTTTGAGGAGGTCTTGATTAAGGACGGCCTTCACAGTATTGTTGGGGTCGACCCAAGTACATCACAAGACTCAATACGGCGGCGCTTCCTCGAGTGCGTAAGTGGTGAGTATCATAGACCGGAGGCATGTCGCATAAGCGCCTTCGTTGGGCACCTCAACCGTGTCCCAGTGCAGTGATTGTAATCCTTTTCTTTGAACGTTCAACGAAGTATACACTTCTGCAGCGCTCTAATGGCCCTCTTCAGTATTGCAATTGTAAATCTGTGACATGGATGCAGCGACAGGCTCAGGCGAGTCGTCAGCGTTCATCCTACGATATCCTCGGCTTGCGCCATCATTTGACCGCTCAGGGAGTGTTCGTACGGATTACTGGCGTCGGCAGCCAACGTCATAGGCGATACCGGGCGTCCCTCGCGCTTGTGCGCTTCGGCTTGCGTCAGTATATCTGCGATACGATTCTCTACATCGTCCGTAGTCTCGGCCATCGTCACGAGTACGTGGGAGGAACGTGAAGTTCCAGTACTATGTGAGTATACCGTCGACCGCTGCAAGAGTCAGCGAGCATGTGCTCTTTCCGAGGTTGCATGGCTGTCGAGCCGCCCCATGACCGCATGTATGGCGCCTGCATGAAACGATTGCGCTTGTATACAATTGTGGCTGTGTATGGGGGCCTTGGCTGTATGCGTGTGTAGTCCTCGCTTCGCATCAGAAATTCTCTGTAGTCCTGATACGGCACTTGCTCAAGCAGACTAGGTGGAGTCCTGAAACGCTTGATCGCGGTCTCATAACTCGTCTCCCTTGGACACTCCATCTGCATCGGTTTTCCAGCCGTCGAACATGGCCTGCATTTCGGCATCAAGCTTCTTTCTCTCCTCATCATGGCGCTTCATCTCCCTAGCCCACCAGCTGTTGAGTCGGTTCTGTGCCGCTCCTTCCTCGAAGAAGTTCTTCACGGGCTCCAGGCGCATGAACCACGGCACAACAGGACGTAAGAGCAAGCTCAAACTCAAGTTCAGCGCCAAATCTGCGGCCGCCCAGAACTGTATCCGATATACGGCAGGCACATAGGCATGACCGATGATGGAGAAGAAAGGGTTTGGGCTGAGCCAGTAGCTTAGGAAGTGAGCTCCTACAGCTTGTGGATAGTCCTGTACGATCTGCTGCAGCGGATGTAGCCGCGTTGCGGAATAGAGTGCATGGCCGACTATACCAAAGAACAGTGTCCCCAAGGTGTCATCAACAAGCCACCTGAGCAGCACGCTCCGCCAATTAATGCCCGCAGGTGTGACGCGTCCGTCTGCAATGAGCTTCTGCATGATCTCCTGCTCCATCTCTTCACGGCCGCGGATCTCTTTGGCCACCTCTCCCGCCTGCGCTGTGTCGGATCGCTCTGGCTGCGGTCGAGTTGGGAACGCCCACTCGAGCCAGCACGCTTTGTAGAAGGCCAGAGTTTGTAAAGCCAGATTCATGAGCAAACTCTTAGGCATTTCTTGCAGATAAAATTCGCGGTTCGACAGGCTATTCCGGTGTGTTAGGACAACATCCTCCTCGCCTTCCCTCAACCAGTCGAGTGGTACAGCTGACACGAAGCTCTCTACGACATGTTCCCACAGGTGGCGCGATACGATCTCATCGCATGCGTGAAGGACCAGCGTGAGAAGCACAGCGTTCCAGAGTGCTCTCTGGCTGAATAATGATGTAGGCATGCCGTGATATTAGTTAATGCGAGAGTTGCAGACCCCGTGGAACGGACACGTGTGCAGGATCGGGCGTAGTTTTACCGCTACCGGCCTGCATCCTATAAAGTTAGGAATAGCGGCTGTGCGCCCTAACCCTAACTTAGTAGAAATCTACGGTCGTATAAGGGATTACTTTATTCCTAGGTAATTAAGCGATTATAGTTAAGATTACCTCTAATAACTATAATCTAGTTATAACTACTATAGATAATTATAACTATTATATAAATCTTCTATATATATAGAATAGATATTTCTTATATTAATAGTTTATATTTAACCTAGGTTACTAACCTACTAAAATTTTAAACCTTAGAGTAGTTACTTATCTAACCTAACTAATATAAGGCCTAGGAGGTAACTAAATATTAGTAGAATTGTTATATACCTACGGTATAAGAGGGTTAGAGCTCGTTAGACGAGTAAGTTCTAAGCGATAGGTTAGGTAAGTAACTACTCTAAGGTTTTAACCTTTTAGCGGGTTAGTAACTTAGGTTAAATACGAACTACCTACGTAGGAAACGTCTATTCTATATATATAGGAGATTCGTATAATAATCGCGATTACCCGTAGTAGTCGTAACTAGATCGTAGTTACTATAGGTATTCTTAATCCTAATTACTTAGTTACCTAGTAACAAAGCGATCCTCTATACGACTAGGGATTCCTACTAAGTCGGAGATAAGGCGTATAGCCGCTATTCTCGCCTTTATAGGATATAGGCCGCTAGTAGCAAAACTACGCCCGATCCTATATACGTATTTATAATACTATCCTCCCTTATAGTCGTTATATTCTTATAGCGTTATTACTTTATAGTCTAGTAGAGTATAAGGTAATCGTTATTATATAGTATTTGTAATCCTATAGTTTATTTGACCGTATAGTTAGGTTTACTATAGGTCGGGTTAGGCTATAGGATAACCGCTACCCTATAGTTACTTAGACGTAGAGTAATCTTACGCTTTTCTAGGTCTAGCGTATATTAGTCCCTAATCTATAAGTAATTATAGAGTTCCCGCAATTCTCTTATTTCGTTATATAATAATAAGTTCTTTAGTCGTAAAAAACCGACTTCGCCTTACCTAGGAGATTTAGTAGTATAGAGAATCTGCCGCTATTCCTTACGAGCGTTACCTATTTTCTAGATACTACTATATTATAATAGAGTTAAATTCCCGCTTAAGATATTCCGAGTACGTTCGCCTAGAACGTAAGTATATAAATATATCTTAGGAGTCGCTAGATCGTACTCGCGAGGAGTATAGGAGAAAGGTAGAGAAGGATAAGGAAGAGTTATCCGTAGTTTTAGGTCGCCTTATATAGAATAAGAAAATCCTAAAGTAGGCAGACGAGCGCGTAAGACTAAAGGCCGCGTATCTAGAGTTAGAGATAGAGGCAACTAGTAAGTTAGAGAGCGAGGACTATCCTATAGCGGATACTATAGTAGGTCTATCTTCGGCTATATAGTCGTCCCTCGACTTTATTAATAGCGTAATTAATTTCTCTAGTCCTAAAATTATTATAGAAGATTCTAGTAGTTCTTAAGGTAAGCCTTAGGTTCCTAAGTATTATCTTCGCTAGGGTATCCTTTCTATTTAACTAAGTATTTCTAACCTTTTCTCTTTAGGATTTCTTCTACTTCCTACTCTTAGTTTTCCTAGGATTCGTAGTATAATATCGTTTAGAGCGCGGTATCTAGGTACGCTAGTTCGAGGAGGGAAATATAGAATATAGGGTATACCTTAGTATCCCTAGGTAGTTTAAGTTAGTAGTTAAGTTCGCCTCTTTTCTTAGCGATTAGAAACGGTCCGACCTTTATATAATCTAGTTTCTTTATTCCTAACCAATATGAGGCCTAGGAGGCAACTGAACATCAATAGGATCCTCCCTAAATCCGGTAAGGCGCGAAGCTGCACGGTCTAGATTTTAGTAGGATCCTATTCAGTAGGATCCGCACTTCTAGAACTGCCTACAGGCGCCGTTCTACACGCTAAAACAGGATGCATCTTACTCGCAGTACTCGATTATCTGTCCGGTATTATTTCTAGTACGTCTAGACAGTATTTCGCAGTACTAGGGTTAGGGTATAGGTGTACGCTAGTAGTCGTCGGAGGCGCGAGGGCGTGCGGACATGCGCCCGTACGTACAGGAGCGCGGGGTAAAGTATAGCCGCCTCCGCGAAGTTCGGCTGCTCCCGAAGACCACTACGGTAGTAGTCTTTAACTCTGCTTACCTTAACCCTTTAACTCTACTTACCTTAGCCCTCCCTACCCTCTACAAGCTATATACGGCATATATAGCGTTAGGGTGTATACGCTACAACTCCCTCCGACGTATTCGTGCCTAATACCCTAGCTCTAGCCTCTATATTATATAACTTTAGCGTGCCCTCGAAGCTGCGATATACTATCTACCTTCCGTATTCCGTAATATAGGTAGTAACAATAGAGTCTAGTAATGCTTATACTGCTCGACAACCTCCTCTACTCCCTTCTCCCTTCTCTCTACCCCCTACGCTATCTGCTATCGTATTATTAGCTACTCTACGGTAGAATTAGATTGCGATATTAACCTACGATATTGACTATAGGGTGGGCTCTCTACCGCTAGACCTCGTACGACGTCTATTTACTTAGCGCTACGCCTATTCACTTAGCGCGACACCTATTTACTTAGCGCGACACCTATTTACTTAGCGCCACGTCTATTTACTTAGCGCCACGCCTATTCACTTAGCGCCACGCCTATTCACCTAGTACTACGCCCATTTACTTAGCGCTACGCCTATTTACTTAAAATATTTACTTCTTATGCGGCCAAATACGGCTACTAGCGGTGTTACACGCTAGATACGGCTACTGGCGGTGTTATACGCAGCTATGCCTTCGCTATAAGTACCGACCTTTAACTCGCTCGAGAACGTACTTCCGAACGCCTACAGCTAGCAAGGACACACTACAAGCACTAGCAAACAAACAGTACTAGCACTATACCCTCCTTAAACGCTACACCCTCTTCGAATACTACACCCTCCTCGAATACTACTACCACACCCCCTCGAACACCGCACCCTCCCCGAAAACCACACCCTCGAACACTATACCCTATTAAACACTATACCCTCCTCGAACACTATACCCTCTAATACCACACCCTCCTCGAATACTACACCCTTCTCGACTACTACACCCTTCTCGAACACTACACCCTCCTTAAACATTATACCCTTCTCGACTACTACACCCTTCTCGAACACTACACCCTCCTCGAACACTACACCTACTACGAACACCCTACCCTTAGTATATAGAATACCACACCTATAGTACCGAGTACGATAGCACCTTCCCGCCTCGAGCAGGCGATGCCGCTTACTACCCAGACGCCAGCCGCGCTAGCAAACTAGCTCCTTATAGCGTATAAGGCGTTAGGAAGGCTTAGCGTAGCAGGCTAGTAGGTTGTAGGTAAGTACTTAAGGGCTGCCGACCTTACGTACATCGGCCTTATCGAAGTATATAGGAGCAGGCTCGGCGAGGAGGATAGGGGCGAGGTTTAGCGGCACTTAATAAGTTGGCTTAAGGAGAAGGCTAAGGATGTGAACGAGGCGGCCTTCGCGGTAAGTAAGTAGGTTGAGGTCGACTATGCGTAGAAAGTAACTAGCGACGAGGACTTAGAGGATACCTACCGAGGCTTCTATGCGGCCGCGGCAGCTAGTCGTACTACGAGGGACAACAAGGCGGCGCTCGCGAAGACTATTAATACGGTGTAGGGTGATGCTGTGCTAGGGATTAGGCCTCTAATAGGGGTTATTAAGACAGGCCGAGAAAATCCTATTCGCTAAGTCGCTAACTTGGCTAAGGCAACTAACGTCCCTAGGTGGTCGCAGAAGGACAGACTAGTGCTTGCTCGCGATGCTATTAACTAGTATACTATTCTACGCCTACAGAGCAAGGACGTAGGTCGGGGCAGATAGTCGAAGCCCGACGTTGCTATCGTGTAGGGCGACATCACCTCCGCCGCCGGCATCTTAAGAAATATATAGTACCGCAGTATAAGCGAATAGCGTAGCGCGGTATACTCATCGACTACTCTCTACTAGCTAGCGGCTTTCTACGACCTTATCCCCGACGACGATAGTTAGGTGCGACGGATCCCTAGCGGTATCAAATCTATCGGGATCGGCTTTAGCAATTATAGGTAGCAGGACGCCGAATACGGTCGACTGCGCGTCCCGTCGATCCAACCCTCGGCTTTAGGGTATAGCGCACCCTTACGACTCCTACCTAGTGTGCCTAATCCCTAGGCTGGTGTCCCTCTCCCGTATGCTTCTAGGATTAACAAAGCCTAAGAGCTCGGAGCTCTAGCTAGAGCTATAGGGCCTGCTACTAGCCTACCACCCTTACTATTTTCGTAGTTGCTAGGGTAGTAGCTAGGTAGCCTCGAAGAGCACGTTAATTAGAGTACCCTAGCGGCAGCCGTAGTAGGCCGCTACCGCAGGGACTCGTCTAATAGGCAAGGCGGGGTTGGTAGTAGTCCGTTCTTACAACCAGGCAGTACTAGATCGCCTAGGGCGTCGCGTTATAGTGGACTCGGCTAGAGTAGCGACTTGGGTGTATAGGGGCGCCTAGGCAGCATACCCGAACAGCTAACTATACCTCGTTAGTAGAGTATAGGCGAGCCAAGCCGTTCGAGGAGCCTAGGCGTACTCTCCGCCGACCTCCGCGACGCCTAGCTGAGATCCTCGCCCTTCTTTCCCGACGCGTAGCTAAGATTCTCGCCCTTCTTTCGCGACACCTAGCTAAGATCCTCCCCCTTAAGCCCGCGCTACAACGATAGCTCTATCGTCTTCTCTAGGCTACCCTAGGGTAGCTAAACGCCGGTCTAGTATACTCGGCGGAACCTTTCTAACCCTACTAGTATAAAGCTGTCGTCCTAGCTAGATCGCCTAGCTATGTCTAGAGGG